CTAGTAAATCTTCTTGACTAGGTAATTTCAGTCTCTCCAGAATATTTCGTGTTGAAAAGTCCCGGGCAATGTATCTCTAGTGGCTGCTGGAAATCGAGACGCGGGACGGGATCATCCTTTACTAAATACTTTGGCATTAAATGCCGTAGAGTGCATAGCAAGGGTAGCTCAGTCACCTGTCGAGTGATCAACTCGGCGTCTTTTGCTGTTCTCAGGTTTCTTAGCTCATTAGTATGCGTGCCTCGCCTTTGCTTTTTTATTTCGCCGTCAAGCTGAGAGAGCTTTATCAACAAGCTTGCGAACCATTCGCCGCAAATGCTCAATAAGGAATGGCGAGTTCTGAATACAATTAATTTCCTTCTATGCGATGGCCCTGCATTTCGTATTGTTGCAGTAGCGCTTTTTGGTTTCTTCAAGTCACCGATCCTTTCGTGATGTACCTCGGCTAGCAGGAACAACATTTGGCGGTGGGGGTAGTGTGTTTTCTTGAATATCGATGAATCAAGAGATTGATCAACATAGAGGTTCCAGACACCTTGAGTCAGCAATTGCGGCATCGCCGAAACTCTCGCACCAAATCATGGATCGCGGACTAAACACGGGCTACTAGCGTGAACCACGGCATGAAAACACAGATTCCAAGTAGAGCTCATCTTACATTTGTGCGCATTAAGATCAGATCGGCGTATGCAATGAATTTCGCCATTTTCCCTACAGGGGAATTAAATTGGGTCCAATGTGACATGCACCCCACAATTCGGAGAAGTTCGAGAAATTGCACTAGAAGGTTCCTGCATATGATCCAGGGGGTGTGGAGAAGACCGCATCGCACAACATGTGTATTCTATCTTTGCCAAGTGCGCACTCGATTCAAGTCCAGGATTCTAGCCACAGCAGTGCACCTGGTAGCCAGCTATTTTTCTGGTATATTTTTCATAAATGTCTCCCTCTGAGATGAAATTTCGTCCGCGGAGTTCGCGGACAAGGCTCCACTTAGATCTCGCGCTAGCGAGAGCTAGCTAGATTGAGATATTATTTGTGATGCCAAGATGGCTTAACTCCTGCGAGCTGAAAGTCTTAGGGATACGATTTAGATCGGCAATTTTGAAATTTGGTGGAGCTTTGTTCCTGGGACCATGGTTCCAATGCCATGATACCCAAATCGCCGGTACGCTCGATTGAAATTCTGCACAATTGTAGATTGAGAAAAATGGGTCGTCTAAGAGATTCCCACCATTTATTATCTATTATAGTATGTACTCTCTATCCATTATATAGTATCAGTCAGTGGTAGTCACCATTGACAAACAACGAAATAGCCGTCAACTCGGCTTTTCATCACCAGTAAGACATTTTCTAGAGGAAAGTCTAGTTGGAAGTGGAGTTGGTCACCTCAGAGGCGGCGATCTTAACCAAGTTGTCCTGGCCGAGAGCGTTCTGGGTGTAGCGGGCGTTGAACTTGAGCACATGCTTGACGGCGTTGTAGCTCTGGACGTTCAGGGGCAGGGGCTCGGTGCTGATGAACCAAGCAACATTCTCAGAGCAAGGAGGAGTGGTGAGGGAGCCAGAGTATTGGTAGATACCGTGGCTGTTCAGGTGCTGAGTGATGCCAGTGAAGTCAAGGCCATCAGTCATGGTGTAAGTGCCGGGGGTGGCAATGTCACCAATGTGAGCGAAGACAGAGTCGAAGAGAGGAGTGGAGTAACCGAACTGGGACAGCTCGAAGAGGAAAGCAACGACAGCAATGTCACCAGCTAGAGAAATATTAGTATATCATGAGCAATCGATCAGAGTGTGTCACATACCAGTGTTCTCGAAGACGAAGTGAGACTCCATGGGGTAGTGCTCCTCATTGATGCGGTGCTCGCTGGGAGTGTGAAAGTGGAATTGAGCAAGCTTGTACGAGTTGTTCTTGGTGACCAGAGTACCGTTGGTCAGGACAACCTCAAGTCCGGAGCCAAGGTTCTCGAACTTAGCATTGTTGGCGTTGGGGACGTGGAAGTGCACACTGCCAGCAGAGGCGTAGTCAATGTCATCGGTGACGACGTCGATGGGGGACTGGTGCTTGCCGGTGGAGCAGGCAACGTTGGCAGAGTCGAGGCCGTACCAGACCATGGGACCACCGGTGTTGGTGTAGTTGTAAGGGTTGATATCAACGGTGCCATCGGCAGCACGGGGCATGAGCGAAGTGCCGTGGAGGCACGAAGCAGACACAGCGGTCAAAAGAGGGAGGATGGAAACAGCGACCTTCATTGTGATGGAATTGAACTGATATTAGACAGAAATATGTTCAGATTGAGACGAAAACAACACTCCCGGGGTTCAAGGCAGTATTTATGTCCTCCTCGTTTGGCGATCTGCAAGTGAAAGAAAAAACACAATGGATCGTCTCCATCTTCTCCCAGCCAGCCATATGGGTGCTTGAGTTTTCGTATAGAGAGGAAGAAGCCCTCAGATCCACCACCGAAGCAATCCGAGAGACCATCGAGGTCAAAATTGACCAATTGATTGGCTTAATTGCCCCGGCCATCGCCGGGTGATAGGATCGCGAACCGCAAGAGATCCATGGGAACCCTATCTGGGAAAGGGATCGTCCATAAGGATCCCATCTAAGTGAAAGATCGCCTAGAAGAGGGTCAGGGCTGGAATAGTGAAAAGTATGAGGGCTGAAGGTCAAGCCTCATATAATCTGGTACACTCCACATGGCCATTTGGGGGCGTTCCTAGTGTGGAAGGGTTTCCATTACTCCCATCAGCTGTTCCGATCTCCGGACATCTCGCGCTTCTCCCCATCAAAAGGAGATTTTGCGCTTTTGGAATTATAAATGCTGGGTGATCATATTCCTTTGTTCTACCACCTGGGTCCCACCGCTTGTGTTCACGAGGGCTGAAAATCCCCTTTTGAAATACAAAATTGGTTTGTCACCGCTATAGCCAGGCAAAGGAGTCCCACCTCTTGTGGACCTCCTATGGATTGTCTAATCATGAGTGTTTTGTGCGCACTGTGACTATGACGGAAAAGTACTAGATTCATCGGAAAATTGTTCCTGTATATGCCCCCTGGATGTGTTAGGCCTCTGTAGAAACGTAATGTCCAGGTTGGAGCGATGACTGGCTAGCCAGCTTAAAAGAGCATCTTACAATCTAGTACCGAATTTTGCATGCTACTCCTAGTTTGAGAGGAAGTTTGTTTGAACATTAAAGGCCTCAGCCCATGGCAAGAGTGGAATCACTACTAAATGGACAAATTTTACATAATTCCCAGGGTTGTGTGCTGTGTCCACTTACGATAATCCCGAAAACTCGTGTCCGGATTTTCTATAGGCCCGAGATTTTGGAGGCTCTCCTCAATTTTTTCTCTAAGCTCTCTGTGTATCAGTCTTATAAGTAGTTGTATCTTTGTTGATTTAGTGCAATGTCCGTTTGCTAGAAGATGGGGTTGCCCAGATATTACCACTTGGTATATAGGTGAATCGTGTGGCTTCGGTAATATAAGCCAAGCGGGCACTTCCGGTAAATGGGCTCACATATTTGTCATCGGCTTTAGCGAACTAGGCTTGTTTCTATCGCATAATTATACTGAGAGCACATCAAGATAGCTAGGCTGTAAGCAGTAGATGATTCCCTCCTGGTAAAGAAAAGACCTTGAAAGCTTTTGGAGTGATCAAAAACACATCAACAGAGAGTGGAGAATTGAACGCAAAAGCAAATAGTCCAAGATATGCCAAGGTAAAGCTTGAAAATGATAGTCTCATGCGCGTTGGTTTTTTTTTTTGTTGCTCGTCACTATAGAGTCTAGACCAGATAAATATCCACGGGTCTTGGTCTCCACATTTTGTGATCATCATAGTGACACTAAAAAGTGATTCCTCCAAGGTTGCGGACTGTGGATCACGTATGCAAACCTTGGAAAGAATCCATGATGCTTGGCATCAATGACAAGAAGCATGCCAGTACCTAATCAATGGTTGTTTCCAAGCTAAAAAATTTTAAAGGAGGTATACGAACTTAGAATAGATAATCATAATCAATGGTAAGTGGGTCAAGTTCCATGTGGATGAATATAATATATACAATGTATGCAATTCTCATGAAAAACCAGGTTCGATCCCAAAGAATGTCGTACGTGAAAGCAGTGGTCCAGGATGAAAAGCGACTAGAATCTGCGAGTTCCCTATCCTGTCCTCCCACCTGGTATAAATTCCCATTCGCCCATCAATCGAGACCCGCGTCCCCTCGCGCCCCGGCCAGGTATTCCCAAACGAAAAACGAAAAATGACATAGAACACGCGATTGACCATGCAAATGAAACAATATATGACCGCCGGAGAAAAGAAGGTTTGGCCGGAATGAGATGTGATAAATGGTGGGGATAGAAAAGAGGATAACAAAACCCAGGCCTGACCCTTAGACAGAGTATAGGGGTAGATGTAATGGAAGGGAGATAAAAAGAAAGTCTATATGCCCGAAACAAAGCCTCCTGGAGAACAGAGTTAATGCAGCTATTGGTGATCCCTTAGACATGGAATCATCGTGGCTGCATGTCACATCTTTCGGTCAGGAGGGTAGGAAAGGTTAAAACGAGAGAATGAAAACGAAAAACAAAAATAAAGTTTGGGCCGTGCCATGATAGAATCAAACGGAGAAATGCCACCCGAAAACCTTGGAACCCTTGCGCCCGCTAATGACAGCTGCGAAGCAGACCCGCAACGGTGTATGTGGATGAGGCAAAAACCAAAAAAAAAAGGCAGTGTGAAAAAGTGAGCAAAGGCAAAAAGAAAGAAAAAAAAATTTCAAGACAGGAAAGAAAAAACGCAGATGGAAAGCCCATAATTGTATATATCCCACGGGGTATTAGAAATGAAACAAGGCCGTCTAGGAATGTGGTATGTAAAACGTGAAGTCGTCCGGGCCCGAGAAGTGAACTGCAAGAATATTTGCCTGGAGATGAAGTTGATTAAGCAAGATGGATGGTCGCAATTGGCGATTGTTGAAGAACATCAAGGTCCTGAACGTCCCGAAGCCCCCGGATGTCCCATCGGAGGGTTAGTGGGAAAAGGTTGTTGTGGAACCGCTTCGCCTGCGTATATGGGGTATGGAAAACCCTGTGGTATGGTGTTCATGGGCCACTGAGCATACTCCATGCCTGGTTGAGGTGGGTAAGGTACTGGGCCTGGAGGTTGCATATCAGACGCTGAACCAGGCGAGCTGTGTGCACCGGTACTTGAAGCGGAAAGGGACTGGGCGGGTGTTGTCATTCTCCTCTTCAGGTCTGGAGGCATTTGAGGTTGAAATTGATTTTGATAGGAGGGACTCATTTCCTGACCGGGGTAGCTCATCGCTCTTGATGGTTGTTGCGGTGGTGGTGGGACTTGCCACACTGTTCCGTCGGGCTGCATGGCGTAGGTGGGAGTGTTCATAGGCTGTGCTTGAGCGGACATTGGAGACGCGCCGGACATTGGTGAGCTGGGTGACAAGCCGGTTGGTACTGAGCCGGAAGTCCAGACGTTCGGTGATAGATTCATCATCTGGCTCTTATTCGCGGCCATTGTGGCCAACATTTGGGGGTCTGATATCGTTGTGAATTCATCCCATGGGACACCCGTTTCCATCGTGGGATGCGTTGGGAATTCCCCGCCCATTGGTCGATCTAAGTAAATGACCCGTTAATAATCCGAATGTCTAATTTGAAACTTTTTTTTTTGACTTTCTTCTGCGCCGCGCAATTCAATTGCCGAAGCTAACAACAACAAGGGCTAACCTACCTGGCGCAAAGCCCGACATGGGGTGACCAGCATACACGGCTGGGTTAAAAGTAGAGATATCCTGACCAGATGACACATTCAAAGGAATTTGCGGATACGGATAGAAAGGTTCCGCAGAATCGAATTTCACATTGGTCGGTGACGAAGCAATTGACGTCGTCGAGTGATCTGCCGGTGGTTGCGTCTCCAGTCGCGAGGTCGGCCGCGACTTTTTCTCAATTGGAGGCTGTTGGTCGACCGGGAAAAATTGACATTCCTTTCGCAATCGAATACAATTTTCACATCGTCCTTGCGAATCGTCCGGAGCTACCAAACATCGAATCTTTCGTCGTCGGCAGTGCACTGGAAACAAAAAACAGTAAGTACTGAATCAACCCCCCAAAGTTGATCGCGCATTCCTCCCGCATCATTACCTGGTTCATAGCAGGATGGCATGTACTTCTGCGCAAATGCGCATATTGCGACATGCTCCAGAACCAAAGGGCGACGCAGAAAGCACAAGCGCATCGGGGGCAAGAGTTGAAAGTGAACTGACCACATGCGACAGATGTCCGATGATACCCCAACTTGTTACGCTTTTTATCCGCATTACTCGCATCCATAGCGCTCTGTGAATTCGGTGTAGTTGCCATCGCCTCGACAGCCGCGGGCATAGCTCTCCCCACAAAAGATCAGATCAAGATCGATCTAGAAGACCGCTCCGCTCAGCGCATCAAAAGCGCCGTTTCAGCGAAACAAAGATAGAAGCCGGTTTCCAGGCAAGATCTGGGGTAAAGAGGCGAGAAACAAAAGAGGCCCGGCCATGCAGGCACCGCAACAACTTGGTTTGCGGGTGAAGGTCGGATGATGACGCTGCGACGATAAAACGCTCCGGCGTAATTTTCGTTCTTTTGCTAGATGCCTCCACCTGGGCCGCACTAGACCAACTGGGATATTGCGCGCGTTTCAGCAGGGTCGTCAGGTAATTCGGTGGTTGGATTGGTAGGGGGGTCGATGGTAGAGTGGTAGAGCAGGGTAGTGAGGGGCCCGCAGTATGCGTGTTTCGTGGTGGAAGGGTCGTCACGGTCGAGGATAGATTGGATTTTGGTTGGGTCTCAAGCCCTGGACCCCAGGCGAATTAATCGAGAGTAATTATAGTAAATTAGAGTGTCGGGTGGGAAGTTCATGAAAGGGGAAGATCGGACGACTTCAATAGAGTATGGATTTCCAATATGCGATGGAAAAGAGACCCGATTGACGATAACCACCCAAAAAAAGATTAGTAGGAAGGAAAATAAAATAAAAAATAAATAGATAAAAAAAGAAGAAACCAAAGGAGTGAATGAAGCGTAGGAAGATCGAGGAATGGAATATCGTATAGAGTCGAGAAAGAGCTAATCGCGGGGGTGAAACGCCCATGGGCTGGTTTTGTGTTATTTTTTTCCCTGGCCTTTTCTTTTCTGGAATAAAATGATTTTGATAATAATTAATTTTTTTTTAACTCAGTTCATTCCATACGTGGAACAAAGTGGCTCTGCATCAGACCGACACTAAGACCAAGAGGGATGTATCGACTTAACCCAAATCAATGATGATCTCACAACTCAGGGGGAACTTCGTGACGAGATTTTATAGAGTTCTATACTTTCTTTTCTTGGTTTTTTTCATTGGAATTTTCTGCAAACTGGTTCAAATAGCTTCTCTGTCTTTTTCTTCCATATTTTTTCACCTCAGTTTCTTTTTTTAAACCCAGGTACCAGTGGTTGTTCAGTGGCCAAAGGTACCCAGATTAGGTAAATCACCCCAAGGAGCCCCTGATTGCGTACTATAGACCCCGTCAGGGCTGGTTCATGGCAAATGAGGCAGAGGCGAGGAACCATGGTCTGGGAGCCCTGACACAGTGGGGTCATAGAGTGGATGTGAAGCAGGTGACGATTTGGGCATAGAGGCAGTCCTTTACCTGTCAATCCTTGATGAACTGGGGAATTCATCCATTTCAAGTCCCGGCCAGCTGATTGGCGTAGGGAAGCTTGGGTCGGCAGCTGGAACCAATGAGCTTGTTGGCCGTAGGGTCCATTACTGCTAAAGAACCTTCTGTCTCTGGGCATTCCGGAGGTGATCACTAGAAACCTTGAGGGCTTCTCGAAGGACACCCCTTACAGAATGTATAATCCAATGTGATTTCCATTGCACCCATACAATTAACATGGGCGTTATTTTTCACGTACTTTTTTCGCTGAACAATTTCCGATTTCTATCGACAGGAACGAACCACAGATTGATTGCTTCTAAAAACAGAAATTCAGGGTCCACGTATCAGGTTATACCGTGGGCAGCACGCAATTCGGCCTTTTTTATATATTTTTTTTCTTTTCATTTTAAATTCGTTTTATTTCCTCTTCTGTTTAATTATAATTTCTTTTTTTTTTTCGTTCCAAAGATTTCACCCCCCTTTTCTGCCTTTTTGTTGCCTTGTTTCTAGTGGGATCTTGGCCCCAACTGTCTGGGGCGTAGCTTATTCTCCTTAGTACGTCGATGACATCGTTTCATAATCTCTAAACTGTTTCGAAGTTCAACCTCTTACATCGGACACGATGTTTTTTCTTTTTTAAATGCAATTCCCCCCCTTTTTTTTTTACCCTTCGGCAAAAATTCATGACTCGCCAATGAGAATTGTCGTTTTCCTTAGTCACTGCTCCATTTTACCCGCACCGTCCCATGAGGATACGTGCCCCAGTACCTTGGGTGGGAGTCGATAGCCGGTCAATCAGGACAATCTTAATCATATCGCCTTAGGCGAGACCACGGGCTCCCCTCCAGACTAGGATTGTACGTAGACGATCATGTACGAGTACTGAGTTGGTAGGAGGCGAAGCAGACAAACGAAATTAAATAAAATAAAATAAATTCCATGAAGCCACGGAGTATCCCGACCACAGAAAAGAATGACATAATATGCCTTTAGCTACTCCCGAGTTGGACGTTAGTCCGAGGGGCTTAAAGAACACATTGGCCGATGCGAGACTTTCGGAGTAGAACAGAGGGCAAAAAGAACAGCCAAGCCCCCAAATGTAGGAAGCGATCTTGCGTCTCCAACTGCCATTCTGTAACATGGGTCCCACATGTGGGGCCTTACTCAAGGTTTGATTAAGGATCATCGCGACGCAGTAGCGTGTTAGAGAATGGACTTGGCACCCGTCGGAAACGAGAAATGGGCCCCGGATCAAGATTCTTTTGTTCTTCGAAGCCTCAAGCGAGCTTCCATGAGCGATGCCTAATGGAGCAATGGAGCAGAAAGGAAGGTTCTACGAACCACTCAATCGGTTGTGGAGCAAAAGAAATAAAAATCAAGGAAAAAAATATCATAGTTAAATCAAGAAGAGGGAGAGACAAGAGAAAAAGAGGGCCTTAGGACGATCATACCCAGCGATCAAGACTACATACGGAGTAGATAGAGGAATCTTGGAAGCGAGGGATAAAAACCCCTCTACATATCGCCTCTGTGGAGCAGATTGCGCTGGAAGAGAAAGAGAAAGAGACAATCACTGAAAAAGGGGCAATTGCCGTCCATAGGAACGTGTCACGACCAGCGTGGCTTTTTTTTTGTGGACACGACTGTTCTTGTATGAAGTCGTTGAGAACCAATCATTCCCAAAAGCCATACAGCATCCAACTCAACGATGCAGCGCTCGACCGCCCTTTCTCGAGACTCCGTGCTCAGCCCTGGCCCCGCATCATATCACCTCTAGCACGCATCAGGTGGAAGATCGTCAAGAACCGGACCCAAGAGGAAAAAGTGATTGGATCTGCAGTTGAGTCAAGGAAAAAGGTCGGGGTGCATTTGCATGTGTTGACGCGGCGAGTTGTCAAGCACGCGATTAGATCTGGCAGTAGCGCGGTGGAAACAAGGTGCTCCACTTGTCGGCTGTGCACTGTACCATTGTACACAAGTAGCATGCTTCTCCGATCGCGTTTCCGGGTCTAAGACATAAGTTCGGCTTCGGTTGGGCGATTGGGTAAAGCTGCGACCAACGTCCGATCGGCTTGTTTCTGTTGAAACAAGGGTCCAGGGCTGACTCAGATCTCTGTTTCGCATCTAAAATGCATTTAAGATTGAAGTGAAACATAACGTTTTTTGTCGGAACTATAACTAGCGTGACTATTATGGTATATCCTTCAATGTGAATTTTTCCCTCTGACTCCTGGTTATTTTTGAATATCAATCGTCGCTTCCAATCACCAATTCTCCGGTCTGACGTGGGATTCACATTGACCCCCTCGCTAAACCCGGTGTGGTCTAGCAGGCAACCAAGTTTTCCCGGGCAACGCCAACTGCCGACAGGGCTTGCATTGCGCACTCGGACTCCGTCATTCAAACGTCCAGAATTTCTCAAACACTTAGACTGTTAAGACATGCTCCGGGACTTGTCCTATTTAGGATTTAAATTTCCCTAAGCCTTACTGTATATATACTTCGTGTGGACATTCTTCTTTGCGTCTCCTAAAGTACTCTTACCACCGTAGCTCGGAAATCCCCTTCGGAACAGTGGCGGAACACCCGACAATGAGGCATTTTGGCCTTTTGGCTCCCCCCCACTATAATTTACAATGTACATAACTCATAATTTTATATACCCGTGGGGGTGTTGGGAAACAATCCACAATGCATTGTATAAGCGGAGAAACCAACAGCCGCTTCATTGCACTTGTATCCTAATTGACCCCGGGGGCATCGGTTAACAGCCAAGTCAAGGCGGGCAAAATAACCCTTGATAAGGATCTTAACTCCTGTTTGACCGTGTCCCTCTAGCATCAGCCCTGCACTATCCATTGTACGGCGATATCTCCCGTAGGAAAACCGATCTTCAGGTCTCGACTCCCACTCCCATCAGTGGATCCCAGATGCAGGGACCTCACTGGTTCCAGGCCAATTCCCCGGTTGTTTCACCATGCTCGGGCCCTTAACCTATTTAAGGAATGGGCTCCTCACCATGGGTCTCTCTCTTTAACCTGCAACCTGCCTTACGCGTCCTCCCAAGAAAATCCCCTCGAAAAAAGAATCGGATCCAGCGTTGGAAATTTCCTTTTTCAGTCACGAGCTCTTGTCCGTCCTATCAGCATACACTTGGGAGGGTTTTGCTTTGGCTGTACCCGACAGCTGGGATTGTGGGCGAACTCCGTGGTGTGCAGCAGAAAGAGAAGGTGGTATCTGACCTCAAACTTCCGACCGTGGCTGTGCCCTTCGTCGTGACCATTGCTTTAATTTTATTTTCGTGTTCATTTCATTTTATTATGTATTTTTTTTTTTGTCGATGCAATTTCAATTGCAGAAAAAGCCGCAAACAATTGGGCTGGGAAAGGGGGTACTGTCCAAGGTACTCTCGGCTGCGTGAAGATGCAATCCCGATCAAAAGCCGAGTTCTTTCCCGGCGTTGATGGACATGCACTTGGGCACCTAAACACCCTGGATGTCCATGCCACTAGACTAAGACTAACTCTACAGAACCGAGAAACATCAAGCTATACTGGCAATGGCAACTAATTACCGGTGGTGCTAATTACAAGGAGAAACGCCACGCGACCTCTTCTGCAAGGATCATCGACCTCCTTATTGCAGTCTTGATGCGCGCGTTGCATGAATGATGGTACGATGACATTAGCACTTCTGAAGATCACGATCATCTCGGGTATCTGCCAAGATTGCAGTGCAGCGTGCTCGTGCGATGACGACATCACGAACTATACTCCCGGTCAATCTTTCGATATGTGCTAGTAGTCTCCTACTCGGACCACGACCTGCACGTCAATTGCACGTGCTTCTCGGACACAACATGCGATGCATGTTCTTCCGACGCGACCGATTAACGCGTGACTGCCTACTGACGCGCACCATGCTCGGACGAATGTCTCCTTGTTCCGGGATCCGCGCGCATCGACCACGATGACCTCATGGGATCCATCGGGGTTGGGCGATGGGGCTGGGTGCTGAGGCAGGGATTCGAGAGTGACGTTCTTGTACGAGAACGATCGGTGCAATGGATGGCCGGGTAGACGTTTGAATTCACTCCAGTCTGTTGTTTTTGTGTGATCACATTTGTCTTGGTGATGCGATAGGAAGCCGAGTGGTGGACGACATTCATGGCCGGATATAAAGCGCACATTGTATGTGAGTGGTAACGTGATCGTAGTCGGTAATTGAGACTCGGACTCGGAGTTCGACTTCGTCTCAAGAGCAAATGAAATAGAAGCCTCATCGCTCACAAGTATGTTCCTCCTGCGAGGTGTCTTCACAGCCAAAGTAAGCGCTTCGAGCCTCACGGTCGGCCCGGGATCACTCGCAGCAGGTCGATCAACCGGCAACGTAAACGCATCAGCACTGATATCACCCGTGCCGAGCGGGGTTGACTCCAACGCAAGCTTGCCTCCCTGTTTGATACGAGGACGGCACGCGGCTGAAGTCGAACCCGAGCGCGGTATCCGCTGAACCTGGACTTCAAACCAGCCCGGAGCTAATGGGCTCAAGGTATTCACATCGCGGGGAACCACATCACTACCGACCCATCCCATGCAAGTCTGGGCACAATCTAACGCCGACAAGACACGGCCGACGATGCATGCCTTGCTCCACCAGCTGCGGTCGCCGTATATAAAGCCGCCGTAGAGATTGGCCGTCGGTCCTAGTTGCTGGATTGCGTTGGTGTCGTTCTCTAGAAGAGTCCCAATGAGGAGGTGGCTTATTCCTTCGCCGGGTACGACAAAGCCTGATAACCAAGTTCGAGAGATCCAGCCTAGAGTGTCAGATGCGTGTGGATCTTCGTCGTCTATGCAGGGACTGCGGAGTTTTATGCACCGTCTAGACTGGCTTCGAGTGTACATATCTCCTTTCCCTAATCGTACGGCCGCAGGTTCGCTTGATGCCTTTTCCGGTGCTGGTCGACGCGACTCGGTGTCTATTGGGGGGAAAGTTAAAGTCTGGTTGCCGTTGCGGAGTTTCTGTTCTAAAGTAGTCCTGAGTGTGTCGACATTCGGCCATCCAATGTTTTCTGCAAAGACGCATAGTCCTTCCAATTGCTGGCGGATATGCGGGGAACTGATATTACATTGCCATGCTGAGCGGCGATCGGGCTCAGTGAATGATGTAAGGCGACGATTGATAGACCCAAGAAACGAAAAGCGAGAATGTTTGCTGGTGGTTTTGTCGAATGATCCTGGTGACGGGGTGCCAACTGGTGAACCCTCAGCTGGGGTCGAACCATATTCAATTTCCAGATTGTCGAGGAATCGCCGCGCGACGATGAGATCCCAGTTTACTTTGCCCTCTCGCAATCTCTCATAATTCTGGAGCTCTTGCGTGGTCAGGAGACCGCCGTGGGGATCGTGTAACATGCCCATGCGAACAAACGCATCGAGACGAATCAGTAGCTCCGCTGCAAGTAACAGTTGAATTAGAAGCCACTTTCGGTCCATACCAGCATTCATCCATGGCTTTTGCGATGGATCGCCGCCGCTACCTTCTTCGAAGCAGTCCCCGTCTACGTGCGGGGGTGCTTCCCATAGAACCTGACCTACTCGGATGCGCCACTCGGGAAGACTGAAATCGATCCATGCTCCGGGTGTAGCGAGGACGGTCGTCAATGTCTTAATTTGCGATTTGAGACTCTCTGGGTGTCCGGGCATCAGACCTTCAAGTGGCGGATGAGGATAGAGAAACTGGGTATGTAAAATGGTATGTAGTTCATGAGATGATTCGATGTCCAAAACCGTCATCGTCGATCTATCGAGGAGGATTTTCAAACGCAATTGTCGCAAGTGTGTCAAGCGCTGCACTAGGGACCGTAGATTAATATCTCGTACTCCGATGCGCTTCCATGCAGCGGGCCCCTCCTGCAAAAGTTGGCGTCGATCAAGCACAGCACCACTGTGACACTGCGAATACGGTTTGTTGTAGCCATCTATCAGTCCAAATGCTTCGGTTGCAGGAAGTTGCGCGAGTCGCTGAAAGTCCGGGTCCATCTTGGGCTCTGGGCGTCCAGAGTACCGAACCATATCAGCGATATCGCATTCCAAGAAGTGCCGGTATCCAATGGTCCCTGGCTCTCTCCCGTTATTGGCTAACATGTTCGGTACCTCGAAGACGCCCACATCAAATGAAGCTCTTTTGAACCCTCCGGACCGGTGCCAGCTGTGTAACGGAAGAGGAACACCACCCTTCACGGCCCAGTCATCTGGCACTGGGAGATGCGCATGGAGAGTACAAAGGGTGAATGAAGCATGAGGCAACGGCTTGCGATCTAGCATGCGGAGAATAGATGGATGGTGTTCATCCCAGGGAAAGATGACTTGCGGGTACCAACGACCATGCTTGCCTCTCTCGAGCAAGAAATGCGGAGCTCCAGAGAGAATAGCTTTGATGTCCTTTTTCGTGAGCGCCGCCTCGTCTGGTGACTGGCCATCTTTGAGCTTGGTCGCCTCATCAAGGCGGAATTCTAGGTAATCCTGAATATTGCTGGGTTGCTTTGGTTCACCATGAGCAACAGCTGAAGTCTGCTCCGGACTTCCAGGCGTTTTTGGTGTAGAATGACCAGAGTGAGAACGCGAGCGATTGCTATGTCGGCTACTTTCGCGACCTCTGTCAGGCTGTCTGGGCTGCCTAGTGTCAATTTTGGGGACAGGACCCCGGCTCTGTAATTATTAGCGAGCCAATCCCTTGTTTTGTATTTCCAAATCCGATCAACTACATAAGTGCCAAGCTCACCAATGTCCGAGATTTCGAGCTCGACGAATCCGATTTCAGCAAGCTCTCGCTCTTTCTTCGAAATAAGCCATGGAGGATGCCCGAGCCCGAGTCAGTCGCTGCACCCTGTTGTGAACCCGAGGACGCATGACTCGCGACAGGTATTTCTTGTCTCTCCCGTTCCTGCACAGAGTGGTCAGGCGATGCGACCTCTGATTGGGAACGGCGACGACTGGAGAGGAACGTCATTAGACGGGATGCTTGTCTAGACTAGGGCATATGTCTGGGATGCGCTGACACGCATAGAACATCAATTTATATCGCAAGTAACTGTGAATGAAACAGGAAATTTCACAAAACTCGCCCAAAGATGATGTAGTTGCAATATAAGCACTAAACCCAGAGCGCTGATCTCGGGTCACTCGGCTTGTGGCGGATCCCTGGCAACGGGTGACGGCAATGAAAGCGGGGACCACCCGAATTTGGAACGATCCGTCTAGAAATGACGAGATGAGTACAAAAAACATTATCATTTCATAGCTTTAAGGATAATGAAAGTCTAGGTACAAAATCCCGTATTGATATTCTGAGCTCAGGAGCTAACCTTTTCTACAGTCCTCATAACGCGCAGAATTACAGGCGATTTTTGGGCACAGGGGATCTAAATTGCATCAACTACCCTGATAAATTATTATTGATATGGGCAGCAGTCCTTACGCGTGCTGGGCAAAGAACTGGAGCAGGGTCTTGTAGCCACGCTCGTATTCGCTCTTCACCTCGGGGTTTTCCAGGTCAGAGCGGGCAGCCATCCAGCCGTGAATCTGGGTCGGGAAGGTCTCAACGTGGTTGGGGACGAGTAGATTGGCCTTGAAATTGTCGACATCGCTCTGGGGCTCGTCCTTGGAAGCGAGCATGATGAAGGGCACCTTAATAGTCTTGGCGTCGTTGGGGTCGACCATAGCGGGGTGGCACTGAGCGGCGCACTTGAAGATCTTGTTATCGCCAGCAACGGACAACGCCGCGATCTTACCACCCCAGCAGAAACCAAGAATAGACCAGTCAAATCCGCCATTGGGGGCGAGCTTGTTGGCCTCGGACACGATCTCAGGGAGCCTGGGAAGGTGGAGAGGCGGGGCGGCCTGGTTCTGGAAGAAGTTGCCGAGGAGCTTCTTGTGCTCGTCAGTGGTCGGCGGGTACCACGAGATATCGGCGGGCTTGCCCTCGAAGAAGTCGGGCATGAACACGCGGTATTTCTGCTCATTCGAGTTGGCCAGGATGTCGGCACCCTGAATGGTCTGGTCGAAGAAACCGAAGATGTCTAGGCAGCCAATCCACGATTAGCTATACCGGTGTCTGATAACTACGCGTAATAACTCACCGTAAATGACAAGGATGGCTTTGGTAGCGGTCTCGGGGCCAGTCACGTCTGCATTGGTCAGATTAGCCTTTGATCGGTGTCGTGTCGCGGCGGCCTCGGCTTACATGTCTTCATGCCATTGATGGTCTGGTAGGAGCCCTTGGCCTGGTATCCCTTGGACACAACAGGGGGGATACTATAGAGAGTCAGCTATTGTTGACCAATCCCGTCTCCTGGTATTGACGAACGAGCAGCAAGCCTTGCTAATTCCAGACATGGTTGCCGATGGTAGATTGATCGCTGAGTAGGTGTTTATGAGCGAAGGGCTTTGGAGCGCAATTGGTTAGAATCCGACTGTATTTCGATGGGACCAGGGAAAGCACTTTACGATTTTCCAAGATCTTAAGCCTTTGAAAGGTTGATGGAGGAGAAGCCTCTCAGTGAAGTGGGAGAGCGGGTTTTCGTGAACCCCGCCGCGTCGACGTCATCGGAACATCTCGGCAATTCAAAACACTGATGCGTAATGGCCGATGTCGACAGAATATGGAAGCTTGTCTTTCTGTTCATGATGATCCAGATTGGATACAGAGACCTCTTAGGTACTGAGATGCCGAGGGAGGTAATTTTAACGTGATTCTTTCGAGAGGTCCTTTTGTTCTACGGTCGCGATGAAATGTCTCCGAGATACGGAGTATATATACTAGATCGATCCGACTTAACCACCACAAACCCTGACGTGGAATCATCCACAAATGCACAGAGAACCGAATTGCGACGTTGCACCCAACACCACTGTGCCCCATACCGAATGCTACATTATTCTGATCGACCTAGGTGTTTTGCGATCGTGCAAGTTGCGATGGGCAAAGCATATAGCCGACTCAAGCTTGGGATGATCCCCAGTGAGATTGATTTCGAACTCTCATTGCACTTTGACAAGAGAATTGCCAACTGAAATAAAGGAGTGATACATTTACAAGGTTGACTCCGGGCATGCGTAAAGGTCACCAAGTCCCAGCTACGGTTGCACAACGTTCATGGCTGTTTACGATCCAGCAACATATCCACGGGTACGTGATAGGTATCGCGGCTCAAGTTGTCATACCTTCGCAACTTGGTAATCGCCACTTGCCACTTGCCACCTGTCTTCTGGTTCGGATCTCGTATACAATATGGATGTATAGTAGACGATACATCACGTCGATTTACCGAGGCTCGATCTAGCCTCAACAAGATGCATCTAGGCCTACACAAAACTTAACAGGAAACAAGACAGCTGAAGCAGACAAGAACCAACCAAGACTAACGCAGAAATCTCCTAGTGGACCTCCAAAGAAAAAGCAAGGGCTCTGAATGCATCTCTCAAACCAACATAACTGGCCAGAGGGAATGAATAAAGTAGGGGAGGGGTTACGAGCGAAGGGGAGCGAGACCGAAAAAGAAAAACAACCGACGAAACACACATCTCAGGTAGTACTTTCCCCCGTTCCCACTCAAATTCAGCCCTGTAGACCAAAAAAAGACCCTCTCCTCATGGACGCAGATCTCCCGAGAGACATCCTTTAGACTTTACCCTCTCTGGAGGCCCTGGAGTCGATCGCCGTTCAACTCCAGGGATCAGTTCTTGATTCTGGAGGCCCACGGTGAACGCCAACCGCGCAGCCACAACCGGCAGGAACCGACGCAGGCGACGATCGCATGGCTCGAGCCCTGGACAAAACAGCTTTGGTGGATCCACTCGCGCTGTCACATTTTGACGGCAGCCGCCTTGCATGAGACTGGGGCCGTCTGGCAAATCGGCTGCGAACCACCGCGCGCAGTGCGGTCCCGAGAAGGGGCTTGGTGGATTAGAATGGGGATTTTAGGGGAGTAGTTTGAATTTTTCTGTTAATTTAGGGGGAAGGAAAAGACAGAGGGGGGTGGTCTAGAAGGTTGAGGTGGGTATGTTCATTTCTTGCCGGAGGGGCTGTGCAATGTGCAATGTGCAGTAAATCTTGTCTACTGTATGTCTTTCTAATTATTATTTGTTTTGTTTTGTTTTTGGTTTGTCTCAAGCTGCTGTGAGATAATTAATTTCATTGCGATTCATTATTAGCGCTTCCGAGGTCCGTAGTATCCGTCTTATCCTGTCTCGCTTGGGGGTCCACTAGAGACGGAGTACGCGTGGATCGAACTAGTAAGTATGTGCCATTACAATTCCTCCGGAGACAAAGCACGGAGGCGATTCGTTCAAATATTACCCTAGGACCACCCTAGGAATGTGACCGTGGTAAAAGGGAAAGCGTCGCCTCACATGCTTCCCCCTGGCTCGAGGGATTCTGAGCTAGACCGGGGGGGGGGAGGGGGGGCGGAGGGACTAAGGAGCCAATGCGGACCCGATCGCGATATCCCATGCAGTGAAATGCAGTAGACAGTAGAAGCGAGGACATGGTGCTTTAGAGACAACGGATGTGTCCGGAACAAGCGATGGATCAATCTCGGTTGTTTTCTTCATTTTTAAGCGTAAGTGGGGGGGGGGGGGGGGGGGAAGAGTTTCATCTTAGGATTTCTGCACAGGACGAGTATGTGCATCAGCTGTACTTCACTTTGAGTTTTGGGTTTGTTTTTTTTTTTTTTCTATATCCCCCCTTTTCCTTCTTTTCTAAGTCTATGGATATGGAGTATATTAGTTTTCCGTTTCTATGAATGTTGAGCAGGGATCGACAGGGCATGTGTCTGTACCCGCGCTTTCGCCCCCGATTTCATAAGCATCTGTCAGAGTCTGTGCTGTTCGGGGACCAACGAATAAATCGCCTTCTATTGGTTGATAGGGAGGCGCCCATGCTGGTCCCATGGAAGCGAAGTCAATATGAATTTGACTCGTGTGGAGTTAATCACGGTGCCATTTCCGAGCGCCACCCCGATCGCACGCGCCAATGTGCAGGTGAAGAGACTAGAGCTAGAAGCTCTAAACCCTACAGTAGGTCTGTGGTTATATCCCGAGTTTAGGAAGGAGACCAGTCCCGGGGGAACGGATGGGCAAAATAAGTTTGGTCTTTCGTTGGTGTAAAATCGGTGCCACTGGTACCCTCTTGGCCACGCTACAGATATTCCCGTTCCTAGGGACTCTCCGATGGGTAGACCAATGAAACTAATGCAGGGTGTTTGAAAGATATGTAACGACCGAGTCCGGGGTGACTGGGCTCCGAAAAAAAAAATTGAAATTAAAAAAGGAGAATAAATCAATACCTGCCGGGGGCCCCTCCTAGGAATCCTTATTCCAGAGTTTTTATTATTTCATTTGATCCGAATTCATAATTCCTCATGTACTCCGTAGAGTCCGTTTTTCTCTCTCTCTCTCTCTTTAACCGATGTAGTTATATTAGTCGGTATTTTTGATCCCTCGGTGGGGGCTGAAAGGGGTTTTTTCCCTTTAGTTTTAGTTCCTTTAGTTCTCTGCTTTGCAGGTGACCCGGAGCATGTTGGCCCCTCTTTTTTCTTTTCAAAGCTAAACTCCATTGGGGATTTGGGTCTAGCGCGCCGGGAAGGTAACGAATCATCGTCGGCCCAGCTCGCTTGCCTCTACCCGGGGACGCGCCGGACGCTCCAGACTCCCATAGTCTCGTATTCTAGTCATTCCGACCCAGTCCGTGCGCTCTGCTTCTGACATGCGCCCCATTGGGCAGGAATCTCGCCAAATGCCGAATAAGATATCATGGACTTGATCCATATCAATAAGAAGTATGTTTAAGGGGGTGAGATAGACAGGTGAGAAGTTGATAGATTACCGGATGAGAATCCAAATCCATCTTAGAACCATTTCTGTGCTTTTCTTTGCATATTTCTTTTGAACCACATCTCCGGGAGTCCCTACGCTAGATCCCTTTCATTTACTTTTAATTATAAAATTTTCTGTCAGTTTTTTTTCTTTTTCACGCGTTCAGTCGGGACGCAAGGAGCCTCTCTTCTTTACGGAGTACTTAGCTCCCCACTTCTTTTTCCCTCTCTTCTGTTCCCTTCCACCCTAGGAGTTTAATAATAAACGTATAGTGTTTTGTTTTTCTTTTCTTTTCTTTTCTTTTTATTATTCTCAAAAGTACCGTTATAGATCAAAAGACAGGGAAAAAAAGAAACTGTAGCTTATCTACAAACCTAGATGCAGGGAGACTCAAAACAGTAACATAGTCACCTACTGTTCTCATTCTTATCCTCATTCTCTCTCTTTCATCTCTCATATCTTCAAGTGGCGATCCGATCGAGTGATACAGTCGATCTCGATTTCTAAAAGCTCGGAACGGCCAACCGGGGACTGGACACTAGGGGAACTTGATTTTAGGGCCTGTCAACCACGTTGCCTTTTTTCCCTCCTTTTTTCATTTGAAAAAAAAAAAAAAAAATTAAAAAATTCGATTTTTGATTAAAATCCACTTTTGGCATATTTCGCTATTATTGACCGCGATTTGATTATTCTTTGGTTCATCTTCTGGAGTCTTCGCATCGTTCTTCCCCACGCTTTGGCCCAGACCCAAGTCGACCGTGGCCTTTCTATTTGGTTATTTACCATTTGGTCCGACCTTTTTATACTATAATTACCTGTTCCCCCCCCCCGCGCTTGCCTTTACGCCTCCCCCAACGCCACGGCTGTTTCCTTTATCTTGACTCTTCCCCCCCCCACCGAAGCTTTTGTTCTTCGTTACACGTGTTTGCATTATCGTGCACTATCCCCGATACCATGCCATTCCCGCGCTTACGTCGACCGTGACAATTTTCTAACCCCCATGTCGCGCGGGCTGTTCCACCTTCGACTCTTCTAATTCTCTAGTCCTCACGGGCTGAAGCTCTCGAGATTCGCCATCAACCTAGGGCGTCTCTTTCACCTCCACCCTCTCCAAAAGGCCCTATTACCATCTACTACAAAATTTCAACAGCTGAGATCGACTCGAGTCTTTGACTGTTGCTCCACTCTGCGATCGCAACACCCGGCGATCGACACTCGCCCCTCCTGGATCCTTCGAGCCCTTCGGGGGCCCTTCCTGGTGGTCGAGACTGGAATCTGCATCCAGAAAATTCATTTGCCACTATCCCGATCCATCTCCATTCAACCCTACCCGACTCTGATCTCTACGGCCCGAACAACCCCACCGTCAATCTGGCGACTCTCGCGGTCCCGGCTCCTATGGGGACGGCGTTGGATACGCTGGCCACTCAGCCATTGGTGAATCGACGACCTGCAGCTCCCACCCTGCCGAGTTTTGAGTTGCCGCCGCCACAGTTTGGATTGCCCGGAGCTGCCCCTACTAAATTTTCGACTCTTCCAAATCACCCCCCAGTATCACACCCACCCGCCAACGTGAGCGTGGGGAATTTGCTGACACCACCCGCGACAAATCAGTCGGGAGAGACTATCCACTCGTCGCACCACTTGGCATCTGCGGGAGCTTCCGAGCTGCCCCCAACATATTGGCCAGGCAATAGTCCGTACGGCGCCCCAGGTTCGGGATCCGCGACCCAGGCTTGGGCTTCTGGGGTACACGCAGCCTACCAGGGACGCCCGGCCTTTTCTCCGGGGACTGTAGGCCGTCACAACGTGACATCTCCCCCGGCGACAGACGGGCTACCCCAGCCATTCGAAGCACCGTCATTAGCTTCATTCCAACAAGGCTTGCCCGCACCACCATCTAGTGTTCCGCCCCACGTTTCACACCCGGCCACTATGGCCTTATATTCATCGACACACGCCACATCTCCCGCACCGTTGCCTTCAAATGACCCTTACGCACCAAAACATCCTTCGCTATATGGCGCCCCACCACATCTGAGCCCTCACCAAACTGGATTTTCTCCCATCTACCCTTCTCCGTCCCTGGGAGGCGGAGGACTTGGGATGAACCACTCCGGAAGAATGCCCGCCCAAAGTCCGACAGGCCAACCGCACCTGGGATATCCTCCTCGCCAGCCCTGGCCGTCGTACTCCCTTCCCGCGATGAACGGACCCGTGATGACCAACGTCCACAGCCCAAATAGTCCGATGGCTATGATGGGTGGTATGCAGCCAGGATTCCTATCTGGATTTAACAGCGGTCATGTGGCGAACACCCAGCATCTCTATGGAGGCCACCCCCCGCCCCACGGTCTTCCCGCACCAGCCCCGGATCGTCCATTCAAGTGCGATCAATGTCCGCAGAGCTTCAACCGCAACCATGATCTCAAGCGACACAAGCGAATTCATTTGGCGGTAAAACCATTCCCTTGTGCCCACTGTGACAAGAGCTTTTCACGGAAAGATGCGCTCAAGGTATGTAAAAATTACAAACATTTCCAAGAGCTTCGGCTAATTATCATCAGCGACATATTCTGGTCAAGGGCTGCGGCAAGGATGGTGATTCTGACGGAAACAACCAAACCGGGGACACCATCAAAGGCGAACGAAGTGAGGACGGCAGTCCCACGCTCAACGGACGAGTTTAACCCGTACCACTATATTTCTGCATCCCTGTGGCACTTGTGTCACTCCTCATCCTTACGCCCTAACTTGTGTATGTATTTCGAGGCGAAGGATAAGGGCAGACATGTAACTACAGCGGCTTTGGGAGTTGGTGAGGTTTTGATCCACTTTTGATTGTTCTTATGCTGTTTATTTTCGCGCTGGCGAAGGGTGTGTTGACTTGGGCATATTGGGATGGTCTTCTTTTTACTGTTTGATTATTATTTCTGAGCCTGACGTGTGACGTGTGTACTGATCCTTTTTGATTTACAAGCGAGTCCGGTTTGATTGTTTGCCGGGAGTTGGACTCGGTGTTTGGTATATAACAACTGTGCATGAATGTTCCTATAATGGATAGCATCTACTTTACTTACATTTCCAAACATGCTTATCAGCCCTGGAGCTTTTTCCATCCATGATTATAACTTTATAAATACAAGGCTGGGATCCAGCCCCTGACGCGCTAAGACAAGTAAACCAGGGCTCGTTTAATTCAGAGACAATGACAACAATATCAAGAACCTTGTCAAGCCAGATCCGTACTTCAAACCGAATTTCTTTGTTCATCCTTGGCACCAGGTCTCCCTAAAATCGGTAAGTTGATGACATGGAAGAGCGTCTCACCCGTATGGCTGATACTCGCTCCATGCGTGTCAGCCTGAAGCTCTTTCATTGATCGATTCGTGCATACTATACCCGATTGAGAGCGTTCGTTTGCCAGACCCGGTGTAAATCTACACCTGATCTTACGGTCTTTGATGAGGGGCTTCAGCCAAGATCGGGCTTCAGGCAAATGATTCCTACAGGCCGTGGCTTCAAGTATACTAGGGGTACTTATAGGTGCCTTTGAGCCCTACCGACAGCTTGTTCCTCCAAACTTTGTTCCTACTACCTACCTCATTACATCCTTCATACCACGGTACCCCCTGCCTACCCAGCTCAAAATTATATTTTTTTTAAATCTGGAGATAATATGTATCAAAGACTCCTAAATCAGGTCGTCACGATAGGATTGATATCCCTAACATTGTTCACCCAAACACACGCAGTCCCACCACATCCGCACGCGAACCTCCCCAAACCAGACCATCACCACTCACCCCAGACCAGAGACACGACCTACAAGATTCCCAGCAAAATACAAAAAGGGACAGCGACCGCCCGTTTCAAAATTGCATCTCCTAACAAAACTCTCTCAAATGCATCAATCTTATCGCTAGACGTCCCACAAATCTCAAAAGTGACGTCTACCTCCTTTGACTGGTGGTACTTCGACGCAGTCTCAACAGAAAACCCAGCCGAGTCCTTGACAGTCATTCTGTTCACGTCCGCAGCGAGTGCATTCCCATGGCTGGATCCCAGTGAATCGTCTGTGTTGATCGCGTACCTATGGGCGACGTTTGCGAATGGATCTGTGTTCCAGGAATATGTTCCTGCGAAATTGGCTGTGATTGATGAGGGGCAAACTGGGAAGTTCCTGCAGCAGGGTTCTGGTACTTGGGATGGGAGTGGGTTTCGTTGGGTTTCGGGTAATGAGGATTCGGTGTATAAGGTTGTTGTTAAATCGGAGGAGATGGGGGTTCATGGAACTTTTACATTGAATTCTGTGAGTTCTATCTTTTTGCTTTTTGGTCTGTCTTGGGAAAGAAGATACATGGATGAGTGGCTAATATGGATCTTTTACTGAAGCAACAATCACCTCATTTACCTTGTGGTATTCAGGACGGTACATCGACTTTGGAGATTGTGCCGAATATCGGTTGGGCGAGTCTTGTTCCTGATGCTGTGGGTAGTGTGGATATGGTTATTCAGGGATCTACATTGAATTTCAAGGGACGTGGGTACCATGATAAGGTCAGTCAAGGTCTTCATTTCATTTATGCACTGCACAAGTTACACAAGTGATACAAACAACTGCACTTGCCATGTGTTATATCAAACCATCTATATCCGTCTACCAGTGAGCATGAGCTGACAGCAACAGAACTGGTCAAATCTCCCATTCACCGAAAGCGTCCAAAGCTGGTACTGGGGTCATGGCCGCATTGGTATCTACTCCATCCTCTGGTTCAGCGCCATCGCAATGGATAACAACACCCACACAAGCAGCTATGTTGCTCGAGACGACCAGGTCCTTGTATCTTCTTGTGATACTACACTCCTCACAGTTCGTCCATTGAGTGCTAACGTGACTTCCAATCCGACTGGAGGACGGTATCCGCCTCAGGCGGGGGATACTCCTGATGGCTTCATTGTTGAGGCATATTTGGGTGATGAGAAGGGTTGGCTGAATGTCAATGCTTCGATTGTCACGCTTGTTACTGGGGATGGGGAGTATTATATGCGGTGGTCTGGGGAATTGGTGGGGAGAGTTGTTGATTCTCAGGGAGTTGTGACGGATGCTGGAAGTGGGGTTGCTGTTTTTGAACAGTTTGCTTTGGTTGAGTAGTTGTATTGATGGGCAGTATTGGCCTGGGAAGGTAATATTTTTTTTGTCAGGTGTATGATATAGAGTTGTCCATAATTGTGATCGAGAAAGTCAATGTATTCTGAAATTCTTTGTTGAGCCAGTTGTTCGTGCCAATGGAGTATGTCAACCAAAATGAGGATCGTATCGAAATGTTATTATATGAGATGAAGAGAAATATCGGGGTATATCGCGGGATACGCGAAAGAAAAAAAAGAATCGCGAGTCATGAATGAACAAAGTTTACACTTTGGACTTCCATTCTTCTACCAAGCCCTTATAATCTTCCACCCCATAAGGCTGGAAGCATCGTGCTAGAATGTCCTTCTTGCGCTCAGTAGATAAGCCCAGGTCTCGCAGCATTAAATCGATATACGGGATAGCATCGAACACGAAATCTGGATTCCGCTTGCCGAAGCCACCAGGGTACCGGTACTTTCCAAACTCGGAGTGCAGAGTCGTCTCCCAAGCCAGGTCGAGCTCTGAATCATCCTCGGACTTAGAGTCGGAGCATGCGCGGACAGCAGGAGGACAGCGCTCGGTCGAAGTGGGTGTGAATTGATTTGAGAAGTAAGCTGAGATCCATAGGGCCTGTGTCTGGGCTAGCAGGGTTGTGTTAATTGTCATGGGGACACCCATGAATGCCAAGGATCGATCCTTGAGTGTTGACAATGGGATCATGAACCGGGCCAGGCGGAATGGATGCGGGACCGCTGCCTCAGATGTCTCGTCGAGGGGACGGTATTTGGGATTGGGCTTTGGCTGGTCACTGAGGCGAGGGAAACGGCGGAGGATTTCTGCGTCGGCAGCAGCCACCATCTTGGCGTCAAGAGGATCTGTGCTCCAGGGGAATCCTAGAGTGCGATCGATACCCTCGGGGAGAAATTTCAAGTTGGGAGTACAACGCCAGCCCGTAGCGCACATGAGAGCCGTGGTGGGCAGGTCATCGCCTGTTGACAGGTGAACGGTGTGGTCGGAGAGGCGATCCAAGTTGGCGACATGAATTTTCACTGAGCCATTCTTGACCAGATCGAAGAAGTCGGTTGGGTAGTTCAGGATGCTCAGCGACGAAGCAATCCAGAACGGGCTCACCCAAGGCTTGAGCTTCTTCATCTGCGGGTCTTTGTCATAGCCGTTCAGCTGCACGACATCATCAGCCAAAACACCCCAGAACGCATCGACGATCTTCCGTCCTAGCCAAGTGCCATGCAGAAAGTTCCGTACACCGGAGTATCCGTCGGCATCACCCCAGATACACGGGCTGAACCAGGTCAGGAGCCGCGTTGTCACTAGTTTCTCTAGCCACTTCTTCATGGGGGTCACATATGGCGGGGCCATCCAGCATGGACCGTGTCCCGATTCCCGGATGACCCAGTCTACCTTCATGCCCGATGTCGCACTCGCATAAACAGCATCCCAGGCGGACTTGGTGGCGCCAAAAACGGTCATTCGCTCCCCAGACCTGAAAACCTCAGCCTCATACTGCAAAGTATCCCGACAGTGAAACAATGGTGCGCCAAAGGTCTCTTGGCCCTCGAAAGTAGGCAGGTACGCCTGCGATGTAATTCCAGTCGCGACGATCAATTTCTTAGCATCGATCGTCAAAGACTCCCCCTCATGCGACACGATAAGCTTCCACGATCCATCCAGGTTGTGCTCGGCACTCTCAACAGAGTGATTCAAGCGAATGCGATCGAGGAACTTGAAGTGCTTAGCATACGCGACAAGGTAACGCTGCACCACATCACCAGGGATATGCTGGCCAGGCTTCACGCCAAATGTAGCCTCATCCATAGGGAAATCGCTGTACTCGTATGTACCAAGCATGTTATTAGACTTCAGGCCCTTGTAGAGGCGATGCTTCGCCCACACACCACCGACCGAGCTAGCTGCCTCCAGTAACAAGACATTGCTGGTGGGATTGATCTCGCGGTAGGTCTTAACGGCTGCGAGTCCGTTCCAGCCTAAACATTTGTGAGATTTTTCGCAATTGCGAGGGAATTGGGACAATGCGCTAGACGCGCATTACTTTAAACTTACCTGCGCCGACCACTACCAGGTCCACGCTCTCCATTTCTTGAATTAGGGGGGTTGTTTACTCCCACAGTACAGTCGTGACTTGTGATGAAATGTCACTTTTTGCAGTAAATAAACCAATTGAAGAAACAGAAAGTCACAGAGAAACAAAATCAAGGTCGCGAAAGAGTTGGAATGAATTCAAGGGCCGCGGAAAGTGGGGATGGCTACAGTTGCAATGGCAATTACCGGGGAAATGAGACTGTACAATCTCTAATCGCTCATGGACTCCACTTTTAACAAAGAAAACCGACAGACTGATTGAATCGGGTTGGTACCACATGCAACTAATCATTTCCGGTCCAGGCTAAACCGATAGTTCGAAAGGTTAGGGATTATTATTGGTAATACGTACGTAGTCGAGGCGGAATCTACGGATACAGTAAACGGTAGGAGCTCCACCAAGCCCTCCAAGGTTCTATCCCGTCGTTTGACATGCACGGTTAGCGCGAAAATAGATGTCAAGGCGAAGGAGCCGCTAACCTTTCTGATCCTTAGAACATGGTACGGTCCACTCCAGTGGGAGTCCGCGCAATGTCCAAACGGACACATCCTTGCGTTTGTACTTTTGACCCATTCCTATCGGAGTATGCAGCTTGCCAATGGACCAGTAAACTATTGCTGATTGCCCGGCGATCCCAGCTGCAGCCTCGATCCGACCAAGATGAAAGAAACAAAACAAAAAAATAAACGGAAATCAAAATCAAAAAACTCAAATTTTGGAATTAGTGTTTACAGCCTTGGGACTATTTACAACCATTCGATGTATCTTTAACGGTAGATCCAAAGTTGCAGAGTCCCGTTTCCATGACCCCTGAGACCGACCCAGACCCAGACCCAGACCCAGACCCAGACCCACTTGACGACGGCACCATACCCAACGTTCGCCCTGAAACATGGAACGGTGTCAACAATCTACCGGGGAGAGACAAGGCTTGGCTTTAATGTAACTGGAAAAGAGATACAAAATACTAAAGACTTATAGATTGTGACGCCATGCATCATCATCCCCCTCACAAACTCAATACATCACAAATCGGCCCAAAGGGGAAAAAAGCAATGATTCGGTACATTTGTTGACTGATCCCAGATTGCCCCACGGGCAGTCCCTGCTGATTAGCCGATATCGAGGAGAATCTCCGACAACAGATCAGCAATGCAGACATCTCGGTAGGGCAAAGGCCCACCCAGCTTATGACTGGCCCGGCTAATCGCAGACCTTTCTGGCCGCAATGCAGTTGCGCAACCGGTGACCAGAGGACAAAGAAAACCGCGACGCCGTCACAGCCTGCGCTTTCCCTTAGTGTAACCAATCATGCATGGAGAAAGGGGAGAGAGAGAAAAAGTCAAGGTCCAAGGTTGACCATCATCGAGCCAGCACGTGCAAGTGTCAGAACATTTAGAGAATTTCTTCACTTCCACAATGGCGATCGCTCGCTCGATGGGGCAAGTCTGATACCCACTTAACCAGAAGAGTTGTGGATTTTTTTACTCAATCCACCAACCGGGATTGGAGAACGGTCCCCGAAGATGGGGATTCTGGATCGCCAACTGCTTCCGAGGCCTTGGAAGGACCCATTGCGGACCCGTGTGCTGCCAAAATACAGGAAACGGTGGGACGGCACACGTCAAAGCCGTTAGCTTATACTTTCCGTTCGAGGTGTTCGAAACTGTCAGAACTTATCGTTTCGCGTTATCCAGCTCGCTAACCGGCATCTTACTTGGTTCTTGTGGAGACCACATTCGCCAGTGGCGTCTCGATGGCGCCGGCTTGTTATCCGATTTTCTTCCCATTTGTAAACCGACCAGGGTTGCGGGCTTGCTTCTTTGTCTGGCCTGGTTCCATTCACAAGCAGAGCGCCGAGGGGAAGATAATCCAACTATCAATCATTACAGCCGCTCTTTTCTTTTCCTTTCTTTCATGAACTCCCCTCCCCCTGGCCGGGATTGCTTGAATCCTTTATCTGGGTGTAACCCCCGAAAAAAGAGGTCACTCCTTTGCGCTCCGTGAAAACAACAGTCTTTGCCTTTCATCATGAGTGAGTTCGTCACAGAGGCATTCACCCTTTTGGGGGTCGCCATTGTGATTATTGGTCTTAGAACCATGGCACGATGGATTATGGTCGGCCCTAAGAATTTCCAGGCTGATGATTACATTATGCTGATCGCATGTGTGAGTGTTCGATGTGGACGTATTTTGGACTTTGTTAATGACAACCGGGCATTCTAGGTTGTGTACGGACTGGAAACCGCTGCTGCATATATGGTCGGTGCGTGGTTTGAAGGTCTAGCAAACAATTCCATGACAGATGAAGAACGAGCGGCTCTATCTCCCGACTCACATGAATATCACTTGCGGGTCGGAGGCTCCAAAGTCCAGGTGACTGGTTGGTCGTTATATACATTGCTATTATGGCTGCTGAAGACATGCATGGCCATTTTTTACTCGCGATTGACGTGAGTAGACCCGACAGGCTGGTACTCGATCACCTCGGAGAATCCTAATAACTCGATTAGAGCCGGACTCATCAATATGCGTTTACGAATTCACATTGCGTATGTCTTGATTGCGGCAACTTATATTGTGACTCTTTTTTCGATTCTGTTTGGGTGCCATCCCATGCACAAAAACTGGCAGATCAACCCAGACCCCGGCAGTAAGCATCTTTACTCCGTTTCAATCGCTAGAAATATTCTTACATTAGGTCAACCGTGCAGATCACTGCCAGCCTGCCGTATCCAAAATTGACATATACGTAACTGTTGTGCTCAATGTCTTGACAGATATATACCTCATCAGCATCCCCGCCCCGGTAAGCACATGTGCAGTCAATTTCACTGCCAATTCTAACTTCGAGCTTCAGATGCTATTCAAAGCTCGGCTACGCTGGCGCGAAAAACTCGAACTTCTCGTTCTCTTCAGCGGAGGTCTTTTCGTCATGATGTGCGGCATCCTCCGCTGTGTCCTAATTCTAACAGTAAATACAACTCAAACCCCTCTCAACGCACTCTACCTAACGTTTTTGCTCTTTCTAGGCTGGTGCAAATGGCGCTGAACAAGCCGGTAGCTGGGCCTGCCGCGAAACTTTCGTCGCCGTCGTAATCGGCAACGTCCCCATGATCTATCCCCTCGTCCGCCGCCTCGCCCGCCGCGCGGGTCTATACCTCACAACAAAAACCGGAACATCCGAAAGCTACCAATTGTCGGAGGGAGATACCGGTGAAGGTTATGTCAAGCGAAAGAAGTTTAAGCACCCCCTTTCGCTTCCAGGCGACACGCAGTGGAACACCGTTAGCGACGAGCAAATGATATTGCCCACGTCGCGCCAACAGCCTCCGACTTGTACGGCTGGAGAAGGGGACTGGGATGCAGCCAGTCATGGGAGCCAGGGAGGTGGGATTAAAGTTGTCCACGAGACTATTGTACACAGCGCGGAAAAAGGGTCACGATTATAGAGAACATGGTGGGCTATGTTCCTTTCAATGTTATTTTCTTCTATTGCTGGCATCTCTGAAATATTAAAATATAATTTTTTTTGCCTTCTCGATGCGTTTCCAAGGTTAACATGATTCATTCTGGTTTCTTAAGTAGTACCTCGGCAGACCTGGATACACTACCCAAGACCTCTTTCTCAGAACCACCATGACCATCTTAGTAAACACACATTCTGTCCACCGGAATAATTCTATAAGGAGCCTAGAGGCATGTTCACTCCCCACCGGAGGAAAAAAAAAGCATCCACACTCAGAATCCTTCCAACCGATCAAATCCGGGGAAACTTCGCAACAATGCGGGGCTGCATTAAACCCCTGCACCGAACTTCGTCACAAATAAACATACGATCCGTCGCGGAGCTCCACAATCCACAATTGAAAACTGTGGAGGGCGGACAAGGGAGTCGAAACTCCGTGAAAGGGCGGAAAGAAGAAACGGGGCTCCGGCGAGAAAGATTTAAAAGAGCAGAATGTCGCATTTCAAGATCGAATCGTGCACATCAGTTCCTCTGAGCAACTTTCAAGATGATACGCTCGGGAATTTTGACGATTCTGCTTGCCACATCGTTGGCAAAGGCAGATAGTATTACTGCCACCGTTAATCTTGCCGTGACAAAAGGTCCCCCAGAGCACCTGGCCTCTGGATTCATTTATGGAATTCCCGACACGGAGGACTTTATTCCAGACCACTGGTACACGGATATGGGATTTCGGTATGGTCGAGCCGGAGGTGCACAGCTAGAAGCGCCGGATCGGGGTTGGATCTGGGGGTTAAGTGAATACAAAGGCCGCCTTGCCTCGACTCTTTCGAACTACAAAACCTGTCGCAAGTATGGCGCAGATTTCATTATCCTGCCACATGATGTGTGGGGAACGGATCATGCCAATTCGTCAACAGTGTGGCCGGGTGATAACGGCGATTGGACAGACTACGACTTGTTCATACGCACGTTGATGGCCGATCTCAAGGCTAATAATGCGCTGGAGGGATTGGTGTGGGATATCTGGAATGAGCCTGATCTGACAGGCTTCTGGAATCGGACCCAGCAACAATGGCTTGATTTGTATGTTCGGACGCACAAACTCCTCAGGTAAGGCCCGTATCTTCCCAAATATATTGATATATTGGAATTGGATACTAATTTGTCTGTTTGCAGAGAGGATGCGGATTTCGACAAAGTTCTCATCTCTGGGCCGACGCTGGCTGGATCACCTTTAAGCACTAACACCTGGTGGACGAACTGGTTGTCTCAAGTCGCCGGCAATAAGACTATTCCGGACCAATATGCCTACCACCTCGAAGGAACATCGACTGATTCAACAGACGACCTCCAAAACAGTGATTCATCATTGTCAGCCATGTTGAAAACATACAAAATGCCCTCCAGACAAGTAAATATAAACGAGTACGCCAACTTCGCAGAACAAATTCCCGCTGGTGCAGCTTGGTGGATCTCGCGACTGGAGCGCTACAACACACTCGGGCTCCGAGGAAACTGGCAAAGTCTCTGCGTCCTGCACGATCTATTTGCCAACCTCCTAACAAAAGTTTCGGACCCCACCGTCTGCACCGAAACGGATTACGTCTCCGCACCAGAATACCAGGTATACAAATACTACAACCTCAACATGACCGGTGTGCGGGCGAATACCACCGGCACAGGCGATCGGTTAATGGATGTATACGCAACCATTGACTCGGACAAAGTCCGCATTCTCTGCGGTGTCCGGATTACCGAGGGGACTTGGCAGATTACGGTTGAAAATATGAGCGCGGTTGGACTTCCGACTTCGGGAACGATTGATATCCAGACCTGGGGTTTTGCCGGCACGGATGTTTGGGAGGAGGTTGATACGTATAGCGATCGTGGGATTGTGTCGCATACTTACTCTGGGAACAAGTTAACTTTCCCAATTTACCAGACCGATAGTAGTACGGCTTGGGCTTTTGAGTTTGCGAGGTAGATTTTGCTTGCTACTAGTGCTTAGTTGGTGTGCTCGAAGTATGCACCAGATTTCCTTTCCTATTTCCTGGCTTTTCCCTCGTTGTTAGTGCTTATTCTACCCGTTTTTTGCTTAATTATTCTTGGCTGAGCCCAGGGGTAAGCGCCTATCAATACTCTGATATAATTATGGCGTTTTGATCTAGTCAAATTCAAGCAACCTCCGCTACTGGGGTTGTGCCCTCTGTGCATAAGCCACCGTCAGCTGACTTCGAAGAATTATTTTCAATCGAGGACGAATAACCGTTCCTGGCAAATTAAGCTCCAAGCACTACACCTGACACTCGATACAATTGGATGGCGTTAAATTGGAATTTTTGGGAATTTATTGAGCTTTCAGAGGCCAAGGAAGCAATGAGCATCTTTCTTCAAGAGATGCCAACTATGAACCTATATTTTACTGCGTCGGGGCCGGTTTCTGCGACTCAGGCTGCACGTTATACTGCATTAGCTCAACTCAAGCCTCCTGCCGAAGAGTAATCTCGAGATATGTGCTCATTCCGGAATTGCAAAGGATTTACCTACGCCATAACGATGGTTAATGAGACTGGATTTATCAGACAGGTGGCATTGTACGCCCCAAGTCTCCCAGGAGATCCTGTTTTCTACTAGTTGCAGCGGCACCGTCGTATGATAGACAGCAAGCCAAATGTGTCGCTGGTCCTTGATTTGGGAGATAAGAGGTATATGAAGGCTGAGTCAAGCTATGTGGGGGGATTTGCTTCCTTCTTGAAACATATAGGCTCTCCAATCACTGCGTCGTGATACTACGTTCTATAACTATAGAAAAAAAACGTTAAAGGAAAATTTGGAAGCACAGAATGCAGGTAGATTCACTATCCGAGAGGGCGGGATGGGTGCCCGCTGCAAAGCCTTAGGCACCGACATCATTCTCTCAGCTTCAATCGTCGAGCATATTGCCTACCGAGTCATTATCAGAATAGTGGTAGCACCTTGGCATAGAGTGGCTTCATTTGCCTTAGGGTATAGTTTCTGCAACATAGTTGTGTATGTATTCTTTAACTCCCCTTAAACACTCTGCCCAAAGGCAACCCTGTAAACCATACAAACTTCTCCCGTCAGCCGAGAAATCTACCGAAGATAACTGCCATGGCGGACCCGGCATCCGAATGATTTTTTAGCCCACTTTGATCATAGTATATTTCGGCAGCGCCATTTCGCGGGGAGCATGGTGATCCATGTGGGGCCTCGCTCAAATGTCGGGAATATACTACGTTGCTACATCAATGGCATTTGATGAGCCTTGACAGGCAGTTGTGCTTTCCAGAACCACAGAATGCTCTCTCTCATCAAAAGCTTCACCAGATAGATCAAAATGGCGCGGGAATGGGGGTTTGACACAGCATTTAAGGTTGTTTCATGAACATGTCCTTGAAAATTCCTTCCTTGACTCAACTCCAATCCCCTCTTGAGTAGACACTTGGCATTATTCTCGGCACGGGGATCAGAAGACCAATGTGTTGCCCCCGCCGTTGACGCCACCAAGTCAACAAGGAATTCGAAGCTCGGGAAGCCTTCTCTGCCACATCTAGATTGATGCTATGGTGAAGGCCGGACAGCCGAATACGAGGTTTTTGCGCCTAATGGAGTTCTTTGGGCCGAGAGTCTCTGCAGTGCCCCGGATCTCTCTTCTAGTCCTTAGCTTGAGACACTTCCCCGGGAACAAAGGGCTGTTGACATCTGACCCGCCCCTCATCGGCTAATGTTTCCCTGATAGTGTCCGTGGGCCGGAAGATGACATTCAAAGTTGAACTCAATAGCCCCGCGCACACCGGTTAAACATCGGAAGCATGATACTATGAAAAACCTTAAATGTGCGGGTAAAGATTTTAACATTTGTGTGCCCGTGGTTGGAAGGTTTCTGTAGAACAACCACCTTAAGGAACCCGAAAGTTAAAATAAAAGGGGCCCAGGAACAATAAACATACCTGTATCAATATTGATAGTTGGTCAGCGTCCAGGGGAGATTCCAAACTGTCGCAGAGACTTTAGCCAGGGTATCGATGATGAGATCACACGTAATGATTTAGTTCAATCATGGCTCACATGGCTCGCGTGTGTATGACACAAAATGCGGGGCCCCGCTTTCCAATGTGTGCTGAAGAGAAGCCCCACCTTGATGGAAATTGCCCGAGCCGACTGTATGCATTGGAGGTTTTGTCAAACGCCAAGTTCAAATGTTTCCTGCCATGTTCAAGGGTTGCAATTATCAAGCTCAAAATGCCGGGTGGCGTACTCCCTCGGTGGTATATAAAGTCCAACATCATGCCCGTTGATAACGTTGGAACAACCAGAAGTTTATGATAAAAGATTAAACTTTCGTTCCGTTCATCACCTTCTCACCTTCCTTTTTGGCCACTTGGGAGGATGAAGTTGACCACGCTTTCTACTGCAGCGTTACTGCTGGTGGGAGGTGTTTCGGCAGAGAGCGAATCCTCCGAGGCAGCGAATCTCGAGAAATTCTGGTCCTATGGCAGATCTGAGCCAGTGTACCCGACGCGTAAGTCCTTTTTTCCAATCTCCATTAATTGTTATTTTATGATGAAAATGATGATTGATGAACATTGCATTCAGCCGAAACGAAAGGCCTGGGAGATTGGAAAAGCGCTTACACCAAAGCGAAAGCTCTCATTGCTCAAATGACAAATGAGGAAAAAAACAACCTCACTTATGGATATACATCGACAACCAACGGTTGCAGTGGAAACTCAGGTGGTGCCCCGCGTCTTGGCTTCCCTGGGATCTGTTTACAAGATGCCGGGAACGGTGTCCGGGCGACCGATATGGTCAATGGATACCCTTCAGGCGTTCACGTTGGGGCGGCATGGAACCGTGATCTCTCGTACCAGCGTGCTAGCTACATGGGAGCCGAATTCAAGAAGAAGGGTATCAATGTCGCTCTTGGCCCTGTCGTCGGTCCCTCTGGCCGAATAGCACGAGGTGGTCGCAATTGGGAAGGATTCAGTAATGACCCCTACCTGGGCGGTGCCTTGGCCGGTGAGACGGTCCGTGGTCTACAAAAGAATGTCATTGCATGCGTCAAACACTTCATTGCCAATGAGCAAGAAACAAATCGAAACCCGCCTTCGCTGCTGGCCGACAGCCACAATCAGTCTTACTCTACCAATGTCGATGACAAGACTATGCATGAGCAATACCTTTGGAGCTTCCAGGATGCAGTGAAAGCAGGAGCTGGTTCTATCATGTGCAGCTACAACAGAATCAACAATAGCTATGGTTGCCAAAACAGCAAGACACTCAATGGTCTTCTAAAGGGCGAATTGGGCTTCCAGGGCTTCGTTGTGACTGATTGGAGTGCCCAGCACAGTGGCCTTGCAAGTACACTGTCCGGGTTGGATATGGTCATGCCATCGTCATCGTTCTGGGATAACGGCACACTCGCCTTGGCTGTACGAAACGGGTCTCTTCCACAGAGCCGTCTCGATGATATGGCCACTCGCATCGTGGCTTCCTGGTATAAATATGCCGAGCTGGAGAACCCGGGTCATGGAATGCCGGTGAGCCTTCTTGAGCCGCACACGTTGGTAGATGCCCGGGATCCGAAATCCAAGAAGACCATCTTCCAAGGTGCCGTGGAAGGCCACGTTCTCGTGAAGAACACGGAAAACACACTTCCACTCAAGAAGCCCAAATTCCTCTCCCTCTTCGGCTATGATGCTGTCGCTGCCTCCAGGAACACTGCAGATGGGGAATCTCTCGTTGGGTGGTCTACCGGTCTAGACAATACTCTATCTTGGCCCAACGGATCTGCAATCTCAGCGACAAGCATGGTGTATCTTTTCCTTTCCAGTCTTGATCCATCAACCAAAGGTCCTGGTGTTGCTCTTAACGGAACAATGATCTCTGGTGGAGGCTCTGGCGCCACCACCCCGTCTTACATCGATGCACCCTTCGATGCCTTCCAGCGCCAAGCGTATGAAGACAATACCTTCCTTGCGTGGGATTTCGCTTCCCAAGATCCGCCTGTCAATCCTGCGTCAGAGGCCTGTATTGTTTTCATCAACGAGCAATCGAGTGAAGGTTGGGACCGCCCATACTTGGCAGACCCATATTCCGATGAACTAGTCTTGAATGTTGCAGCCCAATGCAGCAACACCATAGTCGTTATCCACAACGCAGGTGTCCGACTTGTCGACCAGTGGATTGAAAATCCCAATATCACCGCAGTCATCTACGCCCATCTTCCTGGCCAAGACAGTGGTCGAGCCCTGGTAGAAGTAATGTACGGCAAGCAGTCACCCTCCGGTCGTCTTCCCTACACCGTCGCCAAGAAAGCAGCAGACTACGGTGCTCTTCTGGACCCTACCATTCCCTCAGGCGACCTTGACATTTGGTACCCTCAGATAAATTTCACCGAGGGAGTCTATATTGATTACAAAGCCTTCGAGAAGAGCGGAATCACGCCTCAGTACGCATTTGGTTATGGTCTTACCTACACAACTTTCAAGTACTCCGATCTGGAAGTTTCAGTTGCCCACGGTGTGAGCACCAGCTACGCACCACCCGGCAAAGTCATTGCTGAAGGCGGTTTGCCATCGCTGTGGGATGTTGTTGCTTCTGTCAGCTGTACTGTCGCTAACTCTGGATCTGTGGCGGCTGCGGAGGTTGCTCAGCTTTACGTTGGTATCCCGGGAGGTCCTGTCAAGGTCCTGCGTGGGTTTGAAAAACGGCTTATTCAGCCTGGTGCGCACAAGAACTTCACATTTGATCTGACACGTCGTGACCTTAGTGCTTGGGACACTGAGAAACAAGTTTGGGGCTTACAGAAAGGCGAATACCATATTTATGTGGGGAAGAGTGTGCTAGATATCCAGTTGACTGGAACATTGACTTTGTAATGTGATGAGTCTGCTAGAGGTTAATTAGATAACAATATATGCGGACGTCGACCCCTCGGCGACAATGAACTCAGCCTAGTAACCCACATGAGCAGCAAAGCTTTTGAATTAACATAAGTAAACATGCGCAAAGCCTCAATAAAAGATATACATCCTGGACCCCAAGTCGAGCGGCATGCCGGACTCTGTTCTTGCTTGTAGAATTGACTTACATCCAACGAGATCAATTTACTCGTGGGCACCGGTGAACATCTCCCGAAACGATGAGCCCCACGGCGAAGGCTGGTATTCCGTAGACACCTGGAATTTGCTCAAACTATGGTCGCATTTTCGGTGGTCTGAGTCTTGTCGTGCCAATGCAGACAAACCGTGAAGAAAAAAGAAATTTGAAGATCAAGGCCCTGAAGGCAAAAAAGAAATGGAGCAGCGGCGAATCGAACGCCGGACCTTTCGCATGCAAAGCGAACATTATACCACTAAACCACAACCCCATCTGATAAAAATAATGGCCTAGTAAGCATTCTCCAAGGCTGTTACTTTTCAGGTTTCCTGGACTAGTTCGTTGCCGGATAGACTTCCTCTGGGTCATGGGTCCAGGGACAGCGCCGGCTTGCAAAATCCACCAGAGTGGGTCTTTTGGAACCCCAGGCGGAACCAGCCCGTTTCCAAGCAGTTCTTTGTATCGAGATTCAACCAAATCAGCAATGTCGATTTTTCCTATACTACCTTTTTTGTGGCCCTTTTCTATATTTCGTTGTGGGAGCATTTAATTCATACATATGATACATCAGGATCAACTTTCTCATTCCTTCGAGTCTTGAAGCCATGTTGGGATTGAAAGGTTAGATAATAGGTACTTAACAATACATGAAGCCATACGAGACGAATACTGATCGCTCATGGTGGGCATAGCCTCCTGCCCTGTTCGCACTGCGGGGGCCAGACTGGGAAGGGGTTCGTGCTTCACACTAAAATTGTGATTCCACCCAGAATAATTTCTGTAAGTCTAAAGATCCATCTACCTAAGATATGTCGCGCGTTGCAAGGAATGAGCAAAGAGCGAATTCGTGGGCCGCACTCAACGATTTCTACAGCGCAAGCAAACACAGATGCGATGGCAGCACCGCAACGGGCAAGGAAGTTATTGGGCTTGCCAGGAAAAGGGTGTTTAGGCACAAATATTGCCAAAAAGTTCTTAGATGTCTTTTTCTTATCGACGTCTTGTCGCCTGTGCTCGATCAGATGATCACGCATCTGCAGCATGGGAGACCATCTACCTTATTATGGGGTTGCGTCAGCTATCTTCTGCAGGTAATTAGTATTTTGATTTTAACATTGCAAGAAGGCTCTAAATATACTATAGGTCGCAAAAGACTCTCAAATCGATAATATAGCGACGATGTTTGCCGATATATGCGACATCATCGATGATGGCAGATTACCGTACACTGTCTTACAACACTCAAGCAGATTTTTAGTCTCTCAGCGCGTTCTTGTTATCATCCCAGGGCTTTTGACCTCAATTTTGAACTGTTGTACCAAAGCAATGGAGAACATTGGAAAAAAGCGTGAGAGCATCCGATTTATGATACCTTCGAGTATGACGAAACCCTTTGAACGTTCTTACGTTCACGCCCTAGCGGAGCTACGGTCTGGTCGAGATATTCTGGTGACTGTTGTACAAAGCGAGGCACGGCGTACCGAAGCACATATACCTAGATCTATGTCTACCACTACATCTACAAGAGTAGCGGCACGGCCAAACTCCTATCAACCAGTACAGACAATCACACACGCTCGGCCACCTCGACCGCTGAACGATATTGATAGACAAATGCAGAAACTCATCAGGAGCCTACCAGATTCTCTGAATGTTGAGCGCGATTTGGCAATGGACGCATTGACGACAAATATGCATTCGCCATTTGGCGTAAGAGCTCGATATAGTGAGGCCCTACGTGAGTTCCAGAACTCGTATTTCTCAATGTCTAGCTACTGATTTCAAGTCAAAGCGCATTCTTCCCCCGAGTACAAGGCGGCACTTCAGAGGTCATCAGAGGCACGCCACATCGCAAAATTTGTATGGATACAGAAGCAAGAGCCCTATATCCAATGGACCCAGTCAAGAGGCACCACAAGGTGTTTGTGGATTCATGGGGAGCCAAGCACAGGTAAAACGCCACTTGCAGCACGGATCATTCAAAATGTCAAAGCTCAAATCGACGATAGAGCTCCTCGTGATGGAAAGAGGTTTGCTTTGGGGTGCATCTTTATCTCTCCATCTGATTCCAGCCCTGGCGGCCAAGAAATCATCAACCTACTGAAGGATATTGCAATGCAGTTCAATATCTCGCTTGGCGAAAACTTAAAGAAACACGAGCTTCACAGGGCTTGCGTGGACTGCTTTAGACGACTTGAGCGCGTGTATATCATTGCTGACGGTTTAGATCATGCTTGTGACCCCACAAAGGTCACGGAAGCGCTACTGGCAATTTTCAACGATGCCTATCCATTGATGAAGTTACTTGTGCTCAGCAAAAAGACAACTGATATCCAGAAAGTTTTAAGTGGAACCAAGGAAATTCATTTACTATAATATGTTAGGAGAAGCTGCTTTTTTGATTTAAGATATTGACCCGCAAAGTAAACTTGATTCCCTTTATACGTATGATCTTGAAATCTCGCCTAGATAAAAAGGTGCAAAGAGTATTGAAGGATAAAAACCTAGTGTCTACTACAATGATAGCAAAAATTGAGGACGTTTCAAAGAGCTTCGTCCTTTATGCTTTGAAACTAGCGATTTTGAATTTGGTGTCAACAGGGGATGGCCCCTGCTATCGACAGACTCCGGTGGTGAATCCGGAAGGCCTAGGCGAGCACTTTGAACTTGATGTACGATCAAAGGCTAGCTTCCTTGAGAAAGCTCCCGCTGGCTCATTTTTCAGGAGAGAAGTATCAGTGTTAAACTGAAATTACCATCCAATGACGACATAGGAGGCAAGTGATCTCTTGTCGTTTTGAAGGCTGATGGCAGCAATGCAAATAACTGCTGCTAAGTAATCGCCTTCCCGTGTCTACCCGGGACTCGCGGTTATTCCGAGGATACCCGATATACAAAGTCCATCTACGAAGTGGCATTCTTGATCTCAACATGGATGAATTTTCAAACCATTTGATTGTGTCAAGCACTAGTACTTGGAAAAAGAACTATATATAGCTGTAAGTGCAGAATCGATTTGTTCGAAGAGTTTCTATTGTTCAAAGTAAACACAAGTTCATTATCCCATGGAAGCAATGAGTATCAATTATCGATCAATGTCTTGGATTATTGATTTTCTAGTTCGCTTGCAAGTGGAAGCTCAAGCTTAACGAGCCACGGTGGTTGTACCGGAAGATCTCCCGCTCCTTCGATTGAAGCATTAACGAAAAGCGTTTGAGACCCATATTCCAGCTGGGTTGAGTCCCCGGAGCAGTGGCTTGTGACAGATAAGCTCTTAGAAGTCAAGGTGGAGAGCTTGCCTATGAGCACAGATCTTCCATTATCAATATCAGTCAAGTGAGAAGGCTTCTCGCTGGTTTTTTGACGCCAACTAACGAGTTTCGCACCCCATCCTTCATGAATGTGACCAAAGCAATGCATCCGAGGTCTGGCTCGACTTATCGCCCCAAAGAGATATGGGCACCCTGCTCTTTCGCCAGAGTAGGTATAATCGAGGATCCCTTTTGGCGGGCCATGTGTCATGGCGACATCGACATTGTGAATGGAAAAGTCGTGACCGTGATCTGGATTATATTGAAAGCCCCAGCTGCCGAGAGTTGGTGTGTATGGACTAGCATAGACAGTCAAAGACGCACCATTTTCTAGACGGAAAGAGTGGGTACCCTCGTCTAGGAAAGTAATCCCAGAGGCTTCGTCAAGGATGCGTCCAGCGTCCCCATAACAGCCATATACTTTCTCAACCAAGTCGAGGTCCAGCGCTGGCTGAGCTTCTGCCACCTTTTTCTTGAATGCTGGTATGTCCATTGTGAAGTCGTGGTTCCCGGCTATCACGAGTTTGAGAGGGGCATTCACGCCTTGAAGTAATCGGATGGAGGCCCGGTACTCCTCAAGTTTGGATTCCGTGGTAAGGTCCCCGCAGTGAATCGCGACATCTGCATATTGACCTGATAAGAACTCCGGCAAGCTGTAAAGTCCATGTGTGTCGGAAATTACTAGGAATCGAGTCTTGATATTGGGCGAAGTAGTCGTTGTCATATTTGAGGCTAGCTGGTGTGAGGCTTTAGGATAATGTGAAGGAACTTATGATCATGGAAGCGTCAGTCCACAAATTCACGGAAGGAGTCAAGCTGTAAAGAGTGTGTGCTGCAAAAGGGTAGATATGTCACGGACTAGTCCCGATTAGGACGATTATTATTCAGCCCCAAAGTCTAGTTAAATAACTATAAGCCCGCCGCCGAATGGTTCACCGGATTATCACATTCCATTGATTCTTGAAGCAGTTTTTTGACTTCAATGATATAGGATAGCCTAGCTGTCTAATTACGAGGTCTAGTTTCTGTTACGTGGAAATTGTCCAAGATTGTCCAAAAAATACAGATTGATATCATGCATGATGTATCAATATTACAATTACAGGGTCCTCCCATCCTGGTCATCCAAGACCGAATACAAAACCAAACAATCCAGTCTACCGAGGAAAGACTTCTTAGCATTGCGGATATACTCTAATTCATCTGAGCTCAACCTCTTGAGAATTTGACCAGCCCTTGCCACCTCCGACAGCACCCATCGAAAGTCCGCAGCATCGCCATTACTCCCACGATTCACCACCGTCTCGGCTCTCAGTATCAGAAGGTCCGACATGGATGCAACAGAGTCTTCGAAGAAGGGCTCTGCCACGTGTATCCGTTTGATGATGTCTCCAAGCTCAAGGGACACGGACACGGAATCCTTGACTGGAGTCAAACGCGATATTGCCATCGGGTTCAAGAGAAAAACCAAGAGCGCCGTCCATCACTTTATTGGAGATGTCAATGATTCCATCTTTGGGCGCTACAACATCCACATCCTCGGAGCGGTATATGGCGTATAAAGCCGCTACTAACGCGTGTTACCAATGACGTGCTCCTAGATACATATCACTTCAAGACAATTCCCCGCAGGCACCAAGTTATAAGATCCAATATTGCAGCGCTTTATCCTTGAATCGCCCTCATAAACTTACTCTCCGCAAAGAAATGGGTAGCATAGCAGCAAATCCTTTCGAAGATGTGCCAGTGGGCCGAACAGGTAAAGTATACATATGGTAGTTGGTAAACCACCGCTAATTTTTGAAAAGGGACTCGAGGCTCTCGTTTTGAAATTCCGAGCCGATACTGATCCGCGTAGAACTGATCTGCTTGTGGGTGTCTATAAAACGAACGAAGGAAGAGCTTACGTGTTACCAAGCGTGAAAGAGGTAATACTTCCAAAGTCCATATTCCACACCGGCATATCGCTAAATATTGTTCACGCCACAGGCAAAGAAAAGAATATTCAATGATCCTGATTGGCATCATGAGTATCGCCCTTCCCCTCTGGGTTCCCAAAAGTATAGGGACTTGAGCGCCAATTTACTCTTCGGGCCGGACCATCGTCTTTTGCGAGAAAAGAGGTAAGTAATGCATGTGTAACTTTTAAAATCTGACGCTAGAGCTGAATTTACGTTTTAGAATAGTTTCTGCACAGACACTTGGCGCAAGCGGTGGATGCCATGTAGGCGCAGTCATGTTGGAAAACCATTATGGACCATGGAAGCAGACTGAAACTCCTGGGATTTATCTTCCGAGTGAGACCTGGTGTAATGAGTCCATTGACCACACACAAAGGAAATTAATGCTAACTAAATCCAAGTGAATCATTCACACCTATTTCAATACGCGGGAATCAAGCCTACTCTGCTGCCTTATTTTAGTAGCAAGACGAACAGCTTGGACTTTGTGAGGTTTGCAGAGGCCATCAAGTCGTTACCAGCTCAATCAGTTGTCCTTCTTCAGTCTGGAGCACAGAATCCAACTGGATGCGATCCGTCATCGGATCAGTGGCGAGAGCTGGCTTCGATTTTCTCACAGCATGGCCATTTGGCATTCTTCGATGCCTCTTATCCCGGATTTGCGTCAGGAGACATCGACACAGACCTTGAAAGTGTTCGATTATTTGCCGAGCACGAAATTCCACTTGTGTTCGTCTCGACATACGGGAAATCATTTCGTCTTTACAGCGAACGCGTTGGGATTCTCTCCATTCTTGCCCCAAGCGAGGAAGCCGCGAAGAGGATAGGAAAGCATCTGAGTCTACTAGCAAGAGCAGAGACTGGCGCACTGCCGGACTTTGGGTCCAAAATTATTGAAACTGTTCTGTCCGATGAGGCCTTGGAGCGCCAGTGGCGGGACGAAGTTCGCGATATGGCAAATCAGCTTAAATATCGTCGATTTGCGCTCAGGGAGATGTTGGAGGAGTTGGAAACACCAGGAGACTGGCGGCATATCACTGATCAGAACGGGATGTTCTCGTAAGAGTCACCTTACCAATATTAGATCGATCAAATTGACCTTACTGACTTTCTTTAGATATGTTGGACTCTCAGTGGAACAAGTCACTCTCCTCCGAGATGAGTTCCATGTTTATCTCCAGGAATCTGGGAGAATATCCATCGCGTAAGTCATTAGAAATCTTGGTAAGAAGCGCAGAGCTGACAATCTCTGCCTTTAGTGGGCTCAACAGATTCAATATTGATCACACCGCTCGTAGTATCAGCGCTGTGATCAAAGCCAAAACACCTCAGTAACATAGACGGGCGCTCACGATTTGAATGGACTTTTTGTAGATATAGGAAAGCATGACTTGTTGGTACTAGACAAATGTTCACCAAATTAATTTCTCCCTGTCTCTATCTTGGCCCTCCCTCTCTTTCTCTTCTTGACAACCTGGATATAATCCTTCAATATACATCAACAGCCATCATCGATACTGTCTGAAGAAACAAGTCGCATAAGGTCATTGTCCTTCGCAAAAAGCAACATATCCTTACCACCCTGCTTGAACTCTGGCCAGGAAAAGTAACTCTTCTTGTTAGGATTAGCCAGAGCATCGCCAACCGCAACACGAGCAGGTCCCCTGGTGGGATCCTCAGCAAACGACAACCACAGTGCCTCCATAGCATAGCTAAGCTCCCACTCGAATTTGGTAGAGCGACTACGGTACTCATCGTGTGTACCGAACAGCAGTGGCAGCTCTGAGCTGTGGTAGGCTCCAAACCAAGGCAGAGGGGAAATATTTGAGAAGTTTCCAGCGTACTGGTAGCGATAAGTTGGCAAGTCTCCCAGGTTGCGGTTTTTTACTTCTTTGCCGACAGGACAGGAGATGATCTTGGTTGCGGATGCCAGCGCGGCGGCTCCCGGTCCATTAGGAGTGAACGAGATAAAACCTGCTCCTTCGTTTGCATTGCTACCAATAATCATGGGCTAGAATGAAAGGGTTAATCTATGACTTGGCATTTAATGAGGTGTAAGATGAGTACTCACCGTCTTTGCAATTTTTCCGTCCACAATACGTTGTGTGTAATTCGCGAAGACAGTCTTATTGTCTAGGATGGGTGTAAATGAGACGGATGGCTTAGTGCCATTTCCATTATAGAACGACAAGGCATTCTCTAGAGTTTGAGCGGGAACCTTTCGCACACATCTAAGCTCCTTGTCGGCACTGAGGTTACCGCAGCCTACCAGCCCAGCGATGAAGGTGAAGTTGGTATGCGTTATGTCAGTGTTCGTGATGATGGTTGGGCCACCAGAGTCTGCGATAAGGCCAGCAACGATGGGGTCTTCGGGGTATCCGTATGGGTAGATGCTGACGCTAGCCGCTCCGGCGGACTGGCCCCAAAGAGTGATTCTCTCTGGGTCACCGCCAAAGTTTCCGACGTTTTCGTGAACCCATTCGACACTGTTTGATCGGTCAGTACTGATAAGCTTAGGTAAAGAGGATGGGGATTTGACTAACGCTAGTCTTTGATCTAAAAACCCGACATTCTGGTCATCCAGTCCTTTAGCATTAGGGAAGCCGAATATATTGAGGCGATAGCTGTAAATTTCATGTTAAAAACTAGATAGTAAACGAATTAGTAGTACGACTCACTTCATAACTATCACAATATGTGATTGTGTCCGCTGCACCCACTGATCTGGAATCTTGTACGAAGAGTCCTGGCCTCCACTGGTGAAGCCACCGCCGGGAATATAAAGTAGAACTGGCAATGGGCGTTGCTCGGCCTCTATATCCTTAATGCGAGGCGCCCAGACGGAAAGGTACAGACAATCTTCGGAATTACCGCCATTCACGAGAAACTCAGTCTCGTACGTGGTGTAGATTGTGGAGCTGTTCAGGCTAAATTGCTGCATGCAAGAGCTCGGAAGTTTGTGTGCCCTCACTTTCCTCTTAGTCTTGACCTCTTGTGGACGGGCGAAGCGAAGATCCCCCACAGGGGGTTCTGCGAACGGAACACCGAGGAATTGACGCACATCAGGGGCTGAGGAATTGAAGAAACCCTCAATCAAACCGCTTGACGTTTGGACGAGGAGGCCAGTATCCGTAGCTGCCTTTGAAATTGAGCTCGGGGCAGCAAAGACCCCCAGAGCCGAAAGGGCTGCTGCGAGGCAGATTTTTCGAGCTACCATGATTTATGAAGGTCTGAGTGAGTTGGCTATAATTCCTGAAAGGAAAACTTGATCGAAGGGTCGACATGGTTCCTTTAAATAATTCTTCACATAATTCCTTAGCATTTTATCCCGAAGTCCAATGTTGGCGGCGGGAAAGCGCTTTCGCGTACCCAGTTAGAATCCCACTGAGAGAGTGATATGACCTAATGAGATGCGGGGAACACAAGCCTTTTCCGGGGAAAGCGATCTGCCGCAGATTCATAATCTCCGGGGCAAGAGAATAACATTGCGGGGTACATGATTTAAAAAGACGATGGGGACCATGTGCCCCGGATATCTTGATGCGGGAATGTGGGGAAGGTCGCAGTGGAGGTTGGAAATACATGTCCGGCCGATCGGATCCATTTTGCCATTGTGTGGGGCCCAGGCCATTCCTCGAGGAGGGGCGGCTTACCCATGAATCCACACCATCACTGGGAACAGGGGACGCTGTGGATCTTCTTGAGTGGACACAGTTTCCACTGAGGTCGTGATATTGAGATTGAGACAACGGAATTCATCATCCCCTGGTGAAGGATCGGCAAAACCGCCACTCACCAAAACAGCTCCAGTATGTTGGGGAGCATTCTGAGTGGTTTTCATGACGCGTAAAAGTTCATCACAACAGGGACTTGGAAGAGGGCCGTAACTAACTTCATCTATTTTTGACCCTTTGGACCATTTGGTTCGTAATATTGGGAGTTGTTTTACGTGCAAGCTCCGGACATTGATGTCCGGGGGAGGCTCCACTCGGTTGATAAACGACATTCAGTCAGTCGGTGGGACCGGATTGCGTGTATTTTTGAGCCTGAATCTTCTCATAAGCCCTAGTGTTTTTTAGGCGCACCGGGGTCTGCAGGGAGATAGAGCCGGAGTGGGTACCTTCAGCACCTGAAGCCAACCATCCTATTCAGGTTTGTTTTGTGTGGGTTTCATTGGTAGAGAATTATCAAGTCATCAAAATTTCGTCTCCGTAAGCACTATGGCCCTAGAAACCGCGCGAAATGCAACTGTAAGAACTATTACTGCCCAGACTTGACTTCGCAAATTTGAAATTGTACGCTTGATTGTCCTGTATCTGAAGAAGCGTAGGAGTGTGGCTTTCTTGGTTCATGACGAAAAGCAAATGTGATAAGATCCACTTCATGTGTGCACGGAGACTGGTTCATTTCGCCGATCGGGATTTCTTTTCTAAATGGCTGGATTCATATGACGAGATTCATTCAAAGGGGTCCATCTCTTTCCAGGCTTATCTTTCTTGGCGGAGCTGATCGATCTAGGTAGGACATTAGGCGGCCAGGTGGTCAGGTTTAACAATACCTGATCACCTGGCTGCCTACATACTCGATGGATCTTTGGCGGAGGCTTAATTCGTATCCGAGGTTCTTCAGACGATAAATTCGGAAATATCAACCTGGGGAGACTATATAAAGCAGATACAAGGCCCCATATGTTGGTCAATCTTGGTTCATCGAAGCTATACCAAGGCAAATCCAACAAGCATGATGTTTATAAAACCAGCTCTCATTATGGCAGTTGCCTGCTCAGGCTTTTTGGCCTCTGGTCAGTCTTGGTCCTCATTCAAATGTTGCAACTGATATTAATGGCAAGTAGCTCATCCCGGGCCACACGCACAGCCTAGTGCATTGGAGCTGGCAACACGGTCTGAAAAGGCACAGCGATGCTCCAACATTGTCGGAGCAAGCAAGATGAAACGACATGCTCTCCGTCGTAGGGAAATGGCCAAGCGAGATGCAAATGGGGAAACCACCTATGAGATCCATGCCGAGGCTCCCAAGTACGACTTCTTGAAAAATGGCACCACCATCTTGACTCCCGAAGTTAGTGGGGGGCCCTACTGGTACCCCCCGAGCCAGAAGCTTCGCCAGGATATTGCAGAAAGCCAAGATGGTGTTCCCCTTGTGCTGGATATTGCACTTATGGATATCAATACCTGCGAGCCATTGACTGGAGTTTTGGTGGATATTTGGGTATGCATGATCCCCAGTCCGAGTAAGGAAGTCTCAAGAGGGTTTTGACTGGTAGACTCAAAATAGCACTGCAACGCCACCGGCTCTTACAGTTCCTTCACTGGTCTGGATCCCAATGAGTCGCTTGGAAAGGTATATAAAGAACAGACCGGAAGGACGTTCTCCGCATCTGGTGGGCTTCCAAAGTCCAAGCTGGAGGTTGGTGCCTAACAAAACTTTCAATTCATTAGGATATGCTCATTAGGATATGCTGCTAATAATATCCAGGGTCTCTCGACTGATAGCAAGACTTGGCTCCGAGGCATGTGGCCAACGGACAAGCACGGAGCGACTTCGTTCCAGACCATCTTCCCCGGATTTTATGTAGGTTGGCCTTGTTATGCCCACTTGAACTTCGAATAGCTCTACTGACTTGCTGACCAGTAATAGATCAAACGCGCAATTCACATTCATGTCCAGATCCACACAAACTGGAGTGTCATTCTTAATGGCACCATTTCTCACGGCCCCATCGTCAGTACCGGACAAATATTCTTTGCCGAGGATTTGGAGGAGGAGATCATGGCTTTGGAGCCCTATGCCAGCCACACTCAGGTGGCTCGTCTGAAGAATGTCGATGATGTAATCTACACCAATGAGTCTTACAGTGAGTCACAGAGGCGGCCTCTTTCTCGATGACTTAGACCACTTCTTAAGAAGATGTTATAACAGCTGGTGCAATGACCATCATGGATTCTGAGCCTTTGGATGGAAAGTCATACAAGAACGGTGTCCTTGGATATATTACTCTGGTATGTTGACCTTGTTCTCAATAAATTCAGAGGAATGAATATCTGATACCTAATTCTGCCAGGGAATCGATACTACTTCGATCAAGGATGGTACTACGCAGAGTCCAGGTAGGTATCCCTGTCTTTGAAGCATTTGAGCCTTGAAACTATATACTAACTTGATAGCCCCGCCGGTGGTCTCTGATCCTCCCACTATCAACTAAAGCAAAGATATTGCTAAAGGTTTGCTGCCATTTTCCATGTCCTGGATGGTAGGCCCAAACTGGTGTCTAGCTCCAGGGCTCAAGTACCGCGCAAATACAAATTTTTGCATTCCAATCTCTTGTAGGTTGCAGAAAATCTACAGTGGGACATTTGGAAATGACGCGAGCTCGTTTTATCTTGGAAAACAAAGACTAGCCCGAGAGTACTCGAACCTCTGGATGGTTAGCCTTGTGGTTTTGCTCTTCAGTAAATATGATAGATTTATCAATACAGATATGGCAGTCACCACAGTCACCAGGAGGATTCTTATCATGACCAACAACTCTTGCATTAGTAGTAATTTAGTGATGGATACAAAAGGTATTGTGTACGTAAACTAACCAGTGTAAAGCTGGTAAACGCACTCAGATGGGACTTCTATTTGGCTCAAGAGGTGATGGTCACGAAAAGAGCGGGTTTGTGACCAATCAGAATCCATGTTATGAATGTTTCGATCTGAATATAGGAAAGTATCGTGGTCTGAAGCTTTTCCCTTGGTATTTAATAATGGATTTTCAGCCGGTAGAACATTCAGCGCTGTGGGAGCTCTCTGTCACCTTAGGTCCATAAAACCATACCTATAGGGCAACAGAAAGTCAAGTAGTGTGGTGGAACAAATCTTAGCTCACCGGAACAACAACAACACTATTAGTAATTCAAGACAAGAAAGTTCCAGGCTTTCAATCTATGGCTTTTGACAGGTTGGCACGACCCGAACTATAAACAAACACAAGTGGAGAAACTTTCATATATCTCTTGCTTTCGTCTATTGTCTTCTCGCCTTCCCTCTCTCTATTTGCATTCTACTTTTTCCATTCTAAAGTTTCCAGCCTCTCCTCTTCCTTTTCTTATTGCACCTGCGCATTTCAGAGCCCCTTCACTCGCTCCAGAAACCTTGGCCTGCCAACTCTGATCTCTCAGTTTGTCTCACCATGACGATCAACAAGAACCTGAGAGTGATATAAGCATCACAGTCGCTGATCCAACTCTATCGAATACTATTGAGATTTGATCGTCCGCAACGTTGGACAGTACATCAATTTGCCACAGCTGGTCGTTGTCGGAGACGAGTCCAGTGGAAAGAGCTCCGTATTGGAAGGCTTGGCAGGATTGAAATCCTTCAGCCGCGGCAATTGCTAGCTGGAAGTTTGAGTGGAGTAGGATCGAAGAGGAACTGAAAGCTCCTGTCCTCTGGAGATGAGTTGACCATTTGGTGCTGACCCCAGTCTTTGTTTTGGTAACATATACAGTGTCTACATACTAATAAGGTGAGATCTTTATACAGACAGCATTGTCTAGGCCGCGCAGGCTAGGTGCGTGAGATTATGGGAATACACGCTTCATGACTGAAATAGCGCATAGGCTAAGGGCCTTGGGGATCAAATCGGAGTTTCTGCCTGTAGTCGTGCTCCGTGAGGTCGCGCTCAGACCTTGGTGGCGCCGAGTGGGGCAATTGCGAATGCCCCTCCAAAGCTGCAAACTCCCCGCCTTCTTCCATCTTTCCTTCATACCCCACTTGCATTCCCTTCTCCTCTTCCAATCCTCTCAATCCTACCAACTTCAGCAGCATCCATCATGTCTTCCGCTTACTTCATCGTCGAGTACGGCCCTATCGGCAACAGTGAGTGCCTTGTTTTGTAGCGTCTATAGGACCCCCCATCTACCAGTTTGGTGTCAATGGCATCGTTCAATCCATCTCAAATAGCCAGCAAACATACCTCATTCTCCTTAACATCAATGCTTCCATCACAAATTGGCGAACACAACCATGCTAACTCATTGATTCTCTTTCCAGCCCAGACGGGTCGCATCAACTTCAAGCTCTACAATGACGTTGTCCCCAAGACCGCCACAAACTTCGCTGAGCTCTGCAAGAAGCCCGAAGGCGAGGGCTACAAGGGCTCCAGTTTCCACCGTGTCATCCCCCAGTTCATGCTCCAGGGTGGTGACTTCACCAAGCACAACGTAAGCGGGTCCCAGTCATTTATCTTAGCTTCTTTTGGCCTCCATATCTCGTTTTATTGAACAAGACCTGACTCGGACTTTTCCTTACAACAGGGTACTGGCGGCCGCTCCATCTACGGCGAGAAGTTCGCAGACGAGAACTTCGAGAAGAAGCACACCAAGCCCGGTCTGCTCTCCATGGCCAACGCTGGTGCTAACACGTGAGTATCCTTCTAATCCTCGCCCATCTGATTGAATTACGGAGCTAATACACTTCCTAATAGCAACGGCTCCCAGTTCTTCATCACTACCGTTGTCACTAACTGGCTTGATGGTAAGCACGTCGTCTTCGGCGAGGTGACCGAGGGCTATGAGCACGTCAAGGCCATTGAGGGTCTTGGCTCTGGCTCCGGCTCCGTCCGTGGCACTGCCAAGATCATCGATTGTGGCTCCTCTTAAATTATCTGGCTTCCAAAATGTGAATACATCGCTAGGTCAACCACTGTATAGTCACTCGGCTTAGACCCTATTCACTATTCCTTGACTACTAAGCTTCAAAGTATTCATTTTATTTAATTACACAGCTCCTAAAGATGTGACGTAATTCGGCTGTAGTGCCCAGACAGGGTAAATTTTGCCATACTTAGCTCTAGTGAAGGCTCTTGGGGAGAAGGTGGGGACATGTTTGTTACTTTTAGAAGTCAAGGTTGGATTGAAGGAGAAACCTCTGCGATTGTATTTTCAACATGTTGCTAGAGCTACAAATAGAGTTTAAAAAACACCACGATACATATGATCCCAAACTCAGCGAAAGTTGGAGTATGGAGTTGAGCCTCATGAAACTCGAGAGCGATCGCTGTGACGGCGTAGCTGCCTGAATCATAAGCGACCTACGGACCCGCACATATTTCGGGTGCTTCGGCCCCCTAGACCCTCTTAGTCGGAACCCCTAAGACGAGGCAACAATTGAGGCCAAAAAGAGATTAGCGTGGGATGCTAGAGACTAGTAGGCAATTTCTGCTCTCCTTCGTTTTCTTTCTCATTTCTGTTTCTCCAATAATCTTTCCAACGGAGTGCTAAGATGTCGGTATGGTTATGCAGGTATGATCATTGTGTACTGACTTCCTGGATTCCTCTAACAATGCATTCAATTATTTAGTGTATTGGTTCTCTTGAATGCTCTGTCATTCATTCCACAGATTCGGCAATTATACAGATTCAAACGCGAAGCAAGAATACCTACCATCTTGCTGTTTTTCAATATCGTCAGTGCAATGCAGCAGTTGACCTTGTCTTATCATTTCTCCTTGAACAAAGCAAAGTATATCTTAATTATTCAAGATTCTGATCAATGGATGCATCTGTTCTATGCAACTGCAGCATGGTTGATAGCTTCTACTATTCTGTAAGCGATCATCTTTCCAAATCATCTATTGCCTAGCAGGACTTAATTAAAGCACTCATACTGACTGATACAACCAGACTCCTGATAGCAATTTGTTATTACCAAATGCCGCTCATTAAAAGGTTTACATGGGTATGCCTCATATTGATCTGCGAGTTTGTCACTCTGCTCCCTCTTGCAAGCGGCAGTAGCGGTCGCTCAGTGGAAATAAGTCTATTCGGCTTTTTCAACCTATTTCTGCGTATAAACCCTGCGGTGATATGTGTCACATTGTATGTGTTTAATGACACAGTCCACCAATGGAGACCGGACTCCACGTCATTGTTGAGCCTTGTGGGAATCATTAGCCAAGTTTTGATCCACATTATACTACCGATTTTTTGGGTGGGGCTGGTCAACATTCCATTCAAGGCTTATTTGACTCTTCCGTTGAAGGGGTTAGTGGCATGTTATCAAATGTTTGGGTGGATATTAATAGACAATGGTCTCTTTGCGGTGCTCCAGGGATGGTTGCTTTGGATAGCGTTCAAGGAAAGAAAGGCTAAGGCTATTTATGCAAAGGAAAAGTCTCTGCTCGGGCCATAGACTATCGTCAGTCTAAGGATGCTGTGGACCTTTCAAATCTTCATTAAGGCTTGAAGCCCATTCATATCTGCAGCAGCTATTGAATGAATGCCAAATTCATAAAGCCGTTCGATTTCTACCACAGCATCGAAAACTCCATTGTTCAACTAAACTCCTTGAATACTAAGTGGACCGTACGGATATCCATTGTCTTTATCTGCTGTAAGGTCCACAGCTTTCGAATGAGTATATCTACTGTAGTCTTGGGATCCACACGCAATGGCTGATGGCATGGCTGCCCGAGTTTTCAGGCCACCATCTCAGGTCTTCCCCAGAGGGATGGTTCAACCATCTTCCGTTCTTTCGTCTTTCGTTTCTCAAACATGTAGTTGAAAATGGCATTAACACTTCGCCTTGTTGACTCACTTTGTACCAAGTACTCTCCACATTCGGCAAGGGCGGCGACCCTGAGCCCAAGATTCCGTGAATTCCGAAGGACCCACTAAGCTCTCCACATTCCTCATGATTTCCGTCTACCCAGGCCAGCTCGGTATCTTCATCATCTGTCGAATATGAGGCACTCGGAGTCACAAGAAAGACAAAGTCGTGTCAACTCCGAAGAAAACGACCAAAATGCCGTGTTGCATGCGCCGAAGAAGGCAAAAAGAGCGAAATACGCCTCGAAAGCTTGGTCCGTTTTGCCCCAGAATCAAGTCAATCAATCTCCGTGACCTGACATCTTGAAGCACCCAGTGCAAAAGGCGGAAAATCAAAGTACGATTTGCAAAGCAGATAAAATCTTGCAGGTATCTTTTTTTGCTAACATTATTTTCGCCAGTGCGATGGTGATGCACCATGCCAATCTTGCATTGCCAAGGGACAGAGGTGTGAGCGAACTGGGACTGATATGCGTGGGAAATGGAGAAATACAGATCGCGCTAGCGGCACAACTGATGATTCTGCTTCACGAGTAAATAAAATTGAACACCAGCTCAGTGCGATAAGAGACCCGAAACTCCAACCTCGCGAGACATTGTCAGGTCAAAGTGATCTCGACCAAACAGAGACCCGACGCGAGGTAATTGACTCCAGAGGAGGGCGGATATCCCGTTCTGACTCCGATTCACACTCTGCCCAAGTACCGACGTTCTCTGGGGAGACATCCATCACACATAACCTGATAGTTGTTGAGAGTCGCCTGGAGCAAATGGGTGTCCAGTATGCGCGGCTTCAATCCGCATCGCCCGGTCGCGAATTTAGGTCTTGCCTGACGCCGTCTCCAGACAATCCGCCCAGGCGCCATCCAGAGATGAAAACAAGTTTCCTCAACCAGGTCTTGAATACCCATGGGCTGGTCCCCGACCGAGAGCAATGGGATGGACTTTTGCGCACCTTTTGCGATGAAGTTCATATACTTGTGCCATTTCTTCACTTGCATAGCATCTGGGAATTATATGAGGAAATGTGGAAGAACTCAATAGGGGACCAGCCCTGTAACAACGAACGGCACCGACATGGTGCCGTTCGTGTTCATAATGCTCACATTTTGCTATGCCTTGCTAATGGGAGATGCGTCGAGTCCTCGCACATTAAGGGTGACGAGGGGCGATATTCTGCAGGCTGGAGCTTGTATAACGCAGCCCGAGATATGTTCGGAGATCTTCTTAATGGATTCAGTCAGTGCACGGATCAGATTTTCGTGCTCCAAACGGTTCTCCTGATGGTGAGAAAAAGTCATCGTTCATATCGCGTGAAACTATCCTGACAAAATCAAGGTTGTTTATCTTTTTCGCATCGATGCCCATGGGCCTGCTGAAAAGGTACTTGCTCTCTCGATATCCCATGCGCATCACCTTGGTCTCCACAGGAACCGAGTTGTAGAGTCCATGGCATCTTTTGAGAGCGAGATGTCTCGTCGCTTATGGTGGTGCCTCTATCTTTTGGATAGAAGACTCGCTATAGAAACTGGACGCCCTTTTCTTATCCAAGATGTCAACGTTGATGTAGGCTATCCACGCAATGTGGACGATGAGTGGCTCACAAGATCTCAAAAAACGTCAGGGGAACACAACATGGACGAATCAATCGCTGAGCCTGAGATGGCTCCAGTACCCTACTTGATTGCCATGGCAAATTATTCGAAGGTAGTAGGCAAAGTATGGGAAGCTCTTTATGGTGCCGCCACGTCAGAATCAACCCCAAGCCCTCTTCTTAATGAGTATCTAGAGCATCTCATTACCCAATCGCAAAGAGGAACTCACCCAGAGTTTTCTTATGACCCGCAGAATCCTGGGAATGTCAGAACTAATGGACTGCCCTGGTGGCAGATCAAACAAAAATTTATCATGAGAATCGTTTGTGCCCAGAATTTCGTTTCTTGATCTAATTCATATCTGCTGACCTCAACTTAGAGGTGGTCTTCCTTGTATCTGTTGATTCGAAAACCAATGCTTCAAAGGTCCTGCACGCCCAATCAGCCAGTGCCAGAGGCCATTGAAAATGAGGTTATCTGTATGCGCGTGGCGCAGAGCATATTCGACGACTTCAACAGCATGCCAGAACAGCATCCGAAATATACCTTTCCTTTCCTGCACTACCTGACCAACGCAACTATCATCGCTTTGGGACTTCTTATCAAGCAACCTTCATTTAAGAGGGCATATGGCCAACTTACCCTGAAAGCTGCACGTTCGCTATGGGACCACTGTCGGAAAACTTGGGTGTCAGGAAGAATGGCACGGACCGTTTGGAGACTGAATAAGATGGCCGATGCAACGATCAGTCATCCCCGTGAACGACTGCAGGATAGAACCCGTGGTGTTCTTTGTCATAATAAGGATCAGTCTGTTATGAATGGGTTATCACATTCCCCATCGCCGACAGTCCCAGGCGCTGCATCCACGCCCTCTAGATTAGGATCTATAGGTGAAGCACAAGATCTCTTCACTACAGCCAGGCGCAAAAGGAATGGCTCTAAGAATATTCAATGCGTTGATGGGCCTTCGGCTACGCGTACAAGCGATGCTATTGGATTCGATCAACCCATCGACACTGACCCTGGGTTTAAACGGCACTGCCGCCAACCGAACTCCAGCAATGCGCGAAATTCAGAGACATCATCGATTGCAGAGAACATTCGATACAAAGAGGCTGATTCAAGGCATGTAGACCATGCTGTGTCAGAAGCAGATGTTCACAATGACCGAAGTCATTTCGAAATGGCACCGGCGCACCCTTTTGAGACTATCCAGATGGCACAGGATGAATTGGATGTGGATATATCATTTCCAGGTGAGATGATAGATGGAGGAATGGAGTGGTTGCAATCGCTGTTTGTGAATGGTCTAGATACTCATCTTCCTCCGGTGTGGGATTGATTTCCTCCATCCTTTTAATATCCAGACGCGACTAAATAATGTTGGAACCGAATTACTTGGGAAGAATCCATTTGAAAATGTGCAAATCGGGCATTGGTTGTTTTCTAGATCACCCTCTAAACTTGATGCACCGCCGCCTCATATACCCTTCACAATCATAGGACTCCGCATTCGAATTCGATCCCCATATCGGTAGAAAATAAAAGGTATTGGAATGAGAGCAACTTCAATAAGAGCGAGCATTGTCCCAGCCCACTCAGCACCCATTGCATGATACATTCTGTTTCCTGCAAGAGGAAGAACTCCCGCAAGCCCATACCGAACAATGGAGTTTCCGGCAAGGGACGAAGCTGCATAAACGGTATAACTTCCTGCTAGGTAGTTTGTCGCATATATGAATACTAAGCCATTCCCCAGTCCAAAAGGGAGACCTGCGAGAATTGGACAAATCCAGTGAACGGGTGGTCGGGCAGTCCATGCGAACCAGAACTCGCCGATGGGGATCAAAACACTACCCACGCACACGGCAAAGACTGCAGCTTCCGGAGCTGGTCGCCCAGTAATGGGACTTTTCGGATGCATGGCAATGATCCGTCTAATCAATGGTTCCAGACTTACCGCGATCGCCGTGCCTGTTCCAATTCCACAAAAACTTAGCCCGGCTAACCCTGGTGACCAGCTCCGAAGCTCTTCGAAGACGATCGGGTATGCCACGAAGCATAGAAAAAGTACAGCGTAGACCACTCCCACGTAGAGATTCCAGAAAACACTGAAGGCAATTAGCTTCTTCTTGAAGGAGTTTGGGCCAACACTGGCTCACCAGATTGGCTCGAGGACAGCCATCCGTAAAGGTCGAATCATGTTTGTTTTCACGATTTGAAATCCCGTTTCCTCATGATCATACCGACACCACCATCGCTCATCCCCTGTTTCCTTCTGGATTCGTCTTGTTCTCTGTCGGAGGAGGGCTGGGGCGTATGTCTCTTTGACTAAGAACATGAAAACAAAGGATACCCCGGAGCAGATTAAAACGAGCCAGTTTATCCAGCGCCAGCCCAGATATTGGTAGATAAAGCCACCGATGATAGGACCTTGAAACAGATATGTCAGATTATGGCAACATATTGGCGACCAAGCGGAGTGATACCAAGAACTGGCCCATTCATCGTTCCAAGACTCCAGCAACTCAGAGCCAAAGCACGATACTTATCATCAGTGACATCAGTCACACTACCAGGGGCACTTGCAATCCAAGCACCACCAAAGAAGCCACCGAAGAACCTGCTGATCAGAACGGCTTCGATATCTTTCGCCAAAGCCACAGGTAGTGTCATAAGGGCGAATAATGTTACAGAGATAAGGTAAACGAGTCGGCGACCATATATCTCCGACAACGACGAAAGTATCACAGACCCGATGGCTAGGCCGAATAGATTGGTCGTCAAACCTAAAAGAACAATAATGTCGGATGAGATGTCGAATGTCTGTTGAATTCCTGTGATGCCGGAGGTGTACATTGTTGTATAGATAACCCTGCGAAGTGTGAATAACAGTCCTTCAAGCCACCTGGGCAGATGGTTCCAGCTCATGTCAAACGTACACTATTGTTGTCGAAAAAGACATCGCCGCCACAATGAAGCTTCTATACCAAACTGACCAATTCCGCGGGTTTTCGGGGTCTCCATCTTCCCATGTCACCTCAAAATGGAGATCGCGTGGAGTTACGGCGTCTTCAAAAACAGGGACCATCTTAAAGGCTTTTGATTCCTCCGTACTGAATTTCTGTTTGTCGGTCTTTTCTGGGGTGATTCGGCTTCTATAAAGGCCCGGGTTTTGCGGGGTAAATAGGTGCGGAATCTTAAGATTCCGTGTTGCTAGACTGAATGTGATTACACTAAAGTTGCCGGGCTAATTGCCGAATGAATTATCATTTATTGATGAAGGCACTAACATCTTCTTCTTTTTATTAGCTAGAGGCCAATTGGTCTCTATATAATTGGTAGACCATTAATTACAATGCTGTCTCGGTATGGGACTTTGGTGTCACTTTCACAGAACATATCTAAAGAATGGGTTCTCCTTGTCTGTTAGATCGTCGAAAGCGATCTTATCCCGAAGCAACTCATCAAGCTCCAAGTTCTCACGCGCTTTGTTTTCACGCCAAAGCACGAAGTACAGCGCTACAGCCGCGGCGATGGTGATGCAGTAGCTAGAAGAGCGTTAGTAAGATAAACAACTTGGATGCTAAAAGAGAGGAAAATAATAGACTGACCAAATGATCATTCCTTCCCACAGCTCCGGGTAATGCTGGGCTTTGGTGTTGCTTTTGACGAGCTGAGGCCCGATGATATTTCCAACTGTGTAGGCCACAAAGGTGGTAGCGGCCATGATGGTTTTCTTTGTAGCTCCAGCGACATTGCTAGCGCCAATTGTGATGATCAAGCTGACAACTGGGCCGAAGAAGCCAGTGAGGGCATAACCGACGACTGGGGTAGCTGGGTGGTATCCCCATTGAGACTTCCAGATCATGATACAGCCGGCAATGACAGGGAGGCAGCATGCAATGAGCATTGGAATGCGTGTGTTCGGGATGATAGTCGGGATGTATCCGCAAAGAGGGACGAAGATAATACAGATTCCGCCCACGGGAAACTGGAAGAGAATCGAGTCTAGGGTATCATAACCAAAGGTCGAGACGATCAAGGGTCCGAATCCAGAAATTGCTCCATTGATTGTGTATCTGATTAGATTAGCGGGTGGAATGTAAAAATTAGCACAAGGTGACTCACGCTGCTGCCATCATAAGAGCAACCAAATAGATCTTTGGGTCTGTGATCGATTCCTTCACCTGGCTGAACTTGATCTGTTGGCAACGTACACCTGTTTGCCCCCTACGAAGGCGTTCCACGGCAACTAGTCGCTCTTCGGGGGTCAGGAACCAGGCAGTGACTGGGGAGTTAGGCATAACACAGCACCAAAGGCCGAACAAGAAGGTGAGTACCCCGGCAAAAATGTAAATATATTGCCAGCTTCTCAGAGCTCCCGCGGTGATTTGACCAAAGCCGTAGTTGAGTGCGCCACCGATTATTGTGAACCAACCCACGCCGGAGAACCACCAAGCTTGTCGCATGGTTTGCTCTTCCTGTGTGTAATAGCCACTGACAATAGTCATGAATCCAGTGGGAATGACACTTTCAATGACTCCTATAAAATATTAGAATCTACTCATTCCACGGATAGATGCTGGTGAGGAGAGGCTCATACCAAGGAAGAACCGCTGGACGAACAGTCCCTGCCAGGATGTCACACCAGCAGTTGCTGCACAGGTAACAGCCCACAGCAGAACAACAGGACCAAAGACATAGCGCAGATTAAACTTCTGCAAGACAAGGGTCATAGGATACAATCCTGCTAACATTCCAAAATAGAAAATCGACGTTGCCCAGCTGAGACGCGAAGTACTGGTTGTTGGCGGGGAGGTTGAATAGTCCGTCACGGATAATGCCAAATCGGTAGTCATTCCAAAGAGAGAAGCACTACCCAGAATAGCCTAAGGAACAGGTTGGTTATCGCTATCTCACATGGCAATAGGATTCTTCCATACCTTATCCCAATAGACAATACCATAGCCTAAATCGATATAGCACTTTGGTCAGTCTTGATTATTCAGGCCCCAGAACAAAGGTGCATACCTATTAACATTGCCGGCATAAAGTAGAGATCAATTTTGCGTAACACTCTCTTTGCAACAATTGGGTCGATATCCTGCGCTACATCACCAACCACCGCTAAGGCCGCATCTTTCTCGGCATCATGCGTGGGGTCATTCCCGCTACCAACACCATTAACCTGAATCATCTTGTTCCCCGTGATGACAGCAAGGTCAGTGTATTCGAACAACTGCTAAATTGTAAACAAAAAAACTTTGCTACCACAATCCCAACGAAATTGACTTTTCGACACTTCCCAATTGGGACACCCGATATCGCGGGTAAATTCACGCCTCACCGCCCGGAGACGGGCAGAACCGGCCAGCATCGGAGGGGTGTCGTCCGGCGAGTTGTTGATTCGCTAATGCAGGTTCTCTATATACAGAGGTCATCCATATTGGGATGGGATGCCTCATTGATAATTCCGCGAGTTTCAAGAGGTCTTCGGAGCTTTTCGCTGCACACTTCTAAGTGTCGCTTCTCTGAGATTTCTTCGGACGTTTTGAGTCGGTTCTCAAAGATCGACATTATCCACTCAATCGCGGAATCGAGCTCTCTGTCAGGTCACTTAGGACCCCAGCCTCGGCCTTTCTGTCGCGGAGCTCCATTTCTTATAGCAGTGCGGACTTGCATCTTGAGTAATCGAGCTGTTTGGATAAGGTTTACGGAGCGGCCACCCTCGTGTAGCGCAATGATCTGGAAATCTTGGCCGCATGCAAGTTGCTTTCAGTAGTGTCTAGACTCTAGGCTCTCGGATGGCCGGATGGAAACCATGCTGAGGGATATTAGGTTAGGATGTCTTAAAGCGTGAAGGAGTGCAAGGAGCGTCCGTGGTGGAATGTATAGAATTGATGGTGGATATCGAGTAGGTATATAGCTAATACGGAAGTCTGATATATCGGTTCGATAGTCTGGTAAGTATCGAGTGTACAATGGTGGATACTGTATGCATGATAATATATGTAAACATGCTACTCAATAAAGGGTACCTAATTATATCACAATACTCGTAGAAATTCTATGGTATAAAGATGATATCATCTAATTTCAGTTGTGAGATAATGTAAATGGGAAGGCGAAGTGCCTAAAATTTGTCTTACCGCCTGCGAAAGGAATGAGCTTAATTCTTGGGTGATCATCGCGCCAACCGACAAGGTGAGGCATACCGCCGCACCTGCATGATCGACCGCCTTGGTGTAAGTCTCCACAAATATTACTATGCATGAGGGTATCCACAGCCAAAATATCAAACCAAGAATTGCCAATTATTTCATGGTAAGAACTTGATCCAGGGTCGGAAGATCTTGGTCTGGATCTTTGTTGTGAACAGAGTTCCCTTATCAAAGCGGAACAGGAAACCAAATGTGATGATATCAGCGATCCAGCCCGACCCGCCTAGATAGCTAAGCAGGTTACATCACCGACTATTGTCTTACGATGAAAATTTGCAAGTCATGCTCTGGTCTCCATGTGGTTCCGAAGTGACGTAGGAGTTTAGAATTCTGTCAGTATTATAAAAAGTGAAATTTCGCAAAAGAACAATTGCATTTCAAATACATTTGCAACCATACTCACCATAATGTCGATCGAATTTACCGTATTCAAGGGTGCCAAGGATGGAATCAAACAAGACGTGACGCACAAAAATGATCTCAAGCGCGACGATGTGCTCATCCGCGTCACCCATTCAGGCGTCTGCGGCACCGATCTCCATTATCAGACCGCCGACATGGCCCTTGGCCATGAGGGAACCGGTGTGGTAGAAGCGACCGGGCCCGATGCCCACATACTGAAAAAAGGCGACCGAGTGGGTTGGGGATACGAACATGATTGCTGTGGCCACTGTCGCCAATGCCTGACGGGCTGGGAGACGCTATGCTCTGAGCGAAAGATGTATGGTATGGCCAACCTCGACCAAGGATCATTCGCGACGCATGCTGTGTGGCGGGAGGCCTTCCTTTTTAAAATCCCCGATAATCTCCTCAATGAAGATGCTGCTCCACTGATGTGCGGTGGATCGACCGTCTGGAATGCTCTGAACGTCGCCGAAGTGCGCCCGACTTCTCGCGTCGGTATCGTTGGTATTGGAGGACTGGGACACTTGGCCATCCAATTCGCTGCCAAGATGGGCTGTGAGGTTATTGTATTCTCTGGTACAGACAGCAAGAAGGAAGAGGCGTTCAGGCTGGGCGCCACGGAATTCCATGCCACCAAGGGGGTGAAGGAGTTGAAATTGGAAAAGCCTGTCGATAACCTGCTTGTCACTACCAGCAGTCAGCCGGATTGGCATATGTATTTCAACGTGATGGCACCGGGTGGTGTGATTTCTCCTTTGTCAGTGGACTCGGGCGACCTTAAGGTTCCATACATGCCTTTGTTGGCGACGGGTCTTCGAGTGCAGGGTGGAATTGTCTCTTCCAGACAGGTGCATCGTGAAATGCTGAACTTCGCTGCTCTCCATCAGATCAAGCCCGTCAAGATGACTTTCCCTTTGACATTGGAAGGAGTGAAGGAGAGTCTTAAGACATTGGAGGATGGCAAGATGCGGTACCGAGGTGTTCTTATCGCTGGCAAGTAAACCATGCTGCGTGTGGCCTCACCTAGCAGTCTCGACGGTTTTTCAAGTTTAGGAAGTTCGATTTATTCCTACCCGGGGAATTGCGTGTAATTTAAAAGAACATTTGTCAATGATGTCAAGATGAGGACCTTCGTAGCCTCAGATCTCCAAGCTCCAACCCAAGATTCCACAAGGTCCCTTAGCCACCTACTTGCTTTGACTTATAGACGACCCTTCATAGGCGCCGCATCCTTCGCATTGGCAGCCGGAAGGCGAGGCTCTGCCAATCCAAGTTCGCGTGCCACCCCTCTAGCTGCCCATAAGCCAGTCACGAATGCAAGAGCAAGACCACCAGCATAACCAAGGTTACTGAACCCTCCAGCATCGACTCCAGCAACCAACAGACCAGGGATTTCAGTTTTGTCAGCGGTCAAGGCGTGCCCATGCTTGTCGATCAAGATTCCACCATATGTGAAAGTAATTCTAAAAGCGAATGTCAACATGAATGCAGAAACGATGATATCCCAACACACTTACGATGGCTGAACTTCCATAGCGTAGAATGGCCCTTCGCCTTCAACTAGGGGCACAGGTGGTGAGCCGCCACGACCGACAGGGGCATCGAGTCCCACATTAGTCTTTCCGAGGCGCACAACCTCATCGTATTGTTCGATTGTTCGAGCAGACTGAGTAGGATCTACTCCCCACTGACGGAGGACTTCCATCAAACCACCTAGCGTCGGTGCACTCGCGACATTGCATCCATAATCACGGGCTTTCTGCAGACGGTCGATGGAGCCTGCATTGGGGAACGGTGCTCCGACGGTGTGTTGAAGACGAGTCTTCTCACTATAATGAGAAAATCGCATGGGATTAGTCTCGCGTTATCCATAGTCTAGACCCGACTTACTTGAAAAGTAAAAATCCTCGGCGCTTTTCTTGCTTTGCCAGATATTGGTTCACAATCTCATCGCCAGTGGTTTCGTCAGCAAATCGCTTGCCAGCTTCGTTGATTAACAAACAGTACTTGCTCTCTGTTGAGAATGTTAGTATTCTGATCAACAGAAGGAACAGGCTTTTTGCTTACGATATTGTGCCAGAGGGAGGTAATCCTTCGGTTTGACTTCCTGTGCGCGTACAGGCGCCGCTAATAGATGGCCGTAGTAAGTGTTCATACCCCTGGTAGTTCCAGCACCTGACCGAGAGGCAAGGCTGAGGCCATCACCCACAGATCCTGGATTGGACCGCACGAAGATGTTGTCCCCGCCCTGTCCTAAGTACGTAGCTGTCATCTGTGGAGATCCTTGGAATCCTCCAGTGGCCAAAACCACCACCTTTGCCTTGACTTCGTAGTATTCCTCCGCCAATCCTGGGGTATGTTGACGAATCACAGCACCCGTGACCCGCGATCCAGGTATTCCCGGCTTCTCTTGTATGAGCTTTACCACAGATGTGTTGGTCATGATCCGGGAACCAGTTCTGCTCCCTTCGATGCGCTTACGATGCAGCTCGTGGAGCTGAGGAATCTTGATTGGGAATCCAATTCCTTTTCACAATAGTGCTGTTAGTCGATATTTTAGACCGGGCTGGGGGCATAAAAATTCATACCGATAGTCATGATACCATCAAATCGCTGCGCAGTCGGGATTCCATTATTTCGCATCCATTGCACTGCCGACAGATACTCGTCCATCCATGCTTGTTGAAGAACTGGGTCGCCCTCTGGTACCCAGGCTCGCAACTTGTCGTAAGTATGAGGAGCCCAGCTGTGTGAAAAAAAAAAAAAAAAAAACACAAATCAATGAGTGGTCATTAAGTAGAATAGTAGAAACTTACAACATGCCTGCAGAAAGGGCTGAAGATCCGCCGACTTCGGCTTGCTTCTCAACTACCAGAGTCTTGGCTCCTGCGTCAGCTGCAAATGCAGCGCATGCCATTCCAGACATCCCGCCTCCACAGACCAAGGTATCCACTTCGAGTATCTCCATTTTGTAGAGGGCTTTTGATATGAAAGATTAGAAATGTGTCAGTTACAATTCTAGATAATAGATTATGCATTAGTCTGTTAGGACTTTATAAGAAATCCACACATCTTATTTTGTGTCTGTACCTCGGAGCCGGCGAATTAATTAATTCACCGGGTGGGGACACCACTTCGTCGATCCAATGCTCAGCGATCGATGCGAAGACTCTCCCGACAGAAGATTAAGAAAAAGCGACGCTATGAGTGAATGATAGCTCGCTTTCATCGAGTGGTTCATACTTTGTTCGGTTAATCGCCAAGTAGCTCGGACGATCCATTCAAAGTTCCATAAAGCCGGAATTCTCTCCGCCACGGATTTCTGCAGGTACCCCCTCTTCAGCCTCAACCCGGGAATGGGCCCTGGAATCCACTCAAAGTTCCACCTGCAACTATCGTATGATGGATAGCACAGAAGTTGGCTCTGAGATTGGCCAGGCTCCAGTTCGCTCGGCTGCCGCGGCTGCCTGCGAAGCCTGCAGGAGGATGAAGGTATGCCGAGACATCGGAATTTGCCGGCAATGATATTGACAACCTTCAACAGATGAGATGTATTCGACCAGAGACAAATGACCCGAAAGGTCGAATATTAAGTCCCTGCGAACGATGTATGCGAACAAATCGCACCTGCAGGATCCCAGAGCCGCGCCCACTGGGACGGAAACGGGGAGCACGTGGTCGATATCAAGGCTTTGAGAAAGCAGTTCGCAAGCTGCGATCGGAGATGAGGAAGGAAAAAATGGAACCTGAAGCAGAACGACTACAAGATATCGTGCACCTCCCGTCCAGCAAGCGAGCAACACCACATCCGTTCATTCCCCAACAAATATATCACCCTTCCTCTCCAACTGTGAATAATGTACCGGGACGAGACTTCCACCAGAGTCAAAGAAATGTGTTGCGCCAAGGTGGTGAAGTTCCTATAGACTATTCGTTGCCCCAACACACTCAAGAACCAATCAGTAATCCCCTTGCGCTGCTGGCAGACGCTTCGGATGCTGCTCGTGCACTCGAACCGCACTCGATATCGGCTGACAATACACCCCAATCCATGGGGGAATCATCAGTTCAAGGGGATAATGCTCCCAGTGGAGGTCTTGGTCGTTTACTTCGCCGACCAGGCTATGTTTCGCTCGGGCTGCAATTGAGTAGAGAAAGCATGGAGCATGCATTAGATGCTTTGCTTACACCCTCACCGAACGTGGACAGATATTCAAATTACTTTAAAAGACCTCTGCAGGATTCACTTCGAGACGTTGGGCCTGATGTCGACCCTATTGATTTGGGATTGATTACTATGGAGGAGGCATATTACCTATTCCCAATGTGAGCCCCTAACCTAGCTCACCTGATATCAGATCATCAACTTACAGATTCAGTTATTTTACCCGACTGCATCCGATAAATGGAATACTCGATCCTGTGCTTCATACGCCAGAGTTTGTGCGCTCTCGCTCTGCATTGCTATTCACATGGGTCCTTGCCCTGACAGCACAATTTGACCATGCATCTGCTTCCATCGCCAAGAGATTACGTTTACACGGGGAAAAATTATCAAAGCACGTCCATACGCGAGGTTTCAAATCCGTGGAAATTGTGCAAGGTTATTATATTTCCCTGCTTTCCGCCACTCCTGCCGAGACATTAGCGAAGGAACGTTCATGGCTGTATACAATGCACGCCTTCGGCGTAGCTGCAGAGCTTGGATTGGACCAACATTCAGATACGGAGGAGTCTCAAACAGGCTTGGGGTTATCTTCATTTCACCAGGAACGGGGCGCATCGGTATTCCCTCTGATTACAGATGCAATCACCAACCAGATCCCTTCTCAATGCGAAGGGAAAGACACTTCATATGACCAACGATTGATTCGTAATAGGGAAAGAACATGGTTCCGAATTCTTCTTTGGGAGAGAGCCAATAGCGCTGCATATGGCCGGATTCACAGCTTTCCTGAAACAGCACTGACTAAAGGCATTGAACGATGGTGGATGCATCCACTAGCAGATCCTACCGATAGGCATACAAGTGCGTTTATCGCCTTGCGACGAATCCTAGCCTCACTCAATAGTGATCTCCGAGATAAACAAGACACACATCCTGCCGATGCACACTGGGTGAGGGATCTAGTTGACAATACCCTTCAGCCTTGGTGCAGTGCATGGCTAGGGGACATGGCTACGGGTGCATCCTGCTCGACCGAGCAACTTTCAAATACCTTCCTTCAATATGTTTACCTACATGGTAGACTTTGGACCCTCTCCATTGCACTCAATAATTCCAAAGGTCAGAATGGGAATGAGGCTGATATTCGTAATGATTGTTTCGAAGCTGCGATCAATGCGTGCGAAATGGCAGTGCATGATCTTGAAGCAATAGGGGAACCACTATATGGCATGCTAGCACCAACTTGGGCGATGATCTCTTACGCTGCCGTCCTAGCCCTGAAATTGTTCCCTGCGATCTACGGATCTCGAGTTGGGAGCCAGCTGGAGCTCTTTGGCCTACTGAGTCAGGTTGCTCTACAGCTTGAACGTGCTGGACAGACGCCTTCTCATCGCTTTGGAATTGCGGCCTTGCTAGGTCAACACATTATGAGAATACTTCGGGCTAAGTCTGTGGCATTGAGAGAAGAGCTGAACATTGAGTTTTCTTATCCTCAAAGCTGTGGCGGCAACCAGCAAGTGCCTCAGAATGGGGAAACGGGGAATCCAAGTGGTCCGTTCGTCTCTGATTACGATCCATTTCTTACAAATGCTAGTCTGGTCGGCGATGTGACTGAGGAAGGATTCGCAGACCTATTCCGAGAAATATTCGGACCAGGCTTTGGGGGCGTATTCTGAGAACCATGAAACGTTGAAAAAGATTATGGTATAGTTAGGCATTGTACATAGGAAAGAAGAATCAATATCTTATCAACGTCTCTCATCCCAATCATAACCGGTGGTTTGTCGTCCTTAAGCGTTGAATTACTTGAGCAATGGCTTGCTGGGCGTGGGCTGGGTTTTTCCAGAATGGCGCAAGCTTTGTTGCTGTGTCGTACAACTTCTTCAGACTGTCCATACCGCGAACAGCATGCGTCGTCGCAATGTCGTCCCCAGCTTTGTTCAAAGACGCATTGAAAACCTCGAGCGAGATAGGTCCTTTATACCCTGTCCCGAGCACGGCGGCAGCCACAAGCTCAACGGGCATGTAACCACCACGCGACTGTTCAAGTGGATAGAGTCGATGGCTGCGCGACCAAGGTAGAAGAGCAGGAATGCTTGGATCTTCAGGAGGGAAAAATGTCGACGGATTCATCAACTCAGCATCACCGCACTGGAAGAAAAAGATCCGATCTCCAGGAACGGTAGCGGCCAAAGACGCAAGAGACCCAGTCAACACCTCCAGCGATTCCTCTAAAGTAGGGTAAATACGTCCATGACCAGCAGGATTATACGGATCCGCAAACTCAACAGCAAGAATATTGAATGCGTCAACAATCAACCCGACATTAGGCCGATTAGCAAACCGCACAGCCTCCCACGACGCAGACCAAGTATTCCTCGTCGCCCAAGATAACCCTTCATACCCAATTTTCAACATTCTCCCACCATCCGCCTTAGCATACGCCGCCGCGATGTCACCCAGCTCTGCCAAATCCTTAGCGACAACCTTAAGATCTGAAGTAACACCATTGTCCGTGCGTATACTAGCACACATAAACACCAGATCGGTATCAAAAGCACGCATAAACGGAAACCGCTTCGCAACGAGATCCAAAGTTGCACGACGCTCAACCGGGTCTTTGATACCCTCAATCATGCGAAGAGGCTGTGTGCAGGCGATTCGCATTCCGAGAGATTTTACCAGATCGCCCAACTTGCGCGCAACGCGTAGATTTTCCGGGGTGGCTTCCCAAAGCTGTTCGCCTGAGAGACCATGTTCCACCAGGTATGCGGCCCAGCATTCATCAAATAGATCAATCCATTGGTAGCCGGCTTTTGCTGCCGCTTCGAGTCGTGGAGTGAGTGTGTGCTCTCGCCAGTTGCCGAGGGAGAGTGTGGCGATACCGAGCTCGTTTCGTTGCTGAGGGGGCCATAGGGAGGACATGGTGATGGTTGTTTTGGGGTTTGAGGGATTTTGGACGTCTGACCGTCGCTATTAGAAGGAAAATGGGTGATCGAATATCCGTCATGTCTTGCTCCGGGTACTCCACCCCCACAGTTCGGGGTATTTTTTAATCTGCCGGGTCTTCTCCGCCGGGGTTATGGAGCCTTTGGAACCACAGAGGCATCCCCTTTGACAGCCATGTACAGGGCGGCCTTTGCGGGGAATTGAGGGCGGATAAAAGCTTTGCTCGTATCTGCTACAGTTTTCCAGTCGAAATCCACAAGAAATGATTCAAGTCATTCAACGACCTCGTTCGAAGGTTGCTGGCCTGTCCCCCTCTCTCAAGAAGGGAACATCTCCGAGCAAGGATGTGGCGCATGCGTAGTCGAATGCACGAGAACAGACTGCAGTTTTTCGCTGTCTCCATGAAACTTGGTCAGAGGCCACTGGAAATTCGTCTATCCATCCACCCGGTTCATCTACAGGGTCTGTGCTGTATCATTCACTCTCTGGCCCCAAGGCCATCGTAACAATCAAGGCGTGGATCATTCAGGACGAAGAAAATAAAGTTTGAATCCTTTCTTACTGATAATTCTGGTACTAACAAGCTCACTCTTTACTATTCGCTCGACATCGCAAAGGAGTCGGGCATGTTCGAGCATTGGACTCACATGACTCACAGCACCCATAGTCCCCTGGCATTAAATAATATTCATTGTGGCAACAATGTTGCTCCCTATTCTGCATAATGAAAACAGAACAGGATTCTTGCAGCGTGATCCAAGTAGATAGAATGGTGATGTAGAAGGGTCATGATTGTCCTTTATCGAATTGTGACGTCATGCCTAGCAATCAACTACGGCACCACAGCATGTTTTTGGTGCATATTTGGCTCTGGATGAAAACGTACATTTATTTCGAGGTCATATTACCTTGGAATGACGTTTAGTTCTAACCTGTTCTACATACCTATCAGGACTGTATACGCATATAAAATGAAACCCTCGATTCCACCAAGGTAGGTGATCAACTTCAACTCCATTTCTCACCCACAACCAATCATGACCGAGCAAATTCCGAAAAGCATGAGGGCGGCTGTCGTCAAGGACTTCAACAAAGGCTATGAAGTGCGCGACATAGATGTCCCCGCTGACCTTGGCCCAAACGACATTCTTGTTAAAGTTGCCGCAGCAGGCTACTGCCACACCGATCTACAAGTGGAGCAAGGCGTCTACGAATCTGCGGGGGCAAAGCCTGGCCTTGTAGGATCACATGAGCCTGTGGGAACAGTCGTCAAGGCCGGATCTGACGCAGCTAAATCAAATATCCACGTTGGCGACCGTGTTGGCTCGATCAATACATACGCATTCTGCGGAGAATGCAATGCTTGTAAACACCAGGGCCAGCAGCTCTGTGAGAAGCTGGTCGGCATGCTCGGTTTGACTATCAATGGTGGTTTCGCCGAATATATGAAAGCGGATGCCCGTGTCGTCTCTAAGATCCCGGAGTCCATTCCGTGGGCGGAAGCTGCGCCGCTATTCTGCGCGGGCGCTACGGTTTACGGTGCCCTCTTGGCATCTGGCATTAAGAAAGGCCAATGGCTCGCGATTGTAGGCATTGGTGGCCTTGGGCATCTAGGGGTGCAATATGCCAAAGCCCTAGGCGCTAATGTAATCGCCATTGACAATCGAAAAGAAGCTATCGACACGGCTCTCTCCGTTCCGTCACACCTCAAGCCGGATAAGACATTCGTGATCGACTCAGATGACGCGCAGAAACGAGTCATTGAAGAATTGCAGTCTTCCTTTTATGACACCAACCCAGGTGTGGACCGTGTTGTTATCAACGCGGAAGCACGAGAGTTGATCAAATTCTCGCAGCAGTTTCTACGCAAAGGCGGCATCCTGGTTGATGTTGGCTTACCATCAGAGACGACGCTGGAAGTCGACCCGTTCGCGCTGAGCTTTAAAGAGCAGACTATCAAGGGCCGTTTGATCTGTACACCTGAACAGTGTCAGGATATGATCAACATTCATGCAGAAAATGGATGCAGGGTGCATATTGAAAAGACTTATGGGGTGGAGCAAATCAATGATATGTTCCAGCATTATCAGAGGAAGGACTTGAAGGGCCGACTTTGCATGGTGTTCTAGTCTCGGGATTGAAGGGCAATATCCGTGGATAAAGTCTTTGTGGCCAGTGTATCTGCTAGTCACACAGTCAATTCTCAAGAGCACGCAAGGGATGTGACATGCATGTCGGGTAGATATCACTTTGACGAAACGAAATTATGATTGACAGAAAATAACAATGGTGTCAAAGATTTACCGCAATATGCGTCTTGTAAGAAATCGCATTATCGGACTTATCCGCAGAGGAATTGTCCCATGAACATCTCGTTTTGTAGACGGCAAAATTCCTAGATTACTTGAGGGTTCAAGATAACGTTTCTATGAAGAAGACCATGACTCTTGACCGCTATATCAGAGAAATAGACTAATCACAGCGCCAGACTGCGACTTGCATCGGCGGGCTCCGGCCATTAATAAGCTTGGCCCACAAGGTCGTCTCCACCTCATGGACCGCGGTACAGTCATATGCCCCGCATCCCCTCCGAAGCTCTTCTGCCCGAACTCCATCTTATTTCCCAATAACTTCATACCAAACACCATTGCCCATCATGACTACTCTCCAACCTGGTGACACTTTCCCATCTGATGTGACCTTCAAGTAAGATCTGGAACACGAGATCGAAACAAGCTCATTGCTGATTGTATCTCGATAGGTACATCCCATGGACCCAGGAGAGCAGCGAGCCCTCTTCATGCGGAATCCCAATCGATTACAATGCCTCGAAGGAGTGGGCGAATAAGAAGGTTGTCCTTTTCTCGGTCCCTGGTTCGTCCAACTACTTGATCAGGTCGAAGCTCCTATCTAACAATACCAGGGGCCTTTACCCCGACTTGCTCCGCCAACCACGTTCCCGGATACATCCAGAACCTCCCCAAGCTGAAGGAGAAGGGTGTCGATATTGTTGCTGTCCTCGCTTTCAATGATCCTTTTGTTATGAGCGCATGGGGCAAGGTGAACGGAGTGCGGGATACCATTGTGAGTACAAAAAATATCTCCTCTGTTGACCAGCCACTTACGTTTTCGAATAGCTCTTCCTTTCTGACCCCGATGCCAAATTCTCCAAGAGCATTGGCTGGGCTGATGCCGCTTCGGGTCGCACTGGCCGGTATGCAATTGTCATTGACCACGGCAAGATTAGTTATGCCCAGATCGAGACCGAGCGGGGTGCCGTTAAGGTAAGAAGACGCCTTCGTGGATTTCAGTGTTTCCTGCTGCAGAATGCTAATGATTATTATACGCAGAAATCTGGAGCTGATGCAGTCCTTGCTTCGCTGTAATGTGTAAATGAAATCATGGGACAGTTATTTGCTTGTTCACTTGAATTTTATGCATTTATTCGCTCCCTAGATAAACCAAATAGAATACCAACAGACTTAGGTCAAAATATGAATCCCCCAGAAAGTGCATAGTATATTTCAAATCCAAAGATAAAAGTACGGAGTAGAAGGGAAAGTAACCTCACAGATAAATAGTTTGTTGAAAGGCGATAGGGACAGGAAACTTGTCTTTTGAGGATTAACCTCATCTTTGCCTGCCTTATTTCTCGCCGCAGTCAATACTGTAACTAAAGAACGCCAGAAAGTACACACATGCAAAAATGAACTGATGTGATTCCTCGTCGACATTCCTATCATCGAGATAAGCAAGCCATCCATCTACGACACGCGCCATTGCAACCGTCGACTCGTCTAGGCCGTCGTATTTGTCGCGTTAATACACCACGAAGACCCTATAGGTCTTGACCTTATGCTTCCATGAAAGCACCTGGGTGCATCAAAAATCGAATGGAGAAACATTTCAGACCTAAAATCTATGACTTTCGATAGAACGAATAGCTATCAATCCGAACCACTAGTGAATCCCTCCTTCGTTTTTGTTGACCAAGGTTCCATTCATTACACATACTATAATCCACGATTTGATTTTACAGTCGCTGTACTTATGTGGATAATTCTCTTAATACCTGGTTTCTGCAGAGATTCTTGCTCATAAAGCTGATAGCTTGTTAGTTAGTTATATGTAGTTAGTTAGTAGATAACTTAAATATGTGACAATATTACGTAACCATACTACACGCTTAGCGAAATGTTTTCGGTGCTACAGGCGTCCACACAGATACACTTACGGGGTTTGGAGATCAATCAATGATTCTGTAGTGTTGGAAGGCGTAGCAATATAGATGAAGATTTCAATATCAAGTATCTATCTCCATCTAACGCGACATAAGCCATAGTTCACTTTCGAAAAGACGCGGGAAACCTAGAAGCTTGGAACGAACGGCCAGTCTACCGCCAGAACTAACTTCTTTCTCTTCATAAAGCAGAACCAGTGTATAAAAAGATTAAACAAGATCCTTATAGAGTGATCCCGGCATGATTTTCAAACCGAGCTGTTACAAATATAAGTCACTGTATTCGTTCCTGGGTCCAAGAGGCCATATGCCTAGTGGACCGGTTTCCGCTCGGCGAAATTTGCTTCGGGACCCATTGTTTATCGGCCAATACCTTTATCCCGATCTCCGCCGGTGGATCGGATTAGGGTTGCTTGCCTTCCAGAAACTGTTTTGCAATTCCGTGCCGTTTCATTAAAGAATTGATCAGTGGGTGGCTCTACTTTCCGAGGTGGATACATTTTTCAATATTCTTCACCTGGGAAGATTTCAGTGCATTCCTCTTTCCTATAATTTTCTCCTTGAACTTTATATCCCCTGTTCACGTCATTATTATTAAATTGCATTCTTTTGTTATTCGACTTATATTTACATTTGCATCAAACGCTCCTCTCGAAAACGTTTCAACATTCCATGCTTTCACCAAGAGACTTTCTAATCAGTGAATGCTTTTGCTTGCATACGCGCAGATGACTCTTCGTCCGGTACACATTTCAAGCGTTCTTCTTTTCCACGATTTTATTTTTCCGTGATCGGATCCGGTAAACACGGATCTCATGAATGGTTCAATCCTTCCCAACGAGCTGCTCGTCTTGATAGGTGAGCAGCTCGGCGAACACCAAGATCGGTGGAATCTGATATTTGTTTGCCGGCATTTCTATCGGGTATTGCTGCCTCTTCTCTATCGCTCTCCAAAACTGCACAGATGGCAGGAAGTAAACTCGTTTTTTCACGCAATTGCATGCAATGAAAATCTTGCTTTGGCAGTCCGTGAGCTGGACCTCGGAGATTGGACTTCGAAAATAAAGCCCTCCAAAGAGGAACGGGAAGCTTTGATGGCTTCACCGAAAGAATATATACGAGGTTTCTCAAACAGCGAAAATGACAGTCAAGTTCTGATAGATGGCCTTCTTGATGGCAGGGCAGATGCCTGGGTTGCGCTAATTTTGCCGTTAACGAGCCAGCTCAGGCAACTCTCTCTCCCATGGGGCAATCAGGCACTTTGTATGAGCCACATCCTCCAGTGCGCCATCTATGGCGAACGCCCATTCAAAGACAAACATCATTTCCGACATCTCCAAAAGATTTCGTTCCAATTTTGCGCTTCAATGAATGAGGGTGATGTTCAATTTGGATACGGGCCTGCTTTCTATAGGCTCTTGATGCCGTTCTTCCAATTGCCGTCATTGCGTGGATTTTCGGCCAACAATCTCATTGACCCAAGCTACCTAGTCGACGCGGAGAACAATGAGCCCACGGGCTTCTCAACCATCACGGACATTGATCTGCGCGAAAGCTGCGCAAATGATGGGATGCATACGCTTATATCCTCGTGTACAGCTCTCAAGTCTTTCAAATATCAGCACTCGGATTTGCCCCTTGAATCCATAGGGTATCGACCAGATAGGCTTTACCATGCCTTAAGCCGGCACAAAGAAACCCTGGAGGTATTATGGTTAGATCACCATGGAACGCATTACTCTTACACTGCGGGTGGATTGAACCAAACCCGCGAATCATGGATCGGGTCTTTAGCAGATTTTACTGCCCTTCAGGAACTCCGTATTCCATTGCACAATCTCCTTGACATCCAACATAAAAGCTCCCCGACCACGCCCCTCTTTGATTGTCTTCCTCCGTCGCTGGAATCACTATACATAGAAGGCTGCAAAGAGCATCAGTTCTCCATGTTGGTCTTACAGCTCGATGCGGTGTTTATGAATGGTGATATTCGATTTCCCAACCTCCAACGTGTGGAAGTTGAAGGGAACTTTCTGGATGCCTCACTTTATTCGGGAAAGATTGACCCTTCGACACCGGAAACACCCGGGCCAGCTGTTAGTAGCCACATTCTGCTAGCTGCCAAAACACTGCAGAGGGGCTGTGACGCAGCTGGTGTCGACCTACACATTTATCATCACGATGGACCTCAACATCAGATCATCTCGAGGGAGAGTTGAATTGCTCTATGGCTCCTAGATGAAAGTCATCCCGTTATATTTTGCATTTTTCAATCAATGGCATTTTAGCGCATTCAGGGAGAAAGCTCACGTATCTGGTTCTAAGGGCCAGATTTAATGCACCAAGAAAATATTTTCAATGACCAGACTGTATTGATCACTTGACTACATAACTTTTTAGGAAAGCTGGGACATATTTGACTTATTAGCCTAGAACAACTTTCACCAAGCAACAAGGGATAGAAAAGTATTTAAAGATATGTTGTTGGCGTGTATTGCTGTTCGGTGACCGTGAACGAATCACTCATGTGTCTTTGGTTGTGAGGGCAAAGAAAAGCGATAAATTGCAGGTCTATTTTATATGGATAAAGACTGTACACACTTTGCGGTGAGTATATTCAAATGAGCTGCAGTCTTTTCCATTGACTAGAATTTTAAGAATGATGTTTCCTTAGGTTCAAGAAACTCCAAGTGATATGGACCAGAGATCTTTTCATAAAATTATTCCTCTATAATGCCGCCATTTCCATTCAAATTGTGAGCCATAATCCACATTGTATACATTAGACCGCCGCCAATAAGAGCATTATGAGAACTGAATATCAATTAATATCAGAAATCAAGCGGATGCGGCCACGGCGCTCGCTGCAGCCGTCTTTTGAACATCCGAGTACCACAGCATCAAAGCCGAAGAGAGTGTTGCAATCTCCCAGGCTTTCCCCAATATTCCAGTAAGCCCAGCACCCATGAAAGCAAATCTGAATCCCTTTGTCATGCTGAATGAAGCATTATGAGCAATGATAGCCACTACTTCCAACCCATCGCTAGTAAGACCCGCGACTCTGTCTTTCCTGCTCCCGCCAGCCGAGGCTCCGGGGCCAGACACCCAAACCAACTTCCAACCATGAGAGAGACCAGTAGCGAGGTCTTTAATTTCCTTGCCATGGCTACTACGCCATTCAAAACGTCCCCGCGTGCTCTCTTTGCCAGTCGCACCAACTTCAAAAGCCCAGGTTGACGAAGCAGAGAAAGAACCCTTCGATGATGGCATCAATTGTTCCTCAATAGGCCCCACGTGGGGGCTACCAGGGCGGGCGGGAAGAGTGATGGTGGCTGGCCTAGTCCGACCCCATTTGTCGACACGAACTGTCGCCATTATCGGGTGTTCATTTGTAGGGCCATCGTATAGCTCGATCAAGGGCTTGCTACTCAGGAGATTTGCGTGGGTTGTTACCGCAAATAAATTTCTCCTCGGCTGAGGGTCCCAAGTGGAATGTCCTGGTTATTTTCCATTGGAAGTAGCCATTCAAAACGGGCGGAAAATTAGTGGCGCTTTGAATATTTTTAGAGCCGTCTGCTGTTTCGCCATAAGAGGGTGCTTCATATGGCGGGACGTGCTCGTGCGATGGCTGAGCGCTCTCTGTGTAGGGAGGCGGCGAGGGGTCTCGATCAATTGCCTTGGACATGGCGAATATATTTGGTTACTGAAGCGATGAATACTAGCGGCGATGGGAATATATAGAAAATTATTGCTGACAGCCCTGGGGCCCGCGGCGGGGCGTAACGCCAAGTTGGGACTGAAGTTGACTTTGGAGCGGGATCGACAGCGGTATACTCGGACCCTAAATAGCCTCATTGGTCATTGATAGTTGCAATCAGAGAATGACTAAATGGCGCATTTTAAATTTCTGAGTATCCTTTATTAGACTGTAAAGTCCGTATCCTGCCTCTTTTCGCTATCTGATCTCGATCCTTGCTCAATAAACAATGACGTCGACTGCAGTCGCCAGCCACTGGTACAGAACGTATACACTCGTTACTACCGGTCGTATAGATAGACGGCTGGCCCCAAGTTCAAAAGCTCGTTTGCTCCTTCAAGGCAATATCCCAAGTACTCTATGCATAAAGACTGAATGACTAGAGTTCATCGCCAGGTGTGAAGCTAACAGTATGTCCGCACGTGACTCTGATTACTCAGCCACCCACATTTAAGCAAAATTCGACGGACCAGCAATCCTTTTCCCTCATCATGCCACTCCCAGTGTTTTGCACAGCCCGACTGCCCTCCATGGCAAATTGGGTTTTATGGCGAGAGCCTTCACTGGATCTCGTCGTGGGAGTGCTAGAGAGACTTCACTCTGTATCTGCTGCTCCGGAATGGTAACATCTGATGGAAGCGGTTCGTTTTGTAGTGATACATTCATTGTCTAAGCTCGGAGTTGTCTACATCTCCAGCTCTCGTAGAATCGATAGAAATAGTCGTGGTCTGGTCATAGCCCCAATGCGCAAGCCAAAGCTATGGCTACGTTGCTCCAGTGGAGCGTCGCCCGTCCGTGGTGCTGCGCTTGTGCTTGCTCTTGTCCTATTGACAAGTCCTTGATCCCAATGCAAGCTACAGTATGCGCATCCTGTCGATCTCATACAGAATGCGCAGAGAACAAGCTGAAGAATCCCTGCGCAATAGCAGCGGTTTTAAAAGATGGTGCTGGGCCTTCAATGGCTTCACTCCTCTGTCCCTTCTTCCACCACTCTGGCCCGGATGATCTTGACCTCGTCCACGGGTCTGTCCTCTCCCTTAGTCTTGACTAGACCCATGCGTTGGATCACCCGCATCCCGCTCTTCACGCGACCAAAGATTGTGTGCTTTCCATCCAGCCACGGTGTCGGCGCGAGAGTAACGAAGAATTGGCTGCCGTTTGTGTTGGGACCACTGTTTGCCATACTGAGAACACCAGCACCAGTATGCTTTAGGTCGCCACGGATCTCATCTTCGAATTTTTCGCCGTAGATTGAGCTACCTCCGCGGCCAGTGCCGGTAGGATCACCGGTCTGAACCATGAAGTTAGGGATAATGCGGTGGAAGATGACATTGTTATAGTAGCCTCTTTGTGCGAGCGTAGCGAAGTTCTTGCAGGTCTAGATAGCTCGATATTAGTTCGTTGGCCGTTGCGAACTAGAGTGGGGGTATTGGTTGCTCACCTTGGGCGCATGGGTGTTGTAGAGCTCGACAGAGAAAGTACCCTACCAGGAGTCAGCAATAATTCAAGGGCATAAACGGGATCATAATTTACCATTGAGGTATCAAAGGCGACTTCGGTCGCCATATTGAAGGTGGTTTCTGGGAGGGCGATCGCGGTTTCTTTGCGCAGTTCTTTTGGAGAAGGGAAGAGCAAAGGCGGAGCTTGGCGTGGCAGTTTACACGGTTTAACAACTTGCATGACTTCCACCTTAACATCACCCAGACTACCATGGACTAAGCTTATGTTGCTTTTTCTCATTCTTTTCCATATTGACTTTGTCGTCTTTTGAATTGCATGCCTTGTCCAGGCAGCGGACCGAAAACAACATGTCTGAGGACAATATCAACCCCCTCGTTGACTTTATTGCTCACGCGTTCTACTATCTTCCCCGTCTGGGACCTGAAATCTCCCTGTATGGACATTTACTAGTATCTGCGCTATTTCCCATCTGGATTGCCGCGCATGCCGCTCTATCAAGGCCATCCTCTGCTGCCAAGCCTCCCAAGAAGTCTGATAAAGACTGTGATGATGAGGATGATGACGACGAAGAGGACGACGATGAAGAGGGACCTGTCGAAAAGTTGGAAGGATTGCAGCCGTCAGATGCTTTGATGTTCCCTTTAACGGCGGGCTTCACTCTGTGCTCCTTATACGCGGCACTCAAATGGCTCAAAGATCCCTCCATTGTCAACAAGATCCTCGGCTTCTACTTTTCACAAATGGGCATGTTCTTTGCTGTGGCTTTCCTGAAGGATGTTCTCTTGTTTGGTCGTTCCTTCATCTTCCCAAAATACTACCGCCATCAAGGGAGGATCTTCCATGCGAAGCAGTCCGAGCGTCTGTTCAAAGCCAAATCGACAGACGGAGTGAACAGCCCTGGGTATGCACGAAGCTCTCCCCTTCCTGGGGTCTTTAGCAGGATTCCACTCCCAGGATTCATTTCAAATCGGCTGTGGGCCTGTCGCAACGCCTCCTATCAACAGCTGAGACTGCGATTTCACATTCGTGGCTTGGTCGATATCAAACCTCTCGTGGGCCTTCTCGACCTTCTGAGTATTGTTGTCGCTCTTGTCGCCGTGGTCTATTTCCAATTTGTGGAGAAGCCATGGTGGTTGACCAACTTCCTTGGCTTCAGTTTCTGCTACGGAACTCTGCAACTGATGTCTCCAACAACATTCGGCACCGGATCACTTATCCTGATCTCTTTGTTCTTCTACGATATCTACTTCGTGTTCTTTACTCCCGTAATGGTTCACGTTGCCAAAAACCTGGACGTCCCCATCAAGCTTATGTTCCCTCGTACCGATGAAACTGGCGAACCAGCGCATGCTATGCTAGGTTTGGGAGATATTGTGATCCCGGGTATGATGGTTTGTCTCGCACTGCGTTTTGATCTTTTCCTTTACTATCGACTCAAGGGGGCTCAAAAGGCGAAGATTGAAGGCTTGGAAGACGGAATAGCCAAACCCGAGTATCAGCGAGCAACCGGTTCGTGGGGCGAGCGATTCTGGGCCCCTTCGGTCCAAGCGAAAGAGCCAGAAATCAAGCCACCATATCACGATGCTAGAGCCTTTCCGAAGGTATACTTCAAGGCCAGTCTTATCGGTTATGTCTTTGGAATGGTTGCCACCCTTGTTGTCATGCAACGCTTCAACCACGCCCAACCTGCTCTTCTGTATTTGGTTCCTGGTATCCTAATTTCACTATGGGGTACGGCACTTTGCCGAGGTGAGGTTCGTTTGATGTCAGACTTCAGCGATGCTGAAGAGGATGAAGAGAAAGACAGTGAAGAGAAGGAAGATTCGGATAAGAAACTGGCAGATGAGAAACATGTGCCTGCCAATGATGGCGTTAAGGGCCTTTTCATGCGCATTTTCTCTAGCGATATGACCGTTTTCAGCTCAAAATCCGAGGAGAAAAAGGAGGATGTCAACGAAAAGAGCGAGTCGACAAAAGACAAGGGAGGCAAGACCAAGGAGTCTGCAACAGATAAGCCTGAAGTCAAAAATGCTGAGGACGACTTGGATTTGATCTCGTTCTCGATTTCTTTCCCCCGGAAGAAACACGTCAAGCAGGGTATTGATTATGATGAGGGCCCTATCAACGATGAAGGACTGGTGATGATTCCTGGCCCTATTGATGACGATGACGAGCGCCCACTGAAAAAACGCCGCGGGACTCCCAGACGGTCAACCTCAGAGTGATCCCAAGCGTACTCGAAGCCTTGTGTTGCTTTATCCTCTGCTTAGAGTTACAACGCAATGATATAGAAAATGAAACATTTCATTATTGGAAAATTTGTTCATTATCTCAGTAACTCTAAAGATGTGGTATCATATCTTCTTTTCATGCTTCAGCATTATCCTAGTATCTGTTTCATCTCATCCCATCGCTGCGCCGAGATATCCACCAATTGTCGGAGATCTTCCGTATCAATCGTCCAACCACCGAGTTTCTCCATCTTCAAGATAACCGTCTTCCCATTCTCCTTATCAACAACAACGCAGGCCTTCTCCATTGTCAACCCTTCCTCGTATCCATCAGGATCTGCAAGAATCCACCTGGTCTGAGAATCCTTCTTCTTTTGCTTCTTCGCGTTCTGCTGCTCGACATCCGGGATAACAACAGCCCGCCACCCAGCAGCAGCATCGGCTTCGAAAACACAGAACGAACTGGCAATCGGCATGCCGCGCAGAGAAAGTTTGTGAGCTTCGTTGACATCTTCCGAGCAGAGAATGGTCTCGTTATCCACATCCCACCATGCCTTAGGAAGCTTTGTGTCGCGTAGAGCAGCCAGAACCGAGGCCCACGCCGCATCGAAGGCGTTACCCGCCAGTGAGATTATCATGACATCAATGTAGAGCACCCAGAAAGCCTTGATCTCGCGAGGCTGGCGGTTCTCACTGCTGCCATCCACATCCATCTCATTCTCATTATGTTCTGACTCCGGACCCAAATTTGGCGGTTGATACCAAACACGCAAATCATCTGCCTTGACGAGGCGTGTGCTGTGAAGAAGCGACAGAATCTGATGTGAGAGCGACTGAGCCAGCGCTGAAGGCGGGGCGGAAGGAATAAAGCCCGGTGCACAGCCGGTGCTCAAGGAAAGGTTGGGGACGAGCAAGTTGAGGTCTTCGATGTGAGCGCGGTCTTCTTCGGTTTCGGCATCAGTTTCTTCACCACCAGCTCCATTGGATTTGTTGTTTGTAGCGGACGAAGACTGGGATACGCTCCACGATGCAATGTCCTCTGTGTGTAGCAGTTCGGCACGTACACCACACACGGCGGCTGTGTCGCCGATGCGCACCACGGCGCTGCCATTTGTGTGGGTCAAGGAGCCTGCGTTGGCGGATGTGACTCGGAATTGGGACGCAGCGCGGCCATTGGCCCGGACGGAGGGCTGGTTCATCGCTGGTGGTGGGGAAAGATGAGCAAGGAGGTAGGCGTGTGGTTGAAGGCGGGCGAATTGTGAGGGTGGGAGTGAGAGGGATGGAGGCACCGAAGGTGCCGCCGTTGTTGGGGAAGTCATGGTGGCGCGTTGATGTATAAGTTTTAGCTATTTCAACTTCCAGCTTGATCGTTTCGATCGTCGAGGAAAAAGTGATATCCATTTATTCGGCAGTACTATTCCGCCTAAAAGCGGTGTTTATATGGCCTCAGGCAGCCAGTTCTATACAGTACACGTGACCTGGTGAAGTATTCGCGACAAATGGGATGTTTTGGTGAAGATTGTCGCTTTTCTTGATTGGTTATTGGCCGTGCGAAATTATAGAAGATCTGGATCTGATACGTTGCATGGGCAGGTGACCTGACAACCTTGGAAAGAACTGTTTAACGCCACAGGGGAAGATGCCCCATATAAGTTTCCCGATAACAGACTTGCATGTGCCCCAAACCTTGAATTTTTAGAAAATAATGACTTCAAGGTCACTATTTTTACATATGGAGAATTTGTCTCTATTTTGGATCACTGTTGTGTCAAAGAACTGTTTTTCAAGCTCGCTTCCTCACTTAGCATGATATACCACTCCATCATACAACTCATAGTTAAGGATACAGCATGTACCCATTGACGACATGCGACAATAAATTCTTAGTTCTTGTTCTAAGTGGCAAGTTCTGCCCAGCTCCCATAAGGTAAAATGTTTGCTACTGTTTGTAGATAGCAATGGGAAGCACCGAAGCCTCTCCACAGCTCCAATGTACCTTCCCCCTCACCAGCAGCGTTCTAGATGCAAGTTCTAGATACATCTTTCCATGCGCAAACCCTCCAGGGATTACTATTTTTACCTCTCGGAGGTTCGGCCCAAAAAAAAAAAACTTAGAATACGTCAAGGGTGATGAACCATATTCTCCGAGTCGAGTCTAACAAATAGGGCTGCGGCACTGCAGCAACCAGGTACAAACCCAGTTCCGACCTTGCTATTTTGACAGAGGAACCGTGCATAGAAGTACACATTCAGCAATCTCCACCACGCTAATGCGGCCCGATCACCCCAGTCACCTTGTCAGCAAAACGCTGCCGCTGATTGGTCTCGGAGGCGCTAAACCATCACCTATAACTGGAAGATCCATTCTCCACGAGGTCTGAAAGTTGCGGTCGCCCTGGCGGCACGCCCGATTCGAGAGATTCGACACCGCAAGTTGACCATTCAGGGATCGTACGGCTTGTATTGGCCGTTGCTGGCCAACCGGTCGAACTACGCGGTGGCTGATCTTACTTACAGTCTGACCATGCACGGCTAGTGGATCCCCGCTTTGGTGCACTACATACATCTAGAAGGGGGTTCCCCCGATTTTCCCTGTTCCGCTCCCGAACTAGTCAATTGATGTACCTTCGTGCTATCGTGCCGGTATGAACTTCATGCGACGATAGTATTTGGAAGGGCGAGCTCTTCAATATTCTATATTCGAACTCTCAATCGGAAAATAAGGTAGGCTCCACAACGCTGTGGCTGGCAAAACAACAAACTTACCATGCGACCAGAGTATAGGAAACTTGAGTTATATATCGTGCTCAATACTGTGACTTGAAATGTCGGAAATTCTCATTTCCCTCGCTAAGCGAGTGTATGTCGAGGTTACGGCCTCGACAACCACTGCTGAGCAGAATGAAATGAAACGAGACTCTTTCCGTAAGGCTGCTAAATACGGATATGGCTTCATCTACTTTGCAATTTTGCTGTTGGTCATTGCTACGCTCATCCGACTCTACCACGGCTACAGCGACAAGGTACGGATTATTTTGCACAGGGAGAACAATCCTCGAACATTCTATGGCACCTCGACGCCGGACGAATATGAACTTCCCAGTGCCGGCACCGATGCCTCAAGCATGAACTTCTTCCCGACAACGGCATCAAATCCGGCTCCTAGACGTGAATCTCTTCTTCAGAAAGTCATTCGCTTGAATAAGTTGATCGCGTTCTTCCGATGGATCTTTTATCGCCCTATTCCTACTCTTAGCATTCTGGGTATGGAACTTGTGTTCCCATCCTTGGCAGTGGTAGGCATAGTATCAGTCACCTTCATCTTCGTTACTCTATATTGCTTCGTCCCACGACCCTTGTACTATTGGTACATTGCTTTGGGATCACCACCGCTTGCGGTTCGCGCAGGTATGCTAGCCGTCGCCATGATTCCATGGATTGTTGCACTAGCAACAAAAGCCAATTTCATCACAATGATGACTGGAGTAGGCCATGAGCGGCTGAATGGGTTGCATCGCTGGCTCTCTTACATCTGTCTTTTTCTCTGTATTGTCCACGTGGTACCATTCTATGTCACACCGATCTGGACGGGTGATGCCTTGATCAACTACCGAAACTGGATTCAAACAGGTATCTACTATTATGGAAATGGATGGGCAGCATTTGTACCACTGATTGTTCTCTGTGTTCATTCGCTTCCTATCCTTCGGCATCGGATGTATGAGCTTTTTATCTTCATCCATATTCCTGTTTCCTGGATCTTCGTGGCAATGATGTTCTGGCATAGCAAAAATTATCTCAAGTCGTGGGCTTATCTTTGGACGACGGTTGCGATCTGGGTCTCAACATATCTTATCCGCCTGTTCTACCTGAACTGGTCGAATCCCTTCCGGCCATCGTCATTCATGATCGGAGAAGAATCCGCCATCACACTGCTCCCGCAAAATGCTATCAAAGTGACCATCCCCACAAAAATGCGCTGGAGAGCTGGTCAGTATGTCTACCTGCGCATGCCCAGCATTGGCTTCATGGAGAGCCATCCTTTCACAATTGCTTCGCTCTGCAGCGACGACTTTCCATCTGCGTATGGTGAGAAGTACCGCGATATGACACTGGTTTTCCGACCATTTGAAGGTTTCACCCGTAATGTTCTGAAAAAGGCATTAGAATATGGTCCATTCAAAACATATACCGCTTATCTGGAGGGACCTTATGGCGGCATGCAACGCAACATGGCCGCATTCGACGATATAGTCTTTTTCGCCGGTGGAAGTGGCATCACCGCGATTGCCAGCCAGCTTCTGGACCTCATCAAACGGATACGGGATGGCAAAGCGGTCACAAAGTCGATCAAGGTTGTGTGGGCATTAAGATCTGCCGAGACCATGGCGTGGTTCTCAGAGGAACTCCGAATCTGTCGTGATAGTGCACCAGCGAATCTTGTGCATTGCCATTTCTTCCTCACGGGTATGCAGCTAGCTGATCAAGCTGGTCGAGACTTGATTCAGGAGAAGATCTACGGTATGCTCCAAGGCATTGATAAACGAAATTCGGCATATATTCGGGAAGAAGCTGCTGGTGATGCAGAGCGTGAGAAGGAGCTACGCCGGGAGAACGAAGATGGCCTTGCTGCCCTCCCAGGCGCATATACTGCGAACCATGTTCCCACTTCTCGGCATTATATTCCACCGGTGAACATACTGGGATCGCCTGGAGGCAGTAGTCCTGGCTTCGATTTTGGGTTTGGAAATTCAACGCCTGTGTCCCAGAAACAACCTACGCCGCGATACGCATCTTTCCAGCCTTCCCTGCGAAGAGACAACTGGAAGACAGACTATTTCCGACCTGATGTTTCAAAGCTACTAATCGAGTACTCTAGAAGCTTTGGTCGTCGTGCTTGTATCTTTGTCTGTGGCCCACCGAGTCTACGTGTTGAGCTGTCGAATACTGTGGCCAAGCTGCAACTGCAGGTGTTGATGGATAGTTCTAAGGATGAGATCTTTCTGCATGCGGAGAACTATAACCACTAGTCGAGGTCTAACACGCCCCTGTATAATCCTGTCTTTTGCTGTTGATACCCTCGGCGTTTTCATCCTGTCATGAAGATAATGAAGATACTTAGCTATCGAGTTCACATGTTGTAATCAACCTTTTCATTCATAATATCATTCAAAGCCGTCATAAACGTTAGACTCGTTTCAGATATAGGCACTAGTTCACATTGATGCATGAAATGAACCTGCTGTGCAGGCAAAACTTTAATCTGATGAGCGGGTATCCAAACTATATTCAAACTTATGAACGGGCCTGTCAACAGGCCCAGCATGCTCATCATCGCCGTTGCGGGTGGTTTCCCTTCTCTTCCTCAGCCTTGCGTTTCCTTGAAGGTGTGTCATCACTGTCGAGGATTCGTGATTCACTCAATAGCTGCACACCATGATCGCCCTCATCGCTATCTTCTGCCTCAACCTTCTCCCAGTCCTCATCGTCTGCATCATTCGGGGATGAGCTTTCAGCAGCTTCGTTCAGCTCCAGAGAAACCTGTGGCTTCCCCTCCGCCTTCTCGTCCTCCCATTGTACCTCTAGGCGAACGATTTTGGCGCCGGAGGGTTTCAAGCGTCGGTAATAACCTTCAACAATACCGTCCTGCACCTTAAAACCCCTGGACACATACCATCTTAGAGCATCTTCATTCGCTTCGTGAACATGGGCGGTCACTGAACTGATATTATAGTGTTTGACCAACTCAGAAACTTGATTAGAGCTTCCATCCCCAGTCGGTGTAAAGAGTAACGAGTTCAGCAGTGAGGTCGCAACGCCACGGCCACGATGAGCGGATAGAAGATGTAAAGTCTGAATATACAAGTTTGTGGCCTCCCGTCCGTGAATCACCTGCCCGGGATCCTGCTTCTCCAGCCTACACCTAATACCGCCGATCACTTGATCCGTGCCCGGCAAGGATCCGGGGGAGGGCCCTGCGGCGACAGGGTGGTCATGGTATATTGCGACGCGTGAAAGCGACGCGATGACGGGGTCAGTGATCGTACTTGTGTAGAACGAGGTTGGGTAGCGAATAGGCAAGAGAGTAGTCGTGATACGCGTCAAAGAAGGTATATGTACGGTCTTCACAGTCTCTACTGTGATGTAGGGGTGTCCTGTCGCGTAGCCCGTGGGAATTTCATGGGGATATGGCGGGAAAGTGTCCGGGCTGACATTAGGCGGGCCACTCTTTGCGACAGCCGGCGGTTGGAGAGGGGGTGGGTGGATAGGCGGCTTATTTGGACGAGCTGGACGATGTGGCGATGGAGAAGAGGATGAGGTCCTCGACTTTGACTTAGCAAAGAACTGGTAAGCCATCTTTGATAGTAAGAATATAAGCGCAGGTCCCTTTTGAAGTTCAAGTTGTTCAGTTGAATGCGAATGCGGAGATGCGATAAGAGATAAGACAGTGAACAACTTGCTCCAGCCTTCGTTCTCTTCTTCATCTGTATTCATAAGAAAGCTGGACACGGCCCCAGCATTCTATTCTGTTGGTCAGTATTCGCTATTACATTACCCCCAATTCACTGGTATCCATCCACCGGCATCCTTCCCCTCGGAGTCATTCCCCTTCTTGGAGCCGGGGGTGGATCACCTCATTCCACCTCCCGAATTCACTAAACCCACACCCGAGACTATTCACTTCACCATTCAATCTCTCTGACATTGACATCCTGGCAGTTACGAGCCTACTTCAGGGTGTGTGCTTGGTTGGATTTCATATGTCCGACACTCCTCTTTCGGGCCGACTCCGATTTCGTTGCACGCACCTCCCTGCATAGATTTACAGCACATGGAGGAATAAGACAATACACTGGCGCGAAACTACAGATTTGAACTGTGTCGCGGGTAGACACAGTCGGCCATACAGGAACAGTCAATCAATCTGGGGATTCTCCGACGGCTCCGAAAATGGCCGGCTCCAATTCTGCGACGCCGGTTTACCCTGCCGGCACTGTCGCCAAAGTGGTATGTATCTGCCTGGGTATCTACGTTTCTGTCATGCTGGACGTTTCTGATCTTCTTTTCCAGTCGACCGATATCCTCAACGAAACTTTCCACAACATCATTCATGACCTAGTCGCCAAAGTCCACCGAGACGAGAAGGTGGCGCGAATGCGCTCTGCGGTGGTACTCGCGAGACAAAAGGCCGAGGAAGGAGCATACGTGCCGGATGAGTCGCCCAGCAAGTCGATCGTCGATAGCAAGACTAGGGACATGGTTATCGATCCGGTCAAACTAGCAAATACACACCTCGAGACCAACGCCGCAACATTCGACCATGGCAAAGTGTACCTGAAGGGAAACCCGATGAAGACAGTGAAGGAAATCATATGCACAGAATGCCGACTGCCCCGCCTCGCATATCCTCCCACTGGCGCAGGATTCCGACCTCCCCCCGATCCAAATCGCGAATACTGTCAGAACGGACCGATGATCGTGCTACCTGGCCATGACGTCCACGGCAAGCTCTTCGCCATCATGCCAAATCCCAAGAAAAAGAAGACAGAAAAAGACAGCACGATTCCCGAAGTCCCGACGAGCAAGTGTCCCGTCTGCCCCCGATACTTTGTCATGAACCGCGTGGCCCAGCATCTGGACCGCTGCATGAACATCTCCGGTCGTGGTAGCACTCGCAACAAAACACCGACGGACAGCGGTGCTAGTGGCGCCAACAGTCCCACCTCCTCTGCACCAAAACGTGCTCACACCGACGAAGATGAGGGCAGCCCCAGCCCAACAAAGAAGAAGAAGCCGAACGCGCCCAAGAAGGCCTCTACAAACAAGCCCGGGCCTAGTAAGCTGAAGAACTCGTTCACGGTGGAGGACCACGAGGATGATATCAAGAGCGAGAATGCGGATGCGTGAACTAGGCGATGTCGTGGTGCTTCATTTTCGGTCATCTCGGTGTCTTCGGCGTTACAGTTTTGCTTCTTTCGTGTCATGGCGTCTGTGGGTTGGTTTTATCCGAGAATTTGCATAGATGACGATGATGAATCGGGTGGGACAGGATTGTATATTACTACTCCATAATTGCAAGGCATAGTCGTTATGGACTTGAACTGCTTCAAATCAATGTGACAAGCACTTTACAAAGAACAATGTAAGACTAGACTAGAGCTGAGCATTTATGATCTAATTATTCGTGAACATAGATAGCACAATCCACACACGAGCCACACTAAAGTAGCTGCTAAGTATAGTCTATGCAATATACTCTAGAGCTCCGATGTCTACATCTTATTAGCCAATATACCCTGCATACCGAGACCACTCCGAATCCTCACACAACCCCCGAATCTCCCAATCTTTCAAACAAAGAAGTACATCAACACTCCCATCATCCATCACAGGCAAGAAAAACAACAATCCCTGCACAGGTTTTGACTTGGGCCTCCGCACAAAAGCTGGTTTCCCCAGCAATCCATATTCAAGTCTATGCGTCGCAGCACCAGCCCACGACGAAGCATTAACCCACGTATCAGGATTAAACCCATCGACAAAACCTATTGTGCTTTTATCTGCTTCCTCTGCTATCAACGTGGCGAGGCTGCGAAGGAAATACTGATCCCTAACCCGCCGGACGTCCTGACGTAAACGGACGGCAACGTCTGCTAGGGAGGACTGTTCCATCTCGTGAAATGTCATCTGTGAGGATGTTTTCATTACTGTTACGCCCATGTATTCGATTTGAATATTAAGTGTTCGTCGAAGCTCAATTGCGCGTGAGAAGCCTGTGATAGTATCTAAATTCTGGTGAAGGTGCTGGTGCCGAATAGCACTGAGTCGCTTCCAGACAAAGGCGCTTAGAGCATCGTCTGTTGACGGTGTCTGGGCGAGAGTACTAATTTGAGCCAGATCAGATGCCCCGAAACGGAAGTAGTGGAAGGCAGGCCTAGACTCTGGTGGGGGATTGGGACGCTGCGTGGGTGTGAATGAGGATGGACAACGCATCTTAGAATGATCACAGCGTTTGATCCCGGGACCAAGTAGGGGAAACATACTAAGACGATCCCGAGTATTAGCCGCAATGGCCGCATCACTGAATTCAACATCTTGGAGCGCGGTGGATAGTAGCTGGAAGAACTGATCGATGCCACCCATGTCTAGGATGTTATGCTGTGCGGCGCAGTCGAGTACTACGCCGCCTTGTATCCAGCTGGCTGTCAAGGTCAACACGGGTGCCGGGTTGGCTTCTGTTTCCTCGTATGTATCTGGCATAGCTGTTTCTGTTGAGAGTAGGCTTCCATCTAGTTGGTCACTGGAAGCTTTGGCGTGGACTATCTCGTTGAAAGATGGGCAGTCTTTAGATAGATCTTGGATTTTGAGGATGTTTTCTGTTTGTGGGCATTGGGCTACCGTGAAGCTGCCCGTACAGCCTAGGCTTGTATTTAAGTTTATCACTGCGCCACCGAGCCACGGGAGGGCTGATGTAATCTTATGGGTTGCTGCTTGGAGATGTGCAGCGATTGTTTCTCGAGATGCTGTTGCGGGATGAGAGAAACATGCGGCTAGGTGGGTGTATCCTTTCATTCGAGGTAATTGTCCCCATATATCTTGCATTCCAGGAAATACACTCATTGCGACGTTTCTTGATTCTTTGCAAGTCATTTCCTTGTATAGAGGCGCAACATACTTCGGGGCGTAGGTAATTTTCAAGAAGCTTGAACCACTCGGCAAGTATGAGTGGAGCTCGGAAGTCGGGAAATTATCGGTAATTAGTATGGAGGAGCTGCTTCTCCGCATTGCACGAACTTGATTTACTGAAGAACGCTGAAGAAAATATAAATACTGCTAGAGTCACATTGGTACTCGAGTTACGAGCGAATTGTGGTTTCTTTCGATTCTGGGGTTTTTTTGCTCATTCAAAATGCGGTCAGCTTTTTTAACCCTTGCTGGAGTCCTTGTGGGAGGACAGCTGGCAGCCGCAAATCCCTTGAGTTCCCTAGACTCGTTCATATCGAAGGAAGGCCTACGGTCGTACCAGGGTATAATCGACAATCTGGGGAACAAGGGTGCGAAAGCCCCTGGTACCGCCGCTGGCTTGTTTGTTGCCAGTCCCAACACTGCGGATCCAGACTGTAAGTGAATAAGACACCAATTGTTTGCAATTCTAATTGTATCTCTCAGACTTTTATACATGGACTCGTGATTCCGCATTGACTTTCAAATGCTTGATTGATCTGTTCGAGAGTGGTAATTCCAAATTCGGCTTGAAGAAGAGCGAGTTGGAAACCGATATTCGAAACTATGTCTCTTCGCAAGCAGTTTTGCAGAATGTATCCAATCCATCTGGGACCCTGGAGGATGGTTCAGGTCTCGGTGAGCCCAAGTTTGAAGTTAACTTGAATCCCTTCACTGGTTCCTGGGGCCGGCCTCAGCGAGACGGTCCCGCTCTCCGGGCGACTGCTTTGATCACATACACGAACTACCTGCTTTCCAAGGGTCAGAAGTCAGAGGCAGTAAATATCATGTGGCCTATTATCTCAAATGATTTGGCATATGTTGGCCAGTACTGGAATAATACCGGTTTTGACCTCTGGGAGGAGCTTGATGGATCTTCATTTTTCACATTGGCCGTTCAACACCGTGCTTTGGTGCAGGGAGCTACTCTGGCACGAAAGCTTGGCAAGTCATGCCCTGCTTGTTCATCTCAGGCACCCCAGGTTCTGTGCTTCCTGCAGAGTTTTTGGAATGGAAAATACATCACTGCAAATATCAATCTCGACACCAGCCGTACTGGTATTGATGCAAACTCCATTTTGGGAAGCATTCACACCTTTGATCCCGAAGCTTTGTGCGATGATTCGACTTTCCAGCCTTGCTCTGCCAGGGCGCTGGCCAACCACAAGGTCTATGTCGATGCTTTCCGTTCAATCTATAAAATCAATGGTGGCATTTCCGAGGGTTCTGCTACCAATGTTGGCCGCTATCCAGAAGATGTCTACCAAGGAGGTAACCCATGGTGAGTTGATCTCTTATACTTTCGTCTTTCCCAGCTCTTGGAAGCTAACAAAGAGATACTATATAGGTATCTCACTACCCTGGCATCCGCTGAGTTGCTATATGATGCCTTGTATCAGTGGAACAAGATTGGCGCCCTTGAGGTGACTGAGACCTCGCTGGCGTTCTTCAGGGATTTCCACTCATCTGTGAAGACTGGCTCCTACTCGGCAAAGAGTCAGACTTACAAGACACTCACATCCTCCATCCGCACCTATGCCGACGGCTTCGTCGGCCTTGTACAGAAATACACCCCTGGCAACGGCTCATTGGCAGAGCAGTACAACCGAAACACCAGTGTCCCACTCTCAGCAAATGATCTGACATGGTCGTTTGCTTCCTTTTTGACAGCAGTTCAACGCCGAGAATCGATCGTGCCTGGCTCGTGGGGCGAGAAATCCGCCAAAACTATCCCAACTACATGCTCTGCTTCACCTGTGACCGGAACCTACAAGGCTGCCACTTCGACATTCCCTACTTCCACTGTTGGCTGTGTTCCCGCAACTGATGTCGTACCCATTACATTCTACGTCATCGAGAATACTTATTATGGAGAAAACGTTTACATCGCCGGTAATATCAGTGCACTCGGCAATTGGGATACTAGTGATGGATTAGCACTCAGTGCTGGACTTTACACTGAGACGGACAATCTGTGGTTTGGTAGTCTGGAACTTGTTACTGCAGGTACTCCATTCGAGTACAAGTACTACAAGATTGAGCCGAATGGCACGGTTACCTGGGAATCGGGTGACAATCGGGTTTCTGTGGTGCCCACTGGCTGCCCTATCCAGCCCAGACTACACGATGTGTGGCGATCTTGATTTTCTTGTGAATTATGACCAGATAGTGGGAAAGCAGTGTTTCCACTGCAGAATCCTCTGAATGTTGCTATCATAATGAGAATGTTGTCCGTTGGCTCTTTCCAACTGCTTACTATTCACGTGGGCTGATTTTGTGCATCCCTATATAGATAACAAAATATCTGGACCTTAATTTAGATATCCATTTGAGCTGTACTCTTCATATTTTTTGTCTTGTATTCCAAAGTTCTCTTGAATTCGACAGTTTCATTCAATGTTCTCCGACCATGAGAAATCGGTCTTCCCTGAGTATGTTTTATAAGCATATCCTCCCGGGACACTCATTCGAAATTGTGACTGTCGCTTGGAATTCAAGAGCTGTCCAGACTAGGAATACTAATAATGCATAACACGTCTTCACATCTAGACCAGCTTGGAAGTTTGCGGATCTTTCAATCTATCGCTGTAAAATTGACGCCAAGGGCCCTAGCTTGGATTCAGTTAATTTTAGCGGCTTATCTGGGTAAGCTAGCGTTGACTGGCTTGGTCAGAGCCGGCTTCTTGTCGGTGGTAGATTGATGGGGCCTGTATCGCACGTCTTAGCGGGCAAAACGGCTGCGAGATCGGAGAGCTCGGGGCGGAAATAGAAAACCGACGTGTACAGGATGACATTATGTAAATAGTCAGCGCCCGGGTGGATCTTGAAGGTGGACTCATAAAACATAAATACTTATGCTGTGTGATATGATTCTGAGACTGGTGAAGGAATTTACGGCTTCGTGCAACTTAGCTATCCGTGAGAAGTAGAAAAGCTCGACCACCTTGAACCTTGAAATCGACTTGCTCCTAAGAAAATGCCACGAGATTCGGATTCTTCGGCATGGATAGTTGACACTGATCCGCACCAGCGGAGTATCCAAATGTACGGGTATCGGCGGTGCACATCTTGGAAAGTACCACTGGAAGCCGCAGTGGGTACTCAATTGAGGGGCAGCTAGTTCACTACATTGATGGAGCCCCAAAGTGATCAGCTTTATCGTGGACAGGTGTCTACAGACATGAAAGAGAGACATCTAAGCCATATGCATAATCTGTCATCAAGCAATCAAACTTAGAAGCTTTCACATTAAACTTTTTTGAATTTCCCATATAATTGCACAGATTGATGCAATTCATCCCCCACAATTTCCACGAGCGAATAGCAATTTAAGCATAAGTCACCCGAAAGCCGTGTGGGGTTGAGTTTTGCTCCATCCCTCTCGTTGACAAACCACCTAGACTCGCGGTGAAACATGAAATATCCGATTTTACCCGCAAGATAGGATAAACGCGAGCTCTCATTCCCCATCCGTCAGCATTCCAAGCTAAACCCTGTGCATTTGGGCGGGATCCGTCGTCATAGACACCGAACTCGGCTGGGCGCGGATACCCGCGGTGGCAGATCAGGTGCAAGTATAAAGTCCCTCGCAACCAAAGATAAGCAACACGAAACTAATCACAGATGACGTGTGAACAGACATCATGCTCGTCGAACCGGTGTTAAATTCCATGACTATAAAGGGGGTGGTGTTGGATTTGGCCGCGGTGCTAGGCGTTCTGGTATGTATATTCTCTCAGCCGCTTTGATAGGCGTGGTGATCTATGCATGATTTGCTTTTTCTTACCTGCAGTACATGTACCTCTAACGTGAAAGTAAAAATGAACAGACAATCGCCTTCGCGCTATACAATCGTCTCGTTCATCCACTCCGTCGTATCCCAGGTCCTTTCCTCGCTTCTCTCACACCCTGGGTCCAGCTCTACCACGGTCTAAAAGGTGATCGACACCTGTGGCTACATGATTTACACAAGAAGTACGGAACGCATGTGCGAGTTGCGCCGAATTTTGTCTCGGTAAATAGCGATCGTGGCCTGCATGATATCTACGGTCATGGGAAGCGGATTCAGAAAGCAGATTTCTATAATGCGTTCCCGGCCATCAAGGGCGTGTATAACACGCACAACGCCATTGATAAGACCATGCATGGGCGGAAAAGACGTGTGCTCAGTCAGGCATTTTCAGAGGCGGCTTTGAAGGGCATGGAGGATGTGATGCTGCTGCATGTGCGACAGCTCTGTGCCTCCCTGGCGGGTTACAGCGCGAATGAGGATAGTCCACCCGACTCCAAGGGCGTGGTGCGGAATATGGGAGATTGGTTCAGTTACCTTTCGTATGATGTGATGGGAGAGCTGTGCTTTGGAAAAAGCTTTGATATGCTTATTGCTGATGGAAAGAGACATATGATCGGGTTGGTGGATCGAGCCGCGAACCGGCATTACGTCGTAAGTCCAAAGACCTGTCTTGTATGTTTCAGCGTGAAAAGACTCTAACAGTCATTAAGTGTGGCCTCTGGATGCCTCTTGATCGCTGGCATCTCGACCAAATCTTCATCCGACAACTCACCCAAGACCGATGGAACTTCATTATGAATTCTCGCGTGGAGGCGAATAAGCGTGCACAGGAACGAGCCATGGCCGGCCGTGAAGCGAAAAAGGACTTCTTTTACTACCTACTCAACGCCAAAGACCCCGAAACAGGCAAAGGTCTAACAACTCCAGAACTCTGGGGTGAAGCTAATGTCCTGATGATCGCGGGCAGCGACACGACCTCCACAACACTCGCCGCCACCCTCTTCCATCTTGTCCGGTCGCCAGCAGCACAGGCCAAACTACGCAAAGAAGTCCGCGATGCTTTTACCCACGTCGAAGAGATTATTAGTGGCACCAGACTAAATGAGCTGGTATACCTGAAAGCATGTATCGATGAGGCACTTCGACTTGCGCCCGCTGTACCTGGTGCCATCCCTCGCCAGGTCATGGAAGGCGGCGCAATGGTCGACGGAGTCTTCCTACCCGCTGGAACAGACTGCGGTACGCCTGTCTACTCCATCCACAGACAGGAGCAGTACTACCGCTCAGCAGAGAAGTTCGTGCCCGAGCGCTGGATTGAGGGCGCCACGTGCTCGGTATCTGGCGCCGAGTGGACAACTACCAAGGAGGAGATTGAGATCGCTCGTCGAGCATTCTGCCCATTTAGTATCGGGCCCCGTGGGTGCATAGGAAAGAGCATGGCTTTCATGGAGATGCGGCTTACATTGGCGCGACTGGTCTTCCTATTTGATATGACTTTGGCTGATCGCGTTGGCGAGGATGCGGGCGGCCATTTGGCGCTTGTGGATCACTTTACCAGTGCGAAGAATGGGCCCAATGTAGAGTTTCAAAAAGCGATTGCAGCCTAGGGATTTGCACTTGTCATTTCAGTCAATGATATTATGAAAGAATTCAATCAAGGAGAAAATAAAGTGTAAACGAGGCTGTAGTTCGGAACGGAGTAACGATAAGAATCCTTATCATCTCGAAGGTTAGTCAGGACACGTTTGCGCGTCTTGGCAGCCCCCAGCTCAATCACGACAATCTCAATAGACCCCCAATAACCCTTCAGGACGCCTAGAACTCCTCGCTGAGTATTCTATGGCTGGCTCGGTGGTACTAAGATTATGCCGTCGCCTCTGACTGTGACGTTCGTTCAGTCGACGTTTCTCAATGCCTTGTCCAATATCCTAGCACAGCTGATCGACCAGCGCAACAACACCGTGAGTGACTGCATTTGCAGAGGAAACTATGAGCAGAAATGTGAAATCCCACAGAAGAATGATAAGGCTAATTCATGATTCAGACACCCTTCGCGCTTAACACCCTAGCGCTACTGCAATTCATCACTTATGGCATTTTGATCGTGCCGATCAATTTCTACTGGCAACGCGCCCTGGAGGCGCGGTATCCTGGTTTTCCATCACGCGCTGAGATAGGCAATGTCTTTCGGTGCTCATCACGGTCTTGTTCCTTGAAATCAGTGCTTTCATTTTCATTCATTCGTTCTTTATTCTCCTCGTCCGCTTCGGATGACTCTCTTCCATCCCACAAGGATAAGGAGAAATGGGCCCCACGAGCTAGGAAGTCCGGTCTGCATAGCTTTGCGATGAAATTTCTTCTTGATCAGACGGTTGCGGGCGTTATGAACATTGTGCTATTTATCGTCCTGATTCATTTCTTAAAGGGAGAGACCTTGAAGCGGCTGTGGGAGTTGGTTTTAGAGGTATGTCGCTTTTCCCAGTCTTGGTCTTCTTTTTTCGGTGCTAATTTGTCTAGGATTTCCGTCCTATCATGATTGCAAGGATGAAGTATCGTCCTGTTGTCTCTACTTTGATGTATACTGTCATACCGGTCGACCGTCGCGTCGTTTTTGGAAGTGCTTGTGGGGTTATTTGGGGTATTTACCTGAGTCTTTACGCAGCGGTTTAGTCTGTCATCCTATATTTCCTATATTTCAATGTTCTTTATAGCAGGTCTTTGAACCGAGCGGGTTTATATCATAAGGGGATTTAGAAGTCCACGTCTGATTCAATTTGCATATCAGCATGATTACTGAGAACGCTCCCTGGTAGAATCACGCATGAAACGTTTCATAGGAATAATTTCGAAACAGTGATCGATGTCAATCTACCGCGTTAGGCATAGTGCTTACGGGTACAGCCGGCGATTAGGGTAAAGCTGGGGTAGTTTGTGACACCACATGTGTATTGGTCTACCTTCTATCGGCAGGCAGATGTGGTGGTGATCAAGTATTCAGTGGCCCTGAGACATCTTTTATCTACTTCGCCATCTTTCAAAAAAGCATCGCGTGAAACTGCGGCAGATCGGCAGATCAAGAAACTGCTTTGAATGTTTGATTGGAAATTGATCCATAGATGCAAAAATGTACTGAGATTGGATGCCCTCCCGCGCCAGATGGCGCAACTCCATAAGACCGGATCAAAGCTAATGATACATTCTGCTGCAAGAACTAGGCAAGAGCAGAATTGATAGGTGAATAGATGAACTATAAAGACGTGACGCGTGAAACTGCTGGTCCCACAGGTATCAATCCCTGTTTATTTCCCGGCTGGCTTGCGCTGAGCAGCTATACCTTGGAATGGGCCATGCAAAGAAAATGGGTAAAGGATGGGCAGGTGAGATGAGATACAGAGATACCAATGGTACTCAGACCAAGGCTAAGTACGCTTTTGACATGTCACAATGACAAGCTCAAGATCACCAATGACGACTGGCCCAGCCAGCGAGTAACAGCCCAAAGAAGTAGAATTGTAGAGATGTGGCAAAGGTGAGGTGATTTGATGAATCTCAAATGACGACCTCAGGCTTATTCGTGGGGGTTCTGCAAGGTCTCATCCTTGCTAGCGACCAAGGCGATCAGGGCAGCACCAACACCGCTGCCATCCTTGGAAATTCCAATGCGGACCTTCTTCTCGCCGGCAGCGCCAACCTCGGTAACTTCCCGGAGAGCATCGCGCAGGTGGCCCTCGAAGTTGGGGTAGAACTCGACGACACTGCCATCAACGCCAACGTCAACCATGTCATCTGTCTGGAGCTTGCCAGTGTGGATAAGGATGGCCGCAAGGGGAATGGCGCTGAGACGAGCGGCGCGCTTGCCAATAGCGTGGGTCAGGATCTTGACTGCTTGACAGTCCTCATTACTGGCGTTCTCGATGTTCAGGTGGTCCTTGAGAGCAGCCTTGATATCGGTCATCTGAGGGGTTGCATCGGCCTCGACCGCACTGAGCAAGCTGGTGTCAAGACCCCACTGGCGGTAGAGAAGGCCATCGGAAGTAATCGAGGCACCAGAGAAAAGACCGACTTTGGAGTCTTTGTGCAGAGCCACTAAAGCCCGACGCAGGATCTCACCCAGGAACATTCCAGAGACTCGCTTCTCGAACATCTGGATTCCAGGGTTGTTGCTATCCGCATCCAATTCACGGTCATAGACGGTGCTGGGCAACACGCTTAATTGGTTGTCAAAGCTACCCCACTCAGCGTTGATGATCATCTCGCCAGTCTGGGTATCGAAGTGTGCGTTCTTCATGTGCTGCAGCTTGGTGATCTTATCGATCTTCTCAACGTATGCGCCGTTGGTTCCTGTACCGAAGATAGCACCGAGAAGAGTACCGGTCTCACCGGGAGAGGTGTAAGAGCGAGCCATCAGAGTACCAACGGTGTCGTTGACCAGGGCGGCCACGCGAACGGGCAGCTCAAGGTCGTCAATGGCAGACTGAAGCAGCGCGCACACATCGTGACCAACCGCATCGGGAATGTTGAAGCCCTTGGTCCACCGGATCAGAGTACCGGAGTTGATACCATCCTGACGCACGGGGAAACTGAATGTGAAACCGAGATCGAACAGCTCCTCCACACCCTTGCCCTCCCGTTTCCGACGCTGGTGAGCCTCAAAGTGCTCATTGTGGTGGATGCGCAAGAAAGCCTCGATCTGGCGAGCGAGGAAAGTAAAAAGGTCCTTGGAGGTTCCGGAGGCCATGAGTTCCCGGGGAATCATGATCTTGGACTGGGTGAGGGAGAAGGTGGTATCGCCGTGCAGCTGAACGGAGCAAACACGGAAGTTGGTGCCACCCAGATCAACAGCCAGGTACAGACCCTAATGCATAGTGTCAGCTTTGGGAGGGGTCTTTCGGGGCGCAGTCAGATCGCATCACGGTACCTTCTCCGTGCCATTGGGCACCGCGGTCACGAACGTTGGGATCTGGCTCAAAGTGGTGTTTTCCTGTGCCAAACCCTCGTTGGACTGACGGATGTATTCAGCAACCCCGCGCTGGACCTGAGCGGCGGGGTAATCGAACTCGCGCGCAATGCGCGTGGCCTCGGCCAACAGCGGGGAGGACATGGCGGGGCACGGAAGGTAATGCTGGCGGAGAAAGAGGAATAGAATAGAGAAGAGAAGGATAAGGATATCCTGGAGGGAAGGAATAGTGTAAGAATGTAAGGAGAAGCTTAGAAGATAGAAAAGAAAATAAAGAGAAAAAAGTGGGAGGAGGGGTTCACTTCCCATGAGGTCAGTTCCCTTGGCAGTCGATTGCGGTACGAGACTCGACTACGTATTGCCACTAAGACACTTCGAAAACACCGGGTTCGCCGGAGTCCCTTGGGCTGTATCTTTTTCCCCAGAGTCGGCTTTTTTCGCTTTGTTTTCTCGTTCGCTTTACATCTATACCGGAATTAAAAACACTGCTTCAGCATGAAGAGGCTTTTGCATCCGACGAGGTTACACTACCATTCCGTGTTGCATGCCCGTTTTTTATTTTTTCCCTTTTTCTTCTCAATGACGGCATAAACCCATTTCCTTGAAACCACGGAGAAGATGTGGGGAGTGGCTGTGAATGGTCAATGGCTCTCCATGGCACGTTTTTCCCCGACTTCACCGGTGAGCGACAGTGGTTAAAACAACGCGGGAGGTCGGGGGAATTCGAACAGGGGACGGGAAAGGCAAGGAATCACGGGGAAGCGCTCGGCTGCACAGTGTCGTATGCAGGTGCACGGGGAATCTCCGTAGATGCCCGTAAGATGCCCGATTCGTGTATATTCTCAGTACTATAGACATTCTGCGATTGGATGCCCTTAGAGTCCCTGGGCTTCTCGGTGGTTCGGGATGGGTCGGCATCACACATTCGGCTTCCGACTGAAATCGGGCGGATTGGCCCGAGTGGACGGAATACCGAGAATGCTTGACACACAGTTCTCATTACCAAATGGGTGGATTCAGGAACTCCCAAACCTCTTCTAGAAAGGTGGTCCCAACGGAACTAGGTTTAATCTTACGGGAAAAACTAGCTCTTCATTGGGGTTAGAGGGAAAAATGGTCTGCACAGAATCCCATGTGGAGATTAAAAAATCATAGATCTAGGGCCAACTGACCGACGTCACTAAGAGTTGTCTAGCCCGATGATAATACCTATGTTGAACCAGAAACCTTGTTTTTAGAGTTTCTGTGGCGGTTCGTCTGTTATACAGACATGCATGCGAATTGTATGCACACATGCACGATGACACAGAGAATTCGGGAGTGAGCAATGCAAGACTTCGATCCCACCAGAACCATGAAATCGTACTGCTGATCGAGACTAGGCCAACGGCTACCTAGCTGAGCGGGCAGTAGGACGTGCAGAGTGCGATGCAATGCAAGCAACATAATCAACCCAGTAAGCTAATTGGAATGGCAGGATTGAAGATATATGTATGAATACCTGCTGCTTCACGAGGTACAATCCTCGATTACTGAACGCAGATGAGACAATGGTGGCTGCGAAGGAAGATTATATGGACCGATAAACTTCTAACTAAAAAGCATCCGTTCTTTCTTGGACAATGACGTTGAATACAATCATTATGCATGACTCCTTTCTCAGTATATACGTTGTTTGAGTACATCATCCAATTCAACAGTACGTATTAAAGCAAAGCCCTCAAATATGTTTTTTATCTTGGCAATCACCAAAATGATAGTTGATTAAGCAGTCGTGCAAGTCCTGCTAGGCGGTAGGCGCCAACTGGCAAGTGAACTCAATGATGACTAGTAGCACGTGATCTGAAGTATCGGAGCTTCGGGTGAACTGCATCTCACACATCCGCCCTTCTCTAGACCTGATTCGACAGCAATCTCGGACATATACAATCATGGGTGCTGGTAGTTCTAAGCCCGAGGCTGCGGGTGACTCTAAGCATGTCTTCTCCAGGTACTATTTTCCCGAACCCCCCTCTCCCTGCGCCTCCGAAAGCACGACAAGCGGGAAACGAACATGGCTCCGGTTATTGGAGATCAATGGATCGATTGCGACGACAACCAGCTTGCCATCGACTCAATCTCACGAGCACCTAAAACGCAATCTGCAAAGAATACTCTAAACTAACACAGAACCCGTATAGCAACTCCCCCATCCAATTCTCCTCCAACCTAGTCGAGGCCCTCCAATCCACCTCCGAGGTACGTTATCTACATGCCAAACAAGTCTCAATCCAATCCCAGACATAAAAACAGAAACTCACTCAACCAGACCGACTCCTCTCGCACCAAGGCCGTGGAGCTCGAAATTCAAAACCGCGTCGCGGCCGAACTTAAGCGCCTCCACGAGCGCGAAAAACAAACCCTCGCCGAGATCGAGAAGCGCATCTCCGAGTCCAAGGACACCGGTGCTCCCGCCCCTATCACCGCAGCCACAGGCCCAGTCGCACACAGCAATGGCTACCCAGTCGGCTCATTGAACCTGGATGCACCCCGGATTCCGTTCGCGGGTCGTGAGCACGACGCTCCTGCCTTCACTGCGCCTGTCGAGACTTCCGAGCAAGCACCCGTCATCAGCCGCGAGATCTCGCGGGACTCGGTTAACAGCGAGATCGAGAAGCTGCGGAGCCGGTTGGATGGACGACGGAAGCTTGTTGATATTGATGAGAGCGTTGAGAAGGCTAAGAATGATGTTGTTGGTTGTTTGAGACTTAATGATCGTCGGCCGTTGAACTGTTGGAAGGAGGTTGAGGCTTTTAAGAAAGAGGTTGCGAAGATGGAGACTGCTTTTGTGGATCGTATTGTGGGTTAGATTCAGATCTGATTTGATGTGACTCTAGTTCTGATTCGATACCGCTTTGGGTTTGTCGGTTTGCATAAAGATCTCTTTTTTTTTTTTTGTTCTCTTTTGATTTTTTGGACTGTCATGGCTGCTGTACTGTATTGTATAGATAGCGCTTTTTGTTTGCCATGAATAGCATGGGATGGAATCGATCCTGGAATGATGATCTACTGTTGACTTTCTACGTAGTCTAATTTACAGATATGGTTCAAAATCAAAGTACTGCGGATATCACGTAGGCATGGTTCATTCATGATTTTCTTCTACATGGCAGTGGATTATAGGGTATCAACTTAGACAAGTTCCCACGTGCCTAACCGTCCTAACTTCTCGCCAGCCGCACGAACGATACACATTTTCCTCTCATGCAGCTTAACATTGGGTATCAACACCTTCGAAAGGAGGATTGATCCAATACCAGTACCCTTGCCCTCAGAAAGATTGTAGTTTCCGGAGGTAACAAACCCGATTAGATCGTCCTCAGTGGGAACTTCTAAGCAATCATAGGCCGCGCCTTCCGGTGCAGAACACGAGAGCAATGACTCGGCAAGTTGACGCCGGGCCTCTTCGTCTGACAGCTCCGAAGCTGTGCGGCCCTTGTGCTTCTGATCGGCATTCTTGTTAGATGGTGAGGCGAGGCTCAACCATTTCTGACGCAATGCCGGGTCGGAAGGGAGACGGTAAATACGGGCACAGGGAACGGGTGTACCACGACTGCAAAGTGTCAGGTTGACTGGGGCAATGGCGCCAGGACCGGGGGGAGACTTGATGAGGTTGCTGATGATGCGATCGGTATTGCTAGGAGGGTATCGGATGCTATGGATATTGAGAGGAGGAGTGATGGAAGAGTCAGCATCAGCTGCTTCCTTGGAAGGAATGGCATCAGCCACATCTTGTGATGGTCCTTGGAGAAGTCGTTCCCAATCACAAGCCCAGCCATGTCCAATTTCTCCCTTCGGACGGCCAGCGCCAAGGGCGAGACTATTAAATTCAGAGCGGCGCCCTTTGGGTCTTCGTTCCCACTCTTTTTGGGACTTCTGCGCTTCTTTCTGACCCCATTCCCAACCAGCTCGGGTTCCAGGGAAATCACCCGGGAACCACGGTTCCCCCTGCCTCAAACGCAAGCTGTTGCTGTTCTTTCAAGCCACCGAAGCGCGGGTTTCCTCCGCTTGAAAGTGGGTAGTACATAATCGAGTACCAAACAGGAACGACGCACTTCCATGGTAAGAGAACGGTCCATGAACCGGGTGCGGTATTCTGCTTGGACAAGGGAGATGGCTTGTTTGCGAGGATCATGACCGGAATTTGTGGATCGTTGGGCTGCGGAGCGGGAAAAACGCCCGGACCAGCGAGACCCCGACGACGGTTGATGGCTTTTTGGCTAGGAAGCTGACGGGTAGCTGCTAAGCGATTGGAGCGCTCGAAAAGGGGCGATGGTCCTTGTGTTTGATCAGGAGACCACTTGGCAAGCAGCATGGCCAAATCATTCATGTGAGACTCGTTATCCGGGACTCGTAGTGTTTGGGATGGGAATTGAAGGCGCGGGTCGGAAACGGCAAATGACAGAAGAGCATTTTGGGGAAGTGAGGACGGGTTTGATACTCCCAGTAAAGAGGACCAAGTAGTCTCGGGGCTCTGAGGGCCTAGAGCTTGACCATCTGAGCCTAGGACAGGCCGCAATGCTGCGAGCAAAGCTTCTGCAGATCCCGGTCCAGTAATTTCAATGCTGCCAATGTCGAATCGCAGGTCTTCGACCATAACAGGGGGATTCTGTCGCTTCGAAGACTCAAGCAGATCTGTCCAAAGATGCAGGAATGCCGATGGATGAACTCGAACCCAAAGTTTCCGGCGTGGATCCTTTGCTGGCTGGCTTTCGTCGACACTGGTCATTTCAACATCTTCATCCTTCGGCTGTGCACACCAAATAAATGTAACAGGCGCCAGTGGTCGTTTCAAATCTTTCTCATATGTCCATGCCGGTAACGACCGAGTACCAGCTCTCCACTTCTTGCCCTTGGAACCCCATGCATCATCGCTATTAACACCAACAGTCCGTAAAACAGCCTCAATACACGACTCTTTTCCTTCAAGCTGTACAGTAGACATGTAACTCATATCCCACGCGACAGCACCCCGAGACCCGCGTGCTCTGTGCGTGGGCCTGTAACTCTTTTCCGTAGGCGACACAGGGATTGCAAATCGCCAAATAGGATTCTTAGTCGTCGCCATATGAGCACGCTTCGCATGAAACATATGAGTGGGCAACCAAGTCTTGCAACGCTGACGCTTCTTAAATTTAGCCTCCGGCGGGGGTGGTCGCGAAAGCTTGTTCTTCTTGATCTTAGGTATCCTCGGCGCAGTATTGAAAGGATGGCTCCCCTCCTCCTTCAGCGCCGTCGCCACGTCGTGAGCCTCCTTGCCCTTTTTTGTCGCAAGTCTCGCCTTGGACTTGGCATTGAGGTTCTGCAGGCGCCTAGCAGTTTCGAGCCGGATGCGCATGGTCTGCGTGGGTTTGCGTCTCCGAGAAGTAACGGTCGGCGTCTTGTCTTCGATCATCTAACATTTCCAAGAGCTACGCATTAGCTATGCCTCAGCTAAAAGTCACATAATTGCAGACTTACCTCCCGCTTTGCTCTCGCCCTCAGCCTCCGCGGAACCCGTTTCACATTGTGACTTGCTGTTCGTCTCCGCAGGGAGCGAGGCACTTTCTGAAATGCTCGTGTTGTGAGTGCGTCTTTTGATCGCTGCATTCCATTTTCCAGGGCCTGGATCTCGAAAGCCCGGGCAGCTGCGTATGCGGCGACATCGAGTTCGCCCGTTATCGAGAGGGCGGAGTCGGTGGACTGGACGGCTAGAGTGCGTGCATCGAATGTTTTTGCGCGTTTCCTAGATGCCCCTGTTGAGCCATGGGAGCCCGAGGCGCTGAAGGGCTTCCTTTTGGCAAGATTGGAGGCCATTGTGGCAGCTGATGGAGGTGCGGAGGTCAAGCACAAGTTCAGATTAAAAAAGTTGTCGGGCTTGGCGCGTCATTGATCGGCGGCCCCACGCTACACTTTATTTACTTCCAGAAACTAAGTTCTTGCTTTCAGAACCAGAAGTGGCAAGACTAAGTTGCATGCTATTTGTTCATGTGAATGATATGCAAGATCATAATGGATTTAATTCCGATCAAGTTAATTGGTGTCAAATGGTACAGAAGTCAAGATAAGACAGGCATCGAAGTGCACTCTCACGATATATATACTTTGCCGATCACATCACCACCGCAACATGGTTGGTCATGTACTTAGTGATATTGCCCAAGAAACATGCGGAGATGATGGATATCACACCAAAAGCAATACTCACATAATACACATACTTGTACGATTCCGAGTAGGCCATCTGGCCCGCTTCGACCACTATTTGATAGGCAGTCTCATTGCCTGCAATCCCAGGGATTTCCTTGATCTCATCGAGCAGAGAAGCACCCGTGAGTGTGATAACCTCAGTGATGACTTCGACGTCTGTAATGTTGAGGTACATCTCCATGGCACCACCGATGTAGTATGTGGCCTTAGGGACGAACTTGGAGATGAAGACGTTGTAGTAGATGGTGTAGCCAATACCACCACCCACAACACGAATGGATAGAGTGAGAGCAGAGATGGTAGCAATGAGATCCTATGGGAGTCAGCGATTGGCAGCTAATGGTTCCAAGGGTCAATACTCACATCAGGACAAATGATAGTGGTTATAATCGAAGCGGGGACAACGATACCACCAATTCCAAGACCAGCGAGGACCAATAGCCCCCATAATTGATACATATTGTCGACACGTCCAACAGCCAAAGCACCACAACCTGAAAAATTCATTGATCAGTACCAGTGAGATTTTGATTTTTTGACTGGAACCACTTACCAGCAGTCATGAGGACACTGCTAATAATCAACAGCTCTTTATTATGTCCCCTAAACACACTCAAAAGCACAAGAACAATACAAGCTCCAACCAGAATGCCAAGACCAATAGGCAGGCTGCGAAGTCCAACCATCACAGGGTCATGGCCGTAGACATTGAAGGACTCAGTGGGCCAGAACATGAGCACGGAGAAGAAATTGCAGCCAGAAATGCAAGTAATAACCAGGGTAAGACCCAAAGTCCGAGGTTCTTGCTTCAACCGTGTCGGGAAAATTGGGTACTTGGCGCCATAGATCTCCCAGAATGCGAAAGCCACCAACAGTAGGAAACCAATGATCAGGGGGGCAAGGACGTGGGCAGAGGACCAGGGATACTGAGGAATCATCAAGTATTAGTAACGCTCCCATGAATTGATCTTCAAACCACCTACCATGTATCCACCCCACTGCAATCCAGCTAGGAAGACGATAAGTCCTGTAATGCTCAAGAATCCACCCACAAAGTCAATGCGACTGATAATCTCCTGTCGGCTCAATCCAGCCGTATTAATCCGAGGAGGGGGGGAAGTAGAACATGATTGTAATCAAAAGACCAAATGCGTTCCACGCTCCACTGAATGCACCCACATAACGCCAGCTACTGTAATATGCGATGAGCTGGGCCCAGAGAACCGACGGGGTAAAGGGGATGATGGTGAAAATCAGCACGGCGACATAAACACCTCGCTTGCGGGTTGGTGCCATCTCTGAGGTTGCAGCCAGCGCAGTCAATTCATTCACGCCGGCGCCGGCGCCAGCAATCGCCATACCGGCTATTTCAGTCAGTCCCAGTATAAGATTGAGTTTACTTAGTAGACTCACCGATAAAAATATTCATTGTGTTTGCTGTACTGCAGACAATCATTCCGATAACAGTGAGGGAAGCTCCGATGATAGCGACATAGCGACGTCCGATCAGATCCGACAAAGATCCGACAAAGGGACAGACTGCCGCAAGACCGAGTAAGTTTGCCAGGACCTGAAGATGGGTCTGTTAATATTTGATCGAGGATTTGGTAGGAGATTTACATACAAACCAAACCCACCGATCGGCTCCTCCGATGGATCCATAGATATAGGGAGGGATTCCTCCTGGAGAACCGATTAGAATGCGCCCGCATGTGGTAAGATCACTGTTACTTACCAAACAGGTAAACAGGGATCTGACTGCCTGTCCACAAAAAGGCCATGGCTGTAAATCCCATGAAGCGGCGGAAAGTCATCTGAAATGGACCACATATGAGAATAACCCACACAACAGAACAAAGGGTTCAACTTACCGGGATATCCATCTCCGATTCTGTGAGGCCAGCCTCATTCGAGCTCGAATCGGCCACTTCCTGATGACTGTGTCGACGATCCATGTCGCTGCTCTCCTGCGGCATGATCATATTCTTCTCGTCAAACCGGGGCGGACCCGTGCCTGTATCCTCAATTGAACCCGTCATGATGGCAATGGGCAGATAAGAACCTAGACAGCTAATCTGAGGCGGGGTAAATAGTATAAGTATAAAAATAAGCAACAAGGGGGTAAGATGGATTTCAATTCCACCCAAGCCAACAATGGAATGTCGATCTTGACTAGAGGGGACTAAGAGATGTAAATACACATGGCAGCGACAGGGTTACACGTCCCAAATGACGGGCAAAAGCCACCGTATCCCGTTGTTTCCCATTATCGGGACCGTCCGTTGGTTGTTGGCTTGTAGTGCACCAATCAGCGGATGCAGTGGCGATTTTGAGGAATCTTCCTGCAGCAGACACGCAAGGAAAAGCGAGAGCAGATAAGCGATAGCCGGGAGAAAAGAGCCAAAATCTGAAAAATACCGAGGCAGTCCCGGATTCAGGTTAGTCTTGGGGGCGAGGGCCCGGGGCAGATTGGATAATGCGGGGGAAAGCGTGGAGAAGGTGGAGACAAGGGTCGAAATGGAGCTGTCGAGCATGTCATGATCGCGGGTCTCGCCCTCGCCCCGGACCAATGTCCTCAACGGGATCAGCCCCGAAAGCATACCACTTGTCTGATTCATAGATGAATCTTCTTTCTTTCCTAGGCTTATGCTTGCCGAGTTACAGGGACTTAGGCGAGATGCAACGTCATTGTGCGTAAAGATCTTCTCTTATGTTCTGCTGTATATGGAAAGATGTACAGTACAGACGAAACAACCCACACGGATTATCCAAATTATGATACTATATGTACATGGGGGAAAGTCCGGAGGGGTAGATGATCTGTGGCAAATGACTCCTGATCAATATATCGTACCCCCACCGAAAGCCCTAGTCACCGGACTTGAATCCCTAATAACGCCACGCGGTTCCTCGTTTAGAACCGCTCACCAATTGACGCAAGCTTAAACTTCTTGGGTACGACGAATAGACCCGTGGCCTCGACACAGACTTTGCCTGTCAGATCGCGTACCTCACAAATGGTGTAAGCCTTGCGGTCCGTGCTCCGTTCCTGGTCCAACCGCGTATGGAAGGTGTAAAATAAACCCGAGTAAACAGGAGCCCGGTAGTTGAGATCCATATTGGCAGTCACTCCAGTTCGTTCGGGAAAGTGTCGAATGGCTGCTCGTCCCATATTCTCATCGATTACAGTGGCCAAAGCACCGCCGTGGATCATGGTGGGCCACCCTTCCAGACCGGATCCGAGATAGACCACACTAACAACCTTTTTCTCCTTGGCATTTGAGAAGACTCTCTATCGGAAAGCATAAATGTTAGAAGATGAGATCCCGAGGTTCGGCACTTGAGGCGTTCGGCATTTGTTTCTGTTAGGTTGGCGCGGCTGCCCCCCCTTGCACGATGCTAGCCTCGTATGCTGAATGCCATGGCAGCTTACCTGTAATGCTATTCCTCTGCTTCCAGCCAATGCCTTCGAAGTTAACCGATGGGCTCTGCTTTCATCTGGCATGCCTTGGTATACACCCGATTCCTCCCAATCAGGGTTCTGCCGTAGCTCCTGCACGATCGGGAGACCCCCTTCGTAAACGGCCTCAATTTCTTTCATGTATATCCGATCCTCCGGTGACCCCGGCGGAGGAGGCGCAGAAATTTTGCTATCTAGCGCCCCGCCAGCTGCGATCCCCAGAACTCCAAATATGCTGGCGTAGATTAGACGGCGGGTCCATCGCGAACGACCGGATGGGGATTGGGGGGCGGCGGTGGATGCGTGTCGAATAGGTAATTGGGCAGCAATCGGAAGCCTTTGGATAGGCGCCCGCAGTGGTAGCTGTAGTATCCGGGAATGCATGGTAATCACATTGCCATTCCAGAAGAGAGAAGCTGCTGGGATACAAAGCCGCAGATCGACCGAGGCTATCACCACGTGATGATACGCTACGCTACAAGATCTAGACCTATGAGATACGCGCAATCTGGGAACTGTTGAATTCTTAGTTTGATCACCGCAATTGAGATCCAGAATAATATCCATTGTGCCCATAAACATCCACTCGTAGTCATCATTTCTATTCATCTAGAGGCATGTGCTTTTTTAGTCATGAATAGTCCAATCAATCCGAAGTGGGCAGCTCAATAGCGCGGTAGAGCAGAATCAGAGCTGAGTGGGACTCGCCTAAGATAACATGTTAGCAATGCTCGAAAACGACTTGATCTAGGCACGTACCACCACCGGCCAGGGTCTCGATCTTCTCGGCCTCGACCTCGGAGACTTTGTCGTCGTTGAACCACCACCACTTGTTGTTGTCTTCCTCCTCACGACGCTTGCTACCAGTCTGGTTGTTGTCGGCCTTTCGGCTCTGCTGCTTGACATATGCTGTGTAGTGACCGCTGTCGGCGCTCGCACCCTGGTGGGTAATCACACCACGCAGTTCGTACAGACCCGACTGGTTGGTCCCACTATCCGAAGAGCCATTCTGCTTGAGAAGCTCGTGCAGCTCTTTCTTGGCAGCCTTGATCGCAGCATTCTTCTCCTCTTCATATTGGGCATCGGTCTTGTACTCTTCCATCTCAGTATCGCCGTCCTTGTCGTTCTTCTTGTCGGTCTTCTTGTCCTTAGTCTCCTCAGCTGCCTTCTTCTTCTGCATCGGTTCCAAGCTTCCGCTTTCACCAGTCTCGGATTCGTTCTTCTTCTGCTGTTCTTCCCGATCAAGAGCTAGTCTTTGACGCTTACGAGAGCGCTCGGCATCCATTTCGTCCTTACGGATTTCGCGGACCTTGTCACGGACAGGGACAAGTTGGTCGCGAAGCTCATCGGTGCAGAACTCGACTACGTCAAGCTCAGCTGGGAATGTCACTTTACGCATGATCTTGGCCTTCTTCTGGGTCTCACGCTTCCAGAAGAACCGGACAAAATGCACGGTCAAGTATTGCGGCAAGCGAGAAATACGCGATCGCTTAGTGTACATAGCATTGCGGTCCAGTGTAGGTGACTGCTTTTCGATCTGCTCCTCTAAGCCGGCCATGATGCCATCTTGAAGGTGATTAGTGTCCTTGCCGATGTGGCAATCTAGCTTGAAGAAGACGTCAGAGGACTTGTTGGGCTCCTCGCCCACCTGCTTGGCTGCAGGATCATCGCACTCAGTGATAGAGCTAAATTGGCCGGCCATATATCGGTCGACGAAAGAAGTCCGGCTGCCTGACTCTCCGTCCGTGATGGTTAGTTTGGCTCGCAGCTGGTTGAGAATTTGCGACCAAGCCTCCTCGGCATCCTGCTGCGCATAGCCGTGGCCGTTGCGATCCTGTTGTGCGAACTGAGGAAAGACATCTCGGAGGGCAACCAGGAACTCCAAGGGCGGAATACCTTCCTGGGTCTCAGACATCCGTTTAAACAAGTTCCGTAGCTGCGCAGCAATGTCTTTTCGGCCTTCTAGGCCAGCAAGGCCAAAGCTGCTGAGGCTTGCTAGGTTCGCCTCAGCAGAGCTACTGCTTGGCTGGTATCTCATAAGCTCCGCCTGCAGCTCCGGGACACCGCGAAGGGTCTGGAGGGTGGAGTTCAAGTAACAGGTGTTGCCCAAGTTCTGTAGACCAGCAGGGGTGGCTCCCTCTTGCTGTGCCACTTCAGCGTCTGTCATGTCCTCCAAGAACTTCATTGTCTCTTTGGGTTTGCTCAAAGCGTCTTGGCCTCCGGAAGGCGTGCCCATCATCATGAAGGTCTGGCCGGGTTTGGCGTTGAGGGAATACAAGGGGGTATCATCTTTGAGGCCACCCTTGATGAGCACCTTTTGTCGGTCTGGTTCCACGCCGGTCAGAGAGAATAGCTGATACTTCAATGTTTCGCCGGTGGAGGCTGGATCCAGCTCGACTTCGTAGCGCTTGCCGCCGTGTTTGATGATAACTTAGGATCTGTTAGCAGGAGGGACAGGCACTGAAGCTGCTGAGTTTGGAACGTACTAGGTATGGCTGTCATGTTGACGAACCGATGGGACTGTTCAAAGCTTTGAGAGGGGTTGAGAGAAGGTTGAGATGTAAACAGCTTCGAGATGATGGAAAGAGGGCGTGGGGCGCTCGCCTGCAAACACACCAAACAACCTATGGACCGCCGTCATCATCACCGCCCCCGGGGAGCGGGACGCCAACTCGCCCTCTGCCTAGCCATTCTCCACGATCTCCAAGCCTTTTATCCTCTGCCACCGGTGGTTGCGGATACCAAGGAATACCGCTTTTTTGCGATTGAGCTTCTCATATTGATATAGGGTCTACTTGCGAATTTCCCGTACTTGGATTACCTCAACAACAACCACCCCCTCCCCCTCCCGCACCATGTCTCAATCACTCCGCCCATACCTTCAATGGTATGTGAAAGCTCTACATGGCCCTATATCATCTAGAGCTACTAGCTGATACTCTCCTCTCTAAAGTGTGCGCTCGTCGCTTACGGCAGCCTTGGCAATTTCCAACTTTGCTTCTCAGACATCCGAGCGTCATAACGTCCCCGAAATCGAAGCGCAGACATCCCCCGAGCTTATCCTTAACCCCTTGACGGTATCTCGTAATGCGGATGAACGGGTTCTAATTGGTATGTGGTCCGAGCCCTAGCTGGACACCCGTCGATATTTGTCCAAGTGCTGAAGTGAGAAATATAGAACCCTCGGTCAACAGTGTCCGAGTTTCCATCAGAATCAAGCAGGCGGATGAGATTGAGCACAGTAGGTTGAATCTGGCAAAATTTCGTCGCTCGGAATACTAAAAAAGCTGGAAGTCCTGGTCCACAAGTTCACCCGTTTCCTCCAACAACGCGCTGAGTCCTTCTTCATTCTCCGCCGGAAGCCTATCAAGGTGCGTAACTGATTGATGGAGATACCCGCGACGCACATTCTAGACAATCTGGTTGCATATCTGGCCCAATTGATCATTTGCTAACAATTTCACCCAGGGCTATGATATTTCTTTCCTGATCACCAACGTGCATGTTGAAGCGATGTTGAAGCACAAATTGGTAGACTTTATCATTCAATTGTATGGTTTCCTCCTTGCAACCGTGCTAGTGGTCCCAACTAATCCATCTCTCTCTCTTCAGCATGGAGGAAGTCGACAAGGAGATTTCCGAGATGAAGTTGTTTGTAAGTGGTAGTCCCATCTACGTCTAAGTCAATAACGCCATGTACTAATATTCTACAGTTGAATGCCCGTGCTCGCTTTGTTGCTGAATCTTTCTTGACTCCGGTACTTATTAGCTTGTTCTCCACTACCCTAGATGCATTACTAATTCACTTTCTAGTTCGATTAAACTATATTGCGTCCTTTTCTTCCTGGCGATGATTGATGCATGCTCCTGCTTTTTCCTTTATCTAGGTACTTCTGTACATTTACCTCAGGCGGGCAATGATATTTCAGTTTGACCGTGACATCAAAACCTTCTTCATATTTACTTAGGGCTGTACCATAAATTGGAGCATAGAAGCTCAAGATGGGCTCGGCATTGTCGGCAAATACGCTTCCAAGTTTTCAATCTTTGTTTCCCACAAGAATTCTGACAATGTTTCCCGATGAAAGACCTGGCCAGCCGGAAGTACTAATTTAAACAGATCCATCGAGAATTATATATACAAATCTCACCCTGTCGACAAATTCAATCTCTGGATCTATCTTCTCGAGACATGGATGATACCAAAGGACCATGCAGTCCAGTATGTCTTTTGTGCCAAAAATGACAGAGATGACTTCAGCCATCCCTTTGACAGCTAGACAATGCTACAGACGAAGCTCGAAAAATACTGCTGTTCTTTCGCCGATGAAGCACTTTCCCGTCTGAATGATGGATGGCAACATTTTTTGCAAATATGCACATCCCGACGAGATCTGCTACGCACAAAACCCGCCTTGCCAGCCAGCTACCTTGCGCTTCATGAAACGCTTATCTCATATACTCACACAAAAGCGATCTTGACGAGCACAAATTCTGCTGCATGCTTGAGGTGGATGAATGCAGCGCCCGTGATGCAACGAAGGAAATAAAAGCCGCGCTGTTGTTTGGGATCCAAACTCCCGTTGCTTGTCGTCCAACCGATTCCTGTTTATGAACATATTGGAGGATGCAGAAATGATGACAGGCTTTCAAATCTCATTGGTGTTCTTTCGCTTGCCTTGGCTCGAATCCTCTCCAGCTGGCTTGTTGAGCTACCCAGCAAGAAAATTCAAAAGCTTCTTACATCAGCTCTCTGTGTGTTGGCAGCGTTATGAGGTGATATATCGAAGGACAGAGCTCGCAAACTCCGTTGAAATCGACGTCGGGGCAATTGATGTAGTACTATAGCTCGGTGGTGGGTTGCCATTTACCCCGGGGCGTGGATGGAAAGAATATATTCTGAAGAAAAGGGTGGAATTTATTCTCTCGAAGAGGGCCAAACGGTCGCCGTCGTTTGACAACCTTAACGACAACTCCTGCGTCTCAGATCCCGCTTATTCTCTTTCGTCATATACTGCATTGAAGCTCATGGTTCAATTCTGTTTATTGCACTATTTGGGATCATGATTTCACGATAGTGTTCCAATTTCCGCAGCCTTGACCTTCCCACCGCATATTTATCCGTCTTGATATCCCCTTCAACTGACAACCACAAGTGCAACGAGATCTCAGGGTAGTAGATGCCTCCCCTTAAACCCAACGGATTTTGATAGACAAGTTCTTCCCAACAATCTATGGATCTGGTAGGTTTGGGTTCGTATATTTATAGAGGAACCTCGAGTAACAGCACCAAATGAAGAGACGATGCTCGGAGACCTTTTTGTGTCCCAAAATCGAAGTAGGTATAATGGTCTATGCTATAACATTTTTCTTCCTTTCACAATAGGTAACCAGCCGTCGGGGAAAAAAGGGAGGATAGATTGAGCGCTAGGATTTCGCGCTTATATTTCATTCCCAACCGACTTCTTGCATGCAAAATTTGCGAACCTGCTTTGCTATTTCAGAATGCATCTCGTGAGGTGTCACTGGACGTCTTTCGGTGAATTATAGTAGACCAAGAAGGAAGGCCCTCTGAGGTTATGTATAATGACTGATGGATAAGCAGCTGTGACGACAGTGATGAATTGGATGCACTAAATTATCCAAATGCGAAGCCAATGAGGAAGCATGTCCCCGAAAGAAGGCAATTTAGGATGATTCAATTCCTTGCAAACAAAGCATATGATGGATTGGACTGAGAACAACGCATTATTAGTTATAGTGCTGGTATCACTTGCTGTTGGCAATTGTGGGCTTCGCCATCTGGACCAATGGACCAATTCAGAAATGACTCTGCCTAAGACCATTCATTTATAATACATTCCCCCTTATATAGTCCGTATCATGTAGGTACAGAGTTCTCGGGCAGGTCCTGTCCAGCAGGCTCTGGTGCTTTTTGGCTATCCAAAAGCTTCTTCCTCATCAACCCTTCCGCTCGCATCCTCTCTTTTCTAACCACGGGATCTTCCCAGTCAACCGGCTTCCCTTTACCTTTCCCCTTACCAGAAAACTGAGTCTGATCAGGAGAGCAAGTCTTTAACAAACCCACTCGGAAACGTTCCCTCCGATCCGCATTGACCGCAAACCGCTCATTAGCCATCTTAACCAACATCTCGAGATACTCCTCTGTGACCAGACTGCGTATCACAGGCTCCGCAGCACTACCATCCTTGTCGTCATAGTACCCAATCACCGATTCCAGCGAAAGGCCAGATGACCGAACCGCAACAACAGGGCTAGGTCCATCTTCACCCTCTAAGCAGCGCAAGCCTTGCAGACCACTTTCACGGAATCCAGATGCAGCTGCTATCGCCAGGACTGGCTGAGCCTGGTGAAGGGTAGCTGCCATTATGTGGAGGATCTGAATCTAGTTAGTTGGGGTAATCTCATCCTCGCAAGTTAATGTAATACGGCGGCTAACGCAAAGTTTTTGCTGCTAGCTTCTACACTAAGTGAAACAGGGTCTAGCCAAGGGCCCTAATGACAGTTGGGTACATACCAATGGTTCGAAATGAAAACGAACAAGTTGCAACGCTTTTCCCGCAGGTGGTTTTCCATCTCCAGGAACCAAATCAAACTGGTCATGCAATGGAAATGACCCTACCCCAGACGATGCAACATTGATCTCAGGTAGAATAAGAGGATCATGGGAAACATACAGCCAGCGACCGGTACCTTTACCCCCAGATTGAGCGAACTGTCTTTGCGCCTGTTCAGGTGCCTGTGCTTCCGGTACAGAAGTGTCGCTCTTCTTCCTGCCCTCCAGAAACACGCTGATACGACCTGCACAACTGCTGGTTGTGACTAGGCCAGGCACGGCATTAATGTCACGGATCAGATCGCGGATGCCCTCATCTACCGAGCCTTTCGGTGAAGCATCCGTGTACTCGGCATCTGGCAGTGACAATTCCTCTAGGATCTTGTTCTTGCGAGCCTCAAACACCGCGGGGATGTTCGATGTGGGGGTTGACATTGCAGTAAGTCACTGCCAGTAAACCATGTGCAATAAGCTTCGTGCTAGTTGGTTGGATCAAAACGGCAGTACGATATCTGCAATGTATAATGGAATGCACCGGAATGGCATGGAAATGGCGTTAAATGATGACCTGTTCAGGGCAGAAAACAACCGAAGGGTCTCGGGAAGCAAGAAGGCGGAGAATCCGCCATGTTTTTCCCTTTCGTATTACGCAGTAAAACGAGGGAAAAAGCCGGTTTTACATTAAGGTATTTCCCACCCCTTCGATCCTTTTTATTTTTAAACTTTGTCAATCTCTTTGAAATTTCTATCTCAGTTACCGAAACTAGACTGGTGTCTAGGTACAATTTGTGTTCCTGTTCCTGGATCTCGATCTTTCCCACTTGGTCAGGAAAACAAAAAACCAAAATCGGCCATATTGGATACCTACGCACCGACCTACAAGATACACTAAGTAATAAAAGAGTCGCACCAGCAACTCGGTATCCAACTCCACTTGATCATGGTTCGACGATCGTCTCGGCCCGGGCCCGCAGAAGTGCCAGAGTCAGCCCCGAAACGACGTGCCTCTGCACGACTGTCCGCCCCACAAGCAGAGGTCAAACGAGTCAAGTCCAATAGCGCGTTGGCAGAGGTGAAATCCACTAGCAAGAAAAGCAAGTATTTCGAACCCGAAAGCTCTGCGGAGCCGGAGCTGAATTCTAGCGACTCCGACGGTGGGGATTCGGGCTCCGCTTATGAGGAGAAGGAATCAGAAGCCTCCCCGACTCCGGAGATAGAACTGGAAGCCTCTGAAAGTGAGGAAGAAACCCGGGGCAAAGGTAAACAGCAGCGAAGTGGCGCATCCAGCACCGGGAGTCTCAAGGGCAAGGAGCTTTGGCGCGAAGGTGTTCGCACAGGCTTAGGACCAGGAAAGGAGGTTTTTATCGCGAAGCCTAAGGCGCGAGACGCTGGGGACGTGCCATATGCAGATGAGACGCTGCATCCAAATACGAAACTGTTTTTGCAGGATCTGGCCGAGAACAACGACCGCCAATGGCTGAAAGGTGGGTTGCATCCACCACGCGGTTAATCATGTCGCTGACCGGGTTCTTCTATTTTCGCCCTTAGCGCATGATCCCGATTTCCGCGCGGCAAAGAAAGACTTTGAGACGTTTGTTGAGACGTTGTCCGCAAAGGTCTCCGAGGTGGATAGCACTGTCCCCGAGCTTCCCACGAAGGATCTGGTATGTAACAGATGGTTTTGGCATCTCGTCACGCTGTTTTCCAGCGCTGACCATGTCTTTTAAGATTTTTCGCATTCACCGGGATGTTCGATTTAGCAAGAATCCTCTTCCATACAAGGTATGCAGAATGGACCCCTCCACTGACCCCGGTCCAGTCGCGTGACGAAGATGCCTTGTGCTACTGTGATGCGAGTTAGCGTCCTGCTGACGGACGAATAGATTCATTTCTCTGCTGCATGGTAAGTCTTCGTGACAGGTGATGAGACAACCTGCTCATATCAGCACAGGTCCCGCACTGGCAAAAAGGGCCCATATGCAGCGTACTATGTCCACTTCCAACCTGGCTCCAGCTTCGTGGGTATGTCTCACATCAAGATCTTGTTCCCTGTCCCTTTCTCTGCGCTTTGCCTTTCCTTGTGGCCTGGCTAATTCGCAATAGGTTGCGGTCTCTGGAACCCTGAGTCCGATGCACTCGCAGCGCTTCGAGAGGATATTGACACGGACGCGGATCAATGGAAGGAGGTGCTTCGAGCACCCGAAATGCGTCGAGAGTTTCTGAACGGAGCCCGTAACGACGACGACGCGGTTGTGAAGGCCTTTGCGCATCACAATAGAGAATCTGCACTCAAGACCAAGCCCAAGGTATGTATCTTCCATTAGTTTGCCATCATCTGCCATCTGCCATCAGTCATCAGTCATCTATCATCCGCCATGCATTCTCGCTCTAGGGCATCAGAGATTCTCATCAACCCTTGATTGTTCCTCATCCCCTGTTCCATGGTTCCATCATTGGCCATACTCGATGATGAATGCCAATAGGCTTCAGAGGGTTGGGTGCATTCTGCGATCGAGGTCTATCGGCCGATCGGACCCAGACATCGAAATGACCTGATTTCCATCTTCATCACGGAGTCAAGTCATCTCTCTAGCCATTGTTTCCACGGTTCACTTCGGTAACGGGGGAAATCTCTCCTGCCGTTAGAAGTATTCGGCTAGGTCGCGCGTTACCTGGGGATCTCCCTTGAACACGAAGACCCAGGCCTTTGACAGCGTCATACGAGCCATTTCCACATAGGAATGATGAATCAACGCCGACACACTCAGTGGTGGCGGGAAACATGACCGCGCACGGGTGTCAGCGGGTGACCCGTGTTTTGGAAAGCAATCCGCAGTCTCTCGGGAATCAACCACGGGCCTGGGTCTCGTACCAGATATTGTTCTATTTGTTTTTTTTTTTCTCTGTTTTACTCGTTTTTGGGGGGGAGCATTTCCCCCTATTTCTTTCGTATTAAAATATTTTCTCACGCCGTCTCTTCTGGTTCCATGGTTCAGTCTGGCGCCAGTCTCCACGGGCCATGAGGGAATGGAAGAGAATGTCCCTCGGACCCCCGAACGCCCCCGGAACCAAAACAAGGAGCACTTGCAACGATCTATGGGAGCAGAGAATCTAATATTGTTTTCTAGGGCTACGAGGCAGACAACAAAAATATTGAAATGCTTCGACTACGAAGCTTCACGATCGGACGACCCATCACTGACGCGGAAATCATGGCAGCGGATGCGCAGGACCGGATCGTCGCGCTGATTGGGGTTATGGAGCCCTTCGTAAGCCCCCCTCCCCCTCTCTCTGATCTATCTGCTGTGCTTTGTCTTGCCTTTGCCCCCGCCGATTTTGCCCCCTCTTGACTAGCCCAATTTCCCTTCTGAGCTAGCCACTTAGGCCCGGTCTGCCCGTCTCCTTTTATGCCCCTCACCGAATCAACGCGAGATGCCACTTCCTTTTCTGTTGGGCAATGTTTGGGACGTTTGCTGACCGCTCATCTTGAACAGGTGACGTATCTCAACAGTGTTGTGATGCCCGATCAATAGACAATGGAGATTGGATTGGATCTCCGGCATTGGATTCCTCCGCACTGGCACTGACCTAGCGGAGGGGGTAAAACCAGAATAAACAGAACGTAACTGGAAACACGTAGAGGAGGAGACCACCAATTTACATGCATATTTCTTCACGGGCGAAGCCGAATGATATTGTATCCACCATCTCCATTTTCACCGGGGAATTTCTTCAACCAATTTAGTACTTGGTTGTTTTTTTTTTGGTCAAGATTACCGTCTCCATGCACCTATCGGGGAATTCCCTGGCAAACCAACCTGAATCACTAACTTGGTCCTAGACCCTCAACATCTACAGTTACGAAACCGTGTACGTTTCTCTAGTTCGGCTCCTGGTTCTGCAGCATTTCCCTTTTGTTGCTTTGTGCATTGCGCATGCCCAAACGTAGACAGCTGCATTTCCTGGTCTCATTCTTATGCAGAAGGAAGTGTCACTGCACCCTCGTCACATCTTAGCTGCAGGAAGAGCGCTAATTCAAGAAGGAAGGGTGTAACGAGAGGCGTATTCCTGTACATGATCAATTCTAGAAATCATTTTCTTTTTTACGTATTTTCTTGGAGTATGTCTTCGGTCTCACAAAGTCTCATTCTCCGCAAGTCGTCAAAGCCCATTCGCAATGCGATGTGCAGTACTACAGGAGGTACGAACTTTGTTAAGCAATGAGGGCCAATAGTATATGGGTCGATAGAATAGCGCCGTTTTAACCCGCTCCCATCCCACTGATAATCGCAATCCTAACAAACTTTACCTACTCTGGAGTACAGGATCCGATCATTCTACTGAAAGAACGGGCTCCAATCCGCGACACTACAGTAAAGTCACCTCGTAACTCTCCAAAATAGAACAGGAGCACAACGGACCGAATACGAATGCTACCAATAGAAAGGCCAAACCTACACTCCCAAAAACCGGGTCAGTCCCATAAACCCACAAAGTTCCAGAATGGCACCAGAAAAAAAAAAAATCAAGACTCCATTTCCCATTTCAAAACTTCATCCCCACCAGACCCCCCAAAAAACCACGCACTAGAAATGATGAAGTATTGGAATGGATCCATGGAAGGAAAAATGGAATCAGTCCCGAACCATACTGCCGTGTAATGTTGCCACCGCAAGCGCGCCCGCGCCCGCGCGCCGCGTTCGGCCCGTTGTCGGGCATGCCCGCTAGGCGAAACCTTGGATGACTCCATCTCGCGCGTGTGGATGGCATTGGATTGGGTCGGGTCGGGACTCCGCCGCGTTCCAGTACCAGAGTTCGCCATCTGTACCAGTACCAGGAATTCAATGGTAGACACTGAGCACCTTCCTGGTATGGAAAGGGCTTAACTTGATCCCGATTTGGGATCGGATGGATGGAGGATGTTCGGATGGGGACCGCTTTCTTGGGATTGAGTCCCGGTGAGTAGCGAATGTACACAATGTATGAGTTTTGGATATGATATGATTTGATTTGGGCGAATGTGGCTGCGGATGTGGATGTATTGTGTTTAGCTTTTCTTGGTAGCTGCACTGGTGGGAGATGGTTATCGCTGCAAGTATAGATGCCTGATTGATGTGCATGTATATGTGCATGTGCGTGTGCATTACATTGAGTGTAATGTAGGGGGTAGTGCATACAGCGAGTACATTATCTAGCATGCAGAACTCCACCTGCTGTACAGTATGCAGTGTTCGGTGGAGTAAGGGGGGAAATAGGGAGAAGTAATGATCTTGATTGTGATCAACCGAGGCGATAGTCTTCTTTGTAGTGGCCAACCAGAACCAGATCCGAAGTAATCGTCGCACATCGGACTCGGATAATGACCGACTGGGCAAGGCAATGATGAGTTGAATTGTCGGTGTTGCAATGAAACTAACCCTTCGCTCGGCTGCTTTGCATTCTGTGGGAATAGCTTTTCATGTAGATCGGGTTGGTTAAAATGGAGATGCTTCCAGAGCGCATCGGTCTGGGTATGTTTGTCGCAAATTTGCGACTTGTCTGTGCGTCAGGTGTTATTTGGCTGAGTTTGGAGCCTTGATGGGGTTAGTAGCTTAGCTTGACAGCAAAGGTTGATTCGATGTTGAGATGGGGATTGTCGATGGAATTGTGGTTGGGTAAAGGGGTGTTTTGGTCGTAAACGACAGCCAGTAGAGAGCCCTAAACGTGACACCTGGTCTGTCCAAGTTGCTTTGACTGGGACGCCCGTTGTAAAACGGCAGGAATTTGAATGGCGACAACCATTTGTGTATCTTGTGACTCAAAGTCCTGTTCCAAGGTTGTCCCCAAAGTTATACCAACATGCAAAAAAAAAGCATCATCGATCAGTAAATGAAGAATGACATCAGCCCACATAATCAGCGGATCTCATTTCAGTTGACATGCTTTGGCTCCTACAGCCTGTTCACAATATGCGATATACAATGCACCCGCCCAATGGGAACACCCGATCCCGTCCAGCCCGCATCCTACTCAGCCACGTCAAGGCACCTGGGGAACCCCTGCCACGGGCTACAGATGATGCTCCCATGCCCCATGCAGGCGCAATGCATAACCGAGACCTTGCTGCCCAAAGCCCGGGATCTGAGCGGTTCTTCGATCATTTTGAGTTGTTTGCTGACCCTCGGCAGAATAGAATTTTAGCTTCAGACATGGTCACGATCCCTAGTCACTCCGTCAGCCCTGTGGTTTTTGGAGGGCCGTTCACTTCCAACCACGGCTGATTAAATTAACGGTGTGAGGTCATTTTCATCGACAAGATCTCCTTGGCTCGTTGAAACGATTGAGAAAATTAATACTATTTTCATTAAAAAGACAGGTATGGGACTAGGCCGTATTTGCTATTTTCTGACCTTATGTGAAAGACCGTGAAAGAGTGCAGATGGGTGTCAGATCGCTCATGCATCGGTTAGCAGCAGGAAAAGAGGGAAAAAGCAATGTGATCGACCCGTCCTGTACGACAAACATTCAAACGGAAAAGAATAAATAATCAATAATTAAAAATTCCTTTTTATTTTTCGCTCCGAGTCAAAATCCCAATCCTACGGTGTCACCGCCAGTCCTAAATGCCCTCGACCCATCACACGACTGGTGCACTGCCACTTAAACCCTGCTAAATCCAGCTCGCCACGTCAGATCCCGTCTCGTCATAGGCCCGTGTTCCCGTGACCGTCGTGCCATGCGGGCTGCAGCGGGCTGCGCCTATTAGTGCCCGACGGGCTCCATCCTGATAGACGCGCTCCCGTGTGGGTAAAATTAGGAAAGAGTGAGAGAAAGAGAAAGGAGAAGAGGGGCGGGCCCCTCTATTCCTGTCTTGGGGGCCAAAAATTCATCTATAGGTAACCAAACAACAGGTAAGCTAATATAAAATGAAACCCGACGAGTCCACTTTGAACACCGAGCAGAAAAAAAAAAAAAAAAAAAAAAAAAAAAGAAAAAAATAGAAATAAACAAATCCCTGCCGATACGAAACAAAACCACAAAAAAAGAAAGAAAAAAAGTCGTAGCCTGCACCACCGGTCGGGGTTGGATCCCTAAAGTCAGCGCTCAGTCCTTCCATTGGATCCAGCTGAACTAGCGCGTCCCTAGGACAAACCGCATCGAGTGGCCAGGGAGTTTGGGTCGAGTGTGGATCCCCTAAGAAAAAGCGCAAAAAAAAAGAGGTTTTGCTCCGTACTCCGTCTCAAAGTCTGGTACGCTAAATGTAGGTGAGCAAAGGCCACGCCAGAACAAAGTGGAGTTCAGCGGACGGAAAGACGCGGACGGGAATGCAAGCGCCGATTGGGTTCACCAGGGAAAACAGGGAACGAAAAACGTGGCAAGACCCAGATTAATTTCTAGACTCCCGGACCTAGAACCTGAAAGAAAAATAAACCCAGAATAAAAAAAGAAAAGATAATATCCACAGGTCGTAAGATAATAGATCAGAGTTAGGCAATCATCCCGAGCCTTGTTCTTCCTTGTTTGTTGAACACATGCATGAGATCGGCGGGAAGGCCGGAGCGGCCCGTGGGACAAGTACCCCGAGGCCAAAAGTTCGCCCGGGGGGATACTACCACTTGAGGTATACTGTACTTGCCGACAGTAGGTAGAAAGTACCTACCCTTCTGGTACAGCGGTACACTGACCTCCGTTCGAAATAAAGTAAGGGAATTTAATTTAATCTAATGTCCCCGCTTCTTTCTATGAAATCACAAACGTTGTTTCCAAGGAACCGAGTGTCCCCACCTCCTTCCAAAGATACGGTGGGTCCCCGGGGATTAGCGGTGACCTGTATCCTCTAGTAACTGTAATTATTTCCAGATGATGGAGACACCCGTACAACGTGGTTGTGGCCCCCTCCAACAAGGAACCCGCCCCCTGTCAGTTGCCAGCCGGCGCTAATGCAGGTTACCTTGGCTCTTGATGGGCCTTCCGAACCCAAACCAGCCGTTCGGGCCCGGGTAGGAAGAGAGCAGGCTCCGCTCTCCGTCACCAGACTCTCGTATCGATAAGTGGCGAAAGCTGAGAAGTCTCCACTTGTGTTCGAAATGTTCAGCTGAAGTCTGATCGCCACCTCGCACACCGCTCTCGACTGGGCGAGGGGATGTTCAGTAGTACTTGCAGTAGCGCCCTGTACATGGCCCGGAGAAGATATGCCACATCTTTTTTTTTTTCTCTTGTTTTAGTTTTACTTTTACTTTTATATAATTTTTTTTTTCTTGTTTTTGTTTTCCATCCATTAATTATCTTGAAAAAAAAAAAAATCTGTCTTGCTTTCCACTTGATTAATAATTTTTTAACTAACATGGCATTTTTCCTGCTTCCTTATTAGCCAGCATGCGGTGGGGGGTATTGGGTTGCAATGGATTAATGCAGGCAGATTCGCCCCGACCCGCGCCCATCGCCATGGTAGAGGATCCTGGTTCCGCGGGGCCGGTTGCGGTTGTGCGACGAGAGGAATGACGATCCACCTCCAAATCGCATGGGCAGGGGTTTTATTCCACGGCTTCCGGGTCACCTGGACTTCTTGTATCGCTTTGCGTTTTAATTTATTCTTTATTGCAGACGATTTCAAACAATAAAGAAATTAAAAATGTCACACTTCGGGAGGATCTCGCAGTTTATTGATTACACCTTTGACCGACTCTCTTAGTCCTGTGGGGGAGAGGGGAACTAAATGGGGGCTAAGGAAGGATTGGAGTTAGACTTTCGGGAGTAACTAGTTCACTAAGGGATGAGATATCCCTTGCCACACCGTTCTCGGTTCCACGGACCTTCGCAGCTGAGTTCCAAGAGTGTTGAGGTCTCAAGAGGGTCCGTCAATATGGATCCTGGGTCAGTTGGCGCCGCTTTAGCCCGCGCTGCCCGGGGCTCCACCGCGTTTCTACGTAAAATAAAAAATTCCGTTACCAATGAGAAAATTGAGTTCTTTTTTCTTTTTCATTCTTTTTCATTTTTTACCTCGACTTGACTCTGATTGGTATTCTGCCCTTTTTTTCTATAGGACTATTCTGCTCACGTCATAGTCAACGCCGAGGCTCTTTTCTTTTTTAATTATTTTTTTTCTTCTTGCCCCTTGATTTCCTTTTTCTTCCTTGTTCTGCACTATCGCATTTCGGGACCCAGATTGGATCTTTCCTTTTTTCTTCCCCTGCGCTATGCTGGCGTGACTTGACCTTTCCCCCCATTCATAACCCGACGTCACATCCCTGTATCCTTGACTCGTCTCATTTGTTTTCTCATTTCTTACTTTCCCCCTCTTCTCTCTTCCCTCCAAAATCACACAAATGTCAGGCCAACCGCCCCCCGGGCAGGGACCGGGCCAAGGAGGACAAGGAGGACCACCAGGACCACCAGGACCACCATACCCACCTAACTGGAATCCCGACGATCCCTATCAGCAGCAGCCTCAGGTATGTTGAATATAGAGGAACATGGTGGTGGCCTACAATGCACCAAATCTGACCTTCATATGTCTTTGAAGTATCCGGGGCAATATCCTCCTCCCGACGGTGAACGCTACTATCCTCCACCTCCGCCGCAATCGCAATACCCTCCTCCCACCATGGCGGCTGTTCATCACCCAAGACAAGATCCTTATCATTTGCCTCCACCACCACCAGGCTACCCTCAAGATCCCTATGGACAACCTGGAGTCGTCTACCAGGCTGCAGCACCGCGCCAACGAACGGCAATTGCCTGTCGCTACTGTCGCCGACGGAAGGTACGTGGGGGGAGATTTAGCAAAATCCGAGGCGATCAGAGCTAACGAAGCCTCGACAGATTCGTTGCTCCGGATTCGAAAGCTCATCGGATGGGCGTTGTACTAATTGCGTGCGATTCAACCAAGAATGCATGTTCACACCCGTCTCGTCACAGGCGCAAGCCTTTGTCCCCGCACATGCCGCCTACCCTCATCTACGCAACGCAGGACCAGCGCCCCGTGGTGCTGGTACCCCCATGCTCTACGGAGCCCATGGACAGCCTCTGCCTCCTCACCAGCAACAGGAAACTACCTTGCCGCCGCCTCAAGGGATGTACCCGCAGCACTATGGCCCCCCCCTTGCATCGTCGATGCCGGATCCGGTAAGGCAGTCATTCCCTTATTCAAGAAATACGGAATTGAGATCTAACTTGTTTTTTGTAGAGACAACCTGGTGGTCGACGAGGCTCGGGATCTGAACCCGCTTATCCCGATCCGACAAATCTTGCTCCCGTTACCCCCGCCGGGTCCCTCCCGGGATACCAGACCCCTAGCCCCTACTATGCTCCTCACCCGCAAGATCGGCGTGGCTCGCCCTCTGCCTACGGCTACGAAGCACGCCATTCTTCTTCGCCCCACGGCTCACCATTCCCGCCCATTATGCCGCCACAAAGTAATCCCACTCCACCTCCTTCAACCTCAGCTTCAACACCCAGCGGCTCCGCTCGTGCGGGTCTGAACGTGCGCGACATGCTAAACCCCGGCGATCCCCACACTCGCAGCCCCGCCGATAACAACATGCTCAATGCGCTTGACCGCCGTGGACCTGGTGGACCCGGTGCACCCGGCGCACCTGGCCAACATGGAGCACCTGGCCCACCCGGCGCACCTGGTCAACATGGTCAACATGGCCAGCCTGGCCCACCCGGCGGACCCGGTGGACCCGGTATCTAAACATTTTCAGCGTTACTTGGGGTCTCGCAGGATGTGTTCAAACTCGAGGCCTGTGGAGAAGAGACGCGTGCGACGAGAATGCGGGGGGATTTCAAAGGGATGATCCGTGTGCTGGCCACACGGTTAGGGAGCACCATATGTTGAGGATAATGGTGACCTAGAGGTATCGTGGCTGGGTCGGCAAAATCCGGTAGGATCTGTGCCTTCATTTTTCTTTTTTATTTTCTCTTTTCTTTCTCTGGCTCCGTCTCCTGCCGAGAGAGTTTCTCTGGAATTCTCCCACCCCCTTTCGACAATCGTCATCCTGCGGATGCGAGGGAACTATTTTTCTGCATGATATCTCCGGACGGAAAAAACACCAGGAATGATACTGGGGTTTGTCTCAGATTACTCGGAATCACGAAAATTTGACCTGGAGGGCGAGAATTCCGGCAAACGATGAAATCGTCCAAATTTTGTGTCCCGATCCGACACGACGCCACACGAAACGCGGAATCATGAGCTTTACGAGCCGCACGAACTTTGAAGCACCGAATTTCCCAGACCTTGGTCTGATATCGGCATACGATTTTATTATTTCCTTGTTTCACTCATACATTTCGTTTCTCCTTGAATTTCGGATTAATTGTGAAGGGGTCCGAGCAGCCTTGGAGGATGTGTCTCTCTGCACGTTTGCATTCTGCAGATCGTGCCGGGAACTCACCTTTGTCGTTATTGGTTCATCGAGATCGCTATCTTTCTTCGGGAAGGATAGCTACATTCTCGGATGACGACCTGGGTCCACCCAGCAGGCCCTAGCGCTCGACCATCGGTTCCATGCATACACGAACCGGTCCCTATCCACATGTTTCTTCCCGTCCCTTGTGATACACCATATTGGAGATCACAAGTGGCCCCATACTTTTTTTTTTTTTTTTTTTACAATCTCGGGCGGCTATTTGACTATTCCACTTGCGTTCTAGTTTGGTTCCCATCATTTCGCGTCCCTTTGCGTTTATGCTCATGTTTCTCGTACATCCTATATTATGCGGCAGGCAATCTCTTTGAAGCTTTGGGTTTTCTGCGAATTTGTCTCTGATAAAAAGACGGTCGGCTGTGTCAACTTTTCACGTTTTCTTCGCTACCGTTTTTTTCTCCTTTTGCACTCCTGTTTTTCTCATTTTTGCAACTGCGTCTTGTTCCTGCGTTATTGCTTATCACTGGGAAGGCTGTTTGATCACTCTTAGTTTTTATCTACATGTTATGTTCTTATCTATATTCGTCTACTCGAGCTTGAGCTCGATCGCGCTCAAATCAAGTCCTGCATAACTTTTATACTTTCGTATCCACTCAAGATAATCCTCGTATTCACGTAATCCCTGCCTTTCGCCCGATTAGATTCCGATCCAACAGTCCCCAGACGCAAATCCCAGCCCTAAAGATCAAGATTCGAGTCGACCCGAGACAATGCAACTCATTCAGATTTGCGGGGATGGACCATCCCGCTCCTGATATCATAAGGGTCTTTATAGGGCTGACGCGACAAGGGTAGTATTTAGGGCTAAGCTAATCTGAATATGTTCGGGAGACGGGAGGGGAGACTCCCGCGATCGAGCGGAAGGCCCGTTGGCCCGAGCAGTTAGCCAATAGTTTAATTTATCGTAACTTAATCTTATCGCGGCAATCAATTTTGGATTTTCCAAAGTTTCACATGGTCAAATGGGGTTTGAGAAGGGTGTTAGGTATAAGTTTATTCTATTGCTTACGGTGCGGGATGTGTGTAATTAGGCTATAACTTTTGGTTTGGGGGTGGATAATAGCTACAATTGCATAGTACTGTACAGGAAGGATAAGTTAAGTCATTTTTATGCAATGGATATTGTGGATAGAGACTCAAATGAGTTAATTTACTTCATCAACCATTTATTGCGAGCATTTCATAATGCCTATACCAGCAATGTTAGATACAAAATGCTTTCACTACAGAAAACCTAATGACTACGCAGAATAAGAAGGTCAGAAGATGTTCATGAATTGAGAATTTGTGAAAAAGAGAGAGACGGAAAGATTTATCAACATGTCGACACCTGGAGTGAAGCCTGAAGTATGCGATGAGCTTGTCTCAACACATAACACATAACAAAAGGTAGAGTCAACAGATTTGCTCTTCGATTGGTGCTCCTTCGCCCTCCCTTTACCTTATGCCACTAGTATACTAGTATCAGCCAAGGGGTATTATCCTCCAATCCACTTTATGGCCTAATCCTTTCGAGGTCAGTGCTTCTTCACTGCATGCCCAGTGTCGTTATAACCCACAGCTTGTCCCTACATACCATATAGAACAATCCCCGAGTCACAAAGGTCTATGATTGATGCTTAATGGCCAAGTCTTGATTGAGTCTGACTTGTCACCGAGCTTGATGGTTTGCAGTATGTGCGACAGCTGGTTCACGCCAAATAAGGTTTGGACCAAGATAGAAGGCGAAGACATTAGATGTGTGGATTACAGTCCGACAATCAAGTTCGAATGGCACCTGACTGAGTCAGGGGCGGCCTTTAAAGCAACTTATCGAACCATGAAACTTGAAAGAGAGCGAAACAGGTTCAAAGTTCAAAGCGATGGAACAAGGATGGGACCTGAAAGCGAGATTCGAAGTTCGTAATTGAAACGAAAATGGCAAGTTAGCATCTGGGAGAGAAGGAATGAAGTCAGATAGGAGTTATCGAACTTCTTTACAGCCTACTCTTGAAGACAGCCTTACATTGTGGTTTAGGCCATCCTCCAGGTGCCCATGGTATTGCTTAACAATAGTTGATTCATTCTCAATCTCGCAGTGGACTCGTTACAGAAAGCTACATTATAAAGTGATAGGGACCGCCTCTCCATGCCAGCCGAGTCAAGGCATCAAGTACTAATACTCGTAGTCCTCATAATGAAACTCCTTCAAAATCTCCGAAAACTCGCAAACGGCAGATACGATAGTCAAAATCTCGTCCTCGGACTTATCAGCTTCAACGAGAGCAGCGGTGAAATACCATGGCGGGCGATAGAACAACGGACCCTGGTCCTCACGAGGGATTACATCAAAAGACCTGCCAAGGGCATTCGTTATCTTATCCCAACGTACTCGCCAAGTAGTATTCGTCTTTTCCATGGCATACTGCCAGGACTTTTGATGCCAAAGAGCGCAAACCTCGTTGCAAGGTATTGGAAGGCCAAACAGGCTAACCAGGTAATCCGCGAGAAGCCCCATCTCCCATCGAAAACGTATCGTCGCTGCTAGCATCGGTGCATGTTCTTTGCCTTCATTGCGCTCGTAGTATGCCTGCAACTTTTCACCGAGTGCCACATTCATGTCTAGATCCCAGTCTCCAGGACACGTTTGATGGAAGATCCGCGCCATGTCTTTGAGTGTTCCGTGAGCGAGAGCTTCTGTCATCTTGGTGACGATTTCTGGCTCGGGCCGTGTGTCCGTATGGAATTCATGCGTGCCCCATCGTCTTTCAAAGTCTTCCAAAGACACTTCAATCTCGTCCAGGGACAATTTTGGTGGTCTTTTCCCATCGGGTTGGGGGGCGTGGCTTCCCTCGACGAGAAGCCGGTAAAGCCAGCAAAGGGGTGCAGCGCTCATCACAGCCTTGCTGGGTGCTGTAAATGGAGGCTGGGATAATAGAGATGTCCACATTGCAGATTAGGATGATTGGTATCCTGAAGAGCTTCCGGTGTCGCGTACTTGTTCTGGGATTGTTCTCTTCGTTCCGGTGCCTCTGCAGGAAAGATGATGAGATATGGTGAGAACTAGCAGAGGATAGAAGAGAATATATGACTTGATTATCATCTGTATCATCAAGGTGTTTTCCTAGTCGAACTAATATTACGTCGAGGTTGGGTTGGGGGCGATCACGAGTATAGAACCCTCGGGCTTCATTTCTACCTGCTGTGATTGGACGGGTCGTAAATGCCCCCACATCCCCGTATTCAGGAAAGTGAACTAAGGAAGTTGGCCAACTCATTCTGCACTCCCTTTTGGTTCTGGTTATTATCGAAATGGTTTCCGATTCCGTTGTCATTTGAGACGGTAAGATCCATAGCAACGCAGCACGATTTCCGCGTAGTTATCGTTGCTCGAGGCGCACGAGAAAATCGCACCGCAAGAAGCGGCCTGGATAAGTCGGGTATAAGGCGTAAGAAACGCCGGGACACAAAGTTCTGAAGTCGAAACTGGGAAACACAAGATATAGGAATACAAATACCTATAAGAATGGAACCAGCAGCTAATAGCGGATAACTGAAAATACCTGGCTTGCAAGTCACAACAAACTGTGAGATCATAAGCTTTGAGACTGCCACACGCATCGGGAGATCCACTCGAGTCGAACAATTGGGAAATCTGGGTCCTGCTCAGCGGAAACCAGGGACTGGAGAACTAGTGAAACAAAGAATCACACACAACACACACACAACACACACACAACACTTCTCCTCCTCTACTCACAGAGCACGGAGAACATAGTCCACAGACCGAACAAAGATACGACTGCGATATACACTCTGCATAGAAAGGCAAGAATGTAAAATTTCCATTGGGGATAGAGAGAACTAAGAGCAACCGGACTTATTAACCTTCTGTCTTGGAATACTGCCTCGCTAGTTCGTCAAATCGGATGTGAAGAGGTTGTGGGGGATCTGTCGTGATTGGAGCGGTGTTTTGCTGGCCAGGAGCGCGGGATTGCACTATTGATTGCCGGATCATCGGGGGAAATCAGAGTCGTTTCCGGCGTAGGCTCGGGGTTATGGGATTTAGGACCGATGTCTGATATCTGATCTTGGGCGATGTCCGATCGATGGAAATGAGAATAATCAGGCGCACCTGACCTCCCGAATTTGCCAACAACCACTCCGCGTCGGCCTTCAGTTTATTGAAAGATTCCGACACTCCAGCTTCCATGGCAACCGACGGCCATGCGGATGGGTTAATGTACGGTATCCACTGGCCATTCGATTCTTTTGAACACGTATTGCCTTTTATGCGCGTACCCCAAGAGCCGAGATTGTATGCTCCATATTGGAAAGGCCTAACACAATCATAAATTCCTTGTCGAGATTTCGGAGGGCCGATTCGTGGTTCCCCCCCCCCGACCAACTTGATGATCAAGCATCTTGTGTCGTGGCTATAAAACTTCCGGGCATATTTTCCTTTGGAGTAGGGGCTAAGTTTGCTTTGGCGTTCTTGCGCCCTCGCGGGATCAGACCCTTAGGAGTTTGCAGAATATGGTCTCTATTACCCTCCTCTTCTTTGAGTTGAATATTTTCAGTGAGTAAATCAGCAAAAAGTCGGAGATGTCCTGTCTTCGAGAATCGCAATGCATTGCTGTGGGGTAGTGTTCACTCGGACTTCGCCACGAGAGGTGACATTAGAGTCCAACATCGCCAACACATCTGCTGCACCAGGCACATTATCGACGATCACCTCAACGGGAATCACCAGATTTTTCGTGGCCGCATCTAGCCGTAGCAAGAACCGTCGGTAGGGTCCCCGTAATTGTCCCGTTTTAAGGTAAGATACCTCGAACTCTGACCGCGTGTATCTGTGAGATGTCGAGAATCACCAGAGTAGGGGTAGACTGAAGTAGACAGCGTACTGTCATGCGAACCACGGATAAGGAAAGATCTGGGAGCTTGGTAGGACCAGATTGTGGACCGACCCGACACTCCTGATTTCTGAGTGATGGTGGGCAATATGGACGCTTGAAGAGATATTGTTTACTGTTGACGATTGTGAGCAATTATCGTTACTTCTGTATCAGCCCTTTGTATCTGTTAAAAACAAACTGCGCATATTTAAAGCAATCTTTGTGGGGAGTTGAAACTTCGTCTTGTCATCACCTCGATTCGTCAAAGTCAAGTGGTCTATCTCTTCTCTGATCATCACTTCATTTTTTCTCTCTTTTTCTTCCACACACACTCTGCATCCGATTCAGTTCCCTCCCTTCTAATCCGGACCTTAACCTCACTTTACCAAACTCACATCATGGAGAACTTGGAAGGGGTTGAACGAATTGATGAGACAGCGACATGGGATTCATTGGGAGAGTTTCTCTCAATGGAGGCGGAAGTGAGAGACCAAAATCACTCGATTTTACCAATGAGCGAGGAGACTATTTCCTCTGAGTTCATGGCCATTCAAAACTCAGTTGGTATCAAGGAGTTCCAGAAGTAAGTGAGAGTTAGTTGAAGGAAGAAAGGAATATCGAAGCAATCCGAGGTATTTATAGTCGATAAAAATAAAATCAGACCCTGACAAAAAGTTATCCATTGCTAGGGGTGCGAAAGTCTTAAATACACTATGTACCTAGTCATTGGAAGGTATTTCCTGAATCAGTCTTCGGGCCTACACCATCAATAATATATACTGTATTCACTAAATATGTAGTTCAGCACATCATCATATCTTACTGAAATTCTATATAATTACGCATAGTTATTAATACCCATCTAACACACAGAGCTACCTCTTCATTGTAAAAACATCCAGCCTAAGCCTTCTAATCACTAGTAATTAGACTAGGACCTCCACGGTATACACGGCGGAGCTCAGAGGTCTCGTTCTTACACTATAGATAATACTCGACACACCGCTAATATACCTCCCGCCGGACAGATGCGCCATTATATTCACTAATAACCAAGCCGCTATCTAAGCCATTCGGAACCCTAAGCACCTATCCAGACAATACATTTTAGCCGAGGCTATCCGAGCAGTCGAAGAGCTTCGGAGCCAGGGGTGGTAAATACAGTTCCGATGGATTCTAGCACACGTCGGAGTGCCAGGTAACAAGGCAGCCGACCAAGTAGCGAAAGAGGCCACTAGAAGCAACCTAAGCACGAGAGCGAACACTAAACGGCCGCCAGAAGCAGACTCTCTACGAACACTCATGGCAACCACCAAGTCCATCATCCGTCGAGCGAGAAGAGCCGAGTGGGACACGGCCTAGGAGAATGCCAAGCACGGTAGGGAGCTCTTTAGGCTCGGGGTAAGGCCAGGGAAGGCAATACTTGACACACATGTTGGCACACACAGATACGCACGGGCAAGATCGGCCTACGCGCATACCTTCACGCCATCAACAAGTCCGACTCCGACCAATGCGAATGCGGCCACGGGTCGCAAACCGTACGGCACGTCCTCCTCGAGTGCCGAAACTGGGCGGACGAACGACATCGAATGTGGGCAGGCAGGGCCCCATGCATCGAGATCAAACGCATTCACCGTAGCCCGTCAATGGCAGTACAAGCAGCAAAGATGATCTTGAGGACTGGACTGCTGGGACAATTCCGGGCAGTACCATCCACGGTACTAAAATACACATAGTGAAGACGAGTGATTTTTGGCATATAGAAGAAGAGGAGGGCCAGGAAAGGCCTGGAAAGTACATAGACGCAGAACAATCATTAGATTATGAGTGGGGGCCGACCGGCCGGAGCGGAAGAAGGAAGCAGTTCTGGGAGGGACGGCTTGTTATCTGAAAGCAAAGACGGGGACACCTGTACATATAGATGAATGCTGCATAGCCGCCTTAGGGCGGCTGGGACAGTCTATGAATGAATGAATCAATCAATCATTGAGTCCGTCTCTAGGAACCCCAGGCCCGTCGCCAGGGACCCCAGGCAAAAAAGGCACAATCTTGGACCAGACACCTAAGCTACTATTTTTGCTCGGTCTTTGGCAAATATTAGAGCTTCCTTGAAAGCGCCATCCCAGTAAAACTACGGGGGGTCAGTTAGGATTCTCTTCTACCTTTACCGACAGTATTTCTTGCAGATAAAACTGACCGAGATCGCGGTCACAAGGGCGGAAGACCTTTGACAAAAGATAAAATTAGACCCTGACGCCACCCACCGTGCGGAGCACCCCTTCACAACATCGGAGAAGAGAGTCATATCATAGGAGACAGGTCTGGTGTTCCTGGACACAAATCTAGAGTTCCTGGCAACAGGTGGCGATACCCAGATGCATGCTTTCTTTGACGCACCAATGAGATTGCAAGGCTGTCTGAGCTAAAGCCATCCGGAATCAGGACCGATGAGTAATCAAGCCCTCAAGAGTCACCGACCATTCCTGTGAGAGCCACCGCTCTGGCGAGAGCCATCACTCCGGTAATCTCCAGATTCGAAGCCTACTTGGACACGGTTCAACGGATCGTTACATGGCTGGCCGGAAAGCGCAGGGTATTTGTCTATCCCGGCCTAAACAAATATGTAGGGCAAAGAAGCGAAAATAAGATTACTTTGCCTTTAGGGGAGACCCAGATGCGCCATCTATCACTCATGACATGATAATCCCCCACACCGAGTCCAATTTTGTAGATCCACCTAGGAGCTCATTGGGTTCCTAGAGACATGCTTAGCACTCCTAGGGCCAGTTGAAGCGAGTCCAGGAACCTTTTGGCTCCTAGAATTACGGACTTGGTTCCCAGAAGCAGGGGCACTCCAAAGTGGAGCAAGGAGAAACGATGAGCCAATCAAAACTTTCCATCGGCAACATGCGAGAATGGTACAGCAGTCCAAAAGTAGGCCAACTTGAAATGTGTCTGAATCATAGATAGGCCCACAATTGATTCTGGAATCAAGGTACATATAGTAGTTAAAAACGTAGTAGTTCTGTATTGTATTTCGAGTCCCAGATCTGTCCCAGCTACTGTACTTTAGTTTCAGGGCCCATCAACGAGCATTTCCCCAGGCCGAAGGCTGTCAATACTTGCAAAATTGGGTGCGTGTCTTCTGTTCATCAGTCCTACAGTACTGAAGTCAGCTACTGCAATCATTTATTGGAAACTGGCTTATATCAAAAGCGCAAGACCTACCACCTGTTACGGACCTGGACGTCAGTTACACGCTAGGCCGGGGTTATGTGGAAAGAAGGGCCAATCAACTTGGACCCCAGATGGAAACACATTCCAAAGGTATTTTGTCGGAACACGTAATCAGGGCGGTGGATCAACAACCAATTGGGGTTCGACCGTATATATGCAGCTGTCTGATTCTTCTTCTATCTCGGTGCTCGCAGTTAACTAACATAATTCACCCCCGAGCGGATAATCCTGGTCGGGCGGATAACCCAACCAAAACGCGTCAATTATTTAGTCCGTTCTTCTTCAACCACCCACCATGCCACCAATTCGCTCTCAAAAACGTCAAAAATTGACGCTTCAAGAAGGTCGTATCTTACTTGCTATCCAAGCTATCCAGAAGCAGGAAAAATTATCAATCCATCGAGCATCATTCATATATGATATCCCATATACAACGTTATACGCACGCCTTCATGGACGTCAAAACCGCGTTGAATCACGCGCAACCTCCTTTAAATTGACTGAAATTAAGGAGAATTCGCTTAAAGAATGGGTGATCTCCATGAATATACGCGGAGCAGCACCACGTCCGTCTATGGTCTAAGAAATGGCTAATCTCTTACTCGCGACACGCGGAACGACCCCGATTTAAACCGTTGGCAAAAATTAGGTTACGAAATACATTAAACGACACCTAGAACTCGATATAAGGTTCTTAAGACGCAATAATTATAATCGGGTAAAGTGCGAGGACCTAAAGATCATTATAGAATGGTTCGACCTAGTCTAAAAGACGACTTTAAAGTATAGGATCGATAAAGATGATATCTATAACTTTAATAAGATAGGGTTCGCGATGGGCTTAATAGCGACCGCAAAAGTCGTTATAAGAGTAGAATATTATAGTCGACGCTCTCTTTTATAGCCTAGAAATCGTAAATAGGTTACCGCGATTAAGTGTATAGGCGTATCTAGGTATAGCCTTCCTCCGATAGTTATCTTTAAGGGAAAACTTTATATTAGAGGCTAGGCTGAAGAGATAAAGCTTCTAGGCGACTAGTAATTTTAGGTTAGTCTAAATAAATAGACCTCGGACGAGATTAGACTTTACTAGCTTAAGAAGATCTTTATTCCATTAACTTCCTCAAGGTTAAAGGGGATATATCGACTTCTAGTTCTTAATAGTTATAGAAGCTATCTAACTCTAAAGTTCGACGAAATTTACTCTTAAAATTATATAATTCTAATCTATATACCACCGCACTTATCATATCTTTTATAACCTCTTAATGTGGGTTATTTTACTATCTTAAAGCGTGCGTACGGAAAGTGCGTTAAGGACGTGATGCGGTAAGGTCGGAACTATATTAATAAGTTAGACTTTTTAGACGCCTTTCCAGACGCTCGAATCGAAGCTTTTAAAGCAGAAACGATCAAGAATAGCTTCTCGGTAACTAGCTTAGTCCTATATAACCTAGATCGGGTTATTTTAAAGCTTAATATTCAGCTCTAGACGCCTATACCACCACCATCTCAAGGAAGCTAGAGCAGCGCGTGGGAGCCTTAGACGCCATTAAATTATAAGCAGCTCCTAAAGCAAGCTTCTTTAATTAATAATCTCTTAAAGAAGCGCTCTAAGAGCCCACCAAGCCCAGTTAATTCCGCTATAGATCAGGTGTTTAAAGCGTGCCAAATCATAATGCAAAAGACAGCTTTTCTAGCTCATAAGAACCAGCTCTTACGCGCTAGAGCGGAGAAAACAGAGTCAAAAAAAGCACGTTCTAAGCTCTAGATATCAGCTCTAGAGGGCCTATCTATCGCTGAGCTTCGAGAACTAGCTCAAAATGATCGAAATAGTCGAATTAAAGCTCCATCCGACCAGCCAACCGGTCAACCAGAAGCACAAGAACGACGATCTAGGGCGCCACAAAGATGCTCAGAGTGCAATATTCAGGGTCACAAGAGAACACATTGTCCAAATTTGATTAAATAGCTTAGATATTCAATATTACGTTATTTCGGGTGAATTATGCTGGTTTGAATTAATTAAAGTTGATGGGTTATCCGCCCGACCAGGATTATCCGCTCGGGGGTGAATTACGTTATGCTGTGTGCTTACTAAGAACATGTGATCTATCTAGCTTATATCATCAATATTAGTGACAAATTTACCTGATCACGTGACTATCACGGGACATACATCCTACCCAGGATAGGATTATGTCAGAAGCATCACATCCAGGATAGGATCGGATCATATCTGGGATAGGACCCGACCGCATTCAGGATAGGAGGAACTACGGTATATAAGGATAGTCATTGCCACACCTGTATTTAGTTCTTCGCGTTCAATCATACATTGTTACTTGGAACCTACCAGTTCACTTCACAACCTGCTTCGTACTTAAGACAAACCACCTACTAGGAGAGGTATCCTGAGTCTCTTGTCGCTTGACACAGATCCTCAGTATAGCTTGACTAGGCGCACTACCTGGCACAGCCCAACAAGAGTCTAGCCTATAGACCCGAGTCTGTGTAAAGCCTTACGACGGTATCGGTACGGTTGCGACTGAGACTTGAGGACGAGCCTCGACGTACGTATACAGACCCTACGAGCGATACTCACTGTGACCAGTTAGCTGTGCATAACAGTAGGCGACCACCAACGACGCACCACGGGCGGCGGGAGCACGCATCAGGGGCTAACTAGGGGGCAGAGAAATCGAGTGGGGGGTTGAATGGCCTTAACAATATAGTATAGGGTCTCCCTTTTCGTCACAGGCGAGGATGGGTGGCAACACAGAAGACGCTGTGGGCAGAGCTGACGGCCAAGTTTGAGAGCGTCTGTCCGGGGTGCACGGACAATATCTGAGATCTGCATCTGTATTTGCGTGCTTTACGACTCATAGCCTAATAAGGTCCTGTTCTATGTATGTACACGATCATTGTGTCTCAAGCTTAAGGCCTTCCGAAAGCTCGAGAAGCCACTCTATGTGGAAGTACGATAGAATGGATCATTTTGGAAAGCTTTGTCCGTGAACTTCTATATCCAATAGTCAGTACCCAACATAATTCGAAAGGGAGAAAGTAGCCCATACCATGCCTGGTTGTCGTGAGAATATTCCATATTCATTCATCATATTTCCGCCTTCTTCATATTCATACAGTTGCCCATTTCTACCAATAGTGTTTGGTGGATAAAACCCTGTTCCGTCGAGTGGGCGATGGCTGTTAATGGCGTCCATAATGCGTTCACGAGGCGTCGCTCTCAAGGCTTCCGCGTTTGACTCCTTCATGGCATCCAGGGGGCTGTATTTCTTCACAGCATTGCGTCTCACACTCGCGGCGTCAAATGGACCTTCATGGTGGTAGATGCAAGGCGATGTATGGTCGAGGCCGTCGATAATATCCGTTCGGCTGTACTGTCTTCGTTGATGCCGCGACCTCTTTCGACGTGTACTTGCTCTCGAGTTGTCGAGGCTGCCTTCCACTGTGCTTTCATAGCTTGGGGGCTTTTGTTTGGGCTTTGAAGGAATGCTGGCAGAACGCGCTCGTTCCGGTTGAGAAGTAGGTTTTTGTGACATTTTTAGTAGCACTATCAATGCACCAGTGTCATCAGATCCGAGTCAGTCTGATCCAGGGTGTACTTTCTCAACCGGCAGTAGCAAAGAATCCCCAAATTATCCTGGCTTTGAAATTATTTGTGACACCTAAAGAGATAAGCTGACGGCGGTATAGTACACTGAAGCTGGCTCCGGCAACGGGAACGTCTATTAGTACCAAGTTTATACTAGGCTTTGATGAAAGTTAATATTGATGCCTAGCAAAATCCCATAATTTTCTGTTTCTAATTTTGAGAGTTTGCGAAACCACGAGTGTAAAGAAAAATGCCAATGTCGCTTGGGTTTACGTCACGGCTGACGAAACTCTGTTTTATCGGGCAGATCTCGATTGTCCGCGCCTACGAGTCCACCCACACAGCTGTCATTTTCTTGGCAGTAGAACAATAATCCAAGGATTTAGACTTCTCGTGGGTATGGATTTTGGAGCTGCGAAGATTTCATGGTTCTCATGAATATTGAGGGCCACCATAGTGCTTCATTCAACATGGCATCATACAAATGTGGTAATAGAAATTGGTCATTGATCGGATCCTTAAGGGCTTCCAAAGTCATTCTCTACTACTCAAGATCCATTGCCAGCAGACCCACGGGGTATGCAACATTTGAACTTGGAAAAGTCCGAAATTCAAAGTTCGTTCAACATTCAAACGATCGGAAAGACTAAATTTCTAGGACCAAGACCCAACATTGAAACCTCAGGCTCCGGGAGGTGGGGGTGGTAAGAAGGGATCACTTCGGGGATATAGATATTTTTCTGGCATCCACTCCGCCGTGGTTCCGAGTCCGAGCGCACCGTGATCTAGCCCGGGGCCACATTGATTTACCTCAGTGCTATCCATGTCCTTGAACTTGAATCCTATGATGGACCTTATGTATCTACTAGTACTTGTAACTCAGTCCAGGACTTTATCTTTTTTTGCGACCTCGGGAGGGGTCAGTGTAAATGAATATTGCTGCTACTAGATGTACCTCACTAGGCAAAAACATCAAAATGAAAATCGCCTTCTAGAAGAGCCCGAAGGACAAGAGGACCTGATCAATTGATAGATGCAACAGCAATAGCATCCAGGGACAGAACTCTGCGCGGACCATGATCGATGTTCAGTCTAGAAAGTTCTCAATATCCCAGAGGGCCATATCTGGATTTTCAGCAATGGGAAAAAGTGTGCTCAGCTTCAACACACCATTCTCTTCTGCCCTCATCTTGTTGAAGACTTTCATCATGCCGAGCTTGGTGTAAAATTCCCTCATCCTCTTGTCCTCACCGTTGCGAGTTCGGAGGAGCAGCAAAGCCAAAGACGCAAGCCCAGCAGCCAAAGCCGTAGCAACCGAAGATCCGGAAACAGTATCCTGAGTATTACCGATATATCCAGGTCCACCTGCTTGAGCTTTCTCTCCGGGAACAAGTACGTCGGCTGGACTATCCCCCTTACTTTGACTTGTCTGAAATCCCCAATCATCTGTTGCGCTTACTCTGATGACGTGATCCTTGTAGTGCACAGGGTATATAGTACCAGAGAACGCGCCTTCATCGGCTGTGGAGCAGAACATCAATGTGGCACGGCGATTTCCGGAGTAGGCGGCTTGGCGTACGGCATTTTTTAACCCTTCATGCTCTTTGGTGGTGGTCCAGCTCATGGAAATGACGTCAACGTTCTGTTCTAGGGCCCACGCAATGGCCTGGGCAATGAGTGATCAGAAAATGGACTGGTGCGTCGGCGAGGGGCTGTCCCGATGAACTCACCTTGGCAGCATGATAACCCTTGATATCGTTCCGCCCTTTACCCACACGAGCGATGTAAAGCCGACAGTGCGGGTTCACTTTCTCTACCAACGAGGCCATCTGTGTGCCATGGGGGTCTGAGACCATCCACCAGGGGAGGGGCTGTTGTGGCTGGTCCTTGTCAGCGGATACATATGATACCCCGGCATGGATCCTCTTCCTAAGATTTGAACGATTGATATCTGCCCCATTGTCAATGATGGCAACCTTGATCCGTGGATCCGCTTCCTTGAGACTCCTCGGAGGCTTGGAATATCTGTTGAATTTCTCCACTTGCTCCAACCTCGCATTGTCGGAGTGGTTTGCGAAATTATCGAGTTGAGTGTGATATTTGTCGAAGTGGGCTAGGTATCTATGTCTGGATTGAGCAGGGTCAGTACTCAGGCAGTGATTGCTGCCTATCCAACTTACTTGGGAGTATGCAAATTATCTTCCGGCTCGTCCTTGTGAGGGGTCTGATAATCCCACACAGAGTCAACATGAACTTCAAGGGTGTAGTGGGCTTCTTTAGCCCTGTCTTTGAGCCTTTCCACATGTCGCTTCATGCACGAGGAGTGGGTTGGGTTGTACTCCTGGTCACATATTTGCTTACCAACTTCTGTTACTGGCTATTCTAAGATTTTCAGGATAGAGGAGACAGGCTCACCTTCGTGGTATCTAACCGAACAATGTGAATGGTAACTTTCGAGAGCTGTTGGTTGCAAGTCAGTTGTCTGATAATCCGAACGGGATGAAAAGGGACGAGACTTTAGGGTACTGAGCAAGACCGTCTAGACTGGTCCAGTGATAGAGAACGCCCCAATTACCGCTGGAGTATAGTGTAAGTTCCTCTAGGTAATCCCCAGTTTCTGCAAGAATGGTGAGGTCTATGTCCAACTTCCTCCAGTCAAGTTTGCTGATGTGAAACTTGGTAGAGACAAATTTGCAAAAAAACCAGTCGCTTAGGGGACTGGTTGTGCTATCAAGGATTTTCAGCTCGCGGATGTTCTCAACCTGCCTGCTAAGCCATTGAAAAAACTTGCGAAAGACTTCCGGTGAGCACGGCTGCTTGATGTAGTTGAGATCGGGAAGGTGTACGAAGAGAAGGGATGTCTCGAATACCAGGGAGCTCGAATCTTCCGGGGACTGGTCACCCTCCGAAGATCCTGAAGCCTTCAACGGGTTCAGTTCGATCAGCCTGTCCACAAATTTCTCAAAGTTGTGCGATGGTGAATTGAAGTCTGACATGTCGAGGCACAGCTCCTTAGCTGCAGTACTCAGGTTAGTGAAGAGCGGCATGGCTGCAATGCAAGACTTACCCTTTCCTGTTCCATAAAGCGCCGTGCTAACCTTGGAAATGTCTTTCAGTTTCTCAAAAATGAGCTCTTGCAGCTTGGGAATGTCGACATGATCAACAGGTGCTTCTTGGAATACAGACGAGCCTTCATTATTTGTCTTGGGCAGAATTTCACAAAGAATATCATTTGCATCATATCGATCTATGACAGCATTGAACACATCTTTGGAATGGAAAAATGAGGGGATATCCCAGCCGCGGGTAGTGATATCTTGTGTTGCTCCTGGAGGCCAGGCCAAAGCAGTGTGGAAAGCAGTGTAGCCGTTCTCGTCTGAATCGATCAGTGCCGCAGGGGGACAGATCTTTACCAAAGCTGACGTCAAAAGACATCTCTTCTCTGCCGCATATTGCAGAAGGTTTTGTTTGTTCAACTCCTCGCGCTGAGTGAATATGATGCTGGCATTTTTGAGTGATCCCCAAGCTTTGCCCCCTGTCTTGATGGACGTGGCATAGATGTCGATGAAGCAAGCTATAAAGCCAAGATTGCATTTATCGATCGCAAAGTGAAGCGGCATTCGCTTAGAATAGTCATTCTTGCCACGCCTTTCGGTTTTGAAGGATGTGGTGAAGATTTCTAGCAGATCGGGAGTTCGCAGCATCCACGAGAGAAGGTTTCGCCCAAAAGCGTCCTGGCTTCGAGAATCGTCTGATTTCTTCCAAATTCCGGTTTGTTTTTCGATCAGATGCCATATCAAATGATTCTCGTCATTTTTAAACACCCCGTTCTTCTTCCCAAACGTGTAAAGGTTCTCGGTGGCTGTATTTTCCTCCCAGTCTCTAATATTGCGTGCTTTGGCGAGGAAGGAATCAAGCGCACTCTGCGAAGAAGACTTGGTCTGTGATGGCTCTGATTCATTTTTCCCTTTGGGGGTTATCGGCGCGCCTCGGTTCATAATTTGCTCTGTAATGAAATATTGACGTATGATTTCTCTGTTTGTTGCGAGGTATCCTACTGGGAAAACGAGAAACTGGGTTATAGTTCATTAAGTGTTCCCTCCGGGGTCGGAAATTTGCTGACCCAGACCATATTGTCCGTTTGGTTGGTCTTGACCAATGACTGATGTTGACAGGGCGCATCCACTCTCTTCACGTGCATGATCGATTGCCTTGGCTCTGTACACGGGTTCTTCTAGGCTCTATCAACCGGGAAAAAATACCATGCGCCCCGGGACTTTGTTTGTCAGATCAAAGACGACAGGGGGTACGCGTCTTTGATGGTGACAGAGCTCAGTTGGCAGTAATCGATGCATAGTCGCAGCTTGCCACTATTTTTAGGAACAAATAAGTTGTGAGCGGGGCCGGAAGCCCAGCCTTGCTCGTAGGTATCCTCGTTCCCGATTGGAGGTCCCCGTGCTGAGGGGGCACCGGCTGGTTGCCCGGCTAGTGCCCCACTGCTCACCCCTGCTCCGAGAGGTTCCCCCCAAGGCCCAGCCTGACCCTTATAGGCTTAGAGCCAATCCTTGGGGGTGACGCGTCCTCCTTGGCTGAGAGCGGTCGCAGGCAGTTTGATTGCCAACACACTCCTGAGAATTACTACGATAGATGATCGAGACCTAGGGTCACTTCTTCCCGCAGATAGCGGGATCTGCTGGCCAGTATGGTCCTATTGTGGTCCAGCGTCACTGTGGATCCGTTCGTGCTACTGGGGGGTGGGGTTGACCCGGATACACCTAACCGGTGATGTCGATCGGAGCTTATATTCCAAGTCCTTCCACTTCCATTGGGCGGTAATGCCAGATCACATTTTCGGCTACGCTAATATCTAGAATGACTGTTGACAAGGCACTTGTCAGTATTCACTGCCATTAATGCCAGCCTTCTCCTTTTTCGTCCATGATTGATTTTGCGGCCCCCCAAATACATCTCGCGTTTCCGCCTCGCCAGTCATTAGGTACCCCGCTCGGCCTGATTGGCGTAGGTGCGTTCGTCAGCTGGTAAATACTCTCTGGCTTCCTCACGGTGCAACTCGGCCAATCGTTCGTACAAAGCCGCCATCTTTCGGTGTCGCGCCACGCGGGTCATTGAAAAATGAGGGATTTCAGCCCCTGCAGTCTCACACCAGAGCGAAGGTGTGGACTGACACGTAGTCTGGGTGGGACTTTGTGTAGCTGGCCCCTGTCCTAGTGTGACTGTCGGCATGGTCTTACGGTGCTCTTCGATCGCATCCTGTTTTGGCTCAGATTCTGAGAGCACTTCCCCCTCAGATGAAGCATATTGGGGCGTTTTTTCAACTATATGATTGGTCAGAATGCGGGCGGAGATGGATGAAATAATGATGATACAGATTGATCGGAGCATATTGTGGCAAACAAACCTGGCGATCTCCGCTTGACTAGCTTGGCTGTCTCTGGGAGGTGGATTCCCAAACGTAGCTGTTTAAGTCTGTCTTCCGTTGAGGCAGCATGTAGGTTATGTCGATCAATCCCTTCGGGGATCTCCGTAGCTGCAGCTGAGCTTCCTTCGCCAGGACTGAATCCCTGCAGGAAATGGAGCCTGTCACCCATTATACTTTGAGTGGCTTTTGTGAATGTGTTGCCTAGCTTGTCTTTGTTGCTGTTGGTTTCGGAACGAGAATGCACCCATAGACTGAACCCTTCTCCCGTGGGGCGCTTCACAAGCAATGCGACTGTGAAGCTATCGCCGATCCCAGTGTCTTCGGTTCCTGCTGCCAAATTCCAGGTGACCTGATTGTACTTGGTCGCAGGGAGCACGTCACGTGTCTCTCTCAACCGAGTCAAGGCGACATTCGTGCGCAACATGTGATTCTTCTTGTACTGGGTAGTCTCTGTGCTGGATGCTCCCAGTCCTCCTGAGACCCCGAAAGCTCCACCTGTGAAAGATCCATTGTATGCGGTCTCGTGGGTCTCAATTGTAGTTCGCATATTCAACTGCTCGGCACCGTCGCCAGCAGGTTCAAATGATATCAAGGTGGGTAGCTTTGCACTTCCCCAGTCATCAAGTGTGTGTATGTCTCTTTGTTGGCAATGCTCGGGAAGGACAGTAAGCCCAAGCGTCAATTTAACGATCGTCCGCGAGGGCTTTTTGGGCACCGGGGATGCTTTCAAAACCAGGAGACTTGCGTTATCACGGTCACTGGGCTCATAATCACCGTGGATGATATGGGCGCATTGGAACTCAACGTTGCAACTGGGAGTGCCATGTGTACCAATCCTTTCGCGTATATCACTTCGCACTTTTCCATCCTCGTCTTCATCATCAAAAAGATCAATGCGCATTCTCTCCATAGGGAGATAGTTTGGCACGTTTGAAGATTCAATAGACCGTTTGATTCGAGGGTCGTGAACAAAACTTGGTTGTTATTTCTGCAATGAGAGATATTGATTTGTGTCCAGACATGTCTGGAACCTATCCAGAATATAATACGGAGTACGAGTAAGCAGGTTGCGACACTCCCAGATGCATTGATGCTGGGTGACCGGTGCGCGGGGGAACCATGCCACGTACGGGCATGCATGTAAAGTGGAGGTAGAACCAAACTGAGGAAAAAAAAAAAAAAAAAAAAAAAAAAAAGAACCTTGTAAAAGAACCTTGTAAAAGAACCTTGTAAAAGAACCTTGTAAAAGAAAACAAGGGAAAGAAAAGAAAAGTAAACGTGCGGGTTCAGCTCATATGCAGCCTTGCCGCTAGACTTAGCAGACAACTGCAATCGCCGAAAATCGGACCGTCTGAGGATTGGATCAAATCACACCACTTCCAAGGTTGGTTTTCAGTTGCGACATAGATGTAGTGCATCTTTATCTCCCACCCCATACCGTCCTATCGCGGTCACTCTTTCTAAGCTACTTTCTCGGTCTCAAAAGCTAAAACTCGTAATGGCATCCTTTTGCACCAGTATCAATGCGAGCAAAGAGATCCGACCTAGAAGGATTCACGAGCCTGGAGACCCCTCAACCACTCGAGAATATACGTAAGGACCTGCAAGTTTCGTCTCTTAATCACTGACGATATGCTAACACGTGGATAGAGTTGTAACTGTACATGGCGTCAGGGAACTCTTTAACCCGGATGCTGAAAATACAGCGCGTCTATGGGCAGAGCTGCCTCGACACGTTGAGTGTATTAACCTTCTGAGCTTTCGATATTCCTGGGAAACGCCAAAAGAAGGAATTACGCTCGATAACCTCCGAGAATTGGCAGCCGTCCTCTTGGCACAAATCCGCCAGGAGTGCGCTGAGCTCTTGCATGGGACTGATAAAGTACGCTTGTCCCCCAGCTCCCCGGACTGTAGCTAACTGTATCAGATCGTTTCCCCTCAGTCAGCCAATCTGGTATTCTTTGGTCATGATCTTGGTGGACTGATTGTCAAAGAGGTGCCATTGCCATACTTCCCATTGTGTGCTCGAATTGACTGGTCACTAATTTCCTTTGCTTTATCAACAATAGGCCCTATCGATTGCTATCTCGTGTGAAAAATACATCAATATAGCGGCAGCCACTTCGCTCCTCGTTTTCTTCGGCACACCACACCGTCTTCCCGACTATAGGTCCTGGGAGAGCTTAGCGGGGTGGCTTCTCCTTCTTTCCGGTCAGCACCGCTCATATGGGATCTCATGGATTTCTCAAACCGCGCAAATGATCGAGGGAGTAATAACCCGCTTTCGCGATTTTCAGATGATATTCAAAGTGATGAACGTACTCCCTCAGAACCAATCAACCAACACTTCTGGGCCCTTCGATAGCTCATCGCCATGGCAGGTAAATTTGAAGAAAGACCCGAATTCCATTGTGCTGACTGCTAAAATAAACTTTTCAAAGGCTTTGGACGAAGGCACTGGGACTCTTGGGGTTCCAAATGAAACGACCAAGCACTATGATCAACCGACCACGTATTCCTCGGATCTGGAGTCAAATCCAGACCTGTTCACGGCGATTTTCAAAGAAATCAACCGGTCTCATGGTAAGTAAAAGGAAGTTGAACTACAAAAATATATCGCAGCTAATGCTCTGTTCACGAAGGCCCGGGCGAGGAATACATGAGATGCATATTGAAGCTTTCTAGTCTGATACACGAACCCCAGATGTTGCCGTATGATCAAGACCTACTGCATCAAAACAGCTCAAAATCTACCAATTTCGAAGGGGAATTTGGAGAATGGATGGGGTCAGGTTGCAGAACCCTGTACCTAAAAGGGTTCGGGCCAGAAGACCTTCCTCAACTCTTCGATATAATTGCAAAGAAGAAGGGTATCTCTACTGTTTCATTTACCTGCTCATCCAATAGGTCCTTCGGAGACTTGGACTGGATGCAAGTCCCGGCATCACTTTCGCTTCAGATTCTGACGTTGCAGCCACACCTCTTCACGCCAATGAGCCCACTTTACAAGATGTTCATGACTGAGAAGAAGGTGCGCGAATTTAACCTTTGGGCATTTTTTCGCTCTTTGGTTGCTTGTCAAAACGGCAATCGTATCGTTTGCGTTGTTCAAGATTTGGATCAAACGCCAAATTCCGTCAGGCTCTTGCGAACCCTACAGAGCGTGATGGACAACAGCTGCTCTTGGTTCCGGCTCATCCTTAGCGATAAGACCACGCGTACATTTAATCCTGAGTTCCCTCAGACCGCTGGAATGACGATTACGCTCCCACCAAACAAGCAAAACTTCACAGACATTGTTGAAGACGAAATGGCTGCTCTGTTCGCCACACGACCCGGTCTCTCTAGTGTCAAGAACGAGATTCTTGCGGAAATCCACTCAGTATTTGGCAGTGATTCCACAATGAATGCTCGGGGCGATCTATATGTCTCTTCCATAGTCAAGTCGTGGTTGTCGATCCTGGTGGAAGATGGCAGTCCTATCACCAGGTCATCGATCACAGAGACAGCGAGGCTCCTACCATCCACTCTCGATGGGATGTATCTCGAATTACTCCAACATGTTGCTGTACGCAGCAGGTATTCTGGAATAATGCGTGCTGTCCTCTGGGGCTTGCGCGCATTTCGGCCACTGAAGATTTCACAACTCGCATTGGCAGCAGCTATTGAAACCGATGATCTTCAAAGCATCGACACGCTTGAGAATAGGAAGCCCGTCGACCTTGTGTGGGATATTGAAATAGCCTTCGGCGGTCTCGTCTATCTTGAGGACAACCAGATCAAACCTCGTCAACTTTTATTTCGAGATTGTGTCGTGCAGAACCACCGTGGACCATGTCAGGAAGCTTGTCCACTGTGCCAGGAAAGCCACGCAGTCATTGCGCGGAAATGCTTGACATTCATCCACATGTATGCTGGGGCCAAGGCCAAGCAGAATCGAGTATTTACTGAAGACGAATCCGCCCTCTTTCATTACGCTGTGAGGCATTGGCCCGACCACTACGAACAACATCAGCTTTTGAGATCTGTACCGCAAGGCACATTGTCCGAGCCTATTGATTTCCAATACCTTTCCAAGGAGAATGATGTCCTTTCTGAATGGGCAACGGAGTATCTTGCGCTCTACTCCCAAGGGAATCCAACTGGTTTAAAAGATCCCATAATCGCCGCTACTGCTGCCGGCTGCCTTGAGCTGGTCAAGTCCCTAATAAAAAGCCCACAGATAAGCGGAGAGTCTGTCGCAGCATGTCTCGAGATAGCAATGGCAAGTGAGAATGATGCTCTCACACGGCTTCTAATGAACAATGACGCGAAATGTTTGTACCCGTTACACACTGCTTCCTTAGCAGTACGCCCGGACATTATTGCTCGTTTCTTTACGCCGCAATGCGATCTAGAAGTACATAATGAATGTGGACTGACGCCCCTCCAAGTCGCCTGTAAATCGGGAAATCTTCCCGTGGTAGAGCTTCTGCTACGCGAGGGCTCACGTGCGGATAGCATAACATCCACCGGCAAGCAGACCCCCCTGCATTTGGCCTGCCAGTATGGATACCCAGAAATTGTCACCAGGTTGCTCATTATGAATGACGTCGATCCAAATGCGAAGGATGAAAATGGGAGAACACCATTGCATGTTGCATGCCAATGGCTGCAGCCAAGAACTGTTGAAAGACTCCTTCACTTCGTCGACAATCCATCAACAGTGCATATTGAGGAGGTTGATCAGGATGAAAGCACTGCCTTCCACCTGGTAGCCCAGCTGGGCCGCTTGGATATTCTTCAATCTATCGTTAGCTACGCCAACTCAAGTCCGAGATACCACAAAGAAGAACTGGATCAGCTTCTTCTACAGGAAAACGCACGTGGGGAGACACCTTTGTATCTGGCAGCGGATGCGGGTCACATGAACGTGATCGGTGAACTTTTGAGCCGAGATGGCTTCCTGGCGCTATTGAAACGTGACAGCGCTCATCACATCCCTCTGTGTGCGGCCGTCCGGAATCGACATACAGCTGCCGCCAGGACTCTGATAAGCCAACTACCGCCAGAGCTGCTGAAAGGACAACTCCAGCCTGAACCCACAGATACGGGGAAACAGCGTTGTCCAATTCATATTGCTGTCGAAGTGAGCGACTATGATGTAGCTGAAATTCTTTGTAAGGCTCATCAAGCTCACGAGGTGTCACTGGACCTGTTCTACGGCGAAGAGGAACTGACGCCTTTGCATATTGCTGTCAAGAGTGAAAGCGTTGATATGACGGATTTATTGCTTTCGTACACTGCCACTCCGAACATTGTGGACGATAAAGGAATGACACCACTCTCATTTGCCTGCAAACTGGGAAACTTGCGGCTCGTGAAAGCTTTACTTGAGAAGAATGCCGATATAGACAGTGTGGATAAAGACGGGAAAACTCCATTACACTTTGCGTCGTCCGGTGAACACCTGGAAGTTGTGGGGCTGTTGCTCAAGAGGGGTGTTAATCCGAACATTGAGGATGATAAAAAAATGACGCCGGTCTTATTTGCCTGCAAAATGGGCAACCTGCAGATCGTGAAAGCGTTACTTGCGGAAAAGGCTGATCTACGCAGCGTGGATGAAGACGGGAACACTTCGTTACACCTTGCGGCGTTTGGTGGACATCCGGAAGTTGTGGGCCTGTTGCTTGAGAATGGTGCCGATATTTCTCAACGGAATTTGAGAGAGGAGTGTCCTCTGGCCGTAGCGAGCACTCAAACTGTGATGCTTGTCATGATTGATAAAGCAATCAGTAACCAGTCGTTGGACAACAACCTTGCCAATCAAGCTTTGCATGAGGCTGCCGAAAAAGGTTTCGGTGAAGTTATCAGCCGGTATCTACAAGGCAAACTCTGTTGTGAGTTGCAGCCTGATGATCAAGAGCAGACATTGTACCACCGCGCTGTTCTGGGAAAGAGTAGAAATATCCTGAAAGAACTTCTAGATCGTGGGGTCCCTGGTTACGATGCTTTCGATAAGCAAAAACGAACCCCGATCTTCCTTGCCATTGAGAAGGGACACTCACAAATTGTGGAGTTGCTTCTCGACAAGTCTGCTGGTCAGCTGGCTATACCCGATTCCAACGAAGATGTGGCGTTGCTCTTGGCGGCCGAGCAAGGCAGGTTGGAGGTGCTTTCTCTGCTATTGAGCAAACATGAGGACTTGCAACTAGACCTGACTAAAGAAAGCCGTGATGGCAATTCAATCTATCATCATGCTGCTAGGGGGGACATGCCAAGGTTCTTGAGCGCCTGAGTGAGTATAATGTCGCTGGTTTGAACCACAAAAACAACGAGGGCCAAACACCACTTATTCTAGCGGCCTCGGCTGGCCAGTTCGAGGCAGTCGAATATCTGTTGGAACAAAAGGCTCAAATTCACGAAAAAGACTCTTCCGGATGCACAGCATTGCACAGGGCAGCCCAAAAAGGCGACAGCGGTGTAGTTGAGGCACTTCTGAAGGCAGATGGCGCTGAGAAAGATGCCCAGAATAATGACGGAGAGACGCCCCTTTATATCGCCGCTTATTGTGGCAACATTGATGCCGTCAAAATTCTGATCGAGTACCAATGCTCTGTCACCATTCCTGAGAAAGATGGGTGGCAGCCCTTGACTGCGGCCTATGATAATGCGGAAATTCTGAGAATCCTAGTTGAGAAGGCCAACGCGGATGTTCACTGCACAAAGGTATCCGATGGCTGGACAGTCCTTCATTATGCAGTTGCTTTTGTACGGCATGACTCTGTCAGAACTCTGCTAGAACTAAAAGCAGACCCATTTCGGCCTAACGATTACGGAATCACAGCGATACATACGGCTGCGGATGGGCCATCTAAAAGCGAAATCATGAGGACTTTGCTTGAAAGCCTCTCCGACGAGGATAAGGCCAGACTTGACATTGGTGATGAGGATGGCAACACCGCACTCAAGGTAGCAATTGATGCGCACAGCACTCAATCTGCCTGCCTCCTGCTGGAATTTGGGCAGCTGGACCAGAACCAACTCTTTGAGGATGAACAACCACTAGTGGCCCTGGCGCAAGAGGAGAAGATGCACGATTTGGTCGATTGGCTTCTCGGCTTTGAGCCTATGAAGCTCAACAAAGCAAGTCTACTGGCACTCGTTGGCATTAGCACAAAACAGCGCGACCAAGATGTGCAAGATCGTGCGATGAAATGCCTTGAGGACCAAGACTTTGATAAGCTTCTTCCTGTTGCCATGGCCACTGATGATCCACGCCTTCTGAGGCAAGTAGCCCAATCTCACCCAGATCCCAACTATCGAGATGAGCATGGATGGACTTTCAGCCAAGTCATGGCTGCTGCAGGGCTGGAGGACAAATCCTCTTCACCACCCTTATCGTCAGAGAATGATCATGATCATCGGGGGCCTTCGGCGTGGAGCACGCACCCCGAGCTGACTATCCATTACGACACCGACGAACGGTACGGGAAGTTGGTGGTGAAATCGGATCATCCCATTCCCCTTAATCAGAAATTCTATTTCGAGGTTCTAGTCATGGAGCTAACAGAAATATCAGATATGTAAGTTCATGTCTATTTTTTCAATCCCTGGCTCTTTCTCTTTCCCCCGGTTTGCTTCAGCCTATCTGACAGTCTATTCTGAAAATTTTCCTCACAACAGTGTTGGCATCGGATTTGGCCATCAGTTCACTTCGGAAAATTCAATGCCTGGGTGGGAGAGCATTAGTTGGGGCCTCCATGGGGACGATGGCGGTCTATATCACAAAGGCTACGCCTTCGAAATGAAAGAAGAGTGGACTTACAGAAAGGATGACTGCATAGGATGCCTCATAGATCCTGTGCAGAAGAGGGCCTTTTTCACCAAGAATGGTGAGCCCCTAGGTATGTCTCGTATCATCTTTTCCTCTCCTGTCTGAATGCCTTGTCCGCTCTCACGCGTAGTCTTCTCTTCCTCCTTTCTCTATTTCTTCGCGAGCTTCTAACTTGGACGGGACTCCATTATGCAGTCAGCAATCTCGAAAGAAAATCACAACCTTGTTTCGGAGACAAAGTGCTAACCATTTACTTTTTTTTTCCTTTCGCAGTGTGCTTTACGAAGATCTACGGTCGTCTTTTTCCGATGGTAGCACTCGGCCCCAAGGTCAAGGTCATGGCCAATTTCGGGAAGGATGAGTTGAGTCCGTTTCAATATAGCGGAGCTGATCTGGATTATGCGAACATGCAGATTCAGGAGGTTGATGGCGAAGACTAATCATCATGAGTCGCAAGGTGCTTTTTTATTTGCCGGGTATCATTATACATATCAAACGATGTTTATGTATGATCAAGGAGTACGCGCTACCCATGCAGACACTAGAATCAGCTCGTAGGTATCTTTTGTCATTTACGCTATATACCTCATTCATCCCTTTCACGGTACATACGACCACAGGGTGTGGAGAACAGGGCTTCCCGTCCGCTCAGCCGTACGTAAGCCACATGAATTCGTATGGCCAATACGTTCTATAGCCCTGCTACACTAGAGCGGCGACGGATATTGCGTTAGGTGAGTGTGGGTGATATGGGTGAGAACTTTACAGACTGGGTGATAGAGGTGAGAATGGGGTGAGAATGGGGTGAGAATGGGGTGAGAATGGGGTGACAATTATCACCCAAGGGGTGATCGGACCCGCTAGGGTACGCACTAGGCTTCGGCATATGGGTTGAGTTTATGGGATGGGTTGGGTTGGGCCCATTATGGGCCGGCCCATTGACCTCAAAAATGGGCCCGGGCCCATGAAAGTGGGTGTAAAAATTATGGGTAATTTTCATCAAATATGCGGAATTTTTTGGTTTTTTGATGGTAAATTACCACTTTAATTACTTTATATATAACATATAGTTAACGTAAAGTCAGCCTTTTGAGGTATAAACTCTGTAGTTTCTACCTATTTTTTCTATTTTTTTGGTTATTTTATAAGCACAAAGAACGCCTTTCCACCACTATAACACCTATAATCAATCAAATCACGCATAATCAATCTTATCAAGCCGGAACATCGGTATTAATCCCGAGGTGTCTACACGAGCCAGGTTGTTTGTAAGTCAACTTGGTCTTCTCGTTGTGTAGGCTCATGTTTCCCTCGGAATGAACAACAAGAATATTTCTTTGAACTACCATAGTATGTACTTCTGAGGATGAATTAGAGCTTTCAATTTCTTTTCCATTGTACCACGCAAAATTCCCAGCCATATTCTCATATCGGTAGACGTTATGAAAGACCAAGTTAACACGAGTTTGCAAAGCCCGGTATGGCTAGTGAAGGCACAATCGATACCTTCCGATGCGGACAACATGAACACTGGGTGGCTGGGCTCTAGCATGTTGTCGAAGGTCTTTTCGCCAAGACGCAGTCCACCATCTTGGAAAGTGCAGGACCATAGAATGAGCAGTGCCGTTCCCAGGTCATGGCGGTTGGTTCCTAGGGGACGTGGGGCTCCTAGGTTCTACAAGGACATTCCTAGAGATGCCGTGACAGGCTCCCAGAGGCCATCAATTAGGTTTGGGGAGCCGATACGGCAGTCATTTTATTCCAGGCAGCGAACAGAACTCCAAGCCTGCAATTCGAGACATTAAAGAAACTTATTAATTCCGTTTCTCCCAGTGAAGCTCTGAAGTTCACCATTGTCTGCACCTTTCCTACAGCTCAACTTAGCGATGCCTCTTCTCAATCTACCCACCGAAGTGTTACATTTGATCGCGAGAAATCTTGGTACTTCACAAGATGTGCTCTCGCTTGTGCTTACTTGCACGCGCTTGTATGAGATTTTCCTGTTTTCATTAGACGAATTCAACGCGCTGTATCAAGGCAGTTCGGCTCTGATATGGGCCGCAGGAAATGGTCAAAAAAATCTTACGGAGCGACTCTTACGCCATCCACGGATCCATGCAAACCCTACGGACGCTGTTGGACGTACACCACTTTTTCATGCCATTGCCGCCAAAAACCTAGACATGGTTCGACTACGTCGAGGCTTGCGGGGCTACTATACGAGTACCTCCGAGCAATGGGAGGGGTAACAAAAATCACCTCATATGGTATTCTAGTTGAACAGGGCTGAGTACATTTGGACGAAATAAGATTGTCCGATATTATATCATCTATATACGCTACTTGGGCCGGATATAAAGGGCGAAGAGATACACTCGGTTTTCCGCCATATGATCTCGAAACAATTGAGCTATGACTTGCCGTAAGACCGAAGTCGTGGGTCAATAGCTTCCTGGTTTGATAAAGTCGATTTTTTGGAGCACCGCACATCATGTGAATGAGATATTCGATCCCGTCCCGCGTTGCTTACTGCAATTGAGGCATTCTTGGCTCGATTCAGCCTCGGACTTCTTCGCATAGTTGGTGTATTATTCCTCTGCGGGCTGTGAACGGAGTGATTTTCCTTGCTGGAAGAAGAATTATACTGCCTAGCAGACTTCGAAAAGTATCGGGTTTTCACTGCACCCATAGTTCTTTTAGGAAACGATTCATGAATTTGCCGCCACGATAACTTTTGAGCATCTCTTAACTTCAACAATCGGCGTTCGTCGTTCATGGTCCATTTGTGGCGCGTGACAGTCGACCTCGATTGCACGGTCACCTCCTCTCGCGCTGGAATATCAATTGCTGTGGCACTTGTAGTGATGATGCCGTATGCATGCTATAGAGACTTTGTTGCAAGTTGAAGCACTGCAAAATTCTCTTTAGAAATATCATCCATATCCGGAAAGTCATTAGAGAACTGAGCCTTAGCACTCGTCATATTAGAAGCGCGCTTAAGGTAGGTGATCGTTTTTCTTAGTAGGAGGAGGTTACCGGCTAAGAGGGCCTCGGGGGTATAATTTGAAGAGTCTTCAGCTATTAAGTGACTCACTCGTCCTGCAAGTGACTTTTTCGCGTTCGCGACTCTGGGCGTTTGATAGTGGCTTCTTTTGGATGTGGGAACGCACGGATCTTCCGGAATTTGCTTGCTTTTGTTAGAGGAAGAGTTTCGATGAACGTGTTCACTTAGCCTATTACTCTCATCTTTAAAGACATCGAAAACCCTTATCGTCCCAGGGCCGTCTAAGCTAGTAACGGAGGGGGGTATCACTACCCCGGGAGGAAGGATAAAGAGCGACTTCTTCGGGGTATTTAGGATATGTTCTAGTAGCGGGTAATATGTCGTTAAGATAAAACTTAGGAGAAACCGCCCGAGAATGATCGCGGAACTCGGAGACTGAGAAAAATCGTATTAATATAAAGGAAATTGAAGATAACGATTTTGGCTTCGCCATACCGAGGCTTCCTTTCCCGCACTTACCTTATGATATATAAGTATCTAAGGTGTAGCCTTCTGCATCGCATCTCTCACCTAAGGTTGCTAGCCGGGTCACTACCTTAGTAGTCCTTTTCTCTGTGTTTATAGAAGGGGATATTGCCGAAATTAAAGGCGCTGGCTGCCAAAAATTTTGGTGGTTTAGCGTAACTATATTGAAATCCGATTGCATGGAATGAAGAACAAAGGGGATTAGGGGTAGGAGAGAGATAATACGTGCTTAACTGATGCTTAGGTAGAAGCTATAAAGGGGCGACAGTCGAGTTTTTAAATGCCATCCTTCCTTTAGTTTCTTAACGATCTAGTCGGGCCTAAGATCATAGCTAACGTAGCGTCGGCATGATTTCCAAGCCCATAGACAAGGTAAATCGGTAATGTGGAAACTTTTACCGATCTTGTATCTTGTCCGTTCTTTGCTTCGGCCAAACGCTGTTTCGTGGGCGCTCGTGAAGGACTGGCCGTGGAGTGAGTTCCCGGGAGCTTCCTTATGGAATAGCTAACGTCGTCGCCCTTCGCAATACGGCATGGCAATGCGTAAAGATCGCGATCCTAGCGTGGCTAAGGTTGCTCCCAGGATCAAACGTCACTAATCAAGCACGACGGCATGAAAAATATGTTGTATTATTTTAGCCTATTAATTTTGGCCGACAGAGTGGTAGGAAAGAAGACTAGCCTTTTATCTATTGGGAGAGAAGCGAAAAGGACTGAATGTAGTGGCCAGTATGTGTTCAAAGTTGCAGCACGGTGGATCGAGTCGACGGGAAGCGCAGAACGTAAGGACATGAATACACGTCATCTCGCTGAGCTCCCAGGAACACCGACTGTAGCCGGCTAGCATCGGAGCAGGCAAGAATCTAGAAGCAAGATGACAGACCGCAGGGACCGGCCCGGGGTAGGCACTCGGGACGTGCTCAAAGAGGGCTCAGGGGTGCTCAGGGAGTGTCAGGGCGGCACCCGGACCAACTCAGGCTGTGCTCCGGGAGCCGATCTCTACCCGAACCGGAAGCCTTACCGTCAACAATATTACTCCATGAATAAATTTTTTGAGATACATTCTAAGAAGTCCTTATTCTAATAACATACAGATAATGTTGAAGGGGTTTAAAAGCTTAGTGAATACCTCGGCGGGTCCTCCATATTTACACATCAACTTTCAAACCGCTCTATCGTCACCAAAGCTATATGGATCTTCAAATTCAGAAAAGTCTACAAAGGAGATGGAAAATTGGGGTTGGAATGGGCTTCCATTCTGTTCCGACCTCAGATTCAAAGCAGACGGAACATACATGAATACCCTTGACATACTGAATGACAATGCTCTCCACGGAGGAAGAATGGCCGCAACCCTCAAGAATCCCAAGTACAACGTCAAAGGGGATCTTCGCAAGCGAAAGGAAAAGAATCCAGTCGTTGAGGTGTTTGTGGACAAAGCTGATCCAGACTTCAAGGTTGTCTTTTCAAAATACTTCTCTATAGTCATGGGTTAAAATAAGACTTTTGTGAAGCGAACCCTCATAATATTGAGTGGCACATGCCTTCTCAAAAGTTGGTTGTTGGGTTGACCCTACCGCACCCGCACTATGGGAAATACTTACGTTCCCCATTGTACATAATCGCATAACCACCTGCTCATCGAAAACCGGAAATTACAATTCGCACTTAATACGAATTACCATCCACCGCTGCAAATGTTCCTTTCCATTGTTTTTGAGTTTGCTTGCTCCTTTCCAATAGCTCCCTAGTCCTTTTGGTTCACAATTACGCTTCGCAATCGTGGAAACATCTGTCCCTATCGATCAGCATAGCGTCAATGCCCCGCAAGTACTCAGACATCGACACCAAAGTCATCACAAGTCCCTCAAGATTGACCGGAAGCCCGAACCGTTTGAATTAACGTTACGCAGATCTGGCAAACAGCAGCTGACTAATCTGCCTCGAGACACTCGCTTCAAAGACAGAATCATGTACGACAATTTCTTCCAACTTCGACCGCACTGCTGGTCAACAAAGGGTGTGCATGTACAGTCGCAGCAGAGCGAATATATTGTCTACCTCGACCACTGAGATCATCCATAGGCACGATGCCATCCAAAGGTCAGGGGAACCTGGGACAGGCCATTCAGGAGAATCTCTGGAAGCGGGTATTGTGGGGCCTTCCACTATTCAGCCTGGTGTGTATCGGAGCCAGTGCAGTCGGATCTACGATACTGAACATCAGGCCTCACATGGAAGCGATATTAGAGCAGGGATTCTGGACTGGTAGCACTGGAGAAATTTTCAGTATCCACAAGTCGTTCTACAAGCTTCAGTTTCTGGATGATATCTTCCAACCTATTATCATGTGTTTCCTGCCCTCATTTACAGGGACAGATGCGCATTCGTGGACCCAGATGTTCAGCTTCATCCCGGAATTTGGTGCTGTATATGGTATTTGGTTACTGGAAGGGTATCGCAAGGTACATTCGCGGCCTGGAGTATTATTGTAAGTGTACTGGAAAGCGAAACCCATCATCAAGGATTTCGATGGATTTCCTAGACAAGACTAACATTTTCATAGTCCAATCATCATGGGGCAAGCAGCCCAACTGCTGTCGGTTGCTGTGTTCGGCCCACTATATTACTTCCTGCAATACCTTCAACTCTCGCTCCACGAAACAGTACAAAGCAACAACCGGGAGATAGACCCAACATGCGTATACACCCTTCTCGCAGCTCTAGCTGCAGCCCACTATGTCCCCGCATACGCCAGCTTTCTCGTCCCAGATCTCCAAGAAAGACAATGGTGGAACGCAGTATGGCAAATATTCCCTCTAACAGTTCCCCTTCTCCAACTCCCGTTATCGTTCTTTCTAGGGCAGAAGCTTGATCCAGACGCAACATCTGTCCCAGCTCGCGCAGAAAATAGGAAGAGGAGCCTAGCTGTGATCCGCGTGGCGTATTTCTCGTTAGCTGTGATTTCGGCCGTGGGATTCATCTATGCACGTGCTAAAGCACCGGTGGGGTCTTCAATGTTGGTCATTTTCTTGCCGAATGTGAGGGGGTATGTGTTGGGTGATGCTTCTTTTGAGGAGGGCATGGCGAGATTCATGCAGTATGATCAGACCAGTTCGATGACAGCGGGATTCATGTGGCTTGGTTTGCGCTTGCGGGAGCTGAAGCGATCTGGCGTTGGGTTCTCTTGGATAAGGGTTGTTAGTGCCTTAGTAGGAATTACCTGTGTCTTTGGGCCAGGGACTGCGTTCGTGCTTGGATGGGGGTGGAAAGAGGAGTTGCTTCACAGATTGGGAGCCTGAGTAGAAACAAGTATCCAGGAAATGGTTGAGAGATTTGAATTTTGAATCATAGAGCGGGTGCTTTAAATTTGAACAGACAACTTTAACTAAATGATATGAATGGGTTGCAAAGCTAGCTACATGTAGTTGATGCTTTCGACCCTCGTGCCTGATCCGATCGATGAGCAGGACTGGACCACGCCGATAGTTGAGTAACTGATGCGTGATAATTATGAATTACACCCCGATTAGAGTCCGTTCAATAGGTAAGGCCGTTACAGGAAATAACACACGCGTAATGGTAAGATCAAATGCAAGATGACTGAGGAATGAGGTTTGTGAAGGGTGGGAGATAAGACGAAATGAAAAGATACGTAGATTTGTAGGTTATCATGAGAGTGAACGAGTGAATGAGCCCACTAAAGTAGGTGAGACTCGATAGCCTGGGGAAAGAAAATGTGAGGTGCAGGGGAGCGTGAGGAATACGACGAAATGAGATGCAGTGATTGCTTTTGCAGGCTGGAACGCATAGATGGGGAATTGATGAGCGAAAGACTGGGGTCAGTTGATGGGTTATTCGGAAAAATAGACAATGAACACGAAAATCAGGGGCTGGGAATGGTATCAAGTACGCGAGCCATTTTCTTTGCTCGCGTGGGGTCTTCGACGATGAGACCACGGGACTTCATAATTTGATGGACAGTGTCGACGACCTTGTTGAAGGATGAAGCTGCACCACGCTCCTGCTTGAACTTGACAAGACTCAAGTTGGCCTGTCGACCGTGCTCCAGGACAGTATAGAACTCTGCAGTGAACTCAACTTCACGGAGTCGGAGAACTAATATCAATTAGCGTAATTCGCGGGAAATGACTGAATAAAAACTTACAGTTGACCTCGCCCACACGACCGTGGACAACGCTGTTGGCCTTGTCCAAACGCACATCCTCCATTCCATAGTCCTCCCAATCTAGCAGAAGATGATGGACTACCTTGCGGCCCTTAACCTTGCCGGTATTGAGAGCAATGACCCGGGTCGCCGGTTTAAGTTGGAAGATCCGAGCAAACCAATTGTGGTTTGCAATGGAGCGTCGCTTGTTATGGAACGGGTTTTGTGGGTCATCGGCCTCGAAAGAACTGTCCGTTTCGGGATATCCCTTGCAAAGGAGTTCTGACTGACGGCGATCCTTGGGGTTGGCACTGTCTTTGTCTTCAAACAGTCTCAGCGGAAATCCAGTGCAGCTGCGGGGATTCAACCTACCAATCACAGGCTGGGGGGTCTTGTTTGACTTCTTCGACACCAGCTTCTTCAAGGCACCTCCAAATCGCTCCATTGACGTTTTCCGGGTAGGAACCCGCCTTCCTTCGGGCCGTGTGGGAGATTGTGGCTCTTGCGGGGGGTTAACAGTGACTGTTCCATTACTCGGGATAATTGGGGGGTGTCTTTGGGTGGGAGAGCAGGCAATGGGTCTGAAGTCTGAGACCGGGCTCTAAACCATGACCACTTCTTGTTTTCGGTGCTTTTCTCGTCTTTCTTGGGGGATCCTGGGACTTCACTGATAGGGTCAAGACCTCCAGGGTTACGGCTCTGTCGTGATCCAGCCGAGAAAGCTCGCATGGGATCAGTGCTTTGAGTTTCTGGTTCTGCGAGCTGGTTCTTTTTGCGAATCATCAACGGCTTTACCTCTTCCATCGAACGCAGCGAGCTATGTGGGACCATTCGGATGGTAGCCTTGCCATCGCCGTGGCGAGTGGTATGGCGCAACTTGGGCTTCCGCTTAGGACTGACTTCATCTGGACTACCACGGACAGGGCTTGCGAATTCTTCACTGATTGCCGGCAAGGGAAGTTCACCGGTAGGAGGAGTGGGTATGGAGAATGGATCAACGTAACGAGGTTCGTTGTCTTCCAGTCCCTTGGAGAACTTTTGGGACTGTTCTTCTTCGATCAATCGATCTAGATGGCCAATAACACCAGACAAGTAGCCAGGAATATTGTCGGTGCGGCCCGAGCTGTGGTCAACAAGCTTTTGTCGAGTCTCCGTCAGTTCTTGAATGCTGTAAGATCGACTCGACTCCCTAGGTGGGTGATAGCTGTTCCTAGCATTTGAAAGCTGATCAACGCGTTCCGGGCTTGCCATGGAGATTGGTGTTGTTGGGGTTTCGTATCCAGTCTCCGTGCTGGTACTAGCTGTGCGGATTGTTGTCACGGAGCTGCCATTGAAGGCTTCTTCACAGATCTGACTCAGTTCATGAGACACTTTTCGAGCGTCCTCCTTCCATACGATATCTGGTTGACGGAACCTTTTGGGTGGATCCAGGTTCTTGACCTTGTTGCCACTTCGAACAACTGTAGGTTGAGCAGGAAGAGGTGGACTGCTGGGCATATCAGGTACAGACAGACCATCCGCGATCATCTGCAAGCTCGCGGCGCTCGGAGACCTCTTCAATTCACCCTGCTGGTTGGTCGTGGTCTTCCTCCGCTTTGGCTTGGTCGACCCCTGTGAGCGATTGCGCGCGTGTCGGAATGACACATTGCGACGGTAACTTGTTGAATGTGTCGACAGACCCGGCAGACGAGAGCTCGAATTAGGCATTTTCGAGGACTGCAAAGATTTCATCGAGTTGGGCTTATGTTTTCGCTTTTGGAGAACAGTGAATGGTGAGTCGGACGCTTCATTCTCATCCTCTGGCTCTTCTACTTCCATAATAGAAGGTGGGGGCTTTCCAACGGGAGACACTTCACCACGCTCAGGAATCTCTGGGACAGCATGATGAACCGTGATTTGTGCGAACTTGGCTTCAACGGCTGTCCCTTGGGCTTTGGGCGATCTAAATGGATCGTAACTTTGCACGCTGGCAGGAGACATGGGCTCTTGTGTATTGCCTAGCCGACGGTGTAGGTTCTTGATGGCAGGAGAGCGTCGTTTCGAATTGGTACCTCCGGTTTCGGTCCGGCCACGTTGAGCTCTTTCACCAAATTTTGAAATGTGGTGGTAGTCGCTAGCAGAATACTCTAATGGCTGTCCCTGGTAGTTTTCCAGTTGTTCATCTCGAAACTTGACAAGAGAGTTGTAAAACATTCTCTCGTGTGTGGGCCTTTCGTCGTGTCAGCAAATCATATTAGATGAGAAAGCGTGACCAGAACTTACTCAAGCGACATTACTCTTTGTATTAAGCCCTCTGGCTTGACATCGTGCCACAAAGTCTGCAGGTTTCGAAGAATGTCCATGTCAATCTCGCTGCGGCTAGTCACCGGGGCACCACAGTCCTTGATGGACAACGGCGGAGGCGGCCCGATGTAGTAGTCGGCCATGGCATTATGCAACTTTTCATACTTTGTCAAGAGGGGATGGGCCCAAATTTCCGGCATAGAGATACGGTCCTCCGGTCGCTTCTGCAAAATCCTGGTGATCAGGTTGGCCGCCTCACAACTCAGCTCCTGGGGAATCATGTATTCGCCTTTCTTCACAAGCCGCAATGTGTTGGGCAAGTCACCGCCATCGAATGGCAGATATCCAGTCAAAAGAGCATACAAAATGATACCACAACTCCACATGTCGGCTCTATCACCACGATACTTCCGACCGTAAATAATCTCCGGAGCTGCATAATGAGGACTTCCACAGGAAGTATTGAGCCAGTGACCTGCAGGCTGGAGCGCAGCCATACCAAAATCTGCCAGTTTAACATTATGGTTACCATCGAGCAAGATATTTTCAGGCTTCAAGTCTCGGTGGCAAATGTTGAATCTATGACAATATCCCAGACCAGCAATGATCTGGCGGAATAATCGAACAGCTTCTTCTTCGGGGAGTGGTCCATTTTGAGAGACGTAGTCAAACAGCTCGCCTCCTTCAACGTATTCCAGAACAAGATACCTATAGGAAGTCAATACAAATCACCCGTAGAATTTTGGCGTAAACTTACAGTTCTCCGCGATTCTCCCAAACGTCATACAAGCTGATGACGTTGGAGTGTTCGATCAGCTTCATTATCACAACCTCCCGCTCAATTCCACAAGGCATCTGTCGGGTGTTCGAGAATCCCGCGAAATTGCTGGAGTTACGATCCATTGCGGCAATACTTTCGCTCTGTACCATAGCGGCAGACTTCTTTGACACGATCTTGATTGCCGCTGTCTGCCCAGTGACCGCGTGTTTGGCCAGTCGGACTCGACCAGTCGCACCTTTACCCAAGGTCCTGCCCAACTGCCATGGACCAACATGTGTCTTTCTTTTTCCTTTCCCCGACAAGATAGAAGCTGCAGAGACGACTGAATTCCGTGCTGACTCAGTTTGCCAGTCCGTAGCAACTGATAATCGTTGGTTTTCCTTTTCTCCTGGCGTCGGGCTCATGACCACCGACATTCGATCAGGGGTCTTGAGCTGGTCGAATTCCTCCACTTTGACGCGAGGTGTCTCCACCTTTGGTGATTTGCTGTGGTTAATTCTGCTCGAGGCATCCGTGAATGGCTGACGCCTCCGAAGAGGGTCGTCCGAGTCCAACATCATTTGATCCATGTTGGGAGCGTGAGGGAACTCGTATTCACAGTGGTGGCATAAATGTTTGTTCTGAAGATGATGCGTGGTTTAGTTGGAACTAAAATCGTTAGTAGCCAATATTGGTTCGACATGTGTGTTGCATTTACTCACATTTCGGTCGAAAAACGGAAGGGAGACACTCAGAAGAGTGCTTGTCGAAAAGAAGATTATGATTAAAGACCGACTAGATAGTTTCCGGGGAAAAACAAGGAGTGACAAGCGGTGATCACAGTAACATGGCGGGTCGAAGAATAGAACGAGAGGCGCGACGGGAGCTGGATACCCGGTTCAACGAAGGTGGTCGACACGAGGATGAGGTCGTGAGATGATGGCTCTGGGGGACAAGATCAAAAAGAGTGGGATGGGAAGGTTGTGTGGCATGCCTCAGCACCACTGTTGTGGAATGAGCGACGAGATGGGATTCCACCTCATCATCATTCTGTCTGGAATGCACTTCCACCTTCCACTTTAACTATACGTCTATCTCCAATTTTTCCAGCAAAGAACCTCCACACTTTTCTCGTTCTTCTTCTAGCATATTCTTCGAATAACTTTCTCGTGTATTCTACGAATTTTCCCATTTCCAGGTTCATATCTTCAGTGTTGGTTTGTTTGCCCCACTAGTGTGCACTCCCAAAGTCCTCACGATGGGGCACTTGAAACAATATTCGACTGATCGTCAGTACTGTTATGAGAGATAGACGGCAACAATCAATGCTACTCAGCGAAAAGAAACCCGTAAACATTCCATGGAAGGTAGGGGGAGAATAATGTCGCAATAGCTTATCGGGATTTATCGTGGCCAGGGGTTCCCACATTTCGCCCTCGACCCAGTGGACATTCCACTCCCTACAGTCCTTAACAAATCTAAATCCACGGGACTGCGAAATCCTGTTTTTCAACAGTCCAAAGTACAGTATTCTATTGAATTTCAAGTTAGAAGATGGATTTGGACGATAAGTTTTGACAGCTTGGTACCTGGGCTCCACTTATCCTAGACTCCGCCAATATCAACTTCATATACTTGTACCGTATAAACATTTCATAACTTAGTGAGTAGATAGTTTTACTTTTCGAAATCTACGATGTTTTCAATCGGTTCTATTGTAAGTATACCTAGATTGGCCATTACCTAGGGGAAGACCGTTTGAAGTCGATATTCCAAGTTTTGGTTTCTGTGCTCCTAGAGTCGATATATATCTCGGGGACTAAGCGTCCGGTTAACCATCAACATATCTAATCTTAATTTGTTAAACCTCTGTTGAACCTCCAGGGCTTCCTTGGAATAGGTATCTATTTATAGGCTCTAGCTAGGCAGTCCAATTAGAGAAATCCGAAGCCAATTCATCTACCAAACCGTACAGTCTAATCCAAAAGTTATTCAATGTTGAAGTCGGGGTCCCAAATCGCAGTAGCCGCACGCTAATGAAATTTACTACGCGCCCATAGGCCGCGGTGTCTAGAACCTCCGCAAAAGCTCATAAATCAAATCCCGGATCTTTCCATACGGGGTTTGCTGTCGTCAGCAACAATTCGTGGCTCCTTCTTATCCTCGGCAGAGAGTTCAGCCCAGGTGGTACCGAAAATAGAGTATAAATCCCACTCGTGATACTTTCTACGGTCGCTTAGACTCAAACTTCCTTCAACCATCTACTACTTACACTGCATCGATCCCTAAACATGGCGGACATCAAACCTCCATTTACAAAAGAGACCGCCCACAAAAAGGTCAAGGCCGCCCAAGATATGTGGAATACCCAGTACGTTCATCCTGATCTTTGGACCCTGGAGCAACCACATGGCTAAAGAAGGGGCGTCAAATAATCCCATCCCTTGCATTCTTCCCACTGCAATGTTTGTCCGTGCGAAGACCCTGCGCACATGCAGCCATGCCTTTTCCAGCGTAGTTTCTGATTTCCCATCGATTTCATATCTGTTCGGCCGGCCATGTTTGCTGTGCAGTGACCCGTGAATGACGTAGTTAACCATGCGACAGGGACCCCCCGCGCGTTGCCCTGGCATACACCCCGGATTGCATCTGGCGGAATCGCACGTCGTTTTTGTCAGGCACGAAGGGCATCGTCGAGTTTCTGACAGCCAAGTGGAAACGAGAACACAATTATCGGTTGCGTAAAGAGCTCTTCTCTTTTAGCGATGACCGAATCGCCGTTCAATTCTGGTATGAGTATCGGGATGCCGATGATGGGATGCGCTGGAAGAGGTGTTATGGGTTGGAGGATTGGACATTTGATTGGGAGACTGGGAAGATGCGTAAGCGTATGATGAGTGGTAATGATTTGCTTCTTGGGCCGGATGGCAATGGCGAGGGGCGATGGTTTGTGGAAGGGGTGGATGTGAACGAAGTGCCGATTAGCGAACAACACTGGTAATTTGGATGTCTATACAGGAATAGCAGTTTCAAGTAACTTTGGAATCCCTTGACTTCCAAATTATCAGAAGTATCTCTTTCAAGATCGCGCTAATGGAGAAAGAAGAGGCCTCCTGTTTAATCTACTCTGTACAGGCGGGGATTAATATGTATATCTCCTTGCACATTGTAGACTGCTCGTAACCTTCGAGGCTCGGTTCGATGTTGTTTCACAGTTGAGATAGGTGCGAAAGTCTTTTTCTTTTCTTTTTTTTAAAAAATAAGAAAAGTCTGCTCGTTTGATTTCAGCTATTGTGATTACCAAGACTACCACTCATGTGTACCTGGACAACTGGTTCGAACTTGATATTCCAACTCCGAAGGTTTCCGTTCCCTGTACAATATATGTCTCCACATATACCTACAAGTCCCGAGATCCGACAGTCAACTTGAAAGGAATTTACCCAGCACTTTGCCTTGGCTCTATAACATATTAGGTAACCATCTTCGGTCCGATTTCAGCGTTTCCGCCCCCACCTGAGCATTTGCACTAATGTTGGCGCCAAGCTTGCCTTCAGGCTGAGAAGTGGAGATTAGAAAAAGTGGGTTGTTTTGTTCGGGCAGCCCGCATGCTAGCGTGATAGCAAACTTACCGCTCCTTTATCTCGTTAATACCACGGCAAAACCTAATACACACGCACAGCTCGAGCACCATACATGGCTAAGCCTGTATTTGCCTAGTGCAACGAGGCTGCAGAGCGCAACACGACTTTCTGACAAACATGACTTCTGCAAGGCATTCTCGACGATTGTCAGCCCCAGGACCTCATTCCCCAGGTTGAGGCCATAGGGCTCCATCGAGTGGAAATTCCTTTCAAACCTGTGCTTTTTCGTTCACCTAGCACACCATGGTTAAGTTCTCTGTTGGATGGAGTATGTTCACTCTATGCTGGCTGACAAGTCAATATCTGCTGACATGGCATTACACGAATAGCCCGGCTCATTCCTTTTTTTGGGTACCATCATGGTCTCATGATTCTTTCAATGAGTGCAATCATTCTGCTGTGTAAGGAAATTTAAAAGCCCCGAGACCACATTGTCGCGATATTGAACTCACATGCTTGAAGCAATTTTACTTGCTGGGTGCACGACCTCTGATAACCTGAGCAATGTCTACCTATTATCCTTGCGGTATACAAACAATTCCGAGGCTGTAAAACCAGCGCAAGTGAGCACATTGATTCAATCAACTGTCTACAATATTTCGCAGACAGGTTCTGGATCGACATTTGAGGTGCGTGCGGGGTATATGGGGCTCTGCATTTCGCAGGGTGACGAGGGGCGCGTCTGTTCCAGCAGCGCAAAGACATTGGCGAATATTGTCAAGGCCGAGAAGGCAAACAGTGCTACCGGCAATATGACGACGGAAACCACTCCCGATCCGCTTAATTTAATTTTAATTGCCGAGGAATTCAGAACGAAAATAGTGTTTGATGGGCTACTGTGAGTTTCCACAACTTATTTGCTGTACTGCATTGCAGCCAATTGATGCTGACCATGTCAAATAGATATATTTCTGTTGTTCTTATCTTTGCTTGTTTTCTACTTCTGTCAACATTTCCCGGATGGCACTCGGAGACACTTGACGGCGGGTCCGAGGTGGAAGTGAAGCCTTTTCCTTCCCGACCTGTCTCACAACTCGCTCTGGGTATCATAACCCTGTCGTTTGGGTTTCTTTTTGTCTCGGTATTTTGGCAGCATATAAATAGCAGCTCAACGGCTTCAATGGCAGAGACGCTTACATATGGTGCCGTTTCGGGACACGTCGGGACGGCGGCGATGGTGCTGGGATGGTTTGCAGTCGGGCTTATCGCCAGCGTCACCATTGGTCTACTCATTATGATCATGAGCATCTCTATTCTTAGCAGATTGACCGATGATGATGATAGCTCTGCGAGCTCAGAAATTTCAGATTAGTGGATGGGTTCCTAAGTAGATACTGCAATATGGGGAACTAAAATCTTGGAATTTTTGCATGCGTTTTGTATGGCATAATTTGAAAAATGAGCACACAAGTGAGAAATCTCAAGTCACCTGAATCCCGCGAAAAAATTCAACCTAAAGGGTCAGCACTTACAGTCAGACCATCGGATTGTGTGCGATGTGGGGCGAGGAAGGAGGCAGAATCTCACCCTTGACGTGGTCAGCCCTAGTCCAACTTGGGCAGTGCCGACATGCACGGTCCAACTTTGCGGCTGGGCGTGACTCTCACTGATGTCTGAGACCAAAAAATCAATGATTTGAGAACGGACGACTTGATCCGGATGGCGGAAGGACAACCTTCTGATCGGCTTCTCGAATGGCTGAACCAACCAGATGAGCCGGAACCACCTATCGAAGAGCCCCTCGAGGACATATCTGAGCCGTCCCGCGAAGCGCTAGAAGATCCACTTGTGGTTGACGAGCCACGAGAGCATAGTAATTTAGAGGAGGCAGAAGATTTGGTTGATGGTAGCGATCATAATAGTCGACTTGAACAAGATGTGACCCCCGAAGTGACATCCGTGCCCGATTCTGGCTCTGCATCTATAGCCAGCCATAATGTTCAAGAGAGACAGGAGAATTCACGCGCCGGAAATGTCGCATCACAAAATTCGCTGATACTACCATCCGAGATGCAACCGGAGCCTGAGGTGTTTGAACCTGAACCGACAGAACCGGACATGATGGTTCTGACGAGACGGACTGATAAACGGAAGAAAGCACCACGCCGACTTACATATGGCAAGATCCTTGACAACGCAGCCAAAGTGCTGGAGCATATTAAAAATGGAAGTGTCCGTCAGACATCCAGGCATAATAAGACGTCAATTATATTTTACGATTATTCTGAAGATACAATGTCCGAGCCAAGAGCGATTCTCAACGACAATGATATCGCAATTCTAGGACACGCAAATCCAAGTGTCAAGCAGCGTCTGATTCTCGTGGAAGATCTCTCCAAACCGACCATAGATGCTCTTGGAATTACCTTCAGCATCAACCCGGAGTTCTTCGAGGAGCACCTGTTGGACTCGAACTACGCCGGTTCGAGGCATAATGAGCCACCGGCTCGAACGTGGAAGACGGCGACATTTCCCAAGTCCCATATCTCTTTTAAGTGGATCCGACCCGTTTATCGACAGCCCACATATTTTTCACATCGGGATCTCAGTGACCTCCTGGAAAAATGGACTGAGCATTTTACTCGCCACGGCAATGTTATTACAAAAGTGACGACAAATATCTTCCGCATAGAGTGGGGATTGTGGACAGATCCGACAAAAACCGTGAGGATGGAACGAGAATGTGGACTTGAAGAGAAGGTCTCAATCTGGAAAGGTCAACTCCGAGGCCGAGATACCGAGATCGGTGAGGCATGAACAATCATTCAGTGATAATACCATATTGACATTCCGCTAGTAATCGTGCTTCTTGATCCTTTACCCGAGATAAGCGAGTACCATCGAGATTGGAGAATGAATAAAAAAGAGGACTCAATCCGCTGGGGGGACGTGGTATCAGAAAGATCTATGCCCGAAAGCGATATGATGGAAGAGGGACTAGGAGGATTGTTTATAGCAGAACCACGGCGTGTGCGGGATGGACGAACATTTTCCAGAATGTGGGCTGATATGATCGTGAGACGAAGATTGAGAAAGCCAGTTGAAGTCGCCGAGATGTTTGAATCGGATGACGAGGAGCCAGAGGGATTGCGGAAGGTTATCATCACGCAGATGGCGCCTCGCAAGTCTCTGGATGTTGACCTGAACCAAATATTTCGCTCATCGCGTCCAGCGGTGAATTTTGGCAACCAACTGAGTCAGACGAAGTCTACTCAAGCTAGCATCCGTGAGGCATTCGAGAGAACCGGTGCCCCAGTTGGTCTCCTGGAGCCCCTGCTAGAGATCATTCGACGGGACACGTCGACTCTCCTCCAGCACTTACGACAAATTCTCGACGAGGTAGAGGTCGACATTCTTGATGACACAAAGATGGAAGACCGGTTGGCTTTATGGCGCCAGATCATCCACCGTGCACAAAGGGAGCTACCGGAATTGAAAAATTCTTTGGATCCGCTTCATAAGTTCGGTCTCACGGTCACCCCTCAGACTGTATCCACAAAGGCACCAAGTGAGCTAGCCAACAGCATCCAAGAATATGAAAAACTGCCGCATGATATCGACCTAATGATTGAGCGACTACGTGTTACATCAGCCTCATTAACCTCAAACATGGGTCTCTTGGAAAGTCGCCGCTCAATTGATGAAGCTCATGCTGTGACGAGACTCACTGAGCTCGCATTCATCTTCATCCCTCTATCCTTCGCTACGTCTGTCTTCGGTATGCAGATTGAGCCCTTCGCCAATCCCGTTCCCATGTGGAACTTCTTCGTCGTGGCTATCTCCGTGACCGCGTTCTCGTATTTGATGAGAATGACCATGCGAAGCCAGTGGCTTACTCGCCTCAAGGCAGGAGTGAAATACGACGTCCGAAAATACGCAGAAAAGCACGGCCAGCCCGTGCAGTCCCGGTCACTTTCTATGCTCCTAATCCTGCAATGGCTGAGCAGCCGATCAGGTTCAAGCATATATAGTGCGGTAAAATGGATTACCAAAGAGTGTATCTGGGTTGGAAAGGCAATCTGGCGGTTGTTTGGCTTCGCCATCCTTTTCATTTTGCTGATTGGTGGCATCTCAGGAATACCGATTGCTGTGATCTGCTCTCGCGATCTTGAGTCCGATATCAAGATCCCCCTCAGTCTGTCTATAGTCGGAATGACCTTTTGCATTGCGGGTCTTCCATTTTGGTACAGATATGACCCTAACACTCGCGATATTCTGCCGAAACTCCTGATGTCAGGTGTTCGGAACATACCTCGTTGGTTACTGATCGCACTCCTAATATTGGGTGTGATTGGAGTCTTGATTGGGGTGCCACTTGCTTTGATTTGGAGCCGTTCACTCGCCCCTGGCATTAAGGGTGGCCTTAGCGCTGGGGTTATCATAATGGCGATTCTTACAATGGTAGCTTTTGGTTCGCTGGGAGTATTCGGCAATCGTTGGTCGGCTAGGCAGCGGATAATGCGGAGGACACATCAACGTACCAATACACGCTAAGAATCATCAATGTGGTGTTCAACTATTCCTGTGTTCAAATATCACACTCTGAGGTGACTGAAGCCGCTATACCGTATCGGGCATGGGTTGTGCTCCCATAACAATTGACAATATCCAGGTTGTAGCTCATAAGTTGTCTACCTCTATGTATTAATATGGTCATGATGCTACATGCCTCCAAAATTTAATCTTTGCGCTGTTCTCATTGTTTTTATCAGGTGTGTCCCAAATTTAAACCATTACTAGCCTCTTCTGTGCGACGATTTTGACCCAATATTGAGTCTTATTGTTTTGTGTACCATATATCTACCTGTTCGCAATGAATAGTTGTCTGCATAACTCAGTGTGGAGAGATAACAAGATCACTGCATTTGAACGCTGTACTCTTATCGTGCCGGGCTACATTCCTCGAATGTCTGTCCGCTTCTTTTCTCCCTTGTAGACCGATGATCATCTACAAGAGGGACCAGCGATTGCTAATGTGTCACAGATACCAAGACGGTAATTCTTTGCGTTCATGCATGACGCTGGTTATTGAGGTGCGGGCATCGGGCAGTGGGCCCGGTGATGAGAACCTTAGCCAAACAAGGCATGCAAGTCCGGGAGGCCTCCCGGTCGCCAATTATCCGGGAAATTTTCTGAGAACGCGCCAGATCTCCTAAAAGGACTTGTCCGGAACTCAGATCTGGGGTAAATTGATACAGAGATGAGTTCATGCCCCCGCTTCCTAAGAATAGAAACACGCGGTCGGATATTAGGAGGTATCGAAGTATCTGACGATTTTGCCATCTGCATTAGCAATACCATCATAGATAATTAGCCAACTCTTTGTAAATCTGAACAAGACCAACATATCTGCGAAACAAGGGTCCCTCATGACTTCATTCCTCGCAAGTCGACGGATTCTTATCGGCCAAAAATATGGTTTCAGCGATTGGTCGCGTTATCTTCCCAAACGAAGATAAGCTCCACCTCCGGATCCCCCGCATTGTCAAGGCCATTGATAATTCGCCCTACGTCCGATAGACGGCACTACATCCGGCCATTGTAATTATCTACTCTCATGGCAGGAAACACAGCTCGAGTCACAAAAAGATCATTGAATGCGTATGAAATCCTCACCCCCTGGTGTCCAAGCTTACTGGCTGATCCAACGCAGGTGCACCCGATGCCGCAGACAGAAGATCAAATGTTCGGGGTCACAACCGTGCGACGGCTGCAACAAACGCAAGCTCACGTGTATCTTTGATGATCGAGACCAAAAGATCCTTGTCACTAGGGGGTATGAATCGACTTCTGCAAACACTGGCACAACTATTCTGACGTACGGGCAGTTATCTTGATGAGTTACAGCAAAAATTAGCTAGATTGCAGCAAAATGAGAGTGGGGAACCTGTTCCTCTTAGTCCAGAATACGGCGAGGAAATATCACCTGGTCGGTGCCTCTGTTCGTTGTCACGACAACTGCTAATGCCCGACAGATTTGAAAGATCATAATGACGCACCGCGCATTGCCAGGTCATCACCAAATGAGAAAGAAGATGCCCGATCTAACCATGACATTGAACCGGAGCTTGAAGATCCAGCATCGGGGTTGACGAATCCGCTGTCAACAGGTCCCCCAGCCTTCATGTCAGCCGAAAATGGGCGAACATGTATGCTAAGACCCTCGTGCTGAGGAACCGTTGCCTAATTGTGTTGCAGTTTACCTCGGAACATCCTCTAATTGGTCATTCACACGCCGGGTGTTAAGTCTTACACACGAGTTCATATACCAGGAAGCCCTTCCAACTGGTGCCTTATCGTTCGACGGTGCAACTTATGACCTGGGCTGGGATGGACTCCGAACGCCTCAGAGACCCGATCTCCCTACCGTACCAACCTTTGATCATGCTATGTATCTCATCAATACCGTGAAATTTCGCTGTGGGCAGCTATATCATCTCTTCGATGAAGGGGAGTTCATGAGTGGCCTACATGATTTCTATTCCCGATCCAAGCCTAATGCGACATCCAGCTTATGGTATATACATTTCCTTCTCATGCTCGCCTTTGGAAAAGGGTTCGTTCAGCACAAGCTACAAGGAAACAAGCCTCCGGGTGCCGAGTTTTTTGTGAAGGCTCTACAACTGCTGCCTGATGTCAGTGTGCTACACCAAGAGCCTATCGAGTCAACAGAGATTATGTGTTGCATTGCGCTTTACTTGCAAGCCCTTGATTGCCGGTCATCTGCACACAATTATGTATGTCTTTGAAATATCTCTTTTTCTTTAAGTTTCCACTAATTGTCTTCGCAGATTGGCTCAGCGATGAGAATGGCCATGGCGGAGGGTATGCACACCCAAATGCCGGTTGAATATCTGGGAGAGGATTTAGTTCAACGTTGCCGCAAGATCTGGTGGACTGTATACATTTTGGATCGCGAGATGACTTCCCTCATGGGCCTCCCTCAGTCTCTCAGTGATGATCATGTGGATACTTTGTTGCCAGCATTCCCGGGATCTGCACAGCGCACAGCCGGTATCAATATGCATATCAAACTTTCACGAATAATCGCCGAGATCAGCAGTGGTGAGTACTAGCTGCGCGCCGAGTTCAATTCCTATTTATACTTAACTCGTCGACAGCTGTATATGCCATCGATGGTCGCCTCAATCGAAACTTCTTACTTCGCACCAAATCCGCCCTAGCAAGTATTGCCTGCCTTGCAGATGAGCTACACGACGGCTTCCCTTTACACCTGGATCGATCAACAAGCGGAGTCTCCAGAACATCTGCCTACCTCCACCTTCTATATCATCAATGCATAGTTCTTGCCACCCGACCACTACTCTTCTGCTTTTTGAAGATCCGCTTCGAATCTCCTGAGCATTGCTTAGAAGCTCTAAACACCTCTCGCAACGTGCGCAACTTGATCCAAATGTGCATCGACTCATCTCAACAAATGATCAACATCCTTCACAGCCTTCAATCCGAGGACCTTCTTGGTAAATAGCGCCCGGTCTCCTAATTTCAAAACCCAACTAACAAGGCCCAGAAACATTTCTCCCCTTCGATCTAGAATCTATTTTTGTCTCAACAGTAGTCCTCCTCATGGCCCCGGCAATTGATGCTAGATGGTCCTACCCAGCTTGGCTAGAAAAGGCCTACCTAATATTTGAAGATATTATTGAGAATGGAAACCTGATTGCAAAGTTCCGGCGATCAGAGCTCCAGCTCCTGGATGAATTATTGAGCTGTTTTCCCCAAGACAGATCACGATGTTTATCAGCCCCTGTCTCCTTCCCAACCAGCATCCTCAATAACCCCCAAACGAGTGTTCAACTTGCAAGCTCCTTCCCGCCATCGGCTCATGCACTCAGTCAAGAATTTTTGTCGAATCCTGCACCGACGAATGATGATGATTTTAATTTGACAAGTGGGTTGACTGCGGCGCAGATTATGGCTGTTGCGGATTCTATCGAGAGTATTGATACAGAGTGGATGTCTAATGCTATGATTGAGCATAGTATTTGGTGATTCCATATGAATGTATTTCATGACGCTACCTAGCATATCTTAGCCTTCAAACACTTGTTTTATCTTGATGGCTTGGTTCAGCTATCTTCGAGTACACATTCAAGTGCCCTCCGATGTTTACAAGGGACCCAGTAAGAACACGTACATAAAAATAAGTTATTTTCTTGAGATTTCTACGATCAGTTCAAACTCTGAAGAAAATGTCAAATTCATACTAATACCTTGAATTCACACTTTTCACCCAAGGCAAGCCTCGGAGGATACTGCAATTACCTTGTTCACCTACCTCTGACTCCCAGGAACAGGAATCGTAACGCCCTTAACACAAGAAGGGCAACGTCCAGACTTACTGACGCCACCCTTCAAAAAATTCTTAACTTTCCGGAAAAGCGGTGTTTTAGGAACAATAGCCTTGCGGGTCAGGTCCTCACATAGGAGCTTGCAGCGAGTAGCCTTAGCTTCAGCCTCGGAGCATTGCTCTACACCCTCGACCCACAGATGCCCACAGCCCCCCGTGACCTTACTGTAGTCGAGTATGTTGAGCTGACACATTTTTAACAACTTTCTGTTCTGTAGTATAATATGTGGAACTTGTCTTGAAATGTGACTCGGGTTTGGAGATATGTTAGTTCGGGGAATGATATTTGTTTGAACTGGCTGATCAAGGAATTGAATGGATATAGGTATTCGGTCTTCTTATACATAACAGCCATCAGTTTACTATACGTGTGTGCACAATGGCCTTTGTATAGGTTTCATGTTGAGGACAAAGGATATGTTTTCTGTGTACATAATGGCATTGTCGGCTGGCATTCTCTTTCGAGGGCATTTCTCATTTATGAAAGAAGTGAGACATTTATCCGAGACGTATAGCGCAGAATAAAATGCAGAGTATCTAAGACAATGAAGGAAGTGGTACTGGAAAAAAAAATGTGATAATTTGATTGTAAATGCAAACTTCATTCGATTCTAGTTTCAGATGCCACGGTTCTATTTGCAGACTTACAGCTTAGAAGACTTCGGAGGGAGAATCGAATGAAACTCCTTAGACTGTCCAAGGCGCCAACTAACATCACCACCCCAATCGGCTTTTCCGGCATTGGGAGAAGGCTGTTTCCACCGCCAGCGCGCCACAGATTGCTTAGCATCAGTAGCAGACAGCAGATCAGTGACCCAAGATCCCACAATAGGGAACATCTTGAAGCCATGTCCGGAGTCACCAGATAAAAGAATAATAGACGAGGATGTCTCGGGAATATAATCCACAATAAAGTCCGAGTCATTGGTATCAGCAAACCAACACAGAGACTTCCTAACAAAAGGCCGATCGGCAAGCGAAGGGAGAGTTTGACGCAACAATTTCCTAAGCTGCTGCTCATCTTCCTCGGGCAAGAAAGCACTATCACCCAAATTTTCAGGCGCATGAGAGACCCCAGTCTTGGGATCGGTGTTTATGTACCCACCACCCATCGGACAAAGTTTAAGCAGGTTCGTCTTCGGATCAGGTTCGAAGAAAAATCCCAGATCACGCGCATAGGTCACAGGGATACCGCGAAGAGCAGAGGTCTCTTCATCCGTGAGATGGACATGAGCGACAGACCAGGACTTAGCCACGACTTCCTTTCCGATTTCAGGAACTAGGCGACCGGCTCCAGCTCCGGCTGCAACGATCACCAGTGATGAGGGGTGAAAGCGTCCGTTCTTGGTTCTGATACCGGCACACTTTCGGCCATTTAGCGTACTCACATACACAATTTCATCGACGGCGCCTTGTTCTCCGAGGAAGAAACGGACTCCTGATGCCTGGGTTTCGCGGTAGACTGCTGCTAGCGCATTGCCGGAGTGAGCGTATCCGTCGAAGCGGTTCAAGTAGCCGTGCCATCCTGGCAGCTCTCCATCAAGCTGCCAACAGGCCAAGCGGACATCGTCTACATTTTTGAGGGGAATGACGTGAGGCTGGATCTTGGGTTCTTTCTCAGCTGAGGCGCGGAATCTGTTCAATGTGTCGACGGCCTTCTCAGGGGCGGCGCCGGAAACGCAATGCAAGAAGCCAGTTTGGTGGAAGTGAGGGGCAAACAATGGAGTTTTCCAAGCATCTATTGCTTTCTAGAGATTCATATGTTAGCAACTGGACTTTATGTCCTGTGAAGCTGAACTGGATGGTCGCACAATTGTTAAGTCTGTGTAAAACGGATCCTCATATTCGGCTCGCACAATCTTGTTCAAATCGTTGGCTGCTGAAGAGCGTGGTGGGACGCTGTCGTCTTTCTCGAATATGGAGATATTGGTATATCCTTTTCGTGACAGATGGAGGGCTGACGAGAGGCCGAAGGCACCTCCACCAACAATGATAATTGCGTCCGACTTGGATACCACCATGATTGAATGACAAACAACAATTACCTGCAGGTTTCGACGCTGCAGCTTTAATCATATATACCGCGTTCGATTACTAGATTCCGGCATTGTCTGCGATAAGTGTCTATCTGTCATCGGCAGCGCTGCCGAGTGGAGACCGTGAGGGGAAACTCTATCAAAGGCCAGGATACCCCACCATCATCGGAGCACTTTCCGACCGATGCGCCAGCACCCATCTTATCGGCGGGGTTGATTGAACACAAACATACATCTTGTATTCGCAACAAGGCTTTTGATTCAGGCCAATCGCGTCGACACAAAAATATGGGAGACAAAATGGACACTCTTTGTTTCCTAGGATGCGGTAAGTGAACCATTCAAGGAAAATAAGCATAGAGACTGATTACTTCAGGTAATTTGGGAGCTGCAATTCTCGACAGCTTGATAAGCACATCAAACAATGAACCTCTTTTCACCCGGTTCATTGCATGTGTTCGCAGTCAACAGTCACTGGAAAGACTGAGCGCCCGTTTCTCCAAGCACCTCGATCGATTGACCATCAGTGGAAATGACAATGTCAAAGCTGTTCAAGAATCCGACGTGATTATACTCGGTGTAGATCCTGTCGATATCGAGAAAGTGTTGACGCAATCCGGGCTCCGCGAGGCATTGGAAAACAAACTGTTAATTAGCATCGCGGCCGGTTGGACGCGTCAAAAGCTCGAGCACACAATCTATGGAAGCGAAACAACCAAGGAAAACACGGGCAATCGCGCGTGGGTAGTGCGTACGCTCCCCAACATCGCCGCACAGGTTTCGCAGTCCTTAACCGCGATCGAGGTGTCAGAGCCGACACCGCCAGATCACTATCTACAAAGAACGACGGCAATCTTCGAGCGCATTGGACGCGCAGTTCAGATCGCTCCCCACCTCATGAATGCGACTACTGCAGTGGGAGGATCTACTCCGGCATTTTTCGCTGTGATTTGCGATGCGATGATCGATGCCGCGGTGGCGGTTGGTGTTCCTCGGGACTTGGCACATACTATGATCTTCCAGTCTATGCAAGGGACGGCCACTATGCTTCAGAGTGGAATTCACCCTGCTCTTCTCAAGGATCAGGGCACATCTCCCGAGGGGTGCACTATTGGTGGCTTGATGGTCATGGAGGAAGCAGGTGTTCGGGGTCATGTTGGACGGGCTCTTCGAGAGGCCGTCACTCTGGCTCGTCTTATGGAAACAAGCTCGCATGTCAACGACACTCGGCATTAAGTCCCTGGCTACAGATAAGGTAGATAATATATAGTACTGAGAAATCTGCACAATATGCGAGTCTAGTATATCACCACCCTGACTACAATCTTTATTTATTCATAAACATGTCCGAGTTCATCCATCCAATTTGCTATGCAAGAATGAGCGCAATTCCAAATTCGCCAAACATCCAAATCCAAAGGCTGGTAGGATCCGAATACACCGCACAACAGTCGTAGAAGCCAGATATTTCTGCGACTGCACAACTCGATCAACTAACGGCACAGCATGCTGCTGCATATAAAGGTTCAACCCCAACAAATGCAACGGCGTAGCTACAAACTGAGTCAAAACCGGAACCGTCAACTGCGAGATAATCGGTTTTGCCTGCGGGTGCGAAGTGATACTATCAGGAATCGCAGCTGACAATTTCGGCGCAAGAGTGAAAGACCCGAAAATGGTGACCCCGTCACGCAGGAGAAAAATGGCTGTGGCTGCTCTCGCAACGCCACGATTCTGTACCAGTGCCGGTCGCACCTTTTCAACATTATGTGCGTAAGTCTGTGTGCCGAATATTTTTGCGAAGCGGATGTCCTTCCACACGCCCATTGGCACGTTCACTAGAGTTGTTGTTGCGAATGTGATCATCCCTGTTCCAGAGGCTTTGAGCTTGGTACCAATGGTGTCAGCGCCATTCGCGACGATGTAAGTGGATGCGTAGAGGGACCAGATTATGCCGAATGGTACTTGGAAGACGAATCGCGTGGGGCTTTTGAGTGCTTGAAGCAAATGTCGCCTTAGCCCATGGAAGAGGGACTGATTCAAAGATGATTTCTCAACAACGGCCCTAGATGGAATGAGAAAGGCTTTTCAAAATTTCAAGTTATTCCAGTCGGACTAACCTGTCTATTATCGTCACTGCTGGTGCAACTAAGGTCGCAGAAGCTACTGCGGATCCAATGTCGCCCGCCAGTCGACGAAAAAGCGAACTATCCCATAACTGTTCGTCCGACCGGTGTTGCATGATGGCGATAGTCTCTCATCATAATGGTAGTTGCTACAAACAATCAAATGCTATCAAGGCAGCTCATGTTTCCCCGCCTATATCGGGAACAAGATGGAGATCTGGTGACATCGGGATCGCTTCCCGGTCCGGCAGAACATAGCTTTACCTTCAACCCCACATGTTATGGAGTCCATCATAGCTCCAGAGCTCCCTTGGTGGGGTATCGCGTGTCACCATCGGGTGCATGTCCGATGCTCCAAATTCATGTTTGCGATAAAGAAATGCACTTAAAGACCAGGGTTCTCAATTCATTCTGTTTTTCATCACACACATCATGTCTTCTACATCTCTCCTGAGCATGCGCTCATCCCGAGTTTTCTCTCCTCGTCTCCGCCCCAACCTTTTCAAGCCCTCGATTCAAGTCCGGGCTAAAACCACCTTGCCTTTCCGTCTTCCCGACCCTCGCAATGAACCCAACGTGAGTACTTACGGAGAACATAATGAACAAATTCGTGTTAATCAACACTAGCCACTATACAAAAGAGGATCGGAAGAGCGTATCAAGCTAGAAGAGGCTCTTGTCAAGCTCCGGGCTCAGCTTCCCGTCCAAAGCGATATCGTGTACGATGGCAAGGCTCAAAAGAGTGATCAGTCCTGGGACCAGCTCTTGCCTGCCGAACATGCCACTGTTTTCACCAATTATCCCCTTGCAACCAAAGAGCAGACAAAAGATGCCATCGAAGCCGCACTTAAGGCAAAGAAGGACTGGGAAGAGACTCCATTCGTCGACCGCGCTGCTATCTTCCTGAAAGCTGCCGAGCTGGTGACTGGAAAATACCGCTATGAGTTAATTGCGGCAACCATGCTAGGCCAGGGCAAGAACATCTGGCAGGGTGAGATCGATGCCGCTGCCGAGTTGGCCGATTTCTTCCGCTTGAACTGCAACTACGCCGCGGAGATTCTCGAGAGACAACCTACCCGTGGCAGTGACGGCATGTGGAGTCGTCTGGACTACCGTCCCCTGGAAGGATTCGTCTATTCCATCTCCCCATTCAACTTCACCGCATTAGGTGGCAACTTGATCTCTGGCCCGGCTTTGATGGGTAACGTTGTGATCTGGAAACCCTCACCATCCAACGTCTACGCCAGCAGCATCGTCTACAAGATCCTTCTCGAAGCTGGTCTGCCCCCGAACGTTGTCCAATTTGTTACCGGAGACCCAGAGACAATCAATGACGTTGCTCTATCTCACCGCGACTTCGCCGGCCTGAACTTCATCGGTTCCTCTGACGTCTTCCGCTCTCTGTACGCTAGGATCGGCGAGGGCATCGGAAAGAAGACATACCGCGAGTTCCCCCGTGTCGTTGCTGAGACAAGTGGCAAAAACTTTCACCTCGTTCACCCCACGGCCGATATCCCCAGCGCAGTCAATCACACTATCCGCGGTTCCTTCGAGTATCAGGGCCAGAAATGCTCTGCTACCTCCCGTCTATACCTGCCTGAGTCCCGGGCTGAGGAGTTCTTCACTCTGCTCAAGGCTGGTGTGAAGGAAATCACTATTGGAAATCCTGACAAGAACCTCGAGGCCTTTATGGGTCCTGTTATCCACCGTCGCTCGTTCGACAAGATCAAATCTATCATTGATAATTGCAACAAGGATTCTTCTCTGAAGCTCATTGCTGGCGGTACCACTGATGACTCTGTTGGCTTTTATGTTCACCCAACCGTCTACCAGGTTGACTCGGCAGACCACCAGCTTTTCAACGAAGAGATCTTTGGCCCCGTGCTTGCCGTCTACGTCTACCCCGATGCTGAGTGGTCGTCTACTCTGAAGAAGGTCGATCAAGCAGGCGGTGGCTTTGCCCTGACTGGTGCCGTCTTTGCTCAGGATCGCCGAGCTATCCGTGAGGCAGAAGATGCTCTCCGCTACTCTGCCGGTAACTTCTATATCAGTAAGTTTATTTACTTTCCACGCTTTCTATCTTCATGATCTAATACATATTGTATTAGACTGCAAGACTACTGCTGCCCTCATTGGTCAACAATCCTTCGGCGGTGCTCGTGCTAGTGGTACCAATGACAAGGCTGGTAGCTCTGATGTTCTGCGCCGATTCGCCAGCCCTCGTCTGATCAAGGAGGAGTTTTTCCCTCAGCACGGCTTCACCTACCCCAGCAACCACTAAATGTTTACGAGCCTCATATTTGTATTAAATAGTATTCGTGCCCAAAATCATACATTTCAAGTTCTGCCTGAATTTAAGTCGTAATAGGAATTGCACTTCTCTAAGCTGGAGTTTTCACGTAGTTCGAAGGACACAGTAGTACTGTGCTCTGTCACATGGCGAGCAATCGAACCTCCTCGAACAATGATTGTACGTCTCGAGCGTATTCCACAGTACAATCCAACGATACTTAGTGAATTGTTTGACATACACAGTGATCCCCTTTCCGGCAGGAATTGCTCTTCACATGGAGCTTATGCCTCAAACTGGGATATTTGCCAATCCAATAGAGCACGTGTTCAATATGTATGAATTGCCGCGCCCTCTGAAGGTCGTCATTAGAAAATGTGGGTACTCATTGACTGGGGCAGGTTGCCAATATACTCGGTATTCTGATTGATGTAAAATGATTGTGGAGAAAAGTTTGAGCAAAAAGAAAAAAAAAAATTTATCCATTGCAGATTTGATTTCATGAAGCCGTCAAGTTAATCCAACCAAATTGTGATATCGTATCATGAAGAGGTAAAGGAAAACGCAGCACGAATCCTCCGTCCAAACTCCGCTTTCAAAGCATTATACTCATCACTGGTCCGCATAACCGCATCCCGGTTCTCGATAGCCCTCCGAAGGAGATAAGCAAGACATTCACTCATAGTACCCCAAGTCGAGCTTTTATAAACCTCAGGCGTGCCATCATCCCCCTTAAGCTGAAGCAGCGAGAAACTGACTTCGTCCGACATTCCGTGTAGCTGACCGAATCCAACAGGGACTGTAGGTAGCCCTGCAGCTGTGCATTGTTTATGAAGTTGATGAGCATCTATGACACTCGCTTTGTTATGGCTGGCCAAGAACAGGTTCACGGATGGGAAGGGAGTCTCAACGCCGAACTTTCCAAATTTTTGTTTCAGCACTCCCTGGGCAATTCCATTGTAGGCGTCATCGGTGTCTTGTTTTGTGTCGTGTATTAGGGAACGTTCGTCGGAGGCGATGTAGGCACCACGGACCAACTTCAATCCGAGTGTAAATCCTTCTTGTTGTGCAGCTGTGAGGTGCTTTTCAATTGTGACTGGGGTGCTCTTGAGGTATGTTTGGTATGTGAAGTAGATTAAAGCGTGTCCGTTGTGATTGTATTTTCGCATCAGGTCAAGAGTGACGCGGAGCATTCCTGATAGAAAATGATGGGATTCAGCATCGACGAGAATGCGAACGTTGCGGTCTTTGCATCGGCTGCAGATCTCATCTAGGGCTTCAAGCATCTGGGTGGGGGGTAGTTCGCCCTTGGAGAAGGCGTCGGTGACGACGGGCCCGGCTCCGGTCAATCTTCAAGAGAGTGTCCTTTAGTATGCATTTGAATCGGTGAAAGATGCGAGTACTTACTTCATAGCCAAATAATCACCGTCGCTGAGCTGATTAATTGTCTCAAGGGTTCCCTTGTGCCATGCTTCGATGTTCGCACAATGAGCAACCTTTGGGTGGAGGGGGTCATCGTTCTTTTCCGCTTCCAGGGCGGCAATACCCAGCCCCTGCTGAGTGTTGGTACGGTGATCAAAAACGGTCTCTTTCGCATAAGTCATAATCACACCACGGAAACCCATATCCTTCAGTTCACGGATTGTAGCTCTTGTCTCGGCATCGGTCTCGCCCGCACAGAACTGTTCATAGAATGTCTTTTTCAAAATTCCATGCAAAATGGGATTGCGGTCCACATTGGTGAGCCAGCCTCTGTTAGGCTTAGAAAGAATAGACATCAGCCAGAGAGAGGGCCCGAGTAGAAGGGACTTGGAGGAGATAGTAGAAACCAGCAGTGATCGGAGAAGCACTTTGGTAGGCAGAGCCGAGAGGGGAGGCAGAGGGGCAGCGGTATGGGTTCTGCTCTTCGCAGCAATTTGCAAGGTGGATGAGAATCGCTGCTGCTTAGGTGACAATGCGATGTTTAGTTGGCGTAAATTGCATCGTGCAAAAAGTAACTCGCTAGCACGGGGACCAGGAGACTTTCCAACAGACCACAGAGTCACGGTTGACATGGCTTGAGGTAGTCAATCAAAATGGACTCTCTTTGTTATGGCCTCCAGAATATGAGCTACCAGGTTATTTATCGTTTATCAAGCAACCCCGCCTGTCCTTGTCCACCCCGCGATATCTTCCAGGTTTGCTATCAGAAACCCAATACCGGGCCCTTATCGGATGCTCGTCCGACAATGTTATCTCAGCGAGAAGCATTGCGAGGGGCGTTGATGGAACAGATAGGTTGTGTTACGTCCATGATTGAAATTTGGCGGGTTCGTTTACCAATTCGGAAGGCAATATCTTTGTCAGGTGGCCAAGAGAAGTATGGCCGGGAGGGCGTCCGTACCGTCAGCTAATCCGGGGTCGGATGGTCTTCCGTCTACTAAATACGGTGGCATATCACGCGAGAAGAAGCCTCGGCGCATAGATCCGATAGAGAGTACATAAGACTTTGACAACAACCTTCTAGCGAATGGTCTCATGTCTCATGCGGAGCATCGTTCCGTTCAATCAGGCAAAACTATGGGAGCAGTTTAAAGCACACTCAAGGATGAAATTGTTGAGTTTTTCAACGCTTGCTGAATACCTGACCGCTAAATTTGTCAGATATGCCAATTTAGAGTGAGGTTGACTGATATGCTAACAAGAGTTAGAGGTGATGAACAATACCCGATCTCGGGAATCAACTCCGTTAGTGCCTGAAGCACAAGCGACTCCACATGATAGTCAGGTGACCTCTATGATTTCATGGCGTTACGTAATGGGGATTAATTTTTAGTTTCGGTTTAATGCATGCTTCAGGCACCCAGGCAGCGATCGCCCCTCCTTGATAACATGATAAGTCAGCGGGGCAGTTCTCGCTCGGTCTTTCTTGATAATCCATGCGGTTCGGTATCTTTCTGCTTCGGATCAGCTCATAATACGGTCCAATTGTCCCACTCTATTCGTCATATCTCTGATCCCGATGGGCCGATATGTGTAAGCGCCGGAAGCCGGAATATTAATACCGCCATTGCCCCTTGAACGATTTCCTTATCTCTGTAAACTTAAACTTCTTTCCTTCCGTACATTCGAATATTCCCCATCTTCTCTACCCAATCTTCTAAAACACACAATCAAAATGTCTCTCAAGGCCGGTGACAACTTCCCCGAGGGCGTCGTCTTCTCGTATGTGATTCCCTGCGGTTTTTTCTTTGACTCTTCCTCCCCTCTTTCCCCGCCACAACCTCTCCCGAGTTCAATTACCGAAACTAAATAATTGCCACAGTTACATCCCCTGGGCTGAGGAGAGCGCCGAGTTCAAGGTCTGCGGTAACCCCATCAACTTCAACGTTGACAAGGAGTGGAAGAACAAGAAGGTTGTCCTCTTCGCTCTGCCCGGTGAGTCACCGCTTCTTTCCCCGTGTCTTGATCTGTTCTTTTTTCCTGCTCCCCCAAGGTTCTCTTGCTGACCGCCACTCTCCTACAGGTGCTTTCACCCCCGTCTGCTCCGCCAACCACGTCCCCGAGTACCTCGCTAAGCTCCCTGAGCTCCGCGCCAAGGGTGTTGATGCCGTTGCCGTCCTTGCCTACAACGATGCCTACGTTATGAGCGCCTGGGGCAAGGCCAACGGTGTTACCGGTGATGATATTGTATGTTCACACACTGATTCAATAATTCACAATTTCCTCATTAACATTTTTTTCCAGCTCTTCCTCTCTGACCCCGAGGCCCGTTTCTCCAAGTCCATCGGCTGGGCCGATGCTGAGGGCCGTACCTACCGTTACGCCATCATCATTGACAACGGAAAGGTCACCTACGCCGCCAAGGAGGCTGCCAAGAACGTCCTCGAGGTTACCTCCGCCGACTACATCCTCAAGCAGCTGTAAGCTTGCTTTGACCGTTTAGAAATGGGTTCAACTTAGACCGGCGCAATGATTACGGGCTAGCGGGGTCCTCAACTTCCAAATTGGTGTCTCTACTCGGATGCCATTTGAATTGTTGGTTAGGGCCCTCTTTATAGATTGCCCGCTCCTTTTAGCTTGCTCTTGTGTCGACATAGAGGAATACATCCTAATGAAGCTATGACATTCCTTAACTTGGTTCTGTTCTGTATTTTCGTAGTCGTAATTGGAAATAGCATGCAAATGTTTATCCAACACACTAATGTTCGTTGGCTAAGCTTTTATGGTGGCGCATTTCTCCCAGTCTAAAAAAAGCCTGCGCTCCCTCGCCGATTGGTGCGGGGTTTGTCACACGAGGCCTGTCCGCAAGGCCAGTGCCCGGCCATTCAACTATCTGATCCGGAGAACTCACTGGGGCTAGTGGGGATCGACAAATAAGCACATTTCAAGGGAATGAGATTCGCGTAGAGATGACCATGCTTCCGCAATCCTGCGGAGCCTCTCTGGGATTTAATATAGGGAAATTCGGTGGATTTTGGTGAGAGCCAAATTGTACAAAAGAACAATATTGGCTTGGAGCCCAGGGAACCATATTGTATGAATGAATAGAATCAACATCTCGAAGTCCATCCGCAGCATCACGTCCTTGGGGACGTACTTGAAGGCAGACGACCATAACTTGGCGACCATATTAGTCTGAAAACAAAAGATATAATTGCAGAGATATACTGCAAATATCCCGACCGAATTAGCCTTTCTATTCCACTCCTCCTCATCTGCCCATTTATTATTGTTAGAGCCAGCAATTATATTCTTCGTCAGTTGTTGAGTTGCCGTGTCACAGTCCCAGCTATTCATGAAAATCAGCAGTGTAGGTCGTTTCAGCTTCACGCGCCATATCCATCACCCGTCCAAAAACTGCATTACCTGGCATGAAATCGCGCACAGACTTGACGCCGTTACGCAGTTCCTCGATAAACCGCTCGGCATCTTGGTATTCTGTGGCAGGTTCTGTGTGGCCCAGTAGATAGCGACATGATGACAGTGTATTTGAGCAAAGACAGGTGCGGATTTTCCGCAGGAGCATCATGAGTACGTAGCAGCCTTGCATTCCACAACATGCCATGTATGGCAAGGAACGTGGATAATGTATACTATTCATAGAACCCGCGGATTCCATGCTCAATCGACCAGCTGATTCATATAAGAAAGGATTGGGCCACGGCAAGGTTCGTAGCGTTCGAGAGAGAACCAGGGCAGCCTTGAGACAAATTAGCGTTGACTCCTCTTCTGTGAACAGGAATACAGAGTTTGATTCAGAGAATTGGCCCGGTGATACTGCGAGGGTCAAGTGCGACATGATGGAGCTATTGATGGAGCTGAGGTCACAGAACTTGTCGAGAAATACAGGGTGATCACCAAACGAGCGGAGGTGGTGCAGCTTAATACGGGCACTTGATTCAAATAAGCCAATATTGTTAGAAAGAATGATAAAGAAAGTTGTTGTGGCACAGGACTCACGCATGGGCTAAAAATCGAGCCATAAGCCATAGATTTACTACCGCGGCTACATCGGCTCCTTCCCAAGTTTGGCATTCTGGGGGCTGACTCAATTCGGAGATAACATCCAAGATAACAGAATCCAGCTCTCGAACACTTTTGCGAAAATGTTCTGGATTTCCTTTGATCTTGCCCTCTGTCATCTCCTCCAAAACGCCCGCCTTGAGCATGCCTATTTGTGCTCTCATTAATGTAGGCCACAACTGTGAAACTGCTTAGAGGCGCGTCATTCAATCATAGGAGAAACTCTGAGGACATACTTCTTGGCAGCCATAGAAGTTTGGGAGTGGGGTGGTTATACGGGAATCACCCAAAAGGATTATTGGGGACTGTCATAGAGGTTATAAGTACCATGGACACCAGAACATGAAGTTAGAAGCGCGAAGGCTTACTGAATGATTGAAAATCGCTGACTGGTAAACAAGGAACATCTAAGAGATTTATCAGCAAAGGGAAAGATGTTCATAGACTAATATCAAGCTGACCGAAATCCACCACACGCGGGTTTGTACGTCCAAGTTGTCAGAGTTGGTTGGTTCACGAATGTGAAGTGAAAGATCCATGGCCAATATTAATGCCTCGTATATTCGTGCGCGCATTTGCCTCCTATTGCTGTTTTGGCAATACTCATAAATACCTAGAAGTAGAAGTGCCAGAACAGGCTCTAGAGTGCGTGGTAGCCCAGGATGAATTGAACTTCGGGGAAAATTCTCCATGCCCGGTGTGGATATTGGCGCTGCACTTGGATGGTCTCAACCATTGGAGACATTTTCGATGCTTTCTAGCGCCTCTCGAGCATATAGATTTGCATAAGACTTCCTCAATTCCACTTGAGCCATTTGCATTGGATCGGCATCTTCTGGCAGGGGTAACAGGACCAAAAGTGCCATTAGCGCGAGGGCGAATGGTGATTTTGGCCAGAATGGAAGTGAGGACTTGTTAGGTCCAAGACACGTCAAGAAAACTTTCTTAGGATTATCTGCAAAGCGAGGACATGGCGGTGGTGGTAGAAGTGGAACATAAGGGTGAATGAAAATGTAATAAGCATTTAACCTGCAATATTTAGTCATTTGAAGTCAGCTTGATAAAGTGTTAGTTTACTCCTTACAATTCATTCTCATCTTGATATGACCTGATGTAAAATGATATTGCAGGATGGTCAAAGGCAGTGTCGCTAGTAGTGGCATTTAAATCCTCCGTGGTATCGGTATTCACGAATCCTCTGTGCCCTTGAACAGTGTGGAAGGGGTATAATGGATTTTTCAGATGGCCTACAAATGGGCCTGTCAAAAGTCAGTATGTTTTCTATAATGAATCAAAGTGTGGGGAAGTCTGCGGCCATCCGTACCGTTGGTTTCGGGGGACGAAGAGGGCGCAGGTAGTGCCTTAAAGCCCCACTCGCTTAAAACAAGAAATCCATCATCCCACCTAGAGGCGAATGGCCATTCCCACTTGGCTACGTACTATCCTCATGTAACAATAAACGACGTGATCAAATAGAATGGATAGCAAATCTTGGCCTGTTAGCTACTTTCTAGCTTACTTTACTCCTAGGAATACTCAGCTCTACTCATTTATTCTTAGCTACCCCCTAAGAAATACCTATCTAATCTTTACAAATGCTCCTAGAAAGTACTATTATTGTCAGAGAATGGAGTCCTTACGTGTTCTCTGAGTTCGCACTTTATCCTTCATTTTTACCGGAATTCTCCGCTATTTCGCTTATGTCACGTCATGTGATATATTCCTTGTTTTGTTTGTTCTGTTTGATTTCTTCTCTAAATTCATGTATTTAGTTCTCGTATTTTGGCAGAATAGTCTGAATATCATGCCTGTTTCTTCTCCACTTTCTATCCTGAGAATTTCCTGAGAAGACCTGAATTAGGTCAGCTTGACCACATAGCCTTGTTCATCTGATCTAGTTAATTCCCTGAGATTAGTAATCAATCGCCCTGCCAACCTCAGAGTGCGCCACAAACTAAAATTTCTTGCGCTAGAATCCGCATCATATAAACCCTAGACTTCGTTCTCCCATAGGACAAAGCGGGGAGGAAATGGTTCGTTACAATAGAATACTAAAGGACCATACCGATAGCCTATCGTTAGAAGGAAACTTATTATATTCCAAAGAAGGAATTTCTCCCAAGAACCAGGTATTTTTAACTTCAGATGAAAAGCTATATATAGCTTCTCTTTTAGGTCGAAGCCAGTCTCGACCTCTTCCTCTCAAAATTAACAAAAAGGGCCGGTCCTCGGCAGGAGAAAGCTCTCGTGCCAAGCGCAAGACTAACGGCGCAAGGTGGGCCCTTCAGGGGAATATACAAAAACAGTTCGGGCAAAACCAAAGTTTTAGGCCGCGGCAGAACTTCCCGACGTTCCATATCAATTTTTTATTTTTTTACTAAACCTACAATTCGTTGCAGGTATCGATTTAGGTTATTCCTAGACTAATCAGATCAAAGTGGAAAATATCTTCTACCTACGGAGAATATCAAAAGTATCGTGAGAATCGCAAGCGCAAAATATAAACGATTGTTATCGTGTCAATTATTAGTATGCCATAATCTCCATAAAGTGGAGGGTTTTCCGGTAAGGTCTTAGAAACAAAGCTCGCTTACAGGCTTTTCGATATTATAAACACAATGCATAATAAACCCAGGAAAAGCATCTTCACCGCAATTCCCAATCGATTTTCTAAGAACGCGACCCTAAAAGGATCCACATGCTTGCGCCTGTACAAACTAGATAATAGGCCATTCACTTAGCCTTTTAGTATCTAATGGACGCCTCTGTAGCTGCATAGTAGCTTCTAGGTTCCTTGCAATCCCAAAGTCCTACTACAACTAGTATCACAAGTCAGCATATGTCAATTCATTTTCCTTGGCAGGGAGATGATAGTCTTCGGTTAGATGTCATTTCCTTCAAGAAATTGGTTCAGCCAATCTCGTGCGAATTAACTAGAAGAGAAGTCCCACAAGACCCACAGTGTCAAACCAGGGATTTTCATCGTGCCGTTTTGACAATTCGTCTACAGTAGCATTTCTGCAGCCCTGCTTGTTTTCGCTTATAATTTCACGAATTCCCTGATTCCTAGTTAACGAAATCCCGAAATCTCGGTAAACGGGCCATCTTACCAACAAGAGATCCGTATCTAATGGATTTTGCAGCACCGTTCAAACCGCGCTAGGCTGGACCGCTGGCATTAGATTGATGCTAAAAATTTGCCTCCCCACCACCCAGACCTCGTAGGCGAGAATCCCGACGCTACTTTGTTGCAGATCGGCCTGGAAGTTTCCGGTACTCCGAAATCAAGACAATGTGGCTTTCCGTTAAAATGAATACAATGGCGATCTCTTGTGCGGCTCGCCCTTTTATTTACGGGTCCTAGCTCTGCCCATCATTGCCGTTTGCTGGTGGCGAGCGTTTTTGTCGCCGCTAGCGCACAGCGATTACCCCTGGCGTGCCGACTGTTCTTCATCTCCACTTTAGCCACGTTCCAAAATTTTCCGGATTTAAATAGGTGCTAAATCCTTCTGCTACTTTTCATTCCAACCCTTGAGATGAGTAGCGAGGAGGATCACCAGAACACAGCGATCATAGTGGTAGCGGCCCTTTTCGTGTCGATAGCATGTGTGGCCGTTATCCTCCGATGCTATGTCCGCGGCTGGGTGGTGAAGGCGTTTGGCTGGGATGACGGCGCCATGGTAGTGGCTATGGTAGCGTCCCCCTTCTGGCCGCTTGTATGTGTATTGTGCTAACTTTGCGATAGGCCTGGTATGTGATGTTCTCCGGGTCTATGATAGGAGCGGGGCTTCATGGCAATGGGCGACACTGGTATCATCTTGAGCCAGAGGAGCGTGTCATCGCCATGAAGGTATGCAGAACTCTTCCGAACCCTCTCAGAACCATAACTAATTAATTTTTTTTTAAATAGTACTGGTGGCTCTGCGAAATTGGTTTCTGCTTTGCATCTATTTTCTGCAAAATTTCAATTTGCATTTTCCTGATGCGAATCTGTGTCAAGAAGCTCCACCTATGGACTCTCTATAGCGTCATGGCTGCGACCGTCTTTGCTGGCCTGGTCTTTATGTTTCTCATGCTATTTCAATGCAAGCCATTGTCCTTCTTCTGGACACGCTTGGCCCATCACCCTGTTGTGAACATCGAGGGCGAAGGGTCCTGTATCAACATGGAAATCATTGTCATCATGACTTATATCTATAGTGCTTTTGCCGCATTTTGCGACTTCACTGTGGGTATCTTACCAATCTTCGTTGTGCGTAAATTACACATGAAGCGACAGACAAAAATGGCAGTAGTCGGAATTTTGAGCATGGCTTGCATGTACGTGACTGTCCATGTGCATTCCATCGAGCCTGGGAATATACAGCTAAAAGATTTTGCAGTGCATCCTCCGCCGTTATTGTACGTATCCCTTTTGTTGAAACTTTCAATGAATTGGACGACTTTTTATGTATGTTCTCTTCCGACTACTTTCAACTGCATTCATCTGCCTCGACAATACTGACCTCCCAAAGATGCGACGGTTCAAATTGCCTATTGGTCGAATCTCGAGTGCGGACTTGGTATTACTGCTGGCTGTCTCGCAACCCTTCGTCCCCTTCTCCGCCAATGGTTCGGTTCACACGTAGATCCATCATATACTGGTGGATTTCCCAAAGAATATTACGGGCGGTACAATCCTGCTAGTGGGCAACGACCGGTGCCTTTGGAATCAATGAACGGAACTAATCGGAGCGGGTTGAGACCCGATAAACTGGCTGTCATGGTGACAAACATTGAAAGCCAGAGAGACTTGGAAAGGTCATGGCCCGGGTCATATAGCCCGAGCAGTAGTGAGGAACGTTTGACCATACAGCACCCTCCACTTCCAGGGGAAATGAAAGTCGGTGTTCACCGGACGTTCGAGATTACGCGAACGGCGGTGAATGGCGATGATTCAAATGGCTCTCAGTGGAACGCGATAGAGCATGTATAAAATAGTCATCAAAAACTATCAATGAACAATCTTGTACAAATGCTTTCTCTACTCTGCGTAGGTAGACTACGGAATGTTTGCGCAGAATTTTTCTGAATCATAACATAAGCCCGATTCTTCGGAAATTTAATCGCCGGAGGATCTTTTGAAGCTCTAGTGGGGATAACAAGGTGGAGTTGTCCTTGTAGTGGCATTCTAGCAAACAGCCAGCATGGCTGTCGAGTGTCGTCAAGTAATGCATCCACAGTACACTCTGAGACAAGTAGTTGCATTTGCTTTTATCAAGCTTATTGTTCCAGAGACAAGCCGCGATGGACTGTACAGTGTGTCCCACACTGTCCAAGAAATTCGTGGCTTCAAAGTCCGGGGTAGAGGTCATAGAAGGCCAAGATGCCGAGGCAATCCGTATTGAATGTATTAATAATTCGTCAAAGTTTTGGACCGCTTCCGTTATGTACCCACCATTGCCCAGATTTGTTTCAAGGGGGCCGAATATTCGGCTCATTCTAGACAGTGCCTTAGTTGAATCAGGCTATTTAGCCACAGTGTCTAGATGCAACTAGACCAAATATACTTGGAAATCAGTGGATAAATTATCAGGAATAATCAGGAGCAAACTATGTTAGCTTTCAGTGCAGAGCAGAGTTTGATCAACCCGCATACATATCAGGCAAGTGGCAACAAGCACGGTAGCAAGTTATGGATGAGTGCGGCAGAAACTGGAGAATCATCACTCACCCTAGAATCAGTGACAACATTGATCAACTCCCAAGATTTAAGTTTGTCGCTGATGAGTCAGAATTCCAAGGTAAAGGGCAGAGCGGGCCATCTGAAAAGGCTAAGTTGCAAAACGATGGGTATTGAGGAGGCCAGCGGCTGGTAGATCTGCCGAGACAACAAGCATGTGCGTAGTCCGTGAATGTCATCAAATAAATCAATTAATTTGGGGTTAGTGGGTTCTCTATTAGCACAAGCCAATCAAAACCTGTTAAGTCAAATCCATCAATCCAACTTCATCAAATCAAAATCCATCAATCGGGGTAAAGGCCTTTCTCTTTCTAATTCGATGGATCGCATTTAACTAGCACTTGGATCGCTGAAGCACGACTATTGCGCACCCTTATCGTGTGGACGAGGACGTGAGCTTTGACCAGTTTGAGTCTATGTTGTCCAGAGATACGGCAAACTTGATTAATCCAGGCCTTGTGCATGTGCTCTGGGGAATGTGCAAAGACTTTGGTGCTAATGGTCTCCGTGTAGGAGCCATCATCTCCCAGTCGAGCCCTGAATTCCACATTGATCAAGATGTCTCTCGCTTTACTCCTTTGTGTCTTCAATGTCGGACCAAATCACGGCGTCCATTCTCAAGGATGATGCCTTTACGGACAGGTATATACAGACAAATCAGGAAATGCTTGCACAGTCCCACGAATTTCTTGTTCATATCTTGGACATGCATGGCATCGACTATTCTCATGGTTGCAATGCAGGATTCTTTTTGTGGGTAAATCTTGGCAAGAAGTACTTGCAGTCTCACCCCCGGGCAGCCGAGCAAGGGATCGAGCTCACTGAGTTGATATTTGAGAAGCTTCTTGAGCACAAGGTATATGTGGCCCATGGGATAACTTATGGATCAGAGAGTCCAGGCTGGTTTCGCGTGGTATTCTCCCATCCACGCCCCTGGTTGGAGGAGGCGATGCAACGCATACTTGATGCCATCATTTGAACAGTAAGGTTGGCAGCATGACTTTGTCGATTTTAAGGCTGTAAATAGTTTTTATTCCATATTATATTAATGTTGTATTTTTTCCACTGAGTGCTGGTTATTTCATGCTCTCGTAGAAATTGGTACTTAGAAATTCATATGGTCTGAGAGAGTAGTTAGATACCGAAGAGGCTCGTAGCATCTACTCAAAGGGAAGAAAACCCGATCTATTTCCTGATGGGCCCCCAATAGTTCGCAGAATAGAACTCAAAGAAGTCTCAACAAGCGTTGCCTAGCGTTTCTAACCTTCCGCTTGAGTTCAATGGGTCTCGGTGATTGAACCACAAACCGGAGCGCGGCTTTGACATAGTGGAGCGGGCGGCGTAATCCAGAACCCGCACTAACGCACGATTGAAGGCTGCGCAATCGGAGATAATTTCAAATGCCTGGGCGAGTGCGCGCTATGACATGGCCCCACAGAGACCGGTCTTTGATCGTTTAAAGTAACTTTGATACTGTCACATTTTGCTTGGATCCCTTCCGCTATATACAATTCTGGATTCCGTGGTCTCTGTTTTCATTCCCCGAATCGAGGAAAGGCTAGTCTCTGGCCATTCAATTCGGGTTCTTAGTTGGGAGTCTTTTTACATGCCTGGTCATCTAGGCTTCAGAGACTCTCTCACATCTGCCAATCTCTGATTGGAATTTGATTGAATTGACGGCGCGAGTTTGTCAGCTCGCTTCGCTATTTTCCAACATGACAACTCCCGCCAGCTTGAAAGAATCCCAAGCAAATTTGACAAAAGAAAGAAGGGACTGTATACAAGTCTGTCCGGTGGCCGCCGATCGTACAGATTCCTCTCATGATGATCCCCCTGATGGAGGTTATGGGTGGGTTTGCGCCGTGGCTGCTGCCGTCGTCAACGCACACTCTTGGGGCTTCAATTCCGCATATGCTGTTTTCTTAGCATATTACCTCAAAAATAATATATTTCCCGGTGCATCAAGGCTGGAGTATGCCTTCGTGGGCTCATTGAGCCTCACTACAATGTTTCTCCTCTCGCCCGTCGCGACAATGTCCACCCGAAGATATGGTATTCGGAAAACCATGTTCGTTGGAGTGATACTCGAATCTGCAAGTCTCATATCCGCCAGTTTCGCATCGCAAATCTGGCATCTTTTCCTCACCCAAGGACTTCTTTTCGGCATGGGGATGGGCATGCTATTCATTCCTGTCGCTTCTGTGGTCCCACAGTGGTTTACATCCAAACGATCACTAGCTAGTGGCGTCTCTCTGTCTGGTGCAGGTCTAGGAGGCTTCGTCTACTCTCTAGTCACTGAAGCAATGATTCGAAATATTGGGCTCAGCTGGGCATTCAGAGTCCTCGGGCTTCTCGCCTTCACTGTCAACACTACTTGTGTGCTCTTGATAAGAGATCGAAACAAGACAGTCAAAGTTGGCAATGTCGCTATAGATTTTGCTCTCTTCAATTCTACCCAGTTCGACCTTTTGCTTGGTTTCAGCTTCTTCACTATACTTGGCTATTTTATCCTGATCTACAGTCTTGCCAACTACGGTGAAGAAATCGGCCTCTCATCATCACAAGCCTCACTAGTGAGTGGCATTTTCAATCTCGGTCAGGCTGTCGGCCGACCTATCATTGGTTACTTTAGTGATACGGTTGGCCGAGTCAATATTGCCGGTTTTACAACCTTTCTCGCTGGAGTGATTTGTCTTGCAGTTTGGGTTAATGCAGAAAGTTATGGCCTCCTGATATTTTTCGCAATTTTCGAAGGATTGTTTGCTGGCAACATTTGGGCAACAATAGCACCTTTAGTTGCAGAGGTTGTTGGCCTGGACAGAGTGTCTCGTGGGATGAATATTGTTTGGCTATGTATTCTTAACCCAGCAACATTCTCTGAGCCAATTGCACTGGAGTTGACCACTGCCACTGGGAAGTATCTAGGTGCACAGCTGTTTGCTGGATTCATGTACATCACCGCCTCGGCTTTCTTGGCTATACTTTGGTTCCAGAGACGGTCATAGAATAATTCATCCATTCTGTATATGCTTAGTCACCTTTTCTCATCAACCATCGCGTCGGCAATCAAAGACCGGATTGCTCGGTAATCTTATTCATAGATAGGTCAGTGAATCCGTATAGGTAAATAAATGACGCGTATCAGTGAGCAGCTAATCATGATAACTGAGCGTCAGTGGTGTATCACGTGATGGAATGAGCGCTTCTATAAAAGCAGCGCCATCTAGAGTAGAAAATCCTCAATCGTCAAAGAAAATCCAGTATAGCCAACTCAGTAATTCATGGCTGTTAAGCCATAAGATGTCTACGGGGTTGAAATTGGAGCTGTGCCCGACTATTCAAATGTAACTTCGATGGGTTCGATAAACATTAACTAATCAAATCATCATGACGTCAGATGTGTAAAGAAACGAGGAAAGTATTACGACAGTGAGCGCAATGACTATTGAATGAACAGGGGAAAAAAGCAATTAAGCCTGGTGAGGATTCGGGAACCGGCATCTTCCATAGAATAAGAACAAGGTGCTCGGCCTGATCAAGTCACCACAAACTCAAGTCCAAACTACGTCTGAGGATGTCAGCTTGTACCAAAAATTCCGAAAGTGAGCTTGGCTCTGTCCCAGGGGATGCCCGCACAACAAAGAGCCAAGTGCTCGAGACAGGGGCAGCTCTAGTCCAAGACTTCACTCCTGTCAAGCAAATTTGCGCCCATCTAAACGCATTCCATGTCTACGCCAACGACCCAACACGATGCGTGGAAGCCAATCATTATTGTACACATTTGACCGAAGGTATGAGCCACTGTCATCTAGCATAAGAGAGCATCCATAATAAACCAACTAGATGTCCGCCAATGCTTAATCTACGATTCGCCGGATGCCAAAGCTCGCTTGATCGGCGTCGAGTACATGGTCTCACCACGCATCTTCAAAACCCTTCCACCCGAAGAGCGCAAGTTATGGCACACTCATGAATTTGAAGTTAAGAGCGGCATGCTCATCATGCCAGCACCGGCATCTATGCCCGCTGCGGCATGGGATGCGGCGGAGACTGCGGAAATGGAGGATATTGCGCCGATCTATGGAAAGACGTATCATTTCTGGCAGGTTGACCGTGGAGACGTGGTGCCTATGGGACCACCGCAGTTGATGGGGAGTTTCACCACGGAAGACAACGTTCGACAAGCATGTCCAGGAGGACTGGATGAGTTGCTTGGGGAGCGGGATAGGAAGTATGGGGTGGATTATAAGGCGAAGGCGAAGAAGCGGGAGGGTATTGCGGATGTTGAGAAGCATCAAGGTATGTTGCGTATTTGAATATGCGTGCGATATGTTGAACTGACTGATTACTGGATAGATGCAGACACAATGTGGAAATAGTCTGACCTGGAGAAAAAGGACCTCAGTCCCGCTTGCTTGGCTTGAAGGCCTTTTATTCAAGGGGAGATGGGTATGGGATGAAAGGAAAAGTGATGGAGACTAGTATATTGCCTAATTTTACTAAATGATCCCACTGAATTGGATTGGAGTGAAAACATAAAGTCCCGCTCCCATGGACAGTCCAAATTGGCCGCCAATTGCTCTTACTGATCTGCGTCAAAGAAACCGCCCTACCTGCGCCAGAAATCCTAGCTATATTCAGCAACAGCGTTGCATTGAATATTTCTGTCACTCCATTTCTTATCCCAGCACGCGAAATATCATCGAGCATGAGGAACTGAGATGATACAAATCAAATATCTCCATTATAGGCCAATACTTTGCGATATAATCAAGTCTCATTTCCAAAGCTTGCAAGGATTTTCTCGGATTCGTCGAGTTCATCCCGGATGACCTTCATTCGCTGTTCAGAACGACAAACAAACTCAACAGGGAATTTCTTAGGCGCAACAAGAAATCCATCAGTGAAAGCCGAGCTCATATTGACATCTAGCGGAGCCGTAGAGGCAGCCTTAATATCGAAAAGCCAAACCATCTTGGCGATGTTCAGCATCTAAATATACCGATTAGCATCATTTCAGCTCACGCAACAGTGTTTCATGAAATACCAATGAGTTCTCAGCCAGTCGTTGACCAGGACAAACTCGTCGTCCAGCGCCAAAACCATAGGTCGTTCGACGGTGCTTATCTGTGACTTGAGTCTTAGATCCAAACTTGTTGCCGATGAACCGCTCCGGTATAAAGCTATCAGGTTCCTCATATTCGCTTTCATCCATGTGGATGGCCCATGTGTTCGCAAACAAGATCGTACCCTTGGGTAGAAAATAGCCTTCATAGTGATCATCTTGGATCAGCATGTGAGGAATGCCGCCAGGTGCGATTGGTCGCCACCGTAGAGCCTGTATAGGTTAATGTCTCCAGTCTCTCTATGTGCGAATCGCTTCATTGAGTTAGCCTTACTTCGTTCATACACGCCGACAGATACTCCAATTTTCCAATGTCGTCAAAGGTAGGCGATCTATCGGAGCCGCAGACACGGTCCACTTCTTCTTGTGCCTTTTCAAGAACCTCTGGGTGCTGTGTCATGGCGAGAACAAAAATAAGCAAAGTTGATGATGTGGTATCAGATCCAGCTTCCATCTAGCAAAAAGGTTAGGCGATTAAACACTCGCGAGTTCCTTGGTATTCGAGGGAGTATTTACCAATATTCCCCCTAAGTAGGCCACCTGCTCGTCGCTGAAGCCGTTTTTCTCCTGGTCATCCATTATCTTCTCCATAAAGCACGAAGTCGAATTTCCCTTCCGGATACGCTCCCTAGTCTCATCCAGAAGCTTATGATAAAGCGAGCTCTGCTCCTGTCGTACTTCCTTGGCCTCTTTCCTCCAGGGACTAAGAAATTCCGGGATGGCTTTCAAGAAGGGAAAGGCGTCCACAGGCGGGGTTGCTCCAGGTTCGAGTATTGCAGTGAACCGGTCCTGCGCATGGTATAAAGCCTGCACTTTGGATGATTGAAAACTCTCGCCCCGCTGACCAAAGACAGAGGCAAGAATTACGGCAGTGGTATAGCGACGGATATGATCGTAGTAGCCAGCAGGATCATCTAGTAGTTGACACATCGTCTGCGTAGCCTCGGCGGTTTGGATGGGGTACAGCGCATCGACGGCGGCCACATTCAGCAAGCCTTGAACAGACTTGCGGAGAGTCCTCCACCCTGCACCATACTGTGCTAGCAGCATATGGATTTCGTTTGGGCAGATGAGCTCCCCACCGACGTAATTTTCTGGTCGACCGGAGTAAAGTCCCCCTCGTTTATCAAAAAGCCTGCCAGGCAAAGTTTTGTAAGCATTTATACCCTTTTTTATCGGAAGGCTTCCTTTGAGTCTTCAACCTACTCCTGGACATGGCGATGGCTGTTTAGCACAACCACGTTTTGAGGACCTAGTTTCAGCCCAATGATACTTCCGTATTCCTTGGTCCATTCATGTTGCCTACGGATCGTTAATCAAATGAGACAAGGTACAAAGAATATTCAAATTCTGGGGCTTCGCGCACTGTATAAAGGCTTTTCGAATAGGCAACTGATGAAGATTCCCAATAACAGGAAGCCCAGGTGGTCCAGGAGGGAAGTTCTTGGGTCGCCGGCTGGCAACCGCATACTTTGCGATCAGAAGGATCAGTGAAATTAAGATCCCAGCGATAGCCGATTTTAAAGTATTCAGCATGGCCAATCTCGCACTGATCACAGTGAGGGAGTGAGGGAGTGATGGAAGTTCTGGATCGCCAACTGGGAGGACTTGTTGGAGCCTGAAGTATGTAGCACGAATGTTGATCTTCCCCATATGAGGCAAATGCTACCCCGCCCTTGCGAAAGCTCTCCTTACAGCTTGCAACAGAAGCATTTTATATCAGCTCCTCCGCAATGAAGTGGGAATATCTGCATGGAGGGACACATATCTGCGGGATACCTTCGATCAAAACTGATGTAATCTTCGAATGGGCAACCTAGCAAATCCCGTCGCACTAGCAGATACACTAGCGGTACCTAAATTCTTCTGATTGATCTTTGAATAGCATTCATTTGGGGGTACTTGCAATATGATATCATCTAGTGTATCACTATGTATCCAGGGTTGTAGGTATATCTGGAACGAAAAAATCATCATAATATATAACGCCTTTGGTATCAATAATCACAGATCTCATCTCAACGCCAATAAACAAAATATAGACCAACAAGCATTATTTCCGCTTGGGCATGGCGATCGCAATGGAGCGGTTCTTTCTCCGGTGATCCTCCTTCGAGCGTAGACCTTGGCTGAGTCCACCGCCCATACCTCGTGCAAGAGATGCAAACGGTGAAGAGGTTTGGAATACATCCAGGTCATTTTCTTGTTGTCCCACGCCAATTTTCAAGGTAGGTGTTTTTCGACCTGAGCCATTGGTTCCAGCAGGCTCAGATTGGCGACGACGATGACGCTTTTCTTGGGCGAGTGTCTGGACGGGACTAATAGGATTCTCTCTTGGGTTTGGGGAGACCGGCTCCCATGCCGGCATGGGCACAGCAGCTGCAACATGTTCAAAGCAATTACAGCCACATCCGCTGGGACATGATGGCGGAGGTAAGTCGCCAGGATTATTGAGATCAGCTGGGAGGAACCAGCGTTGATGACAGTCGAAACAGCTCACATGGCCACAGCTGAGACAGGGCACTAGCATTCCATCCACGACTTCATGACAGATCACACAAGGGAGCTTGGTGGGTAGTGCTTGTCGTGGTTTGCAGTTCGAACAACGGCGGAATGAAGACTGGCGATTGCGCTTAGACGGAGTATCAGGAGCCACGGGTGTCGGAGCAAAAATGGACGTTTGCAGGGCATGGCCGCAGTTAGCACAGTGACGCTGGAAGTCGAGACCCTCAAGACCTTCCATGGTATCACGCTTTCTCGATTCACGAAGTGGAGACATCTTAGAACTGTGACTGTTCCAATAATGGCTCATGTGCATGTCATCTATATCGTCGGCCACTTCGCCAATCTTGAGGACCTCGGCTTGTTGAATAGGGAGATCCCACATGGACAATATATCGGCATACGCAGCACGGTACGATTTCCAGAGCCATTCTTTGCTTCGGTCTAAAAGGCAATAGCCCGGTGTAGACTCGTCACCATTGAATTCACTTTGATTCTTGAAAGTGACTTTGAATCGTGTGGTAGACTTCATGGCCTTGGGGGGAGGCTGATCACTTTCGGTGTCCGACGAGGGCTATAGAATGATGGTTAGAATTCGCTTTTCAACGTCAAGATATCATTATACTGACCACCTGAATAGTCACCACACTCGGGCTCTCGCCTGGACTTTGTTTCTTCTTGCTCAAATGATTTACTGGAGGAGATGCCGATGATGGCCCAAATGTGAATGAGCGTGATAGTGAAGACGCTAGGACCGAGCCAAACCCGGACCCACTTCGTGGATGAGACTGCTGATCAGGTGACGCCGCCATGGATACATTTTGGCTCTGTGCTTTCCGGTTAGCGGCTATGCCGCGTGGGCGGGATAGGTAGGGAGGTGTGGTGCCAGTAGAATAAGGAGGCGTGGAGTCAGCTCGCCAAAGCTCGCTCGATGACCGTGCTGATGTGTGGGGAGGCATGACTTGTGGCTCTCTTGGGACAGATGAAGCTGGGGTGGTAGCAAGCGATTTGTTCTGTGCATTTGATGTGACAGGGGAGAAGTCCAAGGAGAAATCCTGTTGTTCGGGATGTTTTTCTTTCACTTTTTCTGACCCTCCTTCCTTGTTGGGTTCGAAGAGGACACAAGAGAGCATAGCGACCATTTGCACGTCGCCGATACTCTCAAAATGGTCGAAAAGAGCGGAAACAAGCCAGTGGCTACCCAAGGGGTGATCGCCCCATCGGATAACACTGTTAGCGACATCTTTGTATAAACCACTTTTGCCTAGGCTGTGGCTAATATCGAGGCCTTCTTTTCTCAAGGCCCGTCGCGTCCCCATTTTGGCGTCTTTAGGAGAGACGGGCTTTCGCTGAACGTGCAAGATGAGCTTGATCAGGCCCCATATTTGAGCCAGTTCGTAATACCCAGCATCCAGGGCGACTGCAGCATTATGGGCGCACACAACTGTCCCCTCGCCGCAGATGCGGTATTTGCTAGCCAGTTCCCTTTTGACGGGTAGCAGATCGCTGAGATCGTGAATAGAGACTACATTTTGAGCTAAATCGGCTGATTTGCTCGTCGCAGCACCACCAATTGACCGTTGCGAATTGTCAGTAGACCGAGGCCGATAAATTCCCATACTGCCGGCACTACGCCAAGTCTGTGGTGGCTGAAACCGAGTGGCAGGTATTCCAGAGAGAATATCAGAAGAGCCTGACGAACTCGAGGTCTCGGAGTATGAATCATCGGAGTCATCTGATGCACCATCGACCGTGCTTGTGATAGTACCGGTCATGCGTGGTCCCGGGGAGCTAGTCTGCAGGCGCCCGAACCCTTCAAAAACTTTGTCTGTCCGAGACAATCTGCTCATCTCCTTAAAACCAAGATTGTCAAATAGAGCCGTGGATTTGTCTTTTTTAGCAGGGAAAAAGCAAATAAGACGGCCATCATTTGCCCATAGCGCACCGCATCCCTTTGCTACCGGGACCATAACATTGGCATTCACCGGGCGGAGCAGCTCAGAGCTCATTCCCAACTCCTGACTCTGTGTCATACCAACTTCATCTTCATCGCTGGATTCGCCTTCCAGTTCACCGTTTATTGGGGATTTGACCGTGTCAGCTGTTTCACCCAGGACCAACGCCACGCTCTCCTCCAGTGAACTCTCGCCCAGAAGATAACGTACAGCGCCTTCCAGGCATCCTCGTTTACGAGACATGTAGGTTTCAGCAATTGTTCGCAATTCAGCTGTAATCTTGCCAGACAATTCATCGGTCACAGCTGCGGTTTTCTGGCAATTGAAGGTTGGAATAGCGGTTTTCGGATAGCTGACCGGGAATTTTATATCCACTTTTAAGAAAAGGGTGTCACCCTTTTCACCCCATGGTCCATTCAGCGATATGGTGATCTTTCTCTGGCGGACATCAACTGATTCAAAGGCAACCTTCGTGAACATGTCTCCTACGTGGCTGATCTCGTCTCCCAGAGTCTCGATATCCCAACCTGATATTTTCACACCACGCATCCAAGCAATGGGGTTTGTGTCTGCCCTGAGGTTTGATCGTGGCTGCATGCCCATGCGAGCATCGACATGAGCACTCTTCGTCCATGCGCGAGCATGGGGGACTGATATAGCATTCATTCCAGGTCCCCCAGCAAATTGTGTGTTCGCGCTTTGCTGGATCGAAGACGCGGAGTCTAGGTCCTCCAAGTCTAGATCCGAATTGACATCTCTAAAGCTTCGATAGACTGCACCTAGGCGAGTCACATTCCGAGTAGAGATAAAAGACTTGCCCTTCTCATATCCAACGCGCTCGAAGATTTCAGGGTTTACACGATGTAGACGCAGCTCTCGGTCTGTGCCCCATGTGACCAGCTGGAATTCTCGGTGATCGATTCCATCCACCACACCGCCGCGGGGCCTCCATAGAAATTCTTTCACCTGACCTTTATGGCCTGGGAAGCTGTGCACTAAAGGCAGGTCATCTTCGGGATTGCTGCCTTCGCCGGCTCGCCGGCTATAAAGATGAAGATCGCTGTTCCCCCGTTGTGGCATGGCAGTCACACCCCATCCAAACGGAGTATTTCTAGCACGCCATACGGGAAATGGAGTCCGTATCAGCTTCTCGGGCTCATCGGTTTCCGAGGTATAGTCCCAAAATTTGATTGTCTTGTCAAGCGAGCACGTCGTTAAAGCGCCCCGCCGGACTCGATTCCAATCCACGCCATAAATCTTCGTGTCATGAGCTTCGATGGACCGAATCGGGTACGCGCCCATGCGATCGTCCCAGATACGAAGAAAGCGATCGTGGGAACTAGCAATCACATGGGGATCTTGCCGGTTCCATTTCACTTGGGTGGCGCCGGTAAACCAATCCGAAAACGAGATCGCCGGACGGGACGGTGTGCGAAGATCCCAACAATGAACGAAACTGTCGACGGCACAGGTAGCAAGAATATCGGGATGGAACGCCGAAAAGTTTATGTCCGTAATCGCGCGCGAATGTGCGTGGAGCACAAACTCGATGGAGTTCTGCCATGTCTTCATGGCTAGATTCCATACCAAAGCTTTCTGGTTAGATGTGCTTACCACCCAATAATCGCGAGAGGCGAAAGGAGACCACTGCACATCGGCGACCTCCCATGGTGTATGGTGAGGCAGATAACGGGGTGGAGAATACGGTGAGTCCAGATCAATGACATGTAGACCTTCCTTGGAGGCCAGCACCACATCCCGCCCGCAAGGGGATATGGACATAGAACCGACCGGTTGTTCCACATGAAATGAGCTGTCCTCATCAAAGGTCGGGCTCTCGAAGGCCGACGTAAGCGGCCGCGGCTCCATGGAGCTCGACATCTTGTCAGCGATCGCTGCAGTAAGCCAATCGAGGCCAGGATCGTTGTAAATATTGCGCGGTGGAAGTTTTATGCACTACGTAGAGACTCATGAGGAGAGAAGCTCATGAGGAGCCGATGCTCCCATGCTGGACATGCATATCCACGCTTGCATGAATAGACACTCGCGTGCCAGGGAGCTCCGATAAGGGAAGCGGGAATCGCAACGGATGTGGCTGGTGGTGTGGCTAGTAGTCGTTATAATGTGGCGCGTTTTACGGAACACGGCAGAACCCCGCGGCGCAGTAATGCCCCTCCGGTTTATCATCTGTTAATAACCGTTGCTCGGCATTTTCTCTGCCTCGATCTCTCACTTTGATCGTTCTTTCACTCTTTAGCTGTTGAATTAGACAGATTTCTGTGTAATCCTTTTCACCATATTATCACGACCATCCCCACACGTGAGCGATAAGCCTTGCAATCATGGCCCTACCGAAGCGCATTGTCAAGGAGACTGAGCGGTTGATGGCCGAGCCGTAAGTATTGATGCTGATCAAAGGATATCATTTTGGACTACGGGCTAAAAAGATGCATTCAGAGTCCCCGGTATTAACGCTGTTCCCCACGACGACAACCTGCGATACTTCGATGTCTCAATTCACGGTCCATCCCAGTCTCCCTACGAGGGTACGCATTACTCGTTCTCGTCTCCTACAGACATCAACTTATTTTCTTTCTTACAGGTGGCATCTTCCGTCTCGAGCTGTTCCTGCCCGACGACTACCCTATGACCCCTCCCAAAATCCGTTTCCTGACCAAGATCTACCACCCCAACATCGACCGTCTCGGCCGCATCTGCCTGGATGTTTTGAAGAGTAAGCTTCACTTTACGACTCTAAGTGCCGCTTATGACTAACCAATTCCGCAACTAGACAACTGGTCCCCGGCCCTTCAGATCCGCACTATCCTTCTCTCCATCCAGGCCCTCCTCGGTGCCCCGAACCCCGATGACCCGCTTGCCAACGATGTGGCTCAGCGCTGGAAGGATGACGAGCCCGCTGCTATCCAAACAGCGAAGGAATGGACTCGTACCCACGCCATGACTTGAATACAACCAATTATGATGTGACCATGAAGCAAAAAAGAGAAGGTAACCAAGTGCAGGGCAAGGGGTATCCATTCCACGGAGACCATTGGGACGGGCAAGCTCGTGTTTTTAGCTATTAGCGTGAATTTACCTTCGCCACAGCCATGATTTATTGATTTATGGCTTATTTCAGAAGGCGTTGCATAGAATCAAATGTGTTGAAATGACAATACTCAGGTCAACTGGACCTCTTCCACAATCAAAACAACTACAAATAACCTGAAATTGACCGCTTGTACGTTTTTTGGATAACCCAAATGTTCATAATGCAGCAAATCTCGATGGCAATGTATGATAGGGGTTAGCTGTGAGGCTTGCCTTGCCTTGTTAGATGAATCGGCAAACAAAGACGCATGCTACCCAGAAGAGAGGCATACTTTGTGGATTTGATGAACTTGGGCTTGTCGTATTCCAATCATCGATATCTGGCCATAATCTGGATGAAATTTCATCTGCTTAACCGCATGTCGAAGATAACCTGGGACTGGGCCATGTCATCTTCAGTAAACATGTTCCAGACAGAACGTGCTATAATCAATGACCTTACTGTCCGAAGAGCTGAACGATTTGTCGGAGAAGTCAAATGATGCTCCCGACTGGTGACGAAGGTAGTTTGAATCATATGTTTTTGTGGCAAATTAGGGGAGTTGTCCAGGTATTGGGAAATGCACGATATTTTGATGGAAAGGAGGGCATCAGACGAGACATCCCAGAAGTAATGATTCAAAGGTATCATAGAGCTGCTTACTATGGGGCTAAGGCATCACCAGGTATATTAATTGAAACAAAAAGCAAGCTAAAGCCCACCCAAGCTTGCTGGGATATACGGCATCTTCCTCATTGGGAATTTGATGTTTGATGATGACTTGTAGACAGCCCATTCTCTGGCTGATGGGCACCATCAAAGTCATGCGGTCCAACGAGGCCAATGAAGACAATATAACAAAAGCTTGGTGATAGAAAGCTATGCTATAAAGATAGGCTTCTCATCCATCTACCTAAAGTCGTTCATCTCGCTCGGCATCAGTAGGCTAGTAACATTCGAGTTTTTACACAAGGTATACCCGTCATTGAGAGGCATTTCTAGAAGTTTGAAACGCAATTAATACTTGGATAACTCCAAACACTCTGATCCAATTCCAGCCTTCTATTCCTCAGCACTCGATTCCAAAGTTCTCTTTCATGAATATATCTGTTTCAATAGCTCTTCTAATCAAATGGATCATTTTGACCCTAGCAACATGCGGATTTCTACCATTGATGTTTTCTTGCATGTGTCAGCATCGGGCTTACAAGGAATTCTCAATGAACAATAGAAAGAAAGATACAGTACAACATTAGCAAGAATTTGGAAAAACAAACTAACACTCATGTCTCCTCCTTTGTGGCGTGATATGCCCGTGGGCTCGGTCGTCCGCAGGGAGACTGTGTATATAGATCGATTTCACATTTCTCATCTGTCACGTTTTAATTGAATCACTGGTGTATGGATGGGATAATTAGTCCTTCACTGAACGATATGCGAGGAACGGGAGTCTCAGGAACCAAAAATTTTGGAACTTGACCTCAATTCCAACTCCGCGTACTTTCCAAGGTTGGGAGCTGGCTATCTGCATTGAAAGGAACCTTGGAGATCTTGCAGACCATAAGGGTTTTCATGGGACAGATCGATATTGAGATAGGAGATGTTGAACCACTACCCATGTAAATATATATATCCAGGGATTCATGGAGGGATTTTTCTCCAGAATCAGCAGTAGAGACTACCGAAGCACCCGACAGCCATCTGCATTGTTCTTTAGACCAGCGCAAGAATGCAAATCAGTTCGGCGAACCTCATGAAAAGTGCTAACAAAGCTACTAGGCGGTGTTGAATTCCAAGGAAAGGAGGCTGATATTTCGCAAGCTCCTCACCCATCAAGGATAATTGTGCGGGTGAACGAGGATTTCAAGTATACGAATGAAAATTTCACTATCGCACACAGATGAGGAACTATGACGATAAAGCATAATTTCGGTGAGACAAAGAAAAAGAGTTGAGCGGCCCCAGGGTGTATAATTCAAGTCGGGCATGTGTATCTGATTTGAAGGGTAGCAGAGAGAAGGGGAAATAGGAGAGGGGAAAGAGACAAATTGATGCTCGTTTCTTGATCATATGGTTCCTTGTTACACATGGCTTATCAAGCGCATTCAAGTAGCAAATATCCAGGTACTAGCAAACATAGCTGAGAAGATCTACTAACAAGCGCTGCTCCATAATTACAAGTGTTGATAAGGATTGATGCTTATCGATAATCGATAAGATACGGGGATGAGACACATCATGTGACTTGGGCTGGTCCCGAAAAGGGCAGCGTGCGTCACGTGTCGCACTTTAGCGAGGCGCACCACAATTGGACCCAGCGACGCTACTACCGCGATCCCCGAATTTCGACCATCACCAACGCCAACCGACCGTCAGCGCATCGTCCACCGTCAAGATGCGTACCTACGACGACTCCTTCAGCGGCCAGAAGATCTACCCTGGCAAGGTGCGTTTTCCTCCTGTCCCCTCGATCCCCGTCTGCGCGAGAAGGAATGGAAATTGTGCGGATTCGAGATTGAACGATACAACACCACACATCGCGATGATCAACCACCACGACACCACCTTCGGTCCTCTTGTACTCGATATCGATTTTGACTTGTCTCCGCCATTTCCATGAGACTTTTTGCGCAGACTTTATGCGGGGTTTTTTGAGTGTGGGAACATTTCAGATTGCTAATATTGGTTTCTTTGGTGATATAGGGTAAGCTGTACGTCCGTGGCGACAGCAAGATCTTCCGCTTCCAGAACGGCAAGTCCGAGTCGCTGTTCCTCCAGCGCAAGAACCCCCGCCGCATTGCCTGGACCGTCCTTTACCGTCGCCAGCACCGCAAGGGTATCTCTGAGGTCGGTTATCAATCAATCCCTTTGGCTTCTGTTCGATTGTGCGGTGGAGATGGCTATCATCAGACCAATATTGAGAGCATTCGACAATCTTTTTTGATATTGGGAAGGTGATGGTGCAAGAGGAGGGATATGATATCATAAAGTGGATCAAAAAAACCGGGCACTTTCAAAATGGAATACTGATCAATCTCGAACATATAGGAGGTTGCCAAGAAGCGCACCCGCCGTGTCGTGAAGCACCAGCGTGCTATCGTCGGTGCCTCCCTTGACGTTATCAAGGAGCGCCGCTCCCAGCGCCCCGAGGCCCGTGAGGCTGCCCGCAAGCAGGCCATCTCCGACGCCAAGGAGAAGAAGACCGCCGCCGCTGCCCAGAAGAAGGCCGACAAGGCCAAGAACGCTGCCTCCAAGGGTGGTGCTCAGCGCATTGCCTCCAAGCAGGGTGCTAAGGGCTCTGCTCCCAAGGTCGCCGCCAAGTCCCGCTAAATTACCCCATGACAAAAAGCTGGATGGTGTTTTATTCGTTGACGGTTGCGATATGATGGAACTTGCGGACAATGGGCTGGAGTACTGTCTGTGAGGACTGGCCCCAGGCCAATTTTTTTTACCTTGTTTCAGATATGAAATGCAGAAATGGGACAAGGAATCTCAATTAAAATTATTCACCCACCGCAACCCTTTACTCGATATTGATGTATTTCCAACATATTTTGGGCAGAATCGTCCTTGGCCTCAAGTTTATAATGTGGGCTTGGTCATCTCCAATTCCGTGGAGGGGTCGATTAAGCCCATATACTTGAATGTCAATATCTACCTTAGGGCACACACCCTTGAGGTTTATATACGGATGTGACTTACAATGTAACCACTTTGGATTATTGACCACATTAGGTAATCGCTTGAGTATTGTACCCCGTAGAGCGATCGAGAAGATTGGAAACCCATCAGTATATATTGCTTCTGATGTTGAGAGTTTCATTGAACTTTTGAATGAAGCACGTCTATACATGTACCATCTAAGCGCCCATCCAATATCACATTCCCATGCAGACCATTTCCTGCTGAAACAAAAAGACTGATCATAATAGCCCGATAGCTGATACTTCACGATTAAGCATGTCAAGGAACGGCTCTCGATCTCACTCACAATCTGGCTTTCTGTTCATTGTCCACATGTACTACACCCAGTGCTGACCATACAAAAGCGTTCAACGTTGTATGTGCCTAAATAAGCGGTGTTTCCCGTATGACAGCCTCTAGAACCAAAGCGTAACCAGAAGACTAAACATCCGAATGCCCTAAACGCCAGACCTAAAATGGATGACCGACTCTAAAAACAAAACCAAGGCCTCGATGCTCAGTAATAGTGGGCCATCTCCAAGCCAGCGCGCTTGAAACCGCACTTAACATAGAAGCCCTCATTGGCCTCGGAACAATCAAGAATGCTCTGTCGAATAAAGTCAGCACAAATCCAACATATATCTCTCCACCCTAGAGATTTCAGTGATCGCAAAAAAAACATACCTTATAGCACCCAACCTGCGCCGCAACAAAATCCAAAGCTTGAATAATTCTCAATCCCAACTTCTTCCCCTGCTGACCCTTCTCAACAGCAATATCCTCAATGTGCCCAACCATGCCCAGCTCATGAATGAATTTGCGCTCAACAATTAGCGATCCGGTACCGACGACCCGATCCGCTCCATCGCACACAACAAGCATGTAGTACTCGTCATTGCGGGATTGAATCCAATCAAACCGCTTGTCCCACTGCTCCTCGCTGATCTCACCGACGGTAGTCAACACGCGCAGAACATCGAGGTAGCCGCGCTGGTAGTCTGAGCGGCGAAGGGGACGGATAGTATAGTCTGTTGGGAGGAGGGAGATAACCTCAGGCGAGATCAGGGAGGCTGGAAAGAGGGGACCGTCTTCGAGGTCTGTGACTGGGATGACGGTTGAGGACATTTCTTTGGTAGGTTGGTCGGTTGAGATGGTCGTTTGAGCGATAGTGGGAGTTTCCATTGTTTTTGAATGTGGTTTGAGGATTGGAGAGATTGGAGAGGAGAGTGTTGGAGGTTTGGGATTGAGATTTGTTGATCCAGGGGAGGGGCGAATAGGACGGCGGGGTTTTAGCGCAAGGGAGATCGGCGGACGCAGGAAAATTGATCGATGGATCTTGATCGGGAGTTCCTTTTGTTTCTTTGGATTTATGTAGAGAGCTGGGAGGAGAATGGGACAAATTGACGACCGAAGTTTACACTGCAATTAATATGGTTCCAAGGTTCGGGTGTGAGACATTGCCATTGCCCCTGGGGCTCTTGCTATTAATACATACCCATGCCGGTGGTCTAGTGGATTCTTGGAGCACAGCCCTGCAGGTAATTATTTATTTCATTTTGTTATTATTTGTGCATATTGGATGAACATCAACTTTTTAATTTTCTCTTATCTTCAGAGTTGTGCAGGAATTCCTATCGCTGCTAGGTGCTACTATTAATAACCCGCAATCGCCCCGCCATAACTTTTACATTCATTGAAGGTGGATCATAGGAATACAATGCTTCTTATTCAGTATACAAGCCCTATTGTGACTAGTCTATAGTGGCATAGGTTAAACAGTTAGGCTGTTAATTAATTTAAAGCTCCTTGGGAGCAAGCATCAGCTCGGGGCGGACGTGCTTGTCGAAGTCCTCCTCGCTGAGAGCCTTGAGCTCCATAGCGGACTCCTTAAGGGTGATGCCCTTCTTGTGGGCGTGCTTGGCGACCTTGGAGGCCATGTCGTAGCCAATGACGGGGTTCAGGCAGGTCACGAGCATCAGACTAGAAAGCCAGTTAGTAAGTGCAAGGGGTGGGAGGGAAGGGGCAAGACAGGGACATACCTCTCGTGGAGGAGAGCGTTGATGCGGGGCTCGTTAGCCTCCAGACCATCAACAAGGTGCTTACGGAAGCTGTCCATGCCGTCAGACAGAATGCGAACGCTGTGGAGCAGGTTGCGGATCATGACGGGCTTGAAGACGTTCAGCTCGAACTGGCCGTTCATGCCACCGATGGTAGCGGCGACGTGGTTACCCATGACCTGCGAGCAGACCATGGTCAAGGACTCGCACTGAGTGGGGTTAACCTTGCCGGGCATGATAGAAGAACCAGGCTCGTTCTCGGGGAGGATCAACTCGCCGAGACCGCAGCGGGGGCCGGAGCCGAGGTAACGGACATCCTGGGCGATTTTGAACAGAGAGCCGGCCAGGGTGTTCAGGGAGCCGGAGGCCTCGACGATAGAGTCGTGGGCAGCAAGGACCTCAAACTTGTTGGGGGCGGTCTTGAACTCGGTGCCGGTCATCTTGGTGATCTCGGCGGCAATAGCCTCGTCGAAACCCTTGAAAGTGTTCAGACCGGTACCGACGGCGGTACCACCCTGGGCGAGGAAGCGCAGGTGGGGGATGCTGGCCTCGACGCGCTCGATGTTGCGGTCAAGCTGGGCAACGTAGCCAGAGAACTCCTGGCCGAGAGTGAGGGGAGTAGCATCCTGCAAGTGGGTACGGCCAATCTTGATAATGTGCTCGAAGGCCTCGACCTTGGTCTGCAGGGCATCGCGCAAGCTCTTGAGGGAGGGAAGCAGGGTGTTCTCGAGCTCCACAACGGCGGCAATGTGCATGACGGTGGGGAAGGAGTCGTTGGAGGAAGCGGACATGTTAACGTGGTCGTTGGGGTGGACGGGCTTCTTGGAACCCATCTGGCCGCCAAGAATCTCAATGGCACGGTTGGAGATGACCTCGTTGGAGTTCATGTTGGACTGAGTGCCGGAGCCGGTCTGCCAGACAACCAGAGGGAAGTGGTCCAGCAGCTTACCCTCGGCAACCTCAGCGGCGGCCTGCTTGATGGCCTCACCGATCTTGGGGTCTTTGTAGGGGTCAGTTAAGTGATTTTTGGCGCATGTTTCTTGTAGTTCCACATAATTCACTTACCAAGGCCGTACTTCATGTTGACGGTGGCGGCAGCACCCTTGAGGATACCGAAAGCCTTAACCACGGGGGCGGGCATACGGTCCTGGGGCTGGTTGATGTCGAAGTTGCCTAGGGAGCTGATCTCAATACTCATCAGCTTTTCCGGTACAATATGCCATTTGGAAATTATTCGTAGTGGTCGTCTTACCGCTGGGTTTGGGCACCCCAGTACTTGTCGGAGGGGACCTGTTGAAGACTCGGATTAGGACTCCGCGCAGATGAGGGGCAAAGCAGCTGTGAATGGAGACTCACCTGGATCTCGCCGAAGGCATCGCTTTCAGTGCGGGAAGCAGAAGACTGCATTTCTTATTAATATAGTCCACTAGACTGGGTTTTCAAATTCGCTCCCTACCATCTTGATGGTTGTGCTAAAGGCTCGCTTGTTGTTGTTGACAACCTGGAGGCGGGGGAATTGGCCGAGACGGCTACTGGAGCTCAAAGCCCGGCTGGCATAGGTCGGGGAACGAGCAGCAACCGACACAAGGTTGCGGGCTGCGGGGTTGGCAGCTCTGGTCGCATGTGTCAAGGTGGCCATCGACCGCACCGCGGCTCGGGAGGTGGAGGGATTCATTCTGTGCCTGTGTATGCTTTTAACTGTGTCAAAAATCCAGTTAGAATCCTCAATGGCTTGATTGAGCTGAGAGGGACAAGAGTATGGGGTCAGAACTCTACCTTTATGAACAGCGAGCAAGAAGAAGAAAAGAAGAAACAATTGAACACCGAGTCGCAAAGCCGACTCTTCCCGGTATCGGCATAACAATACTAAAACGTTGGTCCGATCTGCCGTGGGTGGTTACTATAGTAACATTTCGTCATATTGGTAATTTATTGTATTGTATGGTCAGCGCTCTAGCGCTTATACGTTCATCCCTAATACTTATCTGATCAATGATCTTCACGCCACGAGCTCCCGTTGGAGTGCCGCGATCACAGCTGCATTGAACTGTCGTCCTCCTTCTAGAATACCGTCCAGGGCACTTAGTAGATGTGGCGCCCCCATATATCGCTTGAGCTCTACGCGAACCCCGGCTGCCGCGAGTTTGGCCGCATACACCTCACCCTCGTCACGCAAAGGATCAAGCTCGGCTGTTGAGACCAGAGCCGGAGCTAGGCCAGCAAAATTGGGAGCGAGCATGGGAGATATTTTCCAGTCCTGCCAGAATGGTCAGCTTCGGTCTCATCATAATCAATGACTGTAAGACTCACATCTTCAGACGGTGGAGGTCGAGGCACGCCGAGGAAGTGTCGGTGAAAGTATGCCATGCGGGCCGCAGGAAGTGCTGGAGCAAACTCCATCTCTCGGTAAGACTCGTACGGGCAGTTCTCACGGTCGAAGTTGCCATCTGGTGTAAAGACTGTGTGCAAGTCGCACACAGGGACGGTCAAGACTTGCAACCCTAGATGGATTCCTTCGTTGCGACAAAGGTGAGCGATGACAGCTGCAAGATGGCCACCAGCAGATACACCACCTACGGAGAGCTGGGCTGGATTGAGATTGAACTCGGCTGCTTTTTCGGTTCGAATCTATATAACTGTGAGTCTCAACGACTCGACTTCGTAGCGATAGAGGTTTGGTCTTCGCACCCAATTGAAAGCCGCCCAGCAATCCTCTATAGGGATCGGAAACGGGTTTTCGGGGGCTAGTCGGTAATCCACATCAAATGCAACAAGGTTTCCATCCAAACCATCAACAAGGGTCTTGCAGAAATCGTGGTCAGTGCCTAGATTTCCAAATACCCATCCGCCGCCGTGAAAGTTGATATAGGCTGCTCTCTTCTTCTGTTCACCCTTATCATCCTGCTTAGGAGCTGGCTCAAATACGCGAACGGCAATCTCGCCTCCCTGAACAGGGCATGTTTGCTCAGTTATGCGATAGACATCTGGACCACAAGCACGGCCATACGCGATGAGATAACGGGCGGGATTCTTGCGAAACTCCTCGATTGGAACCTCGTGGGTATGCAAACGTCCAGCGTTGTATTTGTTGTAGTGTTCAACATATGCAGGATCATAGCGATTGATCAGCTCTGAGGGAATACTGTTGTGGAGAGACTGATAGATCTCTGGGAATCGAAATTCGTGCAAGGCTGGGTCGCCGCGACAAATTTGCTGTGACATTCTGGAAATTAGATTTCTTAGAAATTCAAAATGAACGTGGTGAAACAATATGTATATGGGTATCTCGTGAGGGGAAGCTCGATGGTACCTCTATCTTTGTATCATCCGTCAATGATTGGCCCTTGTGGTTGAACGGCGCGGGGTTGTCAGTCTTCAAGTCTCTTGTCCCGACCCCTCCGATCATCATGATACGATTCCATCCGATCTCTATTGGCCTTTTTTGATGACAACATCTACATGATTTTCATCGCAAACTATTGACCGGGGGCCTAAGGCGACACACATGGGTGGAACGTGCCGTTGATCTACTCCACTTACAAAGGAGAAACGAACTATATATTTCCACCGAACAGATCTACTTGGGCGTCAACCATCTAGAACAACCCTTTCCAAGGGAGATCTACGATTTCGAAGAACCCTGTCAAGCTTCTACGGAGTTTCTCAAGCAATGCTTATCTCCCACAATTACTCCATCGGAGTCAGCATGCATTTGATGATGTCTCTTGCTGATAACAAGGTTTAGGCCTCCCAATAAATATTGTCCAAACTTCAATAATCCCACATCCATGGATCATGAACAAAGGCTAGAAACGGCCTAAATGGCCCCGTGACAGTCTGGAATCAAGAATGAGAGAAATATGATGCCAACTCCCTCGGTGAAAGATGGGAAACCGTTATTAAGCGATGATTCCCGCGGGGCAAAAAATATCTTTGAAGACGGCGATATCGGGTTGACTCAGCGAACCAAACCCTTGCCCGCATCTACCTTTTGCTCCACGCATCAAATTTCCAGCAATTGCATATCCTTCGCACTTCCGATCTCTCAATTGCCTCATACACTTCACGATGGAAAAAGTTCCTACCCGTCTTAACGTTGCCCCCGTCCCGCCGGATGAGATCTTCGCCTTGAACGGCGCCTACTTCGCCGATACCCACCCTCAAAAGGTCAGTCTCGGTGTCGGTGTTTACCGTACAGACGACGGCAAGCCATGGCCTCTCCCAGTCGTGGAGAAGGCTGAGAAGGAACTGGCGGCTGAGAACGACCTCATGCGACACGAATATACCGCCATCGAGGGCGACGTCCCCTTCCTCGGACTGGCGCGGGACCTGATGTTCGGCTTTGAGAACGGCACCGGCGACGCAGAGGGAAAGGCACGCATCGCATCAGTGCAAACTGTCGCCGGAACAGGCGCAAACCACCTCGGTGCGCTTTTTCTGGCGCACCACATGAAGCCACGTAACGTTTGGCTGTCGAACCCTTCGTGGGCGAACCACATGACTATCTGGGAATTGGCTGGCGTGCCCCGCAAGACCTACCCTTACTACCATGCCGCGACTCGGTCGTTTGATTTCGAGGGCATGATTGCTACCCTCGAGTCCGAGGCACTAGAGGGTGATGCCGTTCTTCTGCACGCCTGTGCTCACAACCCTACCGGTCTGGACCCGAATAAGGAGCAGTGGAAAGCCATTGCGGATGTGTGCGAGCGCAAGAAGCTCTTCCCCTTCTTTGACTCCGCTTACCAGGGTTTCGCTTCTGGATCCGTTGAGGAGGATGCCTGGGCTGTTCGCTACTTCTTTAACAACAAGCCTGATATGGAGATGTGCGTGGCACAGTCTTTCTCTAAGAACTTTGGTCTGTACGGGCAGCGTGTCGGTGCTTTCCACTACGTTACCAACCGCAGCTCTACTGTTATTCGTGATATCATCGTCAACAACCTGTGCCACTTGATTCGCGGCGAGTTCTCTATGGGCCCTCGTATTGGTACTACCATTGTGAAGAAGATTTTGACCAATGATGAATTGGTCGCCGATTGGCACCAGGACCTTGAGGTCATGAGTTCCCGCATTAAGACCATGCGCCAGGCCCTGTATGACGAGTTGGTTCGTCTCAAGACCCCTGGTACTTGGGAGCACATTATTGAACAGGTAAGTTCCACACTGGATATTGTCTTTGGTTGCACATCTTACTCATCGTCTTATTTAGAACGGAATGTTTTCCTACACCGGTCTGACTCCCAAGCAAGTCTATGCTCTTAAGGATCAATACCACATTTACTTGCTCAAGTCCGGCCGAGCTTCTATCAGCGGCTGTAAGTATTTATGCTGCATTCAATACCCAATCGGAACAACCTCACTAATCATATCCCTATCTAGTGAGTGAGAAGAACGTCAAGTACGTGGCACAAGCCATCGACGATGTCATTCGCAACGTGCTTTAAATTGCATTATAAACACATAAGTGATTTTGGTTGAAAATTTGGCCTCGAATTGCGGAAAAATTGCCCAATCATTTGGCTATCGATGAGATGAAATGCATAAGCGGGATGCCGGTCCTTACCTACTAACGAATGTTGATGATAGATTTCATAGATCATGACCGCCATGCTATAATTCATCCTGAAATTTGGCTTGAATAGATCCTGGTTCTGTTTGTTTACCCCAACGTACAAGTATCGCAACATCGTGTTGCATTATGAAGACTATCTACCGTACAAAAGAGCGCAAGTGAAAAGATTAAGGATGAACTTCGAATATTCGTAACTAAAACACCTTGCCTATCAGGCCCTAGACGGCGATGACGCGAAACTGTACTGGATATAATCGTAAAGTGTCCACCAGAGAAGAGAAGGCGGGACAAAGATTGGTATCAGGAAAAGAGGAAAAATAACCCTCTAGAGCGTTCTAGAGCGTTACTTCGCTGAAGTCGCCTTCGCCCTCTTTCCCTTTACCCTTGGGACTGGGCTCGTCTCCTTCAGGTTTGTGTTGCGGGAGTGTACTCTCTTTGCTTTCCTCTTCGTCATCATTTGCCTGGGCTGGTGTTTCCTCGGGTTTCTCAGACTCAGGTGAAGGCTCTGCGTGCCCATTCTGCTGAGGTAATTCTTCTGCATCATCGGACTCGTCCTTTGGCGGGGGTGAAGGCGGAGCTTCTTCCTCATCTTGTGACCCAACTTCTTCCGCCTGCGCTTGTGGCTGGGTAGTCGTCTCGCCTCCAGGGAACGGTGTCAAAGGTGGTTCAGCAGGAGGCTGCTCTGGCTCACTACGCTGTGGCTGGGTACTAGGTCTGCCCTGTGTGTTTGTCGCAGACGACATAGTGGACGTAGTGCGTTGATGCGAAGAGCCGTGAATCACACCGAGCTGACGGGCCTTGGGGTCTGCATTCAAATAGTATCCACGCACACCAGCAATTGTACCCTCCGATTCGCAGGCATCGACCCATTCCGGCACCACAACCGGGATGTTCATCTCAACAGCCTTCTCCCACAGCGGGCCGCGGCCCTCCGCACAGACGAAGTGTGTAGTATCAATGCGTACAGAATCAATCATCTTGCCACCAATCCGTTCCAGTGTAGCACCCAATGCCTCTTTGCGCGCCGGGTCCAGAATGCCAGGGGTCACTGTAATACCGGAGAGATCGGTCATCTTGTGTGTGCGGCACGTCAACTTCTCCGACTGATACGTGCCAGCGGTAGTGCGCAAGACGAGATGGAAAGTGTACTCGGCATGAATGGCCAGACCGCTAATCTTTGTGCTGCGAGTCTCGAGCGGGCGGGGTATGGAGCCAGCCTTGGAGTTGTTGCGGTAGAGGGAGAGCGATTTCAGGGACGCGGTGGCCAAGTCTATGGGGTCCCACTCGAGAACGAGGGATGTTTGGGTTGCATTGCGCAGACGCAGTATGGGCGGCGACGGGGTCTTAACGCCGTAGGTATTTAGGATGCGCTTCTGGAGTGATTGAAAGGCGTTGACGTTGGCTGTTTCCGCGGCGTGATTGCGCGCAACATTGATGTCGACAATGCTGCCGGATGAAATGTTATTTGGGAGGAGAACTGAGGGAAATTCAATCTATTTTGATTGTATTAGTATACAGTCGGTCTTCGGTTCTTTGTGTTGAGTCTGGCATCCGCCTGGGGAGGGCCTCAGGCGACCAGGGGCTGGGGGCTTACGATGCGGTTGTCCTGGGTCAGGAGCACGGCGACACCGGCGTCTACCTTGCCGACAGTCAAGGAGACTAACATGGCGAAAGGATTTTAGAGAAATGTGAGAGGATTTAGGAGGTGGTGGTCGGAGATGGTAGGAGGTGTAGTTGGCAAGTCCCGTGTTGATTCCGCCAGATCGGCATTTAGCGAGGCTTGAGGCAGCGGGAGCTAAGATATGCTGTTCTATATTTACTCTTTGGCTCCGGCGCTCCGCCAACCACCAATATTTAAAAGAATACAATGAATGTGTATCCATTGATACATTCTTAAGTTCGAGTAGAGGTGTACTAAATAGTGGATATAGTTTAAATTTAACCCCAACGCCATGCAATGATGCTCTAATAATGTACAGGTAAGCCCTACTCGGGCTGGTAGTATGATACATATTGTACACTGCCAATCATGATCCCTTAGAAGAATTGGGGGATCGGGAAGTTCTCAAAGGCCTTGCAGGTTTCTTGGCCGTACGTTCGAAATGCGCTGCTCGTTGCTTCAGCATCTTTTGTAAGAGGTTATCGGCGTCTCTCTGGACTACCTTGAAGTCAAGGTCGACACATGCAGGACGGAGTACAAGCTCCAATGAACCCGTGAGATTGTGTTTCCGTGGCGTAGGAAAGTCCTGCAGCGGAACTCCTAGCTCATCATATCCATGGTTTCTCAGCGCTTGTTTGAATGCGATTCGTGTTCTGCGTGCGCACCAAGAACGAACTACCCGCTTGAGCTGTCCGATGGGTGCCACTGAGACCCGCCACCATAGAGTATTCGGATCACGATTAGCCCACATATGGGCAATTTTAGGACGAATCGGATGGGTAGGAGAGCCCAGGTAGCGTTGCGCAATGGAAGGAATGATGTTTTGCGGACAATAGCGGAGGTTCATGCCGACTGAGGAAGTAGTTAACCACTTCATGATGAATCAGCTGGCACCGTGAGAAATTGCCGAGTTGGCTGGTAGGTATTCGGATCGTAGCAGCAGCACATCGGTATCATAGCGAACTCAAGTCGAGTATCATGGAGGTCTGGAGACCTGGCAGGGTCGTGCGGTCCGGCAGTTAAGGCTTCAGGCTTCGCTGGTGCCGAAACGGGGAATGCCTTGGGCGTGGCTGAAGCCCAAATGTCGCAACAAGGTTACGATGCCCTCGAGGATTCCAGCAGCCTTTTTGAAATCAGATAGTGCACGACTTGCTTGATCGCACCTGATTGTTATCGCGTGTTTCCGTATCTTTTTTTCTGCCAAGTCAATTGTGGGCGGTGAAACCTCACAAGCCTGAAAGAAATGGCCCACATTGCCGCCTTTGTGCCTGATTAGGTAAGACGCAGATTTGAGCAGGACACAGATCCCCCACTCCCAACTCTCTTTCCTTCCACTCGACCACTCCGGGGATTATCTACTCCTCTTTTTCTTCTTCATCGACGGAGAAAGAACCAAGAGTACCATCACATAGCGAGACTCGAGTCCAGTGAAGGTTACGTCCCACCGCTATGCCCAAGAACAAGGGAAAGGTAAGATTGCAAAATATTCAGCCCCTCCTTGTTGGAATGTGTCACCCCGCCACCGTCCCTAATGAGTGGCCACCCACCCATAATATAGGTTGATGGACACGGAAAATGGTGATCATTTCAACTATGGTGTCTTTCGGCATCGCACAAACCCCCTTGACCACAGACGCTAACAAATGAGTACAGGGCGGTAAGAACCGTCGTCGTGGAAAGAACGAAAACGACAATGAGAAGCGTGAGCTTGTCTTCAAGGAGGAGGGCCAGGAGTACGCTCAGGTCGTGAAGATGCTCGGTAACGGCCGTCTGGAGGCTCTCTGCTTCGATGGTGAGAAGCGTCTGGCCCACATTCGTGGCAAGCTTCGCAAGAAGGTCTGGATCAACCAGGGTGACATCATTCTCCTCTCCCTGCGCGACTACCAGGACGAGAAGGGCGATGTTATCATGAAGTACACTGCCGATGAGGCCCGTTCCCTGAAGGCCTACGGCGAGCTGCCCGAGCACGCCAAGATCAACGAGACTGATACCTACGGCGCCGAGGGCGCAGACGACAACGTCGAGTTCGACGAAGACCGTGACAGCGAGGATGAGAAGGAAATCGATGTCGACGAGCTCTAAGCTCACCCCTATCCACCCCAGAGCTCGATGCTCTCTGCCCTGCAAGGGTGCCATTCATGGCGCTCTCCAGATGTTTCGCCACAAGCCCCTCTTACACTGCCGCTGATGGTGGTCAGTATACTGGATCTAATGCTCCTGATCGCTCGAGCCTCCTTGCTCCACGAGGCTTTGGACATCAGATCATTACATTCGTTTTCTGAACGGGTATAAAAAGCATTCGTCAACCAGTCTACGACGCTGAAGCCCATTACGGCTCTGCATGAGGATGAGGGCTTCCTTGTACCCCCTCTTAGGCGCTACGACAATTATCAGAGCATGAAGCAATCGACGACACGGTTTCGGGATTTGCATGGCTGTTGTGGGTTTCTGAGGTCGATGGTCTCCTTTGGTTTCCCATTCGTCTTTGCAAAGCACCCGGGATCAGCTACAGAGAAAAGTGGTTGCAGTGCGCATGATGAACCTGCGTGTCTGTTTACTTGCATCGCATTGCATGCTATGTGACTTAATCTGTTTAGCCTTGCTTTCCTTCCATTCCTTTCGAGTGATAGAGTTATGAAAAAGGTCACAAGAATTGAAAATACTCCTTGATTACTTTAAATCACATTGTAATTATTTCAAATAGTAGACTATCGGATGCGAAAGCTACCTACCTTGACCTGATGTCCAGAGCAAAATATCTCCATGATTGGGTTAGAAATATATGTTTTCTACTCCCGACGTCAGCCATGACGATATGAGAACCGCTTTGGGCCACCATTGGCTCCAGAATGTAGCCTTGCACCCTGTTAGAAAGACAATTTCGCTAAAAATCCGTAAAGCATAGATCTAAAGATAATACACGAAGAAACATGAAAATAAATCAGGAATGATTCAAGCTACCTGTCCCACCCGTAGACCCATTCACGCACCCAAAGGTTCCAAACATCGCCTTAGCAGCAGCCTGCCAGATCGTCTCCTGCTGCAAATAATTCTCCAAAGTGTAGAAAAGCCGACATTCCGCCGCTTCATAAACAAACTGCAACGGCGTCTCATCGTCACCCGGATCATACTCATTACGCAGGTTCAAATTGCCGCTCCACGCAAACGACTCCGCAAGACTAGGGCTGGACTCGTTGAACTTCTTCCATTCGGCCTGTGTCAGTAGTGGAGAGGACGTATTGGCTGAGTTGCGGATCAGTGTGTTTGCTTGCTGAATATAGCCGTTGATATAGTCCACTCCAAGAGATTGGCCACCTTTCACGCCGCCGACGCCCTGCATGGGCTCATTTGTGGGACGACCACCGAAGGTGATTGTGCGGACGCCTTGGCGTTTCATTAGTTTGACGAAAAAGGCGCAGGTGGAGACGCAGTCGCCGTCTGTTATCTGTATGGGGTTAGATATGAGTAGAAATGAGGCCAGGATGGACTAACGATGGCGATGTTATCTGCAGCAAAGAGAGCTTTGTCGGGGTTCAGTGGAATGGAACCATATCCATTAATTGGGAATGACGTGGTCGAGGAAGATGTGTAGTTGAAATTGGCCAAGAGGCTGGATGAAGAACTCCCCAAGATATCATGAGGGCCATAAAGATCTTCCCAGGAACTGAATCCAGTCTCCTGGCTCGGTGTGACCATTTGTCTGTAGGCGAAAATATTGCTCGTATCCTTTGTGTTATCACGCGAATAGGCCTGGGTCAGATACTTCGCACTGTCGTGTGCTCTGAAACGAGTCGCAGTGTAGGGGAATGAGCTGGGGAAGAAAATACGGGACATATCTATGCCAGTAGACATATATCCCCCAGGATTGGCAGTCACATCGATCAGGATATTCTTCTTTCCTGCTGCAGTAGCGTTTTGTAAGAAGTCAACAGCCACCTGGGCCACTTGTGATGGACTCGATGAGAATGTTGGTAAGAAAAGAATACCCGTGTCTTGCAGGCCAGTAAAGTTCAAGAAGTAGCCAGCAATGGAGCCCTCAGGACTGCCCAATGTAGCGCCAGGCAGCCCAGTCGCCTCAGATGCCTGCTCAGCACCAGCATCAGAGCTCGTCTCTGTTGGCAAGCTTTGCGGAAGACAATTGATATTGTACAGCTCTGTTCCGTTCTGGTAGGAGAAGTATCGCTCCATTGGTGTAGCAGTCTTCTGTACGGTTTGACTAGTTCCGTTTGAGTACTTGATGGTGAGCTCTGACCCTTCAGTCCAGGCACGATTGCTAGCCCATATGCCATCTTGGCTAGTAGGAGTATTGGTATACATGCGGGCCAGTGCTGGGAAGAGTCGGTTGTACCTGAAACTGTCAATGTACGACCTGTAGGACAGGAACTGCCAAGGGGCTTACTGTGCATCACGGTCTTGAAGGCCTTGGCTGAGAGCATATGATTCGAGATACTCGGCAACAGCAGTGCCGTTTATGGATTCAATAGATGATACGTCCTTTGAACCGCTTTTTTGGGCCTTCGCATCGCCTAGTAAAATTAGCATATGCCATCGAAACTCGCAAGTATATAGGGCCACATACTCAGCGTGTACACCTCCGGCAGTGAAAGTCCATCAGACGAAATAGACACCAGAGGCAGATCAATCTGAAATTTGAATATTGACTGCGAGCATAGCTGGAAAACCAAGTGACCATCATGAGCCGAGTTTATCAGATCAGAGACATCCAAATCCATCTCAAACTGACTAGAATAGTTATTGTTGTTGACATTTTCCAGAATATGATCAATTCCCCCCAGAAGATCGACAGCAGGCATGTCATAGCCAGACGGTGGATCTATTCAGACCATCAGTACCCTAATGAACACGACAATTGAACTCCATACTTTTAAGAATATCAATCGTTGACTGAAACTCGAGCATCTTGCGAACCTGAGTCAAAAAGACAATCGCACGGTCCGAGTCGAAAGGCATCGACATCAAGCATTGATATGCCATTTCATGAGAAACCGAAGTGCTCGCTGAAGCGATTAGCCATGTCCATCCGAAACCAAGCCGACGACATACATTGAGCTTGACTGGCACTTGAAACCATATTTGTGATCTGCGCACATGGTTCAACATCGCGTGCAATATTGTTTGCCCGGCAGGCTGCTGCCAGCGCGACCGGGGCTAACAATGTTCCCTTGAGATACATTGTTGGGAAGTTGAAAACGTCAAAACGAGGCGGAATCGGTTTCAAAGAGTCTTGTATGGGGTTCTCCACTCTCAGGGGCCTAGTGGACCCTTGCGTGTTCTCTTTTTAGCGGATCTGCAGGCCCAAGATCTCCGCCAAGACGGTGTTGAAGAGTGAATTAAAATTTTGTCATACGCCCCGGATGATTCGGGCTGAAATGTTGATTTCCTTATCTTTGTGGCCAGTTGGGATTGGAAGACAAGGAAAGAAGAATAAGGAAGGCATTGTGGTCAGTTGTTGTTTACTTGCAGTCGGTCAAGTGCAGTACTACAAACTTGGTTGCCTTGGATACCCAATCAATATTCATCCCATGTTACAATTTTTTTTGAGTTTGAAAGCTGCTTCGATTCCTGGAGCCTATTCATTTTTTATACAAGGAGACGATTTGCCGACTTCTATATATCAACGTTCTGTGGTGATGCTGAAGGTCACTATATGGAACCGGTAAAACAAGCACTGAGCTTCCCGGGAACTTTCGGGTATCTTTGTTGGACATGGTAGGTACGGGGATGAATATATTATCATTTAGATTTTGGTTGTCAACTAAAATACTAACTGATTACGCCAACGAGGAGGTCACTGCAAGAAGCGCGAAATGGCTGTTGCAATGAACGCTAGATTAGACGTGAAAGTGTACATTATAACGGAGTAAGAATTGCAACAACTTTATATGATCCCAAGAGACTGGAAAAGCAAGGTATTCAAGAGCTTCAGTCTTTCTTGGACTTGTTCAACTCCTTCATGCGCTCCTCGATCTCCTCGTGTGAGGCCTTTGGCGGCATCTCTGGTCGACGACGATTAGCTATTGCATCGCTAGCCGTAGCCCAACAACTTACCGTCGGGAATCTGTGGCCCCTTGGAGATATGATCGAGGGCTGAAGCTTTCGGCTTCTCCTCGGATTTAGTCTGGGGCTCATTGCTGCCCTTCTGGGAAGCCGCAGGGAAGGTTTCGGGATCAGGAATGATAGGCATCTTGAGGCTAAAAAGAAGTAGTTCCAATGATAACAATGATAATAGTTTCAGAAGAGGCTTGAGCTTTGTAGCTAAAAGATGGATACGATCAGATGGGTGGTGAAAAGACAAGGTTTGGTCGCTGATAACGTGCCCTTTTATAGATCCCTGTGGAATGACGTCGGCGGTCGGGAAGCTTGGTCTCACACAAGAGGCAACGTCAGGAAAAGAAGATGCCTAGATCTGTAGGTGTTTTATAGGGGTGAGATTTGCGCACACTATGCAAACTACAGAAATTGTAGCCTTCAGATATAACATTTCAGCTCCCTTTTATGGTTCATCTACGGTTCATATGGCTTATCAATCATAGAGCGGCTCTTGGTGCGGATTCAGAGCCCACTTGTCCACAAACTCGACATTTACCAACAAGGGATCAGATGCCATAGGCAAAGTCATAAGAATTCATTGGAATAGGAAAGCACTTCCGTCACCGAGTATATAGGGTCGTCAGATTGCCGCGTGCGCCGGCAGCTCCTTACTTAGTACTTGGAAGGTACCACGTGCCTCGTGACAGATACGCGCCAGCATCAAGTACCGCCCGAGTACTCCGCCCCCCCGCCAACGTCTGACCTCTTCCGCACACACTCTCTTTCTCTCCCAAAGCAACCGCCGGTCGGCTCCTTTTCAATTACTCACCTTCGATCACCTCGCGAGTCGATACCTCACGAGTCCGCTCATCGTTCGACCGACCCCTATCTCTACAGGCCTTATCCGGTTACACTGTGAACTGGGGCCATTCTCGCCAGCTGCTCCGCCCGGCCATGCGCGCTCGACTAGTCTAACACCTACCAACATCGTCACACATACCCATCCTCTCCATTTCTTGGGCTATATCCTATCATGTCTGGCCTCAAGCTCCTGAGTAAGGCCGATGAAGCCATTGTCGAAAGACATCTGCCTAGAGAGATCGCAAAGGGTGTCGCACGACTCCTCGTCGCCAACCCGGACCCTACAAAATGGCAATATACTGGGCTGCAAGGCGTAATAGCCCTATGCGAGGATACAGTAGGGCATTGTTTCTGGCTAAAAATGGTCGATGTCTCGGTGCGTGGCCTGTAATATCCCAAGACAACGAAGAGAGACTAACATCATGCTTTGGAATAGCCCGGTGGGAGTGGTACTGTGATCTGGGACCTTGAGATCGAACAAAACTTTGATTATGTCAAAGAAAGAGAATTCTTCCACTCATTTGTTTTCGACGGCGTTCTATTTGGACTCTTGTTCGCAGATCTGAAAGAGGCCAAGGAGTTTCTTGCCGCGATCGAAAAGCGCGAGAAGGTCGCTAGCAAAGAGACGAAGAAGAACCCATACAAGACCTACGAAAATGGTGCCCTTCTTGTGGATACTAGTTCTACCAACGAGAAGAAAACCAAATCTCGTTTTGGAAGCTTGTTGCATCGCTCATCTCATAGTCCCAACCCTACTCCGCAGTCAATAATACCTGTCGCGCCACTACCAACGCAATCACCCACGCAACCCCCGACGCAACCTCCAGCCCAACCAGTGGCACCACCTCCGATGCAGCCATCCAGCCCGGCTCCAAAGGGGGGCTTGTTATTTGACCCCAAAGACCCTCAATGGAAGTGGCTGGTGGATGAGCTCTTCACTATGGGCATCTCAGGGGACCAAATTGTTGAGAATGCCGACTTCATCAATGACTATATCAAGCAACAAGGATTCCTCTCGGCAGCTCAAGCACCCGCCGCCATGGAGGAGCAACAAAAGCCCAAAGCAGCTCCCCCACCTCCTCCAGGGCCCCCAGCTCCCAAGGCCATTCCAATCAGTCCTCAGGACACTGGAAGCAGCTCAGGCAGCCGACGTGGCCCCCCACCACCGCCGCCAGCTCGGAAGACCCGCACCGATGCTGCGGAGGAGTCGATTCCAACACCGCCTCGTGAGCCATCGCCGCCGGCTCCGCCAGCTCGCAGGTTCAACGCGCCGCCTCCCTTTGCGGATGCAGGCAAATTTGCTGTTCAAGAGGGCCCTGCAGAGCGCAGACGACCACGCGCGGTTTCGAATGCTGCAGGCGCAAGTGCTCCCCCACCGCCGCCGCGACCCCCGAAGGCTCCGATGGATGACAGCCAGCCACGGTTCGGAGTCCCTCCCCCCTTCGCCGGGGATCGCAAGGTTTCTGCACCGCCTGCACCCCCAAGTCGCAGCCCTGTACCCGGTCCACCCCCACCTCCGCCACCTCGTGGAGATATTGCGCCTCAACTCCCCCCCAAAATTCCAAACGCAGCAGCTCCAGGGCTTCCTCCCCCGCCGCCTCCCAGGGGACCAACCTCCCCACCCCCGCCGCCAGCTCCTCGGCCAGCTCCTGCATCGAATGCACCTGCTTTACCTCCGCCGCCGCCACCGCGAGGCCCATCTTCACCTCCACCAACAGATTCGTATGCTCCACCACCACCACCTCAAGTCCCAGGCCGCGCTGTGCCTCCACCTCCACCAGGTCCAACTGGTGGGCCTCCACCCCCTCCAGCGCGCAATACCCCTCCCGTGCCACCTCCCCCTCCCCCAGTACCAAACTCTGGTGGACCCGGAGTACCCCCGCCTCCTCCTCCTCCACCCCCAGGACCAACCTCAAGTGCACCTGGAGCACCTCCGCCTCCTCCACCCCCAGGTCGTGGAGCTTCAGTTCCACCACCGCCCCCCCCTCCTGGTTCAACTGGACCTCCGCCGCCGCCAGCTCCGCCATTGCCCTCGACTGGTGGAGGTGGCCGAGACGATCTTTTGGCAGCCATTCGTGCATCTGGTGGCCAAGGTGGAGGAGGTCTGCGGAAAGTTAGTGCCTCGGAGAAGAAAGACCGAAGTGCAGCCATGGTTCCTGGAAGTGCAGCGGAGTCATCTGCAGCAGCTACTAGCTCTGCTCCACAAGGTGGCTTGGCTGGTGCCCTGCAGGATGCTTTGAAGAAGCGGAAGCAGAAAGTCAGCGGAAGTGGTGAGTATTCTTGAGGCTCTGATTCCATGAATAATGTTTATGCTAATTACATTTGCAGATGATGAGAAAGAAGATGACGACGATTGGTAGACTTTTGTCTTTTTGCATAGGATTGCTTTCATTCATGATACCTATACCTTTGCCTAGGCATTTTTGCGGACATTAAGCATTATTTCCCTCTGATTGATCTTGCAGCGGTTGGTTTAAAAGTTCGGATTCGAGCGTTCATGAGGAGAAGGCATTCTATGCTTTGTATGTATTCTTAGTTAAAGCTTCAGTGGATATTGCTTGGTTCTGACAAAGTGCTGTATGAACTTAGTAGCCTGTGTAGGAGTCAAACGAGTCGCTACGAATACAGTAGCTTTGGAAGATATCAACTCTCTGATTTTCTCTTTATACAGGATGGATCAAAATCAGTTTCACTAATTCGCTCTCTCAGCATCTACCTAATCCCCACAAACAACTCTTCTAGGGCTGTGTGGATAAGGCTCGTAGATCATGGCTCAGCAATGTTTGAATAGACCTACAAAATCCCAACTCGGTGATTTGAAACGAAAACACGGCCAGCCACCGTCTGGGTTGAGCCTGATTGGCTTCCAAGATAACAGTGGGGACATATTAGGCACGTCACAGTAGGCACATCGGATGACATTCCATGAGACACTTATTCCCCGCAGCCCATATGGTTCTGCGCAAGTCTATGGGGGATTACGGTATTATTATACCAGCCCCAGAAGCATTATATAGCCATTGCTGTACAATTCTGCCGACACCATAAAATGGTGATTTAAAACGGGTCAAGCATTTGAGGTTCTCATACCCATTTCTTAGCCTAACAAGATTACGTCATGAATCAGCCGCTGTATTGAATATTGATTGATTAAAATAAACAATGCCTTTTCATCATGCATCTAGTCATGATTACCTGGACCCGGTAATACCGGCCTCACGTATATACTTCCAAGGTTATATACAAACATTACACCTTACAAAATATCACGTCACTCTAGTAGTTAACGTGCTTGGGCTTCTTGCCAGCCGGGGTAGGCTTCTTTCCAGTACCATGACCGTTTCCAGCCTGGGCACCAGGCGCATTGGGCTTAAGCAGCCAAAGGGAATCACCAACGGACCCGTCGCTACCCTTGATGTACTCCCACTTCATAGCAGTAGCGTTCGCAACAGTCATCTTGCTGAACCCATACTCCTTGGTGTTGAGCACAGCAGTAATATTAGTGAGACCCTCACCACTGCTGAACTCACTGTGGCTCTCAATGTTGCCAGCCATACCGTTGATGATGTGAGTCATGGACTTGCCCGGGTTCATCCGGTAGGTGTTGTTGTTCAGGATAGAGTCGGTATCAATGGTACCGTTGGCACCGAGAGGGAACAGACGCTCATACCAGTGGATGTGTCCAGACAGGTAAGCATCAACGCCGTGCTCAAGGAAAAGTTCCTCGAAGGCCGTGCGGATCTTCTTCTGGTAGGATGAGTAGGCGGAGCTGTACATGGGACGGTGGCTCATGACAACGACCCAGGGAGTCTTGGTGCGGTCGATGCTCTCGAGGTCGTTCTTCAGCCAGTTGTACTGCTCGTAGGCCTTGGTGTCGGAGACACTGCCGTCAACGGCGCCGAAGGGGCCGCTGTCAGTGATGAAGGTCTCGGATTCAGTGGGGAGGGTCTCGTCGCCGGAGACATCTCTGGCGAAGGACCACTCAGGGCTGTTGGCGTAATCGGTCTCACCGTCCATAGAGACGAAGTGAGCGAGACCGTAGTCGAAGGAGTACCAGAAGTTGCTCACACCACCGGACTCCTTACCGGGCATGCGGAAACGGTGCTGGTAGGCAGTGAAGTTTCTATAGCTGGTTAGCTTTCCGAAAAGAGCAGAGATTGGATGTAGTCTTACCTCTGCGAAGGAGGGCAGCTGTAGTAGGTAAGGTTATCAGTAGGCCAAGTGCTGTTGGGAAGGTTCTCATCCAGATAAGCAGTCAAGACATTGCCGGGACCGTCAAACTCGCCACAAGAAGCCTCGTGGTTACCGGGCAGAACCATGTAAGGAATCTTCTTGGTAATGGTACCCATCCACTGCTGCCACAGATCCCAGTTGGACTCGTAGATAACGCTCATATCACCACCCTGGGGACCACCCTGGTTGGGAATCTCGCCAGCAGGCAGAGGCTTCTTGTACTCATCGGTGATACCACCTGGCACCTCACTGCTCGTACCATTGTAGCAGACGGGCCAATCAGACTCGCAAGCCATAATACCGGAGGACCAGTCATCAGCGTAACTGATATCACCACCGTGCCAGGCGAAAGCAGCTTCGCTGGCAGCCTTGGTCAGGTACTTGTGGGTACCCTGGGCATTGGTGTAGCCCATGTCGTTCAGGACAGCAACGCTGAATTCGGTAGGATCACCGGCTTTGCGGGCGGTGGTGAAGCTCATGACATCGGACTCGGTGGTGCCATTGGCAGCCGGGATCTGGTAGTAGTAGGTCTTGCCAGACTCGAGGTGGGGCAGGGAGACTTCGTGGAAGTATTCACTGCACTGAGTGACAGCCTTAAACTGCGAGCACGAAGGGGTACGGTTGTAGCTAAGAACGATTAGCATAATCCTGAATCAATTGAGTGGCTGGAAGCAACTCACGAGTGACTGTATCCTCGTGCGATGTTGGTCAAGTGGTGAGGGTTGGTACCCCACTTGACAGTTGGCGCTCTTCCCAGACCGAAAGGAGTCTGGTAGTGAATGAGCATACCATCGGGGATGTAGGCCAACGAGATGACATTGACGTTGTTGGTCGGGTTCTTCGACGCAGGCTTCACAGCCGGTGGCTCGACCAGACGGGTGAAACCCTTGCCGTTGCCATTGATCGTAGGATCAACCCAATCGCCAACGGGGACAGCAGGACCCTTGTAGGGGAAGCGCTCATCAACGGTTCTACGGTCAACCGCAGGACTGGCGTTGGCGGCGGCGGACAGAGCCAGCAAAATGGAAGCAGTGGTAGCCTTCATGGTGAAAGAAAATTGAGCCCGTATCTCCCCACAACAAACGGCTGCAAAGCCGGCTTTTATCTGTGACGCCCATTTCTGCTAAGTTGCGCGTGCCGCTGATAAGCTAGAGCAGAGAGCTTCCACACGTGCAATTGGGTGGTTGAGCGATTGGTTTATGCAAGATTAAACTAGTGTTAGCCTCCGCAGCGGCATAGATGGGGGGCTACACACACGGGTTACGACTATATTCACGCACTCGGACGGCGTAAATACGGTAGATGTTGTGGATATTAGATCATTCATCCGTGGCAGTACCGGAGTCCCCCGGAGGCAAAACCACATGGGCACCAAAGTGCTCGTTGATTGGTTTGTCAGATCTTGGTTCAGGTACGTCGATGATGGAATGGTGGAACACCAATCGAACGACAGTTTCTTGTTTTGATCGTTGAAATGATCATTCTATGACTGATTAATTATTCAGATCGTATGATTGGCAGCACTTTAGCCAAGGTAGCCATTCCCCACTCAATTAGAGCCTCGGGTTTATCCTCCCCTTCCGCTTAAACGGCCTAGAGCCAATCCCGAGTTTCCAGAACATCACGTCCTCGCATCCATTTACCTAATAGTTTCGGTTCATGTATATGCCGTAGCAGCTCATCTACCATGTGCTCTCGAATTGGCTTACACCAGCTGCGAACGAAGCGTCGCAAAACTCGCATAGCTCAGTCAAATCTCGCTACAGTTGACAATGAACCAAGGACACTCCATGATTACTTAGGGTTGTTGTTGGGTGCATATTCTATCGTTCAATATCCCTCTAGTATCAATGGCCATAATGTACCTGACCTGAACGCACAGCCTGTAAATAAACGGAGTATCGCCTTTCCAAACGCAGTCCGTCTGTTTCTTAAACAGTGACTACGCGCGAGTCATTGATGAAGTCATGATCAGGGTCCAGCCCAGCAATTTCGGTAAGCGTGGTCATCGGCAGCCGGCAGCCACTTAGGAAATAAGTGGCCAATGCGGGAAGCGCATCAATTTTGTCTTCTACCGCAGGCTAGCGGGCCATATACATTATCCACCCGCACGTCGACTATAATATTTGCCGGTCGCTTGGTTAAATAATTGACAATCAGAAATGAGCGGCGCAGTGGAGTAGCTGCGGAGATCCGACGGCTAGCCTGAATGGGTATTTTGACCGTCCCGCCTTTGCCGTTGGTCTTGCGTGGCTTGAGCTCGCCTGCAAGCGACATTGCAATTGCGGAGACTGTGCTTGCAGTCATAGTGCTTCAGCTTGATTGCACGTGCTCCGTCGTCCTTCATGGTCGCGAAAGGTTTCTTGTACTCAAAGACCGTCTGGTCTTGGCTCGAATTCTCCAGCCTATCCAGGATATCATACCAAACGCCTATTTGCATGAAAACTTCCTCACTAGATCACTATAGATCATTCTCATAGAGCGAGCATCAGCGAATCTGTGTTTCTAGCTATGATAGACATACGTTCGTAATATGCTGCATGGTTGAGGAAATGGACAGTGAGGAAGACATTGAAAATGTTGATAAAATAGAGGATCTAGGTATTTAAATGGGTTCGATTCTATGAGCTTCCTCATGATATTTTTCAATTCATCTTTGGGATTCTAGGTGATAGAGTTATTCCCATGAACTCTCTCCCCAACGCGTGTGTTTCCCCAGCTTGTGCGTCAGCCTGCGGCTGGTAACCCGGAGACAAGCCTAAGCCTGCGATACCAAAACCCTAGAAAAAAAACTATCACCAAAATAAATACAAGAAAAAATTTCTCAATTGAAAGGAAATAAAAGAGCTGATAGACCTAAACTTCATGTATCGCACCGGTGACCACGGACAATGTCTAAGTATCTCAACCCCCATATTCCAGAATGTCGTTAAGCATAACTAAACCTTGACCTCTTCATGAACGTATTCACTCTTAGAACCACTGTTTTCGGAATCCGGTCTCTGAACCTGTAACTGCATCCGACGTGCCACTCGAGGAGGATCAAAGATACTCTTCGACTGGGCAAAGATCTCATCAATCTCCTCCAGGGTCCTTCCCTTGGTCTCAGGGAAGAAAAAGTACACAGATGGCACAATAGCCGCGTTAACCACGGCAAATACAATATAGTACTTGTTTCCGATGGTGGAAAAGCCGATGGGGGTCACTTCAGCGAGCAAGAAGTTGAATACCCATACTGTGGCAGTTGAGACTGCACTGACTGCAGCCCGAACCTGTAGGGGAGCCATCTCAGCAGCATAGAGAAAGGTGAGACCTGAGTATCCGGTCGTGAAGATGAACTGGAAGCAGAAGAGCGCAATCACGGCTACCACTAAGGCAGCGGTATTATCGGCAGCTGAGGGTGAAGTGGTGCCTGCAAGGACGGCCATACAGATGCACATGGCTCCGGCACTCCATAACATTAGTGGTCGACGACCGAGACTATCAATCGTATAGTAGGCGAGATAACCACCGAAGGGCTGCATTAGGCCCATTGATGCAGCGAGGATGCGGGACTTTACAGCGTCAAGACCGAGATATTGCTGGATATGGGTTAATTAATAGCATCGAGAGGGCTCAACGGCTTCAACTGACTTGAAAAATGCTGGTGGCATAGTAAGTGATCAAATTAACACCACACATTTGCTGAAAGAATTGTCCAGTGGCTGCTAGATACGCGCGATGGAAGAGACGCTGCTCTCCATTCGTGAACATGGCAGTCCAGGAGGTATTCCCGCAGACAGAAAGGGTAGTCTGGATTTGTTGGATACTATCGGTGATTGTCTCCGAGTCTGACTCGAGTTCCTGGAGAGCAGACATGACCTCTCGGGCTTCCTCGATTCGGCCAGCCTTGATCAGCCAGCGCGGTGACTCCGGCAGCACCATGATGGACACCATGGCTATGACGGACAATAGTATAGGGAAGGCGAGAGGGAATCGCCACGAGACAGAGTTCTCTTTGACAAAGTAAAAACCGAGATCAATCCAAAGGGCTATAGTCACCCCGAGACCGACGAAGATTCCGTCAGTAACGACGTTTGAGCCTCGTTTGTGTGCTGGCGAGATTTCCGACTGCCACACAGGCACTGTAGCGACGTATCCTCCAATGCCCACACCGAGGATTAGTCTTGCGACGATGAACTGGGCAAAATCGAAAGACGTTGCCATGAGAAGGGCGCCGATGATGTTGATCAGGTTAGTCCAGAAGATAACCTTCTTCCGTCCTAGGAGATCACCTAGGTAGACGCATGATAGGGCTCCGAAAATACCGCCGACCGTGTAGAGGGCAATAACCGTGCCTATTCAATCGTGCATTAGAAGATGTAGAGAACCTGTCTGATTTTTGAAATACCTTGAATAGTCGAGTTCTCATGTTGCAATGCCCCAGTCGTATGGATAGTATCCATTCGAGGAAATTGGTTGTTGAAGGTAGGAAGCGTCAATAGGCCTCCAGCCACACTCATATTGTATCCATAACACGTGAAAGTCGGACAAACAACTAACAGCACAGCTGCTCGAAGGAGTGAATTGCCACGAAGGCCAAGATATGGTTTCAATCCCATCATGAAATCGTAAAATGCGCACAAAATTGAGCGACTAGACTGGAAGAAAGTGGAGATGAAAAGAAAAGCAGAGAGATAAGCGACATATCTTCATTGATATAAAGGCATCGTGTTGAATTGCGAAGACAATTGTCGGAATTAGCTCGTGTCGCTTTGACAATAGTTTCTGGTTAGGTTTGCGGTAGGCGGCGGTCGCCGTTAAAATCACAAGCCTGACCACTACTTAGCGGAGGCAACAACGACCCCGGAACTTTCCCCACACTTTTCCCCCGGATGTCAATAGCTTGGCATTGCCACGCGCAGTTAAGTTTGGGGTTCACCCCATCTGGTAGTCCTAGCCGTGCTTAGACCTCCGCTGTTCTCCGGGTGATCTATCGGAATGGCGCCTCTTCCCCGGATTATTGTGCGTTGAAGGAGCCACAAGAGGGCCAATCGATCGTGTTTCCCGTGTAAAGGAAACTGATCATTTGACATAGTGCGAGACTCTTACTTTCTTTCGGATCTTTCTGCTTGTCAGTAAAAACTTTGTCAGAGGAGAATTGCGCTGATACAAGAAATCCATTGGATCAACATGAAGGTCCTGAATAGTTGTTAGTAGATAGCAGCTTAAGTTGAAGAACTTTTAAAAACTTCACTTATACTGTGGGGGTGTTATACAGAAATCATGCTGATCACTACAGAAGCTAGAGACAGTCTGGAAGTATTTGTGGGACTATTCGGATCGGGCTAGCAGTGACCGTATTCGTAATCGTAATCCTGATCAAGTTACTAGAGCATGATACCTATAATCCCAGCTGTTATTCTTCTCTCACTCTGAATGAACTTATTTCTTTGTACGCGGGCGGCGGCGGCATCCGTCACAGGGCTTACTACAGCCCATGTGCACGAACCTTGAGCATCGCCCCCTTCAAGACCTGAAAACTCAAAGGCTGCAGATCAACGCGACTGTTCTATTCCAGGCGATGTACCAAAGGGTTTCAGGATCGAGTGGATTTGTCCCAAACTAATATCTGACGCTAGTGGATCTGCAGCGCACGGAGTCCGGTCAAGAAGGACAGGCTATTGCTCATGAGTGCACATTCATATGTCAAATTTTATACACTGAAGTCTCTTTCCGACATATACCTGCCCATGACCAGATGAACACTGGAGATAAGACAATTCTCACTAGGAAAGGGCCGGAATAGACAGATCCGTTGTTTGTATTCGTATCAAATATCAAAGCAAAATAATCGGTAGGGGGGCCGACGTTGCTCGATTTGAAGATTTTCTCGCTCCTCGTTATGGTCAACCCATTGCCTCCGGTAAATATCCTAGTGGCTTAGTAAAGTCAGGCCAAGGAACTTAGCCCAGGCGAGCTGATTCGACAATCTATCATACCTATCAGCTCAAGCAAGTAAAAGGGATTCCTTTCTGTTGATGCACATGTACTGTTGACACTAATTTTCAGGCACATAGACATCAAGTCGGTTCTGAAGAATGCATACAGATTATTAATGTAAGTGCCGATTAATCTTTGCTTACATTACCAGTATATAAACTCATCCGCATATTGATATCTCAAATAATCTCTGATATCGCGTCAATACAAGTAATCAGTCGGAAACAGCCGAACACCGAGGCCAAAACACTCCTGATCGTCATGCCCTGCCGATCCTCTAATCTCTAACCCTTGCGAAAGAACTTCTAAAACAACCAAAAGATACTACATCAGCGAATTTCAACTTCCAATACAGCAAGTACAGCCTTCAGACTATCAGGTGCCTTGATATGCCAATCTGATCTGACACAGGTAAATTCATCCTCAAAACTCATTTCCCGTGGCTTTAATCGGGCTATATAACCCTGCGATGTCCTCAAGATGGCAGCAATCAAGCACCGCATTCCAAAGCGGGCTGTTCTCTCATGATGATGTTGAGTATTCCGAGACTTACCATAGGATTGCCTGCGGTATGGCTGTGCATAGCATTGTTCAATGTTTGCGGCACCATGGCCAAGGCATATCCATACACCGTTTATCGCGGAACGTTCATTCATCTTCCTCGCCTTAATTCTAGCACGACGAAGCCGGAACTTATCAGAAATCAAGGTGTTTTGTGGGTTTCTTCAGCTGATGGCCGTATTAAAGGATACGATTGGCAAGTTGGCGATGATGCCAGCTTTCAATCGTTCCTATCAAGCCACGGCTGGACTGTTGCCAAAGCCTCACCTAATGACCATGCCAGCTCATCAACGCAAGTTCGAGTTGTGGAGTCCAATGATGAGCGAAACGAATTTTTCTTTCCTGGATTCATCGGTATGCTTGGTATCCTATACGATGTTGCTAATTAGACTGACCATGTAGATACCCATATACACGCACCACAGTTCCCCAATATCGGGCTGTTTGGATCATCAGGTCTTCTGGACTGGCTAAACGAATACACATACCCAGTCGAGAGTAGCTTCGGCTCCAAGTCGGATCCAAATAACCAGGAAACAGACCCCAAAGATACACCACCTGAGGGCCTGCGCGTCTACGATGAAGTTGTCGCTCGGACTCTTGCCCACGGCACAACATGTGCCTCCTACTTTGCCACCATCCACGTTCCAGCAACAAATGCCCTCGCAGCGCTCTGTCACTCTCACGGTCAACGAGCATTCATCGGGCGTGTCTGCATGGACAACAAAGACGAATGTCCCTCCTACTACGTTGATCAATCTGCAGACGAGGGCTTCAGTGCGACAAAGTCGACAATAGACTACATCCAGACCTTAGACCCGAATGGAACACTGATAAATCCAATAATCACCCCCAGATTCGCTCCAAGCTGCTCGAACCACTCCCTCGATGGCCTAGGCAAACTAGCCGCATCCTACAACCCACCCCTCCACATCCAAACGCACATCGCCGAGACAATCGACGAGATCGATCTCGTTCACCAACTGTTTCCGGATGCAGCCAGCTACGCTGATGTCTACGACAAGGCTCACCTACTAACGAACCGCACCATTCTCGCTCACGGAGTACACCTCACCAAAGACGAGCGCACTCTCATTCGCGAGCGAGGTTCCAAAGTCGCGCACTGCCCAGCGTCAAACTCCGCACTAGGCTCAGGCCTTGCCCCTGTGCGTATCTTACTCGATGAAGGTCTCACAGTTGGTCTGGGTACGGACGTGAGCGGCGGATATAGCCCAAGTATCCTTGAAGTCGCCCGGCAGGCATGCCTAGTATCCAGACTGCTTCAATACAGTGCCGAGTACCAAGCGATGACAGGCAAGACGGTATCAGATGGGAGTGAGAAATTATCTGTTGAAGAGAGTCTCTACCTCGCTACGCGGGGTGGCGCGGCAGTCGTCGACATGGCAGATGAGATTGGTGGCTTCGACAAGGGGATGATCTGGGATGCGCAACTGGTTGAGCTGGGTGCAGTGACGAACAACACTGTGAGCCCCTGGGATGTTTCTCATGCAGATGCTCTTGCCTATCGGAGTGCTGTTGAGTCTGGTCCTGTGGGTAATGTTGATTTGTTTGGAAATGAGACTTGGCAGGAGCAGATTCAGAAGTGGATGTGGAGCGGTGATGATCGGAATGTGAAGAGTGTGTGGGTGCAGGGAAGACTGGTGCATACCAGAGATTAGATTATGGAAAGCCTTCTGTACGCTCTTGGGATTTCTAAGTCGGGACGGCGTCATTTTTTCATATGTGCTTATAACATGCAGTACGTACATATCATTGCTCCAATTTCCTCAACACAGACAACATTCACCACTCCGGGTAGAGCTAGTATTCAAAGGGTCTTTGCTTTTTGAACTGATCAAGCAAATCGGCCTCAGTAGCGCATCAAGACAATATTTCAAAGGCCCGTGAATGTTTGCTAGTCACTGTACTTATTTAGTCCATGTAGCCAATTTGTTGTAGCCACAATTTATTTGACACGTTTATAGTATTGTAGTTTTTAAAATATATAACCAAATATTATTAATTGGGGGGTTTTCTGAAATTTTGATTAGTCTTCCTGCATAGAGAGAAAATAAATGCTTCCAATCAGGTTTACCCGTGCCGAGTTTGAATCCTGTATTTTGTATACTTCGGGTGCGGATCAACCTTTCTCCGGAACGCGGCATTTTTCCCGCATTTGAGATCATCGGCCATCCTCAGCGTCTGGACACCAATAGAGACATGCTGTCTCCGATGAAGCCGTCTGCTCCGTCGGCATCACTGCTGCGGTTCTTGCACTCACAGTCCCGCTCCGTGACCAGTCTGTCGGCATGCGCTCCCACAAAACGTGCCTCGAGTCATAACACCCTCACATTAGGATCATTGCGAAGATCCTCGGCTTGGATTCGCCCTGACAAGTCACGATGTGCTGCTACGCTCAACACAAGGCTCTCGATCACGTCATCCAGACCGAAGGCTGAGATATCCCCGCGCACGCTTGAACAATTAATCATTACTCGGCCTGCCTCCACGGCCCGTCGGCCGTTCCTCAAACGCCTTTTCGATCTCCGGAAAAGCAAGACTGCCGAGTATAAGAACACTCAGAACGGACCCGCTTGGATTGATGAAGGCACAGATGGAATATTCAACATTGGGCGTGGATTGGCCGCTAAGGCCTCGAACGAGTTGCGGATTCGATGTACGGAGTTTGACAATAATGGTAATGTCACGCTCGTGAATGGAGAGTTCCGGAAATTGGAACTGATTGCCAAGGTTTGTTCACAAACTTCGCTCTGGTGCAATAGGCTCTTGCTGACATTTCGACTATTCAGTACGGCCTTCTTCCTCGAGACCTGCGCAAAATCGATTCTTCCACCCTACCCCATATACTTGTCCGACCAAGCGCCATTCTAATCAACCTTTTGCATTTACGAGTCCTCATCAAAGCCGATCGTGTCCTTGTGTTTGATGCCTATGGATCGACCGATTCGTACATGCAGTCCCTTTTCATTTATGATCTGGAAGGGAAACTACGTCAAAAGACATCGCAGGTTGCGCAGGCTGGTCCGGCTTTGCCTTACGAACTTCGCGCTTTGGAAGCTGTGCTCATTAGCGTCACAACTGGCCTGGAAGAGGAGTTCAATGGTGTGAGAGATCCTGTCGTGCGGGTACTGAGAGCGCTCGAGGAGGACATTGATCGTGATAAACTCCGGCATCTCCTGATCTACTCGAAGAAGCTCGGTACCTTTGAACAGAAAGCTCGGTTAGTCCGAGATGCTATTGACGATCTTCTTGAAGCGGACGATGATCTCGCTGCCATGTACCTTAGCGAAAGGGCGAAGGGCAAAGAACGAGATGAGGATGATCACCAGGAAGTGGAAATGTTGCTGGAGTCATATCACAAGGTTTGTGATGAAATCGTCCAGGCCAGCGGTAACTTGGTGACCAACATCCGCAATACTGAAGAAGTGTAAGTCCTATTGTTTTACTGATTAAAGAAATGTTGCTCTAATACAAAGCAGGGTCAAAGCCATTCTCGACGCGAACCGCAACTCCCTTATGCTCCTCGATCTTAAATTCAGCATCGGCACCCTGTCCCTCGCCGCAGGAACATTATTCTCCGCTCTTTACGGAATGAACTTGAAGAACTTCATTGAAGAATCCGACTTTGGCTTTGGCGGTGTCTCTGTTATCTGCTTCGCCCTCACTGCAATTGTCAGTGTCTATGGTCTTGCTAAACTACGCAAACTCCAGCGTGTCCGCATGTGGGGTGAATCTGGCGTTGGAAGCACTTCTTTGAGCCCGTTGACAACGAGGTGCGGTGCAGTTGGGCAGCGCGCTAATTGGCGCGCTGATTCCATCGAACCTGTTTGGGGTAGTCTCCCTGGCGAGGCACGATCTGAACGTATTGAACGATTGCGAAAGAGCGCTGCCGCAGCCGCATCGAATTCCGCCTCCAGAAACGCTGCTGCTTTTGCTTCTCGAGCTGGTGCTGCGGCTGCAGCGCAGACTTCATCCTCGGTTTTTGAAAATGCCTTGGATGCTGAACGTATCAAGGCCGACAAAAAGACGTCTCAATAGCCTGATTCTGGCAAGAAGTTCTATTGAGGATCTACATCCAATACTCTTTACATTTATCACTATACCTGTTTATTTGCGTTAAGACTGCATGGCGTTTGGGCTTGTTTCAGGATTCCCGACTGATAGACGGAGTTGGAAAAGGTCTCTATTTCACCCACCTCTAGTAACTTTGTATAGTATGTCATTCTTCCCTCCAAACCTCCACTCTGCTCGGTGCGTTGGGTACTACAAATTAGAGCAAAGTTGACAATACGTCGACGATCAATACATTCATATAAACCTGTTCATATTTCACATACAATGGGGACCGTAAGTATTTCCCCAAGTGCGGGTCCGGTAGGGCCAACCCAACAACCAACTTTTGGGAAGGCATGTACCACTCAGTATTGAACGGGCTCGCTTCAAAAAAACTTTTACATTAGCCCATGGCTATAGAGAAGTATTTTGAGTGGATAATTTGAATATCCATATAGCTTTGGTGACGATAGAGCGGTTTGAAAGTTTCTGTGTAAATATGGAGGACCCGCCGAGGCATTCACTAAGCTTTTAAACCCCTTTAACATTATCTACATGTTGTTAAAACAAGAACTTCTTAGAATGTATCTAAAGCTTATTTATAGAGGAAGATATAATAGTATTTGATAGTACCTTCAGGGGTATGTAGCAGAATGATGGTGAGTAATACTATCCGTAACAATTAACGTGGTAGTATAAAGGGTGACGAGATAATTACTAGTGGTTAGAAAGCTTAGAGTAGATTTTTTTTGAATTACAGTATTAAAAAATAGTTCCATGCGTCAGACAGGTATTAATAAATATGCGTAAAGATAGAGAATTTCAGTAAGATATGGTGGTGGGGCGAACTGTTTAGTGAATATATACAATTGATGGAGTAGGCCCGGAAACTGATTTGGGGAAATACTTTTGACTAGATAGTGTATTACAGCTCATCATTGCTCTTTACCTCCCTCAGACGTAACATAGCAACACCATGCGCTTGCACGTGAGCCGTCACCGTCCCCCTAGGCTTAACACTACCAACCTTAGACCCCATAAGCGCCTTCGATGTGGGCAAAGGCTGCTGCGCATAAACTTTCTCATACCCACCAAGAGTAGACATATTAATCGGTCGCGTCACATTCCCGCCCTCGATAATGGCATTCGCAGTTGCATTGCTCATCCTGTCAGCCCAAAGGTCATACACATCCCAGCTACTCTTGATCTCCGACGCGGTACCCTCGGGCCCATCGCCCCAGAAGATATCAGTCAGAGTGGCATTCATCTTACGCGCCATAGACCCTCCATTCAATAATAAGACCAGCTGGTCACCACCACTCAACGAGCCACTGAACATCTGGATCTGGCCGCCATCAACATAGTAGCGCCAAATACGCACAGCGGACGACGACTCCGGGTCTTGGGAGACGGCTAGCACGGCCGTGTTCTGCAAGATGGAAAGAGTAGGCGCGTCAATAGTGGTCATTACGTTTGTCATGAGAAGAGGCGATTTGAGTGCCGCCCAAAGACTGAAATGGGCGACTGCCTCGGTGTCTGTTAAGCCGCCGTTTCCGACCTCTGTTCGTCATTAGTTGGTATTCTTTGATTTTCGAACTTTTCAGCAATATAACTCACCGAGCATGTCTAGATCATTCCATGCACCTGCATACGGTTTTGATGCGTAGTACACGGCCTTATTGAGGACATTCATGACAGAGCATTGATATCCAGGAGTCTTGCAGTCCAGACCCTCTGTTTCAGAGCAAGGGCAGTTGACATTCTCCCGATCCCAAACGTTGATCAAATCACCGCTCATTCTCCAAGAATTGCCGATCGTAGGAGCAAAGTTCCATGGGCCGTCTACACCCCAGTTGCAAAGGGAGTACAGGATAGGTCGGCCAGTGGCATTGAGTGCTTTGCCCATGGTGTTGTAGCGGTCGTAGGAAAGCTTGGGAGTGCCTTCTTCTCCTTGGTTATAGCAGTTGTCGTACTTCAGATAATCAATCTATGCAGATATAAGCAACACATTTTCCAAGGTAAATTTGGTGGAAGGGAAATACTTACGCCCCAGCTTGCCCACAACGCGGCGTCTTTCTCTTCGTACCCCAGCGAACCGGCGTACCGTGCGCAGGTCAAAGTACCTGCACTAGAGTAGATCCCGAGTTTCAATCCCATGGCATGGATCTTATCCGCTATGTCGGCAACTCCATTGGGGAACTTGTCGGGATCTGGAATAAGATAACCAGAGGAGTTACGACCTGCGGACCAGCAGTCATCCATGACAACATAATGGTAACCAAGATCTTTGAAACCCAGCGAAACGATTTTCTCGGCAGCTTGTAAAACGACAGTCTCATTCATGTCGCACGCAAAGGAGTTCCAGGTATTCTGGCATGATCAGCTCAGTTCATTATTGCGAATGTATAGATCACATACCCATCCCATCTGAGGCGTCCGTGCGAGACCATTTTCCAACGCGCTGGCCAGCCCAATAGCCAGAAAAAGAGGAATAACACGCATTTTGTTGAATATGGAAGCGACAAAATGAATTCGACCTGGGATCTCATCTCAGGTACCAATCATACCATTTATACCCCGCGTCCCCACGGGGTATCCAGCATTTAGCCGGCGGAATGTCGGGAGCAGCATGGCGTAAATCCCGTGTTAAAGAAGATCGAATCCCCGAAATTAAGCCGCTTACTCCAACTAAGCAAGCTTCCGGATATTTACAAGCTTTCTGGCGCTGATCTTCATGGCATCGGAGTATGGTTTCCCAATCCCATTCCCTCGTGCAGGCTCCGAGCGCGTTCGATCCAGGTCCGTGCGGCATGCTGAATCCCTCCATCTTTATAGCATTCACGCTTCACGATTTCGTTGATCCTTTGCACTAGCTCTGCACTTTTGTCAGGTTGAGGGCCCACCGATGCGGGGGTCGAATTCTCGTCTCGAGATACTTCCCGCTGCCGTGCCACTATTTGCCGACCCCCCACTATTGCCATATTGCGGGTACTGGGGATTTGGAGCTGGGTTGATTCGACTTCGTACCCAATCTCCTGTGCGATGTGCATGGTCTTTGCTGTAAGCGAGCCGTACATTGAGCTAAGCATGCCGTCTGCGGTTTTCTCTTTCGCTTTTGCTGCTCTGAGTGCCCTTAGATCTCCTGATGCGGGCTGTGGATTTTGTTCGATGACATCATCTTGCATTCGTGATTTGCTTCCTGGTCTTTCGAAAGGCACTTTATTTGGTGGAGGGAAGCGATAGCTGGACCCTGAGAGCGAATGCGAGCAGCATGGTATAGCAAAGAATGGGAGTGGGGAGGCAGGGCAAGCAAGGGCACTCATCAGTGGAGTCCAAAGAGTAAGTTCATCGGCATGATTCGAGATGATGAATGTGCCAGGTGGAAAATCTCCTGTATGAATGTCCACGCCCATATGATCGGTGACAATACTGTCTGCGAATGGTTTCGGAATGTATATCTTCTCCATCAGTCGTTCCTGCACCGATACTGGGAAAATAGACCATGTTTGGCGACGACGAGCATCATATCCACAACCTGAATAACCTTCCATGAGAAGCACGTATACAACCACACCGTTCCCACATGCGATATCAATGAAACCGGGGAACTGGGTGTCAATCTGCTTTTCTTTGGTGGACTCGGCTGCTGGTACTGCTCCGTACATGTTGCGCCACAACTCAATCAAAAATGCAGCGATAGCCAAGTGTTCATAGATATGCTTCACGGGCTCAATTTTCTCAATCCAAACATCACGAAAAATTTTTGCATATCGGTCTTTTAGATGCAGGTATGTATTGTGAACCGACTGGCGGGACACGATATTGTGTTGGGAGGACACATCCACTCCATTATCATGTAGGTTGGCATCTTGAGATGCCAACATTGGGAATGTCCTGACGATCTGGAGAAGAGAGAGACTTCAAAGTTTATGATGCTATCCTCAGTGCAGGCCCTCCTATCCCCTCTCTCTTCAGTCGAGAACTGAAGATTGAAAGGGCGATAACACCACGCTTTGTGCGTACGTCCATACATCACGTGATCCTTTATATACTCGTTTCATCTTTACACATTTAGTTAATTTTGAAAGCAAAAGCATTACGGAGAAGATAATTATATTATGGGGTACAGTATTCAAGTTACTGTTCCTTGTTCCTACCCCATTGGCTCACCACTCGCGATGATTAGTCGGTAATGCGTGGGAAAGGAATCCGTCATAGCTACGCAAAACGACATTAATTAGACTAAGTCGAGAGTCACACATCCGCTAAACCCGATACTTCTTTTCATTTTTATGTTTGAAAGGAGCCTCACAGATTACTTCTTATAGGGCTCAGCCAACACAGCGTCCTGAATCCTCAAACCTATACACAATTATCTCCAAAGACAAGAGCACCGCTGCTACTATGAGGCTACTAAACCTTTGCTTAACACTTCTCTCTGGGCTTTTGTTTCTACTTGCAACTTTCAGCATCATCATACCGGGCTCCACACTCTCACCCGTTGCCCGAAAAGACATAGCACCTCGAGCAGCTCCCGAAACTTATAACTTCCAACTCTACGCTACCCACGGTTGTTCTGGCTCAGAAGTGAGCTACACTGGTGCCGGTTCTACTGGTTGTACTCAGGTGGGCAAGACAAGTGCATTGGGGGTTGTTAAAGTATACGTTGACCCTCACTGTACTGTCCATCTTTTCAGCGATAAAAGATGCTCAAAGGGGCGCAATTTTGCCTCTTTTCATTCCGATACAACGAATAAATGCAAGACGTCGAGAAGGAACCGTGTGAAGAGTTTCAAGGTGGTCTGCTCGTGATGGTGGATGGTTGTATAGTGGCTAAAACTGCTCGTGTTTGGGAGTAGACATTGGGGATTGAAAGCCCAAGATAATACTGCTAAATTTCTGTTTTGGTTATCAAGTCTCCAGAGACACTATCATTATGCCCCTATAAAACACTACAGAAGTGATTAAATTAAGCTCTACCTCTTTACTACGTTCAATTCTCTGTTGCAAGATAGCACCTTTTTATTTTATCAGTGGCTTTCCCTTCCTCAACTACACTTTCGGCGCCTTATCAGGATTCCATCAGTTTTGCTACCCATAATTCATACAGTAGCCCAGTACAAGCGAGGTTGTCGTGCGACAGAATTGGTTCGCAAGAGATATATTATATGTGCATCGTGTGTGCTCAGATCTTGTATGCATTCTCATCTAATAAAGTTAAATATGTACATCTCTATTTTCAGCTTTTTTGGTGATTTTCGTTTACATCTTTCCTGAGGATCTTTCGTGGGTTGGTCATTTTTGAGGCTGACTTTGTTTATTTTCGATTTTTTATTATAGCTGGGCAAGATTTATAGCCTCGTCGCCTTGTAATATGGGTCCTCGAGATATTTGTCGAGCATTTGTTTCACGAACTTCGGCACTCCGATGACAGTTGACCCGTACTTCGTGCGGACCGATGGGTCCCGTATGACTTCAACAGGAATGCCCGCTGAAGCTTGTGCCAAGCCTTGAATCCCTTGGAAGTAACTCAATCCGGTCTACAATACAGAAGACTGACAAACAGCGCCGCAGACAAATTTTGCATCCCCTTTGTCATCACTTGTCGTTGTTTTTTTCGTGGGCAGTATATATACCTTGCTTTGACCTCACAGAGCTCTATCATCCTCCTTATACCTACCACAATGATTCAACCTTGCTGGCTGGTCTAATTTTACCCTTTCTGATATCTTTTAACCTAAGGATTAGCCCTGACAGTGAACACTCACTTCATCTTCACAATTGGCAGCCAGAAACATTCAAATTCTCCCCCAGACCAAGTTTCAGCAGCCAAGATAACTTTTCTATAACTACCAACATCCATCTCAAGATCAGTCCAAGACACGACTTCACAATGATGGACAATTCGCCCACTTCGATGCCCATTCCGGGTCTCAAGCGCTCCGAGTCCCGGGGCTGCAAGTCCCAGAGCCCCGAACCCCAGAGTTCCGAATCCCAGATTCGTCCCCATCCTCCCCCCGGCCTTGATGGCAAGCGAAAGCTCACTCCTGCCCCAAATTCTCCTAGTCGCTCAAAGAAAGGCCGTAAAAGTGGTTCGCCGGCTGGCAGTGCTGGAGGTTCTCTTGAAGATGTGCCCTCCCATTCTGGTAGCAAATCTTCATCTCCTTCATCCACGCGAATTGGGAGCATTTTGGCTTCTCTTGAAGATGTGCCTTCCCATCTGGACCAAAAACCTTCATCTCCTTCAGCTAAGGACCTTGAGACTCCTCACCGTGCTACAACACCTGACTCTTTGAATTCCACTTCCGCTGTGGTTTCTGATCTCTCTGAAATCTCTGAGCTACCAGAAGACGATGATGAGGCAGTTCTTTCTGCACCTGAGGATGATATCTCTAGTGTCTGTGATGATGAACCACTTGAGCCGCTACCGAAAGCACCAGTATATGACCAGAGCCTTCAGCGGGGTTTAGGTGATGTGAGAAAGCAACTTTCTCGACTTGCGGAAATGATGCAGTTTCCGGGTCACATAATCGACCCGGGCTCTACCTTGATTGAACTTCGACCCGAGGCCGAGGAGTTGAGCAAGTTCAAGTACCCGGAATCTTGCACGGTGGGGTTTATTGGGAATTCCGGTGAAGGTATGTTTTAACGATTCATTGCGAATGAAATGTCAACGTTTAACATGAGAAAAGGGAAAAGTTCTGTGATCAACTCGCTGCTCAATAAAATGAACCTATCACGTGCAGTAGGTTTCCCTCCTCTGTTAGTCTTAACGCGATTTGACTTTCAACTCTAGAGTGGGAGTGGTGTTGCATGTACTTCAGTGGTCACAGAATTTCGATACGTGGATGACAGTCATCCTGGTCCTTACACCATTGAAGCCCTCTTTATGAGCCCAACAGAGATTACGGAGCTTCTTGAGGAGCTTCTACGAAGCTTCCGGGTCTACTGCTGCCAATCTTCTTTTAGTGAACTCTCATCAATTGAGGAGCAAGAGAAGTTGAGAAATGCTTCAAGTCGTGCCGAGGAAACCTTGGAGTCTTTATTTCAGAGCCAGCCTGGATGGAACCGAGAATTCCTGGCAGATGAGACAGAGGGAGCAGAGGCCGTCATTCTTGCACAGTTGAAAGAGTGGGCACACAACGCAGTATCTCTCAGACCAGGCGGACAAGATTCTCTGGTTTATACCGTCACTGCAAAGAATCTCCAGCGATGCACGATTGAACTTGACTATCTGGCAGCTGATTGCCATGAAGACGGACAGCCTGCTTTATGGCCCTTTATCAGACTCATAAGGTCACTTCTATTTTCATTCCAGTGGGCGATAACATTAACAAAACTTTAGGGTCTACCTCAAATCGCCGATCTTACAGCATGGATTGGTCATTGCGGATTTGCCCGGTAAGTTCCTGGCACCAGGTCTAGAAAAATATTTAACCCAAAAGCTCACCTTTTATAGGCTTTGGGGACATGAATTACGCAAGAGTGCGGGCAACAGACAAATATTTGTCTCACAATTGCGACGAGGTTTTTCTTGTCTCGAACATCGCTCGATGCCTCTCTGACGAATCTCTCCTTGGTATTATGAGACGGTGTAAAAACAAGCCACAACATATTGTTTGTACCAAATCCGATGTATCAACTCCTTTCCACATAACATAGGAAATTACTGAACTTTGTTTGCAGGCCATTTCTCCCGAGGAAGAGGCTCGGAGCAAGAAGAAATCATATGTCACCAAGTTGCGCAGCATGGCAGCTAAACTGAAAAAGGCAAATTTCCAATTGAACAAGCTTCGCATTCATACTCAGAATACTCCAGTTGGCTCTGAAAGAAATTCAGAGGTCGTCGAATTGATGTCAGTCTAATATCGTCTCCTTTTGGAAGTATTAAATTACTCATTCTTCAACAGTGATGAAATTGAGAGCCTCGAGATGAAGTAAGGCCTCTACAGCTGTTGATTCTAAACACGCAGAACACTTATTACTTCTCTAGGCGAACACGAATCATGATTTCCACACGCAACACTCGTGTCAAAGGAACTTTGAGAAACAAATATCCTGGTATTGGGGTGTTCTGTGTCAGCAATACATTATACGCCACGTACCGAACTAACGAACAACGCCTTGCCAACGATTATATTGCTCTCAGTGAAGTTCGTGAACTGCGTGAGCATTGTCAAATGGTTCCCGCAGCAGCTCAGCTACGCATGATAGAGGCATATCTCAATAACCAAGTCCCCGCGTTTCTAGGATCCCTTCGTCAGTGGACTCTGGCAGGTGCCGATCCCGTCACCGAAGAACGAGCTGCCGCTCTTCGTGAGGCTATATTTCAAGTTGAGGCCACTATTCTAAAGGTCAACTACATTTTATCCTATCCATTGATTCAAGCTTAGCTACCTCGGATTTTGGAGGTATTCTAACAGGAAATAGGAAATCGTTTCGACGCATGGATGTATCGAGCGTACCAAACGCGAGCTAGCGGACTTATTCGAGGAAAAGGTCCTACGGCTAATTTGTGAGTCTTGGCATCTCATTGTGTCTTGTCAAATTTGGCTCACATTATCCATAGGGCAATCCGATATCGCCTGGACAGAAAAGTGCATCACCTTAAGCGAAGAATGGGGCACTGTTAGTACCTACTGGGAGTGTGGTTATATGACACCCAACTGTGCCATAAATTAACGCAAACTTCATAGTGGTTTCATTCGACCTATGGGGCATTTTGCCGGCACAATGGAACTTGGAAAGGCGCATCGGTGGGAAGTCATTGCTGGAATGAAGAACTAATCGCGCAGACACAAGGACAATTGGGCCCTCAACTGAACTCTTTACGCCAGTGGCTGGAGTCCCGCACGGAAATTCTGATTAGTGCAACTTCAGATGTGTTTGAACGAGTCTTGGCTGTGCTTCGACGCCATGAATCACATGCTCCACAATCTCTCCGGAATCTTTTCTCCTGCATGGAACGCAGGAAGCGGAATATCAACGATGAGATCGCACGCCACCTCGGGCAAATGATTCAGAGCATAGAGTATGCCCTCCCATAAAAGGTTGAATGCAAATGAAAATCCACTATTAACAAGCTCTACTTAGATCCACGTCGCGAGACATGATAGACGGCCACGACAGTTCCTTGATTGCGGACCTTATGCGTCCTGCATATCTAAAATGCAGCGGTTATACTGGTGCTTCTCCCTCCATATTTTGTTTTGAGATCTACTGACACTTCAACACAGGGAAAGGAAGCACCAAATTGCGCAAAGAAGCTTTGCATGATCACATTAAAGACTCACGACTCTTCATCCAGTACCACAACCTCGCAAAAGCCGCCTATTTTGCGACCGTTGATGAAAACTTTGATGCTCTGCTTTCAAGTCTGACAGCTCAGGTGAAGAAAGTTACACGGGACTTGAGTATGGTGGTAGCTGCCGAAGGAGAAGTACATGAGGCCAAACGGAAGCCAACGTTGGCCCTGGAGGTGAAGAAGGGTGTTGAATCTGCACAAGAAGTTCTTGATAGGGCGCAATTTGACTTGCAGCTGGCTATGGGGATAAAGCGTAGTTGAGGGTTTGAAATTACTGCAGGGCAAATGAGCGCCGGAGGAAGCTTCACACCTTGAGGCTTGGGGTCTATTGAGAGGGAGTATTTGGATCTGGATTTGGCTATGAACGTAAATCGCAGGTGGTGCTTCTTTTGATACTACTGCACAACTTGAGCTACTACAAGAAGTATTAAGTGAGAATGAATGTCTATTTAATGTTTTATGTATTATATGCACCGGGATAGAAAAGAAAAAGAATCTATTACCAGATACTCAAATACCCTGGTTGTGCCTAGCAACAATGAAATCCACAGCCTTCGCTCCTAACGCATAAACAGCAACCTGCAGATGCGCCGCAAGAGGTAAAGGAATAACACTGGCATCCACGACTCTTAATCCCTCCACTCCGTTAACCCTCAATTCCCGATCAACAACCCTCCCCATAGAGCAACTCCCAGCAGGATGAAAAGAAGTGATCCCCACGCGCCTAACTCTATCGTCAATCTCCTCGTCCGTAGAAGTAGCCGTCAAGTGCTCGTAGCCCGGCGGCGGAACCTCGCATTCGATGATATGCTTCAGTGCGTCGGATCCCTGATACACCTTGAATGCCTTCCGGACCGCAGAGCGAATAGCCACACGGTCAAGCTCAGTGGCATAGTAATTCGGGTCGATGACCGGCGGAGCAAGAGGATCAGCTGAAGAGATAGTGATTTCACCTCTGGACGTGGGAGAAACACCTAACACGGTCGAGGAGATACACGACCCATCCATAGGCGTATCCATCCCGGCAAGAGCCGTACCAACTGGTATGTAAAAGTTGGTTGTCTCCGTGAAAACACAATGTGGATTCAGAAGAAGCTGGCTGGAGGGATTATTAAGATGTCCACCATCCTTCTCGATAGAACCCTTTACCAGACTCCTCTCCAGCCCCGAAAAGACCGTCCAATCGCTCGGCCACCCAAGTTTCATCACCGGATCCTTCATCAAGTCCTCGAAAGAACTATTCAGATCGGCCTTTTTCAATTGCCACACAATCGGCACCGAAACATGATCATGGAAATTTCTTCCCACATACGGCGACTCAACACTCTGACGAATACCGGCATTCCTCAACATCTCCCTCGGCCCGATCCCAGATAACAAAAGAATCTTCGGGCTATTATAAGCCCCCGCAGAAAGAATAACCTCCTTTTTGGCCGAGAACCTCGCTCCACCAACAAGTTCAACTCCAGTCGCAACCAAACTCCCATCCACATCTGTCACAACAATCCTCGCAACCTGCGACTTAGTAAGAACCTGAACCCCGTCCAGCGGAAAAGCACGATGCACATGTTGTCTGCGCCCCTGGTTCCAGGACTCAACTCTTTCCGATAATCCAACCGGAAAGCCCCCATTAACATCATCCACAAATCTAACGCCAGATTCCATCCACGCCTCTTTCACCGGCTCACTCAACGGATACCGTCTAAGCGAATGCGATTGTGTAGGTGTAGCAGTATAAAGCACAAATGGCTTGGCCGAAAGCCTCGAAACATCCTCCTCCGCACTCCTACTCGCCGTCTTCGGAAAATATGGTTGAAGTTGGTTATAGCTCCACCTTGCATCGCCAACTAACGTAGCCCAACGGTCGTAGTCGACTTTGGGGCCGCGGGTCCAAGTTCCATGGTTTATTGCTGTTGAGCCGCCCAGTGCTTTCCCCGCTGCTTGGTAGCAGGTCCTGTTTCCGAAGTGTGATTGTGGGACTGTGGATAGGTTCCAGTCTAGTTCTGTCTTATGAGCCTGTGGTGCTTTTAATGGTTCTGTTGTGTGGATGTGTCCGAAGCGGTCTTCGCCTGCTTCTAAGAGGAGGATTGAAGATGAGGGGAGTTTGGAGTGGAGTTTTGAGGCCACGACGGTTCCTGCTAGGCCGCCGCCTATTATTATGTAGTCATATGCGAAGGCCATCTTAGCGAATAATTTTGGAGGTGAGAGATCTCTTTCGAGAGCATTCTTCGAGGGGATTCAGCTATTTTTGTTTCTTTTTGTTGTGCTTAGGGGCCGGACTAGTTCGCTGACGAGGCTGTGTTAAAGTTACCTCAGATGTGCCACGTTTTTGGCAATGGCCCCATTGAATGTTGGTGATCCTGAAGGATGTACCGAAGCTTTGACCAATGGGATTGGTGTTCATCAGCCATGGTTGTGGAATTGGGGGATGAATTAGGGTAAAGCGATGATCATCGCGGCTCGGCGTACGGAGTATACCTAGATGGGTTGGATGAAGCACTTCCACTTTGGGCTGAAACCGTCCCAAATAGGAAATCCACCATCGAGAACCACGCGAGTCTTTCAAGCTTATATCAGCCCGTTAGTTATTACGTTATCCAAAGTTCCACGTTGTTGCCAAAATATAGACCTCAAGATCAAGATCAAGATCCAATGTAAACACTGTAAACATTGTTATCGCGATAAGAAAGCCTTGATAAGAGCCTCGATGATCTCCTTATCGCCATATGACGCAACCAATCTGACCGAACACCCCCACACAGCACTGAACAAACCTGCCTTCCCCTCTCCTCTCCCCAGTCCAGTAAAGAAAATGGCACCCCGTTGTTTCATTGTCCGCCACGGCGAAACAGAATGGTCTCTAAACGGCCGCCACACCGGCTCGACAGACCTCCCCCTCACAGCGAACGGCGAGAAACGCATAATTGCGACAGGCAAGGCGCTAGTGGGGAATGATCGATTAGTCGTGCCAAAGAACCTTGTCCATGTGTAAGTATCTCTTCCAAAACTAAATTGACAAAATTGAGAAAAAAGAGACATGGGCACGGAATTGGGACCAAATTCGAGTTGTGCTTATTCGCTGATTCAGATACGTCTCACCCCGCACCCGCGCCCAACGAACCCTCGAACTCCTCGAAATCGGCTGCCGCGAACGACTACCCTGGAACGAAAAGCGGAAGCCCGAAAGCCAAGAGCCGATTCGCACGGAGGCGAAGGTGGAGGTTACCGATGCAATTCAGGAGTGGGATTATGGTGATTATGAGGGTTTGACCAGTAAGCAGATTAGGTCTATCCGGGCAGAGAAGGGGGAGGGACCTTGGAATATCTGGACGGATGGATGTCCTGGTGGAGAGTAAGTTTGTGTTCTTGGAACTTTAATTTTTTTTTTTTTTTTTTTTTTTTTTTTTTTTTTCATTGTTGAGGCTTATCATCGCTATCTAGGTCACCTGAAGACGTGATGCATCGTCTTGATGCATTGATCGCCGATATCAGGGAGAAGTATCAGCGGCAATGCTTTGAGAACCCGGATTCGCCCAAGGGTGATGTTCTCGTTGTTGCGCACGGACATATTCTCCGTGCATTTGCAATGCGCTGGGTAGGCAAGCCGTTGACTGAGACATCTTTTATCCTCGAGGCTGGAAGTGTGGGAACTCTGAGGTATGTGGTTATGTCCTGTCGATGCGATTATTTTGCGTCAAAAAGAAGCAATGTCCTTTTTAGAGAGCGTTGGCTGATCATCATCATAGCTATGAGCACCACAACATCGAGGAGCCTGCAATCATGCTGGGTGGACAATTCGTGGTTGAATAGATGTTCTGACGAGCTCGGGATTTAAGGCTTAGGTCTCCGTCCGGAGCATAACTGTCGATATAGTTAGAACAGTCCAAGCATCCGTACAGAACTCAGAACCGAAGCAAACTCACATCCATATTCCTGCGTCGGCCGCATACCCATATCCATAGTCACCAATACCATGTCTTATCCAAAAACCCCAGTTCAAAAGTCACATTCAATAAATCCTCAATCCTCCTCACTATCCTCAACCTTTACCCCAACCTCATCCTTCACAGGTTTATCTGCATTCCCCTTAACACCCTCCTCCCCCAAAATCTTAGCCGAGCCCATAAACATAGCCCCAATATACCCACCGAGGAACCGCATATCCCCCGCCTGCACAGCCGTCATGCGCAACAGGTTCTCGGTATCAGCCAGATTGGCATTCAGCTGCCCGAGTTGCGAGTGCAGGTGTGCATATTGCCGGGTTTTCGCGGCGGACATAGAGGGTGTTGAGGAGCCGTAGCTGTTGTTTGTGGACTGGGTCATTGTGTTTGTTGTTTGAGAGAATCCTGTGCTTCCTGGGAGGATTGAGGAGCGGGGGTAATTTGTTTGGGAGTCGAGGCGGCGGTGGGATGATGGAGGTGGCATTTTGGGTTATTTTCTTGCCTTTTTCTTCAATTTGGTTTAGTTTGTGGGTTGGTTGTTTTTAAATATCGTCAATTGAAGTTGGAGAGACGGTTTGATAGTTGGAGATTGAAGTGTTATCGAGAAAAGCGGGATTTGTTTACATTCGCGACTGCACGTGACGTGTATACAATGACCCGCGAGTCCACTCCAACTACGATCATCAAGAAAGAATTATACAGTGATTTAAATGAAAGTAAGAAGATGAGATGATATCAAGTTATTTGAAGACAATGAAATAACGGAAGGGTCTATCAATTCGTGCGCTCCATGAAGGATACGATTCTGTTCAAGGGGCGATGCAAGGTCACCATCATTAATTCCCAGTCAAGCGCAAACCCAGCCAAAGCAGATCAAGACAACTCAACCGAATAAATCAAACCCCCGCTATTTTGCAGTACGCCAGGGACCAGACCACAGAAATCATACAAGGCCGCGATGCGTCAGACCGGCCCAATGACAAGCAAAAGGAAATATCAGGAAGGATGGAAATGCCGAAGCAGGATAAATGTAACACAGCACATAATAAATAAGGCGACGTATACGAGCCCGTACAATGGTGGTCCACAGAAAAAGGAAAGGCGCCGGATCACGTAGTGTACAGTCATGCAAGGAGAGGTGCGGCTGGTTGCGACTGGGTCGACTGGTCAAGAGGCCGAGGGCGCTATATCAACATGCTGTAAAGGAGAGAGAGAGGTAGGGAGATGAGGAGAAAGGTCGGTCCCAGTCTAGGCGCACGCAAGTCTCAACAAAAAAAAAAAAAAAAAAATGGAAAAAGACAATGCCGCAGGAGACAGGATGAGTATCAATGCAGAGCAAGGGAACAAGATCAAAGGACAGACAAAAAAGCACAAACCCATACCCCAACCACTCCGAAACAAGAAAACACAAAATAAGCGATAAAAACCCCTATGTCCCTCATGTATATGTAAAGAAGCGAACAGCAGAGTATTACCCGATAATTCATACCACGAAGGATTCAAATAGCAATATTCCCCGGTGGAAGGACACGCACGCAACGATGCAGAAAAAAGTCCAAACATGACAAGAGGTTTTTGAAAGCGGACAGGGAATGCGTCCCGGGTAGTGTGGTAGATGGAAAACATCGAGGAAATTCAGTCGTCATCAATTGCCCTGTTGCTCATGGAGAGTAAAACAGGAAGAGGGTCGTCAACCCATAATAGTTTCCGGGTTTCACCGAACGGGCGGCGCAGGTGCAACTCGTGGGTATGGATGATCACCCAGGCTAATCTGACTGCTGTGAGCAGACGCTTCGGAATCAATATTGGCACTGGCGCCACTATCACCACTCTCCGCGCTGGCGCTCGCACTTCCAGTCAGACTCTTGTTCTTGGGAGGGCCTTTAGCGGCATACGGGTTGCTCACCCCATAGTGTTGCTCAATTTGTTGTGGGCCAATCGGGCCTTGTCCTGACGGCATTCGAGGGACCGGTGTACGCATGTTTCCAGGCGGCGACGGATGGCCGTTGTGAAGAGGTCCACCAGGGGGTCCTAGACTCGGGTCATGGGCCGTCATCGGGCGTCCCATCCGGGGACCGGGTCCAGGGGGTCCAGGGGGGCCTCCGGGGAATGGCGCTGCGGGGGATTGACTGTTTCGCCGGCTCTGGGGGTAGGGACGGACGGGGAAATCGCCCATCTGACTGGCTGTCATGGAGTTGGCGCGCGAGTCAGCGGATAATTGGTTCCGTTCGACGGAGGCGTATCTGTTGGATGAGTAGCTCATCATGGGATGGTCCATGAGCGAGTCATGAAGACCGGGGATCTCTTGCATCACTCGGTCACTGGCACGCTTGCGGCCGAAGTATCGCCCAAAAGATGAGGAGGGACGGCCTTGGGGCATTGGGGGAGGACCACCTGCGAGTTCGGGGTTTTTGCGGAATTGCTGCATCTGATTCTGACTTGGGGTTTTGCGTCCTCGGCGTGATGTGAGACTCATCATATCAACACTGTCGGGGTCCACATGGGGAATACCCATGTTGTTCATCGGGTCGAAATAATCTTCATCCTCCTCGTCAAAAGCAGACGCAGGGGCCCTAGGGGGCGGTCGTCGTTGGCCAGGGCCAGGGCCAGGGCCTCGGCGCATACCCATCTCCTGCTCACGAATCTGTAATTCTCGCTGGCGCAGAGCCAATTCCCGTTCTCTTAAAGCCAGCTCAGACGATCCAGGGCCGTGGCCGCCGCTACCATTCTGAGGTAATCCAGGTTCGCCTTCATCACCGTAGTTCATAAGATGGCTGAACTCCTCGAGACCCTCGAGAGAAGGGTCTCGGGGCATGCCCCGGGACCCGGGAGGGGGCATCGGTCCACCTGGTGGGACCCGCATCATCCCCGGGGGTGGGCCTCGACGAGCCTGGGGAACCCCCATGCTCGAATTCGTTCGACTTGATCGCATCGCTCCATTCATTGGTGGTCGGTGTGGTGGAGGTGCGGATGACAATCGCGGAGGTGGCTGTCCCATGACCGATGCAGGGGGTGAATCATGACGAGGCCTGGACAGGTTAAGAACGTTTGCGTGGTGGAGCATGGCGTACATGGCCTCAATTCGCGGCAAAGGCATATTTGATTCCGTTGCCAATTTGATTGGGGAGCCCAGGAAATTCTCGACTTCCATGGGACGTCGAGCCTGGAAATCTTGGTACATAAGGCTCGGGGCATCGGCCGTGATCATTTTCTGGATGGTCTTCTCCCGGAAATCATCGGGGAATTGGCAGTCCAAAGACGAAGCCAGTTGCAAGAGTTCATCGATAATACCCGTCACCAATTGACGCACTCCGACCTTCTCTAGTAATTGGGTGGGGTTGGGGGTTTCGAACACGATGCTCGCGGGGTGGAAAGCGATCGGCCTATACATTCCAATGTTAGCATGCGCACAGGGGATCGCCGTTTTCGGTGCGAGAACACTCACCCAATCATCCGCTCGAACTGCTCCTGACGGATATTGGGGGAAACTTTACAGTCTACCTGCCCGGTATTCAGGGTCAGGGAGAGAGCTGCAGCCATGTCGTTCTGGATAGAGGCGGGAATGGCGGATTTTCTATTGGTCGCGCCCACGGAGATCTCGCTCGAGCTCAGGTGCTCAAACTCGGCGGACCCGGTTTGGGAAATCTCCACATTGGAAACCAACGAGAGGATGACATTGGTCGGGTACCGTTGCTCCAGGTGGGCTTCGATGCCAAGGGTATTTGTAGTGTTCACCAGGATACAGGTGTGCTGAGGGGTGACGACGGATTCGATGACTGAGGCCAGATCGTAGACATCTGGGAGTGCCTTCACGCAGAGGATGACATAGTCGTATACATTTTCACGCGAAGAGGCTTCTTCTGGGGTCCGGACCACTGGTAGCAAGTTAGTTTTTTAGTTCAATCGAAGACGAGGCAAGGTGTCGGAGAAGGCTTATCGTACCATGTCGGGGCTTGAATCGCTCGTTGCCGAATGCTTTTGATCTGTCGATGAGAGGTACCATGAGTCAACTGAATTCTCTGTTCCCGGAGCAAGTGGAAACGTACTTGAAAGAGACACCATATTGCGAGACGGCTTCGAAGCCTTGTTTCCACACCAGTGTCACATCGCAAGAGGTTGTAGCCTGGAGTCGCCAGGATAGAAATGCTGAGATCGCATTACCGCCAACTAAACAGTATCTCGTTAGACGACCCATGATGCGGTCGATGGGCATGGTTTGCTGGTTGCTTGCACGGAAGAAACTCACCCGACAGAATGCGCAATCGTGGAGGGGGAGCCATGGTCTGAATGTGGCAGGAAGTGATGGGCGGGAAGGACCCAAGTTGAGTCCGGCGCAAGGCCGAGCAGGTTTACCGCAGACAAGCCAGGGTGGGGATAAAAGGGAGCGAAAGGCGAGATATCGACAACTGCAGGGGGGGGTAAGGTGGTAAGGTAGGGAAAGGGGAGAGGTTCAAAGGGAGAAAAGAAAAACGAGAGATGGAAAAGGGAAGTTTCCAGTCAGGCAGTTCGAGATCAGCCTCAACTTTCTTTTTTCCTTTTTTTTTTTTTAGTCTTTGGGAGACTTGTTTTCGAACAATTGTACTTTCCGCTTTCCGCTTTCTCCCCTTGATTATAGCTGGGGCGATTTCAACGGCCGTGGATCCCCCACCTGAGGCCGGAAACGGAGAGATATTGTCGGACAATGCTGCTGGATGCAGCACTTTATTTGTTGACTCTATGCTGCGATTCTACTGCTAGTTTCCTAGTTTCCCGCACTATCACGGTTTCGTAGCCATCCACGCAATCAGTCCGCCTGGCGAGGTCGTACATGCATGAACCGATTGACCTGTTGACCCGTTTGTGTCTGCAGTTCTCAATACGAGTAACGTATCCAGTCAAAGGAAAAAGAAAATCCCAGATACATGAAAAGGAAGCACTATTGATTCTGATTCTGATTCAACCTGAAGCTTCGTCTATATTTAAACCTGTAGATTATTAATTTAGATACCAAATCCAAAAATCCTAAATTAAATTTTCCTTGTTCCACTAGCATTGATGGGCTCCACTTCGTACCAACGTCCGTTGATCTGCGCTCCATAATTCTGTGACAGAACACTCAGGAAAAAGGAATAAGAAGATAGAGTCAGCATCAACTAGACCATCGTTAATCACTTCCCTTTCTTAGTTATCTGAACCGAGTTGCCGTGCTCTACATATATCCACGTTCGGGTTGGGATGGACCCGACGCGTATGGCGGCCGCGTCCACCTCGTCACTACCCCCACAGGCCAACTCGGCCGGGCTCTAGAGAGGGCACATGTAGATTGGGCGCAAAAAAAACCAAAAAGGTACATCAATGAATCGTCAAATCAGGTGTGCAGGAATTGAGTTCAAATAATAAACTGCTCCCGTAAGGTTCTCGTGCTGCCAGCGTCGCATTGGACATACTCAAGCCACCAACGCGCTACATGGATCACAATCAGCTTTGCCGATAGTGGCGTTGACAGGGACCGGATATATGACTCCATGCCAAGTATCTGCAAATGCATCTGGGAGAAGGGAGTCCATAAATGAACAGATAAGAGGGGGGGTTCCCCCCACTTCGTTGGTATCCAGGCTTAACTCTGCACAGGTAATGCTAGCTTTCTCCTTGAATACGATCGATCGACTGCGATCTTCCTATGTACCAGTTCCATGATTTTCGTTGACCCGGCAGGCAAACTCACTACTACGAGAATCTCTCTTTTCTTTTGTATTTGATGCATGTGTCGGTATTTCTTTGATCCCAAAGCTTCCAGGGATGTAGCAGGGGGAGGCGGTGTTGACATGCCAGGATCGACGCGCGTGCCGAATGCTGTTTGCAGCTCAAGGGATGTTTCAGGGCCCAATCAAGCAGGGTCTAACATTACCCGGCGATTTTCAGGAATCTGATAATGGCCTGAATCAGTTAAATGCTCGATCGCAGCTATGTGTGCGATGTACTCCGTATCTGATCCAGGGCATCTACATATTGACCTTATCTAGTTGATTCTCTGTTGATGCAGATCATGACCCCGGATCACAAGTCACGTTCAAAGCTTCACCAGTGGACCCGTGTCAATACTCGCGTCGCGAACGCGGTGGATCCATCCGGTCCCCGGAAAGAGAGAAACACACGCGGCCATGCCGACCGGTGGCAGGGGAAACGCGTGAGCCACGTTTGCAGAAGTCCCCGGAAACGGACATTTGTTGTTAAGAATTCAAGTCATTTTGCATCCAGACTCCAGACTCCGCCACGATTGCTTGCTTGGCGTTCCGTCGATCGACGACCTCAGATGATTTTCAGGAGAACCACGCCACATACATCAGAATAGAACTAGAACTTGACTAGGGTGAGTCGATTAATCATCGATACTCCGTGCAGTACAATTCTTGTGCACCTTCACATTTAGACACCATTCTGTACGCGCTCGTTGCAACTATGGTTCGCACGTTTCAGAGTCGAGAATTTCGATGGGTCCAGACAACGGTCTCCAGCGCTCTCGATCGATCTTCCCGCTCAATAGAATCAATGACTACGCACAACCCGTGGAGGTACATAACGTACTACAGCATACAGTAACCTCCGTACATGGTTCCCAATCCATCAGGATAAATCGCAATTGCAATTCCTTAGCTCCATTTCATGTCTCACTAGTATCGGCTTTTGCAAATCACCAAATCCCACTTGAGTCAGTGGCGGCTGCCAATCGCGCCCGGAACCCAACTATCCGTAGTAGGATAACAAGGCTGACATGATCGGAACACACGGGAAGACCAGCATGACCACGAGCACGAGCAGCATAACCACGCCAAGAAGAAAAAGTCTCTCTATGGGTACTGAAAATGTGCCTAATAATGTCGGTACTGTTGATTCCCAAAAATGAATTCTCAATTGCCGCGAGACAAAACCACTCAGGTGTTTCCTTATCGACGCTAAAGCAAGACAAAGGACCCCGAGGCCCCTAAGTGGACACTTGGCGGTGGTGCGAGGTCCGAGACAGGGTTCTGGCACTTAGCTTCCGCCCGCTGCCTTGTTTTTCGACTTTTGCGTGTTTTTTTCCTTTCTTTTTCTTTCTTTCTTGGTCCAGAGAGTTCCAAGGTTGAGTACACCTGGCACTAAATAACCCTGCTTTGATGGCAATTCTAATCCATATCCCGAACCTTTTCGCTTATTCGGTACGGATTGGAGGTCATGGGTTAATTAACTATGGATCTCTTTATGTATAAATATAGCCGGACAACGCATCCGTGCGTTTGAGTATACCGTGCATTATTTTACATGCACAATTATATTATACGAAATAAGGGTAGCGAATAGACTTGAATTATCCAAAGGTTCTAAGGTATCTTCCCGGTAAGGGCTTTTTAAGTCCCGGCTTATAACTCCAGCTCCAAATCCACCTGGGCAGCTACCCACACTTCACCCAACCCGAAGTCCCCAAATCATAAAATGCCGTCATGATCGACCCGCATGCTTGTTCTATTGGATCCAATGGGTCGCGGGACGCAATCACAATCTCCCAGCTGTGCTCGGTCCTTGACGCCTGTCAGTGGCCCGGCATCTGCACCGCAACACGGGGAAAAGGGGCTCTTCGGATTGTCTGTCCAACGTATCATGCTGTTGCCTTGGACGGAGTATGGTGGCTAACGGATGGGGCCCTGTGGGACGTGAATGGAAGAGCGAGAGCGAGAATGGGTCTTTAAATGCCGAGATCGACGACGGAGAGATTAAATATGTAGATCTGGAGTTCATTTTACCTCCCGAGGTCCTCGTACTTTACTTTATAGAGCTACTACTGTACCTGTTACTAGATATATATACGCTAGCGGATGTGAACATTAACAGCATCAGCCCAATATCTAATCTTGCTAATGGAGAGCAGAACGGATCAAAATAGCCCTAACATACGGTAAACTGTCAAGATCTTTAAGGATTCCGGTTTTCTACACCTTTTACACGTGGCCACTCAATAGCAAGTCCCGAACATAAACAGATAAGTGTAACAAGCATATCGGGACTTTCAAGTAACTATCCCGGGTTTTTTTCTAGTGAGGTTACACCACAAATGACCTTAGGTAGTAGCACATGCTTTTATTTACAGACTTGACGATCAAGTTTGTTTCAAGAAGTCATACGATGGCTTCGGTGACTGGATAAGCAGTGAGCCTGGAGTAACAGTCGTGCATGTCGCATGCCATTCTTAGGACTTTGAATGGTATACGGACCATTTGGACGTTGAGCTTACAGAGATGGTCTCTATGATGGATCCCACTTCCATAGGCCGGCCCTACTTCAGTGGCGATTCGTATCTACAAAAGCTCATCAGGTCTTGAGCAGTACTGTTGCTTCCATCCATAGACCAGAAAAGAAGGCCAGCCTGACGTCACAATAGGTTTGAGATGGTGGTATAGTGATGCAGGAAGGGTTTCAGCAGCAAGCAGCTGCCCGAATTCAAGGTGCTCAAGCTCGGGGAGTTACTCAGTATAAGAGTCTGGTGACAATTCCACTGTACACATTCAGAAGTTTGCTTGTATGGTATTCGCGGTTTACATTGATCCACATCTAAGGGTTCACTCGGGGCCGAAAGATGATAGGCACCAATCAGGCGCCAGAGAAAAAAGAAGAGCTACAAGAAAATAAATCGCCAAGTCGCACCGTTGGACTTGGCAAGTATGCCAATCACTTAGGTACTATCTACATCTAAGGACTAGCAAGGGCATTAATAATGCTTCATCTCGGCTAGAGCAGGATACGAATACGAACATGTCCGGTCATATCTCTTCTCTTCATAATGCCGGACTGATGATAGAAGTGAAGGAGGCAACCGAGCTAAGCAGCTAATAATATTTATTTGCTTGTTTCGGGTTGACAGGATTGATGAATCAATGACCGGTTCAAAAGTGCAGCGAGCAGTAACAGCTCATCGGAAGGACGTGCGGGCCACAGGCTTGGGAGGGGCTATTGATTGATCGACTTCGCTTGCGATGTGGAGGGGTGGGGAAGGGGTTCAATTAACTCGTTCCTGGCGGATAGGTTCGTTTGTTGTTGATTAGTGTAATCTCTTGTGCAGGTTTCAGGATCGGGTTGGGGGCTGATTCCTGTGGTCTGATCCAAGTACTTGGTGAATTGGCGGTGTATTAACTTGACCAAATAATAGGTCTGATCCCTTCGATGGGGTGAGGTATTGATTCAATCTCGAAAGCCTTGTCAAATGGATCGGAATCGCAGACCCACTTAACTGGACCCAGGTGTAGCTTACATAGCTTTGAGAATTACTCGG